TCGTCGTCGTTCGTGGCAGGTGTTTCGACGTGTTCATTCGTGTTGACTTCGGCGCGCATAGAATTAACCTTACGGGGAGGTTTCTTTCGATTTGCGCGTGCGATAACTTCCTGCTGTACGTTCTGAAGGTTCTGATTCATTGCTGGGTGTGATATTGTACAGAGGTGGTATGGTGTTGGACGCGTTGATGTGAGTTAGGATGAAAATCAGGGTTAGGAGACTGCTTAGTAAGCACTTCTGCTAGGTGGGCTCTCTATAGGATACTCTATCTACGCTCCGCAAATAGGAATCAATCAAACCAATCAAATCAATCAATTTGATGCCTTGAAGTTGATTTGATTGATAAAATCCACCTCTTCGGATTGATTGATTGATTTGGTTGAACCAAATCAAATCAATCAATCTATCAACTTAAGTTGATTGTTCCCCACTCTGGGCCAATGCAACTAATGATATGATCAAAATGATCGAGGGAGATTGATGAGACATTTTGATGTGATCCTCGTGTTTTATCTTGTACGAGCACTCAATAGCGCAATGAGAGATGGCGGAACTCCGAAGATGCGGCGGTGCAGGCTTTAGCGCCAACAATTTGTGAACGAATTTGCGATTTCAGGCACCCATCCTTTCAAACCCCGGCCACCTTTCACGTGAGATTTCGCCTCGCCTCTTGCTTGAGCCGGCCTTATTGGTGGGGTGACATTCGAACGCCTGAAGCGGTTCCTTTTGATGTTATATGCAAGGATCGCGCTACGTCGTATCGCAGTGAAAGTTTATCCGAATCAAGCCATGACTGCAAGAGCGTTGTACATAGATTTTACACTGCGCATGGGCATTACTATGATCACACAGTTTCAGTCTCAATGAATACATGCTGGCGTTTGTTCGACATCTCGGCGGAAAAAGCTATTGGGAAGACCTTAGGAAAGAGTTAGCACGGGCCACAGTGCTACACCCGGAGCAATGTGGCCCGTGCTCACTCTGAGTTCCAAATCTCCACTGCCACTTCACCGCATCAAGCTTGCGATGGTCTTGTCGCGTCCTCTCCCTTTCGATCTTGCACCCCTCTCGCAGTCCCTAACCCCTCTCAAAGGTAAGTCCTTGCAACGAGCACTCCGCGAACCAGTCCTCGCTCACCACTGTAGCAGGGACGGAGATGGGCGAGGAGAAATAATCGTCTTAAAAGAGCTAGGAGAGCACAGCAGACATACCGTTGAGGACAAACAGAGGGCGCGATACAAGTGTCTACTCGTCATAGATTGGCCCACGTGTGCATTCCCCGCAAATCTTATTTGCGCTGCTGCCTAGGATGCATAGCGTGAGCTGCGCATTGCTATGCCGCCAAAAAGACTAGTAAATAGCCACTCACTGGCGATACCTCCCCAAAGAACACGCCACTAAAGGCCAAAAGATAATTGGACAGCCTTACGTTTCACAACAGTTGCGGTCAGCTTTCCAGGCTGGCCTTAAAGCATCTCGATTGGAACAATCCTGCCGTCCTTCCCACTCGCTAAAATCCTGCAGTGCTATTCACCGTGTTGACTACATCTAGGAGCTGAGGAATTGGCTTAGCATGAATGCCGGATTACCAAGATATCGTTCTAAGTTCGCGAACAAAGAAGATACGATGGAGGTGCTACAGCTAACTCGCCATGGCCTGGCAACATTGATCAATCAAGACTGAGCCCGATGATGTCCGATGATGTCCGATGCATACATGTATTTCAATACGATCATGTTGCGCGTTAAAAAGCAAGCCTCTTTTCTATCAATCCTGATCATCGCCAATAACTCGTCAAGAGAATCGGTCTCCACATTTCTAGTGCGTCAACGACATCCTATTTGAGCGTTCCTCCGTCGCACCCAAGCAAAGGCCGCATTAGACGTGCCGGCTCGGTTTCATGCTTTTCAAGGACATCATTGAAATGTCGGTCAGGACGTCGAGCCAACTGTGTAGGTAGTGTTTCACAGCAGTAGCGGTGAGGAACGATCGAAATTAAGGCCGCGAGAACCGGACTGGAGAGGCGCATTCGCGCATTCCAAACTCGAGCATGTCATGGATGCTACAAAGGTATCCATGGCGAGTGGGGCTAAACAAGCGGTCTGTAGGCAACTAAATTTGTGGTACAGCAGAGCACTGCGTCATTCTCGGCGATCAGAGTACTTTGGAAAGACTCCTTATTACACGCATTCTAGAGATTCCATAGATAAGAGGATAAGAAGCATATAGTTATTTAGAAACCCCAAAAGGTATTCAACGCTCTACAAAAATGTCTGAGTCCGCTCAAACGACATCCTCACATGGGCTTGTGAGCTCGACTCTCCTTGAAAAAATCGACAAGCTCTTTGCCTGTAACGCTGGAGATTACGTTGACCTGCCTCAACTTGTCGTAGTAGGGGATCAATCAAGCGGCAAGAGTTCGGTCCTTGAGGGCATCACCGGATTGCCGTTCCCTCGCGATATCGGATTATGTACTCGTTTCGCAACACACATTACCTTTCGTCGATCAACCGAGACGAAGATAACGGTATCCATCATTCCAGCCAAAGATAGTGCCCCAGATAGACAAGAGAGGCTGCGGGCATGGAGTACACACTCCCTTCAGTCGCTTGATGCAGCTTCGTTTCGCGATATTATGGAGCAGGTATGTGGTCTGCCCATCAAATGAGCTGAAACTAATGTCAAAGGTAACAATCGCCATGGGCATCGGAGCTGAGACAGAATCTGTCCGCCGTACGTTTTCCGAAGATGTTCTGCGTCTAGAAGTATCAGGCCCAACCCAGGAGCACTTCAGCGTAATTGACGTGCCTGGCATCTTCAAACGAACAACACAAGGCATGACTACTAAGGAAGACATTGCTCTGGTCGACCAGATGGTGCACGGCTATATGTCAAATCCGAGATCAGTGATGCTGATAGTCGTTCCCTGTAATGTCGACATTGCCACGCAGGAGATCCTTGAACGAGCCGAGGACCTTGATCCAGATGGTATTCGTACGTTGGGTGTCCTAACGAAGCCTGATCTGATCGACCAAGGTGGTGAAGGAGCTGTCGTAGACTTGTTAGAGGGCCGAAAGCACCACTTGTTGCTGGGGTGGCATCTGCTCCGCAACCCCGGACAGTCGGACCTCAATTCATCACGATGTCGACATACTATAGAGAAAGAGTTTTTCAGCAAAGTGGCACCCTGGAACCATCTGGATAAAGGGAAAGTGGGAGTCCGAACCCTCCGTATCCGGCTCCAAGCGATCCTCGAGGATCATATTCGCCGAGAATTCCCCAAGGTTAGTGCGAACCGCTTGCGTGGGACATTATCTGACGAGCCTAGGTCCGATCTGAGATTTCACAAAAATTGAAGAAGGCAGAAAGGACTTTACGCGAGCTGGGTCCAAAACGCCAGACACAAGGGGAACAATTCCAGTATGTAGTTGGTATCGCCATAAGATTTCAAAGCCTCGTTTCAAGTGCGCTACAATCAGGATCCGGCCGGGCAGAAATATTTGAAGAGAACATACTACTCCGACTTGCCACTCAGGCGATCAATCGAGGTGAAGTCTTTGCGAAAGCAATAGCTACCCATGGGCATGCACTCCGCTTCCAGTCAGAGATTGCATCACTTACGGACCGACTCTCAACCCTTGGAATGGATAGCGCATATTCACCTCTCGACGTACGGACGGTGAAGGATCATCCTGACATTGAGGATCTAATCCACGTAAATACCTCGGTACCGCCCCCTTCTGATGATGATATACTCGAATGGATCGACAAATTGTACCGTGACTCCAGAGGATTCGAGTTAGGGACATTCGACGCAAATATTTTGGGCGTGACGTTGAAGGAGCAAGCAGCCAATTGGCGTGATCTTGCGCTTGGGTACGTCAGCGATGTAATTGCCCTAGTGCATGGGTTTGTCGTTGATGTGATACAACGAATCGCCCCAAGTCGTCGGGTATCAGAGGGGATTAAGTCTCTACTGTTAGATGATCTCACGGAAATGTATCGGCGGGCCGTCAACCATACCGAATTACTCCTGGAAATTGAACTTGATGGAACGCCAGCTACGTACAACCATTACTTCAACGACAATCTTCAGAAGCGGTAAGTGAACGGTTAGTTGACCGTCCATTGCTGATTTGAGCAACAGGCGCCATGAACGTCTCCGCGCTGGCCTAGAGCCGAAAAGTATTACGGACTGCAAGCATGGAACAGTGGTGCGCCTGGATGATATAGTTCAGAGTCATCCTCTGAGCAACGCAAGGCACACAACTCTTGATATACATGATATCATGTGCGCTTACTACAAGGTTGCTAGGAAGCGATTTGTTGATGCCGTCCGCATGCAGGTTGCCGACCACATGCTTGTAGCTGGTAAGAAGACGCCGTTGGCGTTGTTCTCTGCTACCTTCGTTGCGAGCATGGACCATGGTGTTTTGGAAGACATTGCTGGAGAGGAAATGCAGACAAAGAGTGAACGAATAAGGCTTGAAAAGGAGATCAGCTTGCTAGGAGAAGCGAAGAAGATTATTGGATGAACGAACACGAATGAAAAATGGAATGGAATTAATGTTCTATGTATTTACGGTTGTTCTTCAAGTTAGTGCTGCGAAAATTACTTTTCTTATGAGTCGGAAGAACAAATGCCGCGTGCATAACGGGTCGACGATTACACGGCTCCTACCAGACTCCACCTAATGCCTGGAGCGATGCCTGATGTAGTTAGGGGTCTAGTGTTCTCACGTGATGCTCAGTTTGCCGTTTGCAATCTCTAGGAGATCATGCTTGTGCTGTTGTATCAAGAACCAGATGCTTTCTATCATTTAGCTTAGTTTGGTAAGGAGACTGCCAAGAGTGGCGCGGGAGCAAGCGACTGTAATCTTACGTCGGGAGTTGCACTGGTTACAATATACAGTCGCTAGCGAATGCGGCTTCACCTCAAACATGGCCGCAATACGAGTCTACCCCCACCCGTAAGCAAAAGCCTCGGCACCCCACCTTATGTACCCGGTTAGGCACCATTAGGTTAGGCACGTGATTTGCCACGTACAAGAAGGTACTTCTCTACCACAGCTTGAGCTGACAGCGCGAGAGGCGTTATTTTTCTGGTCTCGATGAAGCAGAGGTTGGGATGGACGTCGTTGCCACTTGGTATCATGCGGTGGGCGCGTATTGCAAATGGTGATGACTGTTTTAGGACTAGCGTGGTGGCACGGCCTCGGCCTTGGCAGCTCAGTTGCTGAGTCAACCAAAACGCCCAGCATCTAAACTGTGAGCAGTCTCACGACAGCCAGAGCAACGTACGGCTATGTCTACGTCGCAATCCGTGCAAGTCCATCAAGTCATCGCGCTCTTCGAAGAGATCCGGGCCGGAAGGCACATCAAGCGACACCCGTGGACAGAGTTTCAGCTTGCAGAAGGAGAATATGATGAGATAGAGCGTCGACTTGAGCGAAGCGAGCTGTTGGGATACGTCAAAGACAAGATACGGCGGGTGTGCTCCAGGCACAATGTAGATGGCGGCTAACGATAGAGATGGGCAGATATGATTACGACAGAGAAAGTGATCGTCTTGTCGTTCGCATGCCTACAGCTGTACACGAACTGTTCATCGCTCGCGTTGAGGATGCCATATTCAGTCAGTTGAAATCAATCCGTGACGGACTGGGTGCTGCGGCGGCTTTTGCCCAGAAGGTGTACCCGGCTCGTTCTACCGAAATATACTTCCCAGTGGATAATTTTCCATTTGGCAGAAAGTCGAAGCACGAGCCGGATGCTTCTTTCTGGCACGACGATGCGCAATACCCCGGAGTTGTCATCGAAGTGGCTTATTCGCAGAAGAGGAAGAGGTTGGACCGGCTCGCCGACGACTATCTTCTGGACTCGGACGCGAGCGTGCAAGTTGTTGTTGGCCTGGATATCGAATATAGGAGTATCGAATATGGGAGGAAAGTATCGCGCCAGGCGACGTTTTCGGTGTGGCGAACCCATGTGGTCAGTACTACAGATGGGAATGAGTTAAGAGTGGTCAAGGAAATTGCGGATGAGGTATTATCTAATCTAACCCAAGTGTCGTTCGTCTTCCGCTCCTGACATTTCTTCATAGGCATTCCGTGACGATAAAGGAAATCCTACGAACCATCCAGGTCTACGACTTCAACTGTCCGACTTTGCTTGTGAGGAGCTTACAAAGGAGGCATTTAGAGGCGAAGGAGGAGAGATAATCTTATCCACTCAGGAGCTTTGTCAGTATCTTGCTGCTGCAGAGGACAAAATCCAAGGGCAAAGAGCACTTGTCAGGCACTCTATTCTTCCTGGAATGAAGAAACGCGAAAAGGTCTGAAACACCGCCGGAAAAAATGGCTTCTAATGATGAGGCGAAGTATGCTGAGCAAGAGGAGAGAGCAGCGAAGCGCACAACGGACGATGATCCCGATTATGAAGATAGGTCGTCAACCAAGAGCTTGTTAGAGTAAAACACAAACTTTGGGTACCGCTTGTAATCCAGCTTGACGTATTGATGCTGGATTTCATGATTTCGTTCCTTGACGTTTTATGGTGGGGCTATGCGCCAGACAGAGGATCCCATTTTGGGCCCCACAGTAGATCCCGCTCTAGCACTCGCTTTTGCGATCTTATCGCCAACGTACATATTGCCGATATGCAATCCTGCCGTGCGCAAGAGTGTGGCTGGTGTGGGTTGGCCACCCTCCCTGCTTGTGGTGGTGGCATCCGTGCAAGACCGAGTATGACTCTTGGAATTACGAGCCAACGCAGAAGCTTGCGGAAATTAAGAAGGGTAAGGTAGACAAGGAGGACAAATTCATCAAGGAAGTAGATGAGAACTTTACAACTGCATGCCGTTGAACCCCTGCATAGCTGAGCTGCGAATAGTGGTGTTTCTGGAGGGGAAGCGACGGCTGAGGGAGGATCGACAGCTCTATTCTCGCATGAAGTCTGTTATTTAGCAAGCAAGGAAGGACTTAGACATCCTAGAGTAATGGCATTTGATTTGGCCGACCTCGCACATTTCATTTGGTGGATATTTGTAACCTCTTCGTATCCTTAGCATGGCGAATGTGGCAGCTGGCGTAGGAAGGGCAAAGGATCAGTGAGGAAAGCATGAGTTGTATTGAGGTGCTAACGAGTGGCTATATAATGAAGAGAGACCAGGGGTTGCACGCAGCAACGGTGACAAAACAACAGGTGAACCTTGTCCAGCTGAGAAGTGAACCCTGTACAGCTGAGACGCGTAGACAGACGTGCGTAGGAGCATTCTAACTGGCTGCCGGAATGACACCAATCCCTTAAGCATTTCCTTCCGCCAAGGAGGTTGCATTAAGGGTGCTAATGAAAGTTAGGATTCGGCACAAGAAATTTGAGATAAACTCACCTTCATCAACTCGTCTACTGAAGTTGCCGAAGTTGTCGCCGAGAGGACGCTGACAGCATCCGAGTTCCAACGACCCGGGTCGTCCACGCCAACGGCTCCGTCCCCTTTAGCATATCCCTGCATTAACTCCATAGTTATATAGCTTAATGCTCTGATATCTCGAGGTTCAGCTTTTTCTGATGGGCGAAATTGGCAACATTTATAGTCCGCTATTACACGTTGTTAGTAAAAGGGAAGCCTAAGAGCGAAAATGGTACAGACCAATCTTAACATCCCTATCAGGATTAGCGAGAATATTCGAGCAAGTCAACGAGCTATGTTCTAGGCGTTGCTTAGATATGCCATTCATGATCTGTTGCAGTTAGTGCCTCCTCTAATAGTTTCTGCGCCCTAGGGACTTACCTGTCCAAGTATTGCTGCTAACCGCATTTCGTTAAGACCGGGCCTGTTAGCGATGTGGTCAAGAGATATAGGCATGTGCTCGTATACAACGTAGATCGTTCAAGCCGAAAGATTTCGAGAACTGAGACGAGATTAGTGTCTCGAAATTGTCTGAGCATTCCAAGTCTGTCTTCAACACTAGGCCCCGAGAAATGCCTCACTGAGACCTTATCGTAAGGGAAAGCTTTCTGGTCTGCAACAGTGACACGAAAGTCAATACCGAGTCGGAGCTCATAACTCCTCACATAGCTCCTCCACAGAGATTCTAGCTTTATGTTATCGCGTGCTATTGCCTTAGGTTTAATAGCTTGGATATAGTGACGGATTCTCAAGAGGAAAAGGCAGAAAGTGATGCTCCCAGCGGTTATGGCATATACCTGAGAGATTTCCATGACGGGCTAGTGTGAAGGGAAAGGGAGCTGCAACCAACAGACGTGGAAGAAAGATTGGGGAAGTTGCGATAGCAAATATAAGATCCAGCCTAAGAATAGAAGATATCCCAGATCTGGGACCTTGGACTAGAGTAAAAGAGGAGGGGATACCAGATCTAGGAACCACTCAGGTTGCAGCACTACAACCTAGGATCAACAACTCATATGCTAGAAAGCTACTCTCCGAACATCAGCTGTAGAGAACACAGCTGAGATCTCAGCTGTGGAGAGCCCAGCTGAAAACTCAGCTGTGCAGTGTTCAGCTGAACTTACTAGCGCGCCACCCAGGGGGTGGCCCCCCTTCCCTCCCCTAGTATATACAACTAGCTAGACGTCTATAGAAATCAGAGTTCACATCAATTTCAACTTGAGTGAACTAGTAGACTAAGAATAGAAGCGGTCCCAGATCTGGGAACCCGTACATGTGAGGGTGAAATGGACCTCTGCGCCTAGAGGGCGAAATTGAACCCCTGCACGTAGAGGACAAAAAATGAATCTTTACGCGTGGACACAAGGTCGCTTCGTGGCAATTCTGGCAGACGTAGACTTGCATAGACCCCGAAATCTGCTAGGAACGGTGAATAGCAAGAATATCAGCACTTCAAAGGGGCGTTGATAATCTCACACCCCCTTTTCGCTATTCGCACACCCCCTCCCCCTCTAGTCGTTTCACCGCCTTCCTATTGGCTTGGAGGGGTGTTCCGGAGCCTCCGATTCGCTTGCTTAACTTGCTCACTAATTCCAAATGCTCTCTCCAAATGCGGCCTTGATCGCAATCAATTACATCCTCTTCCTCTCCCTCTACAATACACTCACCATGGCCCTCTAGCCGCCACGGCTGGCGTACTACGCTACAGCAGAGGAAGTGTATATTGCTTTACAAGCGCACGCATCAGCGCGGGGCTACGGCCTAGCAAAATACCGTAGTAAACCAGACAGAGTGGACATACGAGCATACCTCCAGGATGCATGCCGACAGCTCCGCCGCCAGCACCGCCTATTTCTGTAGTCCCTCGTCCAGCTCCTAACGCTCGGAATGCCTATCAGTCGACAGCTACACCGGTTGATCTTTCTCGTATTGATCCAGCCCTTCTTAGGCCTACAGCTGCATCTGCGGCAGCACCTACGGCAGCACCTACGGCAGCACCTACGGCAGCGCATACAGCAGCGCATACAGCAGCGCCTACGGCAGCGCATACGGCAGCGCATACAGCAGCGCCTACGGTTACACCTACAGCTGCACCTGCAGCTAAGAAGCGCGGCCGGCCGCCTGGTGCAAAGGATAAGGTACCACGGAAAAAGGCAGGAGCTCAGAGGCAAGATAGCGCTCAGCCTACGCCTCAGCCTATGCCTCAGCCTCAGCCTCATCCTCAAGCACAGAGGCTTAGCCGAGAGGAGCTTCTACGTCAGCTTGCAGCGTATGATGAGGAAATCGAGGGGTATATTGATCAGGGTGAAGAGTAGGTGTAGGCGGCGATGCTAGGGGGCCAGGCTCGATGCAAAGGAGCCGTAATATGGTGAGGGTTTGACGGATTTGGCATACTTGTAGGCACGTAGGCACTTCTAGAATAGAAACCTAAGCTTGTACCTAAGGCTATATGTGAGCTTATACGTGAGCTCGTACATAAGCTCGTACGTGAGGCTATACGCAAGGCTGTATAAAATGGAGAGGCTATACAGCCTCTCCATTTTACGGCGCATCCTTTCCAATTTGTATAGCCTTACGTACGGCCTCGCGTATAGCATCACGTGTATATAAACGTATAGGTAAATGCCCGGAGGAAGCTCCGCGCTGCTCCGAGCTAATAGGAAGGCGGTGAAACGACTAGGGGGGGAGGGGGTGTGCGAATAGCGAAAAGGGGGTGTGCATGGAGGAATTAGGGGGGTGTGAGATTATCAACGCCCCTTCAAAGAGTGTTCGTAAATTCTGACTTATTGGAAGAACTACCCAAACTTCTGTGACTTTAAGAAAACCTACCTACTTTGGCGGATACCTATGGCCTATGCGGGTGTCAATGGAGACGAAAGATACCAACCTTTTGAGCATCCCTTTCCGCCAAGGGAGATGCAACAACGGATGCTCCATTAACTCAGCCACTGAAGTAGCAGTAACTGTCGTAGAAAGGAACTTGACAGCGTTGGAGTCAGAAGGCCAACGATGCAGATCATCGATGCCAGTAGCCCCATCCTCTTTAACGTAGCCCTGCATTTATTCCATAACAATAACGCCTAGTGCCCTAATATGTCGAGATTCGGCGCTGCCGTATGGGTGCAACTCGCAGCATTCTTAGCTTGCTGTTCCTTCGTTAGCAATAGAATAATTTGATAACAACTTAGTGCCTTACCAATTTTCACATCCCCATATGGATGAATGAGTATGTTTGAGCAAGTCAACGAACCATGTTCTAAACCTTCCGATGCGAGGTACAAAAGCTCATCGAGTATCTACTGCAATTAGTAAACTCGCCGATGGCTCTCCGACTCTGGAAGGTCTTACTTGTCCAACTATTGCCGCCAATCGAATCTTATCAAGACAAGGATTGCCGGCGACGTAGTAGAGAGAATACGCCATGTATTCAAAAACGACGTAGCAACCCTCATCTAACCTGAAAAGTTCAAGGGGCGAGACAATACTAGCGTCCTGAATCTGTTGAAACTTACGAAGCTTATCCTCAACACTCGATCCTATAAAACTCTTCACCAAGGCAAGGCTTGAGAAAGAATCTTTCCGTGTCAAGGTGCCCGACTGTGTATCTCTGCGCTCGGTCACTGTAACGAATAAATCATCGGCGCCCAGTCGAATATCATAGGATTTTCCATACGTTTACCACGGAGAAGCATGTATCGTTTTCAAGTACACGTATACCCTGATGCCAGATCGGATAATTTCAGGAAGCCCGAGAGACTTTAAGCCGACAGGATGCTCTACCCTACTCCCCTCCGCAGAGAGACTGCTCTTTCTGGTCTTCAGAGAACCTTGTTTGGTATTTGCGCGGTTACCACTATTGTATCCTCCCGTAAGGCCTTTTGTAGCTTTCCCTAGGACGCCACTCTCGAGAGGTGGATCGAGTTTCAGTCTATCGAAATCAATCTGCGTTTTGCGCTTTTCGGACGTGGAGTTCATCCTCAGCAATACGCGAGAGTAGGAAGCTCGGTTCTAGGTAGTTCACTGTTAGTTGAAGATAGAGGAGGAGGCATTCAGCCATCTTAAGTTCGAGAGGAAAATCTGCTAAAAAATACAAGGGTCCCATAAACGGGCACCCTTTTATTTTTAGCAGATTTTAAAGCGTAGATAGGGGTCAAGTGGGTGTAGGGAATTGATATTATATAGTGTGGAGAGAGAAAGACTGTCCTCGGAGCGTTGTATATTCTGAACAGCCATTTCGAGATGTCGCGGCGACGATTTGTTGAACAAGAGCGAAGGCTCGCAGCGGAACTGAGCGCCAAGTTCGGAGGCACAGAGATGTTGGATTTTCCGTTCAAAAAGCAAAGGCAGGAGGACGAGAAATAACTGAGAGGCTCGAAAAACTGTTCAAGAAGCAGGAAAGCCGTCGCGATTAGGGAAGTATTCAACCATATTCCTGCCGTTATCGAGCAGGATCAGCTTGGTGTGGCACTGGCGCGAGCCAGAATTTCTCCGGAAGCGCTGCTGGAAGCACGTGATGGCCACCTGGAGCTTGAGCTGTTTCCGTGGACAACCTCGCGCTCTTGCGGCCAAAGACGTCTTACCTCCGGGAAGTAGACGATGGACGGTGGATCTGTATCTTTCAGATAAGGCTGCCTTCTTGGACCTGCATTGGTATTCACTCACTGAGTTATGCTAGATCTCAGTGATGATCTCAAGACAACCTTGATTGAAGAACATTCATGTGAAAAGAAACCGGACGATGGCGAAATATACCGCAAAATCCGAGAATACCAAGGATATGGAGGCGCACGGAACCCGTACTTTGAGAAACGATGGTGGGCTCTTTTGTACGGGATATCTGACCATAAGTTCGATAACATGAAGCAAATCATCCGATATCACGATTTCAGAGCAGCTCGATATCCAGCTAGATGTTCCTGGGCTTGCAGGAGGGATGCACTTGGGCTCAACGCACAAATGTTCGGGATGAGGTGTCATGAGGTAAGAGCCGCCCCAAATGTGTGCTCCGATATACTGACCGTATAGGAAATCTTACATTACCTCGACAATATCAGGGAATCTTGGACCAAGATCTTTCGTAAATATAGGCAAGCGATGCTGAAGGTGAATCGGGCCGATGTGAAAGCTCTTGAACTTAAGGCCCCCCGGAGCGTGCAAATCAGATCGCTTGTCTCTGTACGGCCAGATGCGTAGTGACAAGATTTTCAGCGCTTTTACCGACCAAGAACGCGAAGTTATATGGACAGATATACTGTCCGCCTCTGTCGACCGTCTAATCTCGTCTCTTTCGAGCTTCTTTACAGATGTTAACTACTTAGAAGATCCAGCCGACCGCGTAAAAACCTTGATGGAATTGTGGCCGGGAGAAACCGTGTCGTCTGCCTTAGAACGGATCTTTCGTGACGTCAACCAGGAAACCGATTGATGTCTTATTCAGTAATCCGAGTCCACGTTTATATCAACACCAGGGAGCTCGTCAGATCGATTAGAACTAGGACGCCGACATATATGGATAAGTGCTATGCGCAATTAGTTCGAGATGCCCGCTCCAAAGGAAAAGGACAATTTATTAGCAAAGCCAAGGAGTAAAGCAAGTGAACCGATTGTATGCGAATTCGCCTCTCTCGCCTACCGCTTAGGATTCGAGTCTGAGTAGATCCACAGCTTGGTTCAGCGTTCTGCTGACGAGGAGATTGCCTGCAAGGCCCTCCTAGAGGCCCGGAGACCAAGCCGGTATAAATATGACGACGCCGCATTTACGCGCTCGTAGAGCAAATGGTTGGATTTTTTTCTACGGCTGAAGAAGTGGCAGAAGAACATGTGATCGAAGTTGATGGTCCTCAGCGGGCACCCAAAAAAAGCGGGATTCCGGAAACAGGGTTTTACAAAGGAGACAAATCGTCGCTATTTCCGAACAAGTTGCACGGCACTAACGAGGAACAGTGCGATACACTAACGTCTTTTTTTGTTCGTAGATCCGTGTACTTTGCCTTCTTTGGTAAGCTCGATCGCATCGAGCACGAGAGGCCAGAACGAGAGAGGCTTGCAAGGGAAGAACAGGAGAGGTTCGAACGGGAATGGCTTGCAAGAGAAGAACAAGAGAGGCTTGAACGGGAATGACTTGCAAGGGAAGAGCAGGAGAGGCTTACAAAAGAAGATCAGGAGAGCCTCGCAAAGGAACAGCAGGAGAGGCGCGCAACGGAAAGAGAGAAAGCTAGCAAACCGAAGCGTAGGCATATGATGGCGATAGGTGAGCGGAACAAGAACCGAAAGCGAGTTACCCAGATCAACTTCGACAAACTCGCGGAATTAGCAGCACAGGGAACCGTGGAAAGTCATGACTGAACTACTATGCCCCACGTTGAACGTCAATCAGGCCAAGTTCGAGATGTAACTACCTTGGCCTCTGCTTTAAACTTGGAAACAACGACGCGGCAGAGATTGAAATACACTTCACAGTCAAGGAGCGAGGAAATGCGAGATCAGCAGGAAGTCTTTGGGTTGATCCGTCCGACACAGAGAAATTACAGCGAGTTGTGAGGAAGTATATGAGGAAGAGGACAAATGTATGCGACAAGAACGGGCGGCTAATAAAGATTCGAAAACGTTTTGAGGACGCTATTGCAGACGGGGAAAATACGTTATACCTGATCCCGACACAGGAGTATGGTAATGCCGAGTTTTCATCGATATCCAGAAGCGTCTCTGATCCGCAGCCCAATTCTACCAGCCGAACTAACGTAGCTTCAAATGCGGAAAGCGGTAAGGAAGACCTAGAAAGTGGTAGCAAAAAGAAACGTGCAACGATCACTTCGCCAATTCCTGTTGAAGACCCACTACAATTATAATTTAAAATAGCGTATTCCATCACCGAAACGCCCACATCACCGAAGCGGCCACTTTTTCATGGCACAACTAATTCCACTATTATCGCGAAATGCCTCAACAACGCAACGCTATACTTGCTAAACAAGAAGGCAGGATAGATCTTGCCCTCCAAACTTACCAATCTGGCCAATTCCAAAGCCTACGACGCGCTGCTAGAGCCTTTAACGTCAAACATCAGAGGCTGCGCTATCTTGTTTTCGATGATATTTCTTTTCTGAAGTAAACTTTTGTAAAAGTAAGACTGCACAGACTCATTGTTCAGCATGAGGCCAATATGCGTACAATGACAATATATCGCCGGCTCCGAACCCGTATACTTCCCTGTCTCACTCCTTTGTAGTCAGTCAATGTGACCCATCTTGCTAGCTGTCTCAGCAGCGACTCATTAATATCGAACAACCATTCAGGGACAATAGCTAGAAAGTATATAAAGACGTAGCATCGCCTCCGATCCTAATTTACCAATGAATCTCGGAAAACGTGCAAGATGTCTTCGAACCCTTACGTTATTCTTGATGTAGCCCAGGATGCCGATATAACCACGATCCACAAGGCTTACCATAGAATAGCGCTACGATGCCATCCAGACAAGATACAAGACCCCGCTCTCCGTAAAGCAGGAGAAGAGGAGTTCAAGAAAGTCCAAAACGCCGTAGAGCTCCTGTGTGACGACTACAAGCGGGCTGTCCTTGATCGCGAACTTGCTCGAGAATCGGCCGAACAGCAAAGCCCAGAAAATTCGACACGGCATGCACCTGCTACAGACTCTTTTGGTCAAGATTTGGACCCGCGGGCTGAGCGAACGCCCGAGCCATCGCGTGACCCTCCACCAACATATCCTCCTTCTCCCGAGCATAGTTTCGAGCGGGGAACTCATAATCGTCGCCCAGCAAATCCTTCTACAGAACAACAAAAGTCGGAGCCGCCAAACGACTCTCCTCGTCATGCAAATCCTTCTGCTCCACTACAGCCTGAATTCACGTCCGCCTGCCCCTCCCCTCCTGATTCCTCCCCTCCGCAGGCGGGCAGAAAGTTGTACTCTGCATTGTCTTCATACTTCTTTGGCTTTGATGACAGCGCCACCTCTTCCATGATATGGGACGAAGCGTGTAGAATCCACGACGATGCCTGTGGCGACCTAAATCTCGGTACCGAAACCCTCCAAAGAGCTCATCTGATACACGACGGCGTGACTCGGCCACCCTTTCCTTTCGACGGCGAGCTTGCCTTCCGAGCGTCTGAGCAGTTTGACACAGCAACAAAACTCGCACTTGAAGCGCTCAAATATTACTATTCAGCAGAGCAAAAGCTCAAGAACGCAAAGTATGCGATTGATGAGGCGTGGCGAAGGTCTGGACACGATCTGGAGTATCTAGGTGCCATGCACTCACAGCGAGTTGAAAGGGTAACTCTGGATTATGAGAGTGTGCTGAGTAAGGAGATAATCGCGGAGAAGGTCATTGATCAGTCTCATTTCGCTTCGCACTTTTGGTATGACCGATCTAGCAAGCGAGGGATACCTAAACCTAGGGTTTGGCCTCCCTTGTTTCCTCGGATTCGGTAGAGTACTAGGGCTACGCGGGATACTTTCTATGAGTACTTGCACTCCAACATTATGCGTGTTTAGATGCTTCCTCACTCACGTGGCATTATGTGGGCAAAGAGCGCCACTCCTGCGGCGAGAATGCTCGAGAAGAAAGAAAAGAAGCCAGAGAAGGCTATGTCAGGAGGCATGTACGAAGTGCCCGCTAATAGGAAGGCGAATCCTTCCATGACATGGCCCACGCGGAGTGTATTGAGAATGAGGCGGATTAAACGGGAAGAACTTTTGGCGGAGATAGGGTATGTCTGAAGCCTTTTAAACCCATTCTTTAAACGAAATATTGAGTTAGGAAGGGCTTTCTATGACTCTGTGTTGTGTTGCTCGCTTTTCGGCGTTATCTCCGCTTTTTCGGGCATTGTCTCATTGGCCTGATGGTCCTCCATCGTGCCACGTACATCGCTTCCGCATAGCCGACCCATGTATCGCTATCGCTACCGACATCGGCTTGCGGTAGCGTGCGCCCAAAAAGGCTTAATCTGACTGCAGCCTTGAGCCCATAACCTTTGTAAGAATTTAGTTCCCTTTTGTGCCGTCACCATCCGTGCAACATATAAATACTAAGATGCCCACCAGCCTTTGGTCCTTCTTCAATCCTCGCATCGCAATTTTCAAAACCATCTACTGTTCAAGATCTCGAGGTATTTCCTACCAAATTGTTTGAACAGCGCCGATTCAAAAAAAAAAGACCATTAACTCTATTCAAAACTTTCAATCGTCTCCATCTCTCCAACATCTCCATGTCTCTCACCCTAGCCAAACGCCGCATCCAACAACTCCCCATCGACTGGAGCACCAACCACGACGCCATCTTCAACTCCACCATCCTCACCGACATCCCCGCCGCCCTGGCCTCCTGGTCTTCCAAACGCATCATCCTCGTCTACAGCAAAACCCTCGACGCGCAAACCGCCCACATCAAGACCCTCCTCACGGCCCTCGGCCCGCTCGTCGCGGGCACCAAATCCGGCGTCGGCGCGCACTCCCCCTACGCCGACGTCATCGCCATCGCACGCCTGCTGTCCGCCACCAACGCCGACACCCTCATCTGCATCGGCTCCTCGTCCTACTCGGACGCGTGCAAGAACGCGGCGTCGCTGCACGCGACGCTGCCCGCCGGCTTCACGGCAGCCGACATGGAAGCGCTCGTCGACAAAGACGCGGGCATCACGGCGCCGATGCGCAACCCGACGGTGAAGCTGATCCTCGTGCCGACGAGCCTGAGCGCGAGCGAGTGGAACCCGATTTCCAGCGCGACGAATCCGGAGCGCAAGAAGCAGCATTTCGGCACCTGGACCGGCGGCGCGGATCTCCTGCTGCTGGACCCCGAGGTCGCGAGCACGGCGCCGCAGGTGCTGTGGCTGAGTTCCGGGGTAAGGGCGGTGGATCATTGCGTTGAGACAATTTGTAATCCGGATTCGAACGAGGCGGCGAATGGGCATGCGGAGAGGGGGTTGCGGGAGCTGTTGAAGGGGTTGAGGGAGTATAAGGAGGGGAAGGAGGGCGCGGATCGGGGGGAATTGCTGAAGGGAATCTCGGAGTGTCAGGTTGGGGCAAGGGAGGCGATGATTGGGTTGCTGGTGTATCGGATTCCGATGGGGCCGAGTCATGCGATTGGGCATCAGTTGGGGAGTGTGGCGGGGGTCATGCATGGGGTTACGAGCTGTGTGATGCTGGCACCGGTGTTGAGGTATACGAACGGGAGGAACCCGAAGGGGCAGGAGAGGGTTTTGAGGGTGTTTAATGATGTACTAGGATGGGAAGAGAAGGAGGCGGCAGATGCGGTGGCGAAGTTTGTGAAGTTGGTGGGGCTGCCGGGGAGTTTGAAGGAGGTAGGGGTCACGGAGGATAGTGATGTTAGATTGATTGCAGATAAGACGATGACGGATGCGTGGGGCGGGAAGAAGAGGCAGTTGGGGACGGTGGAGGAGGTCATGGCTATTTTGAATATGGCTAGATGAGGGGGTTCGAACGTCGCGAAGTCTGACAGCACATAAAGAAGCACAAATAATGGTAGACTCAGTAGTCAGCTAAACTCATTCTCTTCTGCGTCAGAATTTCTATTTAATGATACCATTTGATTTCCATCCAACAAAATAGAAAATAGAGAACATCTCGACAAAAATCATACTAGACACCCTCGTAGTCCAGCCAGACAACAGGCCAGCCAATATTCTCGTATGTATGACTCTAGCAACGTACTTGTAAGCCTCAGTCTCTATCCCCGTAATCCAAAATCTCAAACAAGCTCCAAGTAGTAGAATAACAGCCAACCCGCAATAAACACCAGTAGTAGAAGAACGAACGTCTCCAGCGGATATTTCAGCAACATGCTTCCAGTCATAGTGCGGTCGTAGTCAGTATCCGGTGTGCCAGCTCGAAGGTTCATCTTTTTCCCGAAATATTCGTCAAGCTGAGGATCGCTAACACCTTTGTCTAGAGCAATAGTGGTCAGTCGGAGCCACTTTTCGTCTTGAGACCAGTCTGTCGTAGGTGGTGGTTTAGCGGACTTGGTGGTGGTGTCTTCGGGTAGTTGTGTTGGTTTCTTTGGCGGTTGGCGCTGCTTCTCGACGTTGGATGAGTTGGTGATGGTCGGCGTGTCTAGAGATCGGAAGACAGGCGGTGAGACTTCTTCTTTTTGAACAGATGCAGGTTTGCTGACACGCTTGGCTTTTTGGGGTTTGCTGCTCTCCTTGCGTTCTGCACCGACCTTTATAGTGCGTGCCTTCTTTCGAATGGTCACGGACGGAGGTAGGCCGAACATTGTCTCCGTATCAGTTCCAAACTCAAAATGAACTTTCTTTTGAGTTCCAGCAATAGCTACCGCGTCCTGCGACGCTTTTGGAGCCACTGAAGGCGCGTTTGCCATAGTAGAACGAAGTTGGTCTTTTACTAGCGGTCTTTCGACCTTACCAGCGATTTGATGCTTTTCCACGGATTTAACCAACTTCTCCTTATTAGGCCCACCAGGGGCGCGAAAGGCGCCGCTGTCCTCTCGCGGCGCTGATCGCTTCTTGTCGATCTCGTCTAGACGTGCCATTAGCCGGGACAATTGGGTAGAGGGTGGTTTGGCACGCACTACGGGCCCCGGCTGCACGGTCGTGGAGGCAGTCACTTTGCTCCTTGGACGCGATAAAACCTTCTTCAGGACTGACCTTGGGGGCTCCACCTCTTGGTCTTCTTGAGGTTCCCACTCAAAGACCCAAGGGACGCGGCCATTCACCCTGCCGAACTTGGAGCGATTGGGAGCTTCTTCTGTCTGAATGCGCCCTGGCTGTGCGTACTTCATGATACTGCCTACGCGATTCGGTCGATATTCATGGGCAAAGGTCTGGTGATAAGGGGGAAGAACGACGGGATAGGTCGTAAATCCATTCGGAAAGAGGGGACCAGCTTCTATACCAGACATGAAAGATGGAGTGGTATCAGGCCTGTAGATGCGAGCCCCGTCTTGCATGAGAACGTTTGGCATCGCGGTGATGGTGGGAAATGCATTTTCTTCATCTTCAGAATCCTCACCCTGGTTTTGGATCACCGCGTTGACGCCTCTAATCACAATATGTCGCTCCTTCGGATCCTGGCACTCGTCGTCTTCGTTCTCGTCATTCTGTCGAGGCGCTGCCTCCATCTTCTCGTGATGAACTCGTTCAACACTCGGGCCAATGGTGGTAACATCAGACTCATACCCGTCTCCTACCTCGCCGAGCCAATCCTCAATCGTTTGATCTTGAATTCCGGCATTAACAACGTGCGCCTTAGACAAATCTCGGTCCGAGACTGGAGATGTTCGTCCTGTAGATCCACTCCTGCTGGAACTGGAGCTATTCGAACAGTACTCAGCCTCCTTCGTCATGAACTGATGGTGCATATCGTCGATGCTTTTGGCATCGCATGAAGGAAAGTGAATAGACTCCTTAATGCCGGAAACTTGACTGCCATCATCCAGGCTGCGTGGCAATACGTTGTCCATAGGGGCTCGGTCTATACACTAGTCAGCAAGAGGAACCGGGGAATATGCGTTGTGTCTGCCTGCAGCGAGCGGAGTGTGATGAGGTGCTCTTACCAGTCGCTGTAGCTTGTTGATGCTCAGCCCCGTTTGCTGCCAAAGCAGCTGTATTCACATGGTTCTCAGAGCATTCAAAGCTAGGGTGGAAGATGAATTTCGAAAAGTCGAAGGTTTTGGGAGAGAGTGGGAGCCCACGGAGGAGGGCGGTATTTGCGTTTGCGAGTGTGTGTAGCATGGCTGTCGTTGCAGATTTACGATGAAAATGGTCTAGTTGCTGAGAGGAGGCAGTACGGGTGATGTGAGGGTCGGTGGTGGTGCGGAGAGGCATGGTGGTGTGCCAGTCTTGATAGTCCAGTCGTGGAAGGGGGAGGGGAAGATATGAGGATTAGATGCGATGGCCACTCGGAGTGTGATGTCGGGGCAGCTTTAATCGGGCGCTTTGCACCGAAAGTTTGACAAAAATCATTCACTGATTGTATTTTCGGAATTGAAGGGAGCACGCTAATATCACGTTAGCTAGACATCACGTGCAAGGGCAACATAGGACTGCCCTTGTGGTGAATAGAAGCTATTCTCAACTGCACCAACGATACATAATGAAGCGGCGACTGGGTCATTGAGATCAAATTTTTCTTGAATCTGGTGATTCTACGTGTTCCGTGGAGCCCAGTGTCCACTACGGCAGCCCATCTTCGATACGTTGTCTTCCATTCCTCGCTTAACTTCAGGAGAGATTCTTCTTCTGTTGGCCAAGAATTTTTGAACCATGCTTGGGAACTCCTTGTGTAAAGGAACTGTCGCATCACCCGAGGCGGTCTGAAAACATCTCATTGGTAGGGATAGGCTAGTGAGGTCATTCAAAAGTTTGTCGACGTATGAGTGCGCCGAAAACTCCTCCTTGCGCAGATTCCAGTATGCATTCTGTCCTCTCCAAAGCCTCTCGAGAGTTCAATGGGTTCCGGGTGAGTAAATCCGAATCCAAACTACGGATGCTTTGCACTGGCTAGGGCGTCCACAGACCTATGTGCCATAGCAAAGAGTAAGTAGATCTCATTCGTAGCTATATGAGACTTGGATGAGCACAGAGCATGTCAAGCTTACCAGCGAGATATAGAATGTACAGTCCTTTACATCCATGTCCATGCTACTTTATAATAGTCGGGGCGTCTACAGAACTATATCCACGTTGTTAAAGCGATCGGTGTGTTCAGCTTATTTGTAGGTATAGGCAATTCGGAAGAGAATTATGTGAGAGATTTGAAGCTTGCGGGTCTTTACATTCACCTCCTACTTACTTGACATAGGCCGGGGCGTCTACAGACGGGTGTACCGTTGTACAAAAGCAACAGCTGAACAGCGTGAAATACAGCTATGTAGCAATCGGAGGTCTTCACGTGATATCAAAATCATCACAAGATTTGAGGCCCACGGAATTTTACATCCATATCGTGGTTAGTCTGTATAGGCCGGGGCATCCACAGACTGATATACAACTGTGCACAAACAATAGCTTCCCCTTGCGATTTGCCCTTATGTGGCAATCGAAGCAATCTAGATCTTGTCGTGAACAGACGCGAAATTTGAAGCCTACCGTCTATTACATCCACATTTTAACCTACTCACTACCGCCAGGGGTAGCTCGGACCGATATAGAGATGTGCAAAAGTAATAGCCCAATCCTACAACTTCCTTGCAGCTGGAATTGGAAGCACTCCAGAGCTTGTTAATATCAGGTGTGTGATTTCAAGATCATCGAACTTTACATCTACATTTCAATCCACTCACTACAGCCAAGGGTAGCTCGGACCGATATGTGACTGTAGAAAAGCAATAGATGGTTCCTGCCATCTGCAATTACGCGGAACCCGAAAGACGTCAGAACACACTAATATCACGTGCGCGATTTGAACCGTACCATTCTTTACATCTTCATTTCAATTGACTCAGTTCAGCTAGGGGTATCTCAGAGCCATAAACACGTGTTCAAAGGTAACAGCACACTCGTTTCATCTCTACTGCCTAGAAGGTAACCAGACCCAGTCCAAACAACCACCAAATGCCCCCAGAACAACCACGCAAAGCACCCACACCGGGTTCCCAAAACAACCACCCACTCCACCTATAAAAGCCACAAAAACCCTCGAAACCCAGCACGAACAGCAGGCACAACAACCGCCAAATCCACCATATCCACCAAAATCAGCACGAAGCCCACCCCAAACAACCCCCAAAACCCCAACAACCCCCCAAAGCCCCCCTATTCCGCCCCATAAACCACCGGAAACGCATACGGCGCCCACGCATACGCCGGTTGCATGTAGTACGGCTCCGGGTACACGCACCCGGGTGAAAAGTACGCAACACCCACCGGGCACGGCTCCTGCAGGTCCCCCGTCGTAAGAAGCGGCGGAAGCGGGGCCTCAGCCTCCCCAGAAACGTCCGAAAAGGGTGACGCAGCGCGCGCAAGAACAGCGGGAAGCGGGCACGGCGAGGGCGAAAAGCGCGAGGAGCGCGAAGAAGGCGCGGAAGCGGGCGACGTTTTCGCGGGCGTCGGGTACGCGGAGGGGCGCGGGGAGTAGGGCGAGATGTAGCCAGCAGGGGAAGAAGAGACGAAAGAGGGGGCCACAGCGGACGCTTCGGGGACTTCTAGGGCCGAGAGGAGGGCCGCGTCGTCGTCGAAAAGGGGCTCCATTGCATCGAAGTTGGAGGCGGTTAAGGGGGCCGTGAAGCGGAGACGTTTGGGCGTGAGAGGGGACGCATTCGGGGGATGTTGCGGCGGTTCGTCGGACGCGGCGCCGGTCTCTGGGTCGTAGTGGAGGAACTTGCGCTTTGCGGAGCGGTTGGTCTTGGTGGTTGATTGGTAGTCCCTCATGTAGCATCTTGTGCCGGAAGTGAGGCAGCGGAGGCAGCGCGTGAAGGAGCCGGCCATGCAGGCGGACTTGGCCTGCGTGCAAGAGAGGCAAGATCGGGCTAGTTTGCGCGCGGGATTGAACGAGCAGACGATGCCATGAAGCTGGCATGGGCGGCAGGAGGAGGCGCCAGCGGGATCGCACTTGTTGATGCGATTAGCGTGGCAGTTGTCGCAGCTGTGGGCTCTCTCGACGAATCCAGGAGGAGCTTCAGCGGGTGGTGAGGGAAGGAAATTCGATGGTCCGGCGGCTCCAATCTGCACTCCATCCAGCGGAGACTGCGAAAACTGGTCGAAATCGGACATTTTGGCAGAAAAGGTGTGAATCGGGAGGTTTTGAGTGACTGTTTGAGGGCGCGGCTAGGCGGTCGAGAGTCGACAGATGGACGAAAGAAACGCTGCTAAGCTATGAGAATGAAGAAATTAGGAAGGTGCAAAGACTGAAAGAAGACCCAGGACCAGAAGATACAGGGAAAGAGTACAATACCTATTGTATGTCCGAATGCGGTCTAGCGCGTTGAGGTTGGTGAAGATTTGGGCAAACGGTGGCGCGCGACAGCCTTCACACCTCAACACACCACACCTTGACTATTGTCTCGGTATTGTCGATCCTATTGAAGGTATTGTTTCCCTATTGCGAGTCGTTATTGTGCTCCATCGCGACAGGATGTCGAGAGAAGAGCCCTTCACCTCGCGCGAGAATGGGAAGAACCGAGGCTTACGTCGCGCCGCTGGCCTAGGACACCACAAAAACCTCTCTCTACCCGGCGCGCACAGCCTCTATTCACTCCCCAAAGAGCGCACGGCGCCCAAAACTTCCGACAGTATGCAGAAACCGGAGGGTAAGTCGCGCGACGCTGGTTCTATCGGCCGATTGCTTCGAGTTGACGATGATCTCGCAGATCAACCAGGAAAGTGGGCTGAGGCTCCTGTCTTCATCCCTCAGCGTCAGCGTATCCATCAACGTCACCTCAGAAGCAAGACACTTACCGCTTCACTTAAGGCAATCGACCGGAGTTCATGGAACCTTCACCGTCGCCAGCCCCCTCTATCGCCGAACAGATCGACGCGATGGAAGCGAATTGCCGCCAAATCTGCAACATGCTGCGCGCCTCTTACGAGAACAACGGCGCAGAGACCCCAGCACCAGCATCAGACGGCGCGAGCGTTTGGTCGGAAGGCGCGTCGTCGGCCGTGTCCGTGGCTGCAGCTCCACCGCCGGCAACTCTATTCGAGTGGCAACAAACCCAGCAGCTGCTTGAGGCTATGGCTCATGGAGACGCTCCCGAAGCTGTCCATGCCTGCCGCAAGAACTTGATTCGGACCTGGATTGAGATGGGAGTCCTGGAGGCGAAGAAGTGATTGGAGACAGATATGGCGAGAGTTGGCCTATGCTTTTGGAGGATGGGATCACGGGTTGAGGGGCCACCGAGTAATGTGAGGGCGGTGATGCTTTATTGGGAGCTGGGAGATTGAGCTTGAATGAAAGGAAACATGCCCTTCCATACCTGAATGCCACTATGAAAACTGAAATGATATGAAGCGCTAAGTGAGGTCTCCCTTACACATGCCTGCCACCGCTTGTGGTCCTTCAACATACTTGCACAAACCTGGAGCAACCGGTCACGGGTCCTGTCTGTGCACACCGATTCAGCACCATCTGAGGTGGCCTAACCAGGTTTCAAGCCTGCCAAAATGATAAATTCGAGATGGCCAAAAGCTCTTCAAGGCACCTCAAACGGCGCTGAGCAGCTTTACTGCCCATGGTGCTGAGAAAGGATGGCATAACTGTTAGTGATGAGAAGTAGCGTAACAGGATACGGGTCCTGTCTGTGCACACCTACCCAGCACCGTCTGAGGTGGCCCAGCAAGGTTTCAGGCCTGCCATATTAATAGATTTGGGATTACCAAAAGCTCTTTAAGGCACCTCAAGCGGCGGCGAACAGTTGTACTGCCCTGAGCGCTGAGAAAGAATGGCATAGCTGTTAGTGATGAGAATTAGCGTAACAGGATACGGGTCCGGTCTGTGTACACCTATCTAGCACCGTCTGAGGTGGCTCAGCAAGGTTTCAGGCCTGCCACTTTGATAGATTTGAAATTGCTTAAAGCTCTTTAAGGCACCTCAAACGACGTTAACAGCTCTACTGACCCCAGTGCTGATAAAAATAATAGCATAGCTGGTAGTTGTGAGAAGAGGTGAGGTTGAGAAGACACCTCGCTAAATATGCTGAATCATCGCCTCAGGCTCGCCTGCCAAGAGTTTCCACCAAGGACTCTTTTAGAGGGTTAGTAAATATACACCCCCTTTTTAGTAGATACACATCCCTGTTTTGGTAAATCCACACCCCTTCTCCCATGTCGTTTCACCGCCTTCCTATTGGCTTGGAGGGCTTAGAGGGCTCGGAGGAAGCTCCGGGCATTCACCCTTATGTCTATTCAATCGTGTATCTCTTCCGTACGTACGTGAGGCCGTACATAAGGCCGCACGTACGTGATGCGGTACGTGATGCGGCACGGCTATATAGCCTCTCCGTTTTACGACGCAGCCTGTCTAATTTACGCAGCTGTATATATACCTACATACATTAGACAGGCTGCTTGCGTGGCTATACGAATTGGAAAGGCTATATAGCCGTGCCGCATCATGTACCGCACTACGTACGACCTTATATATAGCCTCATGTACGGCCTTACGTACGGCCTTATGTACGTCTAAGTGAATTGGAATAAGTAATACGTGTAGATGCACGTGAAAACAGAGCTCCGGACGAAGCTCCGCGTCGCTCTAGCTAATCAGAAGATCGGACGAGAGGGGGGGGTATGGGTTTACCAAAACATGGTGGTGTGTCTACTAAAAAGTGGTGTGTTTACTAACCCCCCTCTTTTATTAGAAGATGATAGGAGCTTGAGGCTGCCATTAAGAAATAGGTGAAAGACGTGGATCACTCTAAATGATTGTGACGAAGCTTAGACGTTGACCAAATCGAAAGAGAGCAAAATAGAACTTCCAACGCTACCTCCATAGGATTCTCAGATCGTCACCCCACGCGTTTGTTCGACCTACGGTATCCCAGAAGACACTCTAGAGCTTACAGCGAACCTCTTCACTGCTGGTATATCACAGCCGGCTACATACCGCAGAGTTCCCTCCTCACTATCTCACCATGGACGACGTAACGATGACCAACGGACCCGAAATCCCATACAGCCTCCCACCAACCGACGATGTCTTCGAGCTCGCACTCCGTAAAGAGTTCTGGACCCACAAGCCCCGCCAGGAGGGCATCCCAAGCGACGACACAGGCGTGAGATTCTTCCGTGAGCCCTTCCAGACCCTCTCTACTCACTTCTCACCGCTGGCCCCTAACGTCCCGTTCCAGATAATCTCGCGACCAAGCTCAAAGCCATCCACGCCGTTCATCGCCCCAGCGACCCCCCAGAGCAGTTCGCCCAGCGCCTGCGGTTGCGAACTCGGGAAGCAGAGGACAAGACCCCGCGGCCAGGAAAGTGGGTCGCTCTCATCTGCCTCAAAGCGTCGGGCAAAGAGGCTAGAGCGTGGCCGAAGAGTGAGGAATCGAGTCTGATAACTCCTATGCTTTCGACGGGGGAGGGGACGGGGTGGGGAGCTGAGAAGGAGGAGTGGGCTTGGACTGGGTTTCATAACTGAGGAAGCGGGGGACCGAGATGGCCAAGGGGGAGATGAGAATGAGGGAAGGAGTGAGATTATGGCGCAGTGACGAGGCTCTGAGATCAAAACTTGGTGGAGAGAGTGGATAGAGCGAGATTACCGAATCCCATGATCGTTCCCACGATATAAACACAATTTCTTTTCCCCATCTACCCTTAGAAAATCTCAAACCCATTCCAAAACAAATACCCCACCACCGCCGCTACGCTCACTAGCGCGTACAGCAGGTCCATCTCCACTACACTCCACACCCACACCGTCCCAATCGGCGGCGCCGTCTTCATGACATAGTAATACCCATTCATATTCCCCGAATACACCAGCCAGCACCCCGCCCCCACACTCGTGGCCAAAAAGAACAGATTCCGCAGCCACGACACCCGCGTCGCCGTCCTCGTATGCAGCAACCACACCGCTACCATAAACACCGGAAAATTCGTCAGCGTCCGCGTCGTGATCTCGCGCCACACGACTTCCTCGCGGTACTGGCTGTACACTATCACGTCGAGCGTGAAGTGCAGCATGCACAGCGAGACGGAGTATAGCAGGGCGGTGCCAAAGGGACCGATGGGGTCGTCGTCAAAAGGGGCTTCGCCCGCAGGCGTGTTGGAGGGTTCGTCGGGGTACTTCCCCGGGGTCTGGGCGCGGATCTCGGCCTGCCGTTCGGCGGCGAGGTCGAAGAGGGATTTGCCCTTCGGGCCGCTGCGGTCGGGGTGCGCCATGAGCATCTCGATGCTTTTCTCTGAGATTGTGGGTTCGTGCGTCGTGGGTTCGAAGGGGACGCCGGCTTTCTTTGCGGCGGCGCGGCGTTCTTTGCGATTTCGAGGGGCGTCGGGTTCGGACATTTTGGGAGGGTTGAGGGGCATTGGGAGGGGTTGGGGATGTTGGGTGGAGAGATGTGGTGATGTTGAAAGTTTGGTGTTGAGGCTCTGCGGGAAGAACAAATGCGGAGAAGACCGACGACGTCTGATCTCATTCCCTCCGCAACTCCACTGTTGTCTGCCTCCGCGAGGGCATTGGGACCCCAAAGAGCTCGCAGATATGAATTGGGTCACATGGGCATCCGTCCCAATTCTCATCTTCGGCCTATGGATCTACACAGCACAACTCAGCCAGTCCTTTCCCACGCTGAAGGGAAAGCGGATATGCCTCTTAATCGCCCACCCGGACGACGAAGCTATGTTCTTCGCGCCTACACTGCTTGCGCTGGCGAAGCCGGAATTGGGAAATCACATCAAGATACTGTGTCTGAGCAGTGGTGCGTCTCGGATCCTATACACGTGAAGTTGAATCAATGGGCTGATAGCTATGGCATAGGCAACGCAGACGGCCTCGGCTCAATCCGCAAGAAAGAGCTCATAAAAAGCGGTCTCCAGCTCGGATTACGAGGAGAAGACGACATCCTCATAATCGACGACCCGTACACTCCCCCCCCTCTCCCCTCCCTCCCTCCTCTCCTCTCTCCACCCACCCTTCTAACAACCCCCACAGAAACTTCCCCGACTCGATGACCACAACCTGGCACCCGCGCCTCATCGCCGACCTCCTCACGCAAATGTTCGCCCCCGGCATGTCCCGCACCCCCTCCACCTCCCCCCCGGTCTCCACCATCGACGTCCTCCTCACCTTCGACCGCTCCGGCATCTCCGCCCACCCCAACCACATCTCCCTGCACGCGGGCGCACACACCTTCCTGCGCGCGCTCATGCACCGGCACGCCGGGTGGACATGTCCCATAAAGCTCTACACGCTCACCTCCGTGTCCATCCTTCGGAAATACCTCAGCGTGCTCGACACCCCCGCCACGATAATCCTATCGATGATGACGGGTGCGCAGAAGCGGGAAGTGGGGGAGTACCCGACGCCCTTATTGTATGTGAGCGGCCCGGGGGGGTATCGGACGGCGCAGGGCGCCATGACGCGCGCGCACGCGAGCCAGATGCGGTGGTTCCGGTGGGGGTGGATTGGGGTGGGGCGGTATATGGTTGTGAATGATTTGGTGCGGGAGAAGACTATATGAATGTGTAGATCCCCAAGCTCGTTGGTGGGGTAGAGACCGGGATATCGTGGATGGAGGGAGCTGCTCGAGACCGCGAGTGGGACACGAGGTCACGTGATTTGCGCAAGTAGTAATGAAAGAAGGAAGAGGCGGATGGCTTAATACGGTAACGCTACGAAGGCATACGAGGTACAGAAAGGAAAAAGCCAATTTCCCATGAGTCGAACGCCTGCAAATGCATAATACAAGCTAGTCATGAGACGACAACAAGCAACAATGAAGCCCAACCCAAACCCCTCTCCAACGCATCCTAACATCCCATCCCTAGATCCAGAGATCTAGTCACCCTTCTTGGTCAACCCCCTTCGTTCGTCACCGTCTGGACTCGCCGGCTCCATGTCCTCGTCATCGCTCCACTTATCGTCTTCACCGACGGCGAAGATGGTGTCGCCGTCCAGACTCTCCCTTGGACGCGCTATCGGCTTTTGTGGTGTGGGCGCCGGTAACGGTGATACGTCGCGATTCGCGCTATGGCGACCCTGTCGCGGGGCGGGGTCGTAGGCAGGTGGATTGCTGGAGGAGCCTTCCTCTTCGTCGAGGGAGTCGCGGAGGGATGCGATCTCGAACCCTTCGTCGTCTTGGGCAATCTGGGAACTCGTTAGAAAACCGATTTGATAATTTCGGAGTCAAGCTTACCTCATCACTCATGGCAAATCGCCTGTTGTTCGCCGTTGGTCGCCAGATGTAGGCAACGAAGCAGACATCCCCCAGATATACCAAATTGAGCCATCCATCCAGAATGAACCATCGAGTTTGCCAGTGGGTAGGAGCAAAATCTGGGCTTCGAGCGCCGGCAAAGGTGAAGCTATTGATGAAGAAGAATCCAAAAATGACAATAATGGAAGTCAAGATGCACCACCAAAGTCTCTTGTACATCATAGCTTTGACGTGTTGTTTCCTGTCCGTGAGGTCCTTCATCGTCATGTTGAGAGAGTTCAGGGTCCAGATGTAGAATGCCGTGAGGGTGGCCGAGAGAGGAAGAATGACAAGGAGGACGAGAGGACCAGCATCATCGGGGTGGATGGTAAGAGATGCAACGGCGTAGACAACACCGAAGACAAAGTGTGCGACGGCCAGCCACCTTACGATCGTCATGGTCTTTCCTAATGAGGGCTTAACCACTCCGTAGCCCATGCAGACAATCAGCAACAGGAAGAACGAGAAGGAGTTCCGGAAGGCATTGAGAACAGCGACAATAATCATGAGCACCTTTGCTCCGACATTGTCTCCATGGCGATTCCGGTAGTCATAGAAGCCCCAGGTCATCAACATTTCGGCGACTAAGAAGACAATGATGGCCGTGATGTAATTTTGGACCGCCAGAATGTCACTCCTGTTCTGGAAATATAGAAATCCCCAGAAAACCCCAATGACGGCGTATAGAATTGTGATTCCTCCGTAAAATGGCAGCTTGGCAATTTCTGCCGCTGGAAGCTCTCCGTAGGCGTTCCGGAATTCCAAGACGGCAGTGTATTCCTGTCCGTCGATGTATGGAGCTGTAGCAACGCAGTAGTAGCCAGTCCGGAGGAACATTGTGGTTCCGGCATCGCTCGCTGTGATGGGGTACTTGATAGGCGCGGGTGCCTTGAGGTGTACAGCATCTGTCCTGATGAAGTTCTTCGACACGGTGGCCGCGTTGTCTGCGAGGATAAACTCGCCTTTGTGAGTCGCATTACAGAGGTTATCCTTGATCGTCTCGTCGTTGCAGATGAATTTTTGCTATGCGCCAGAGTGTCAGCCTTATATTCGGGGTCAGACGACTGTCCAAGCCTACCTCGTCCGGAGGAGCGCCGGGCGGCTTTCCAATGAGATCTGAATCCTTCCATTCCCATATCACTATGCTCACGAGCGGGTCCGCAGCGTCGTCTCCTTTTGTGTCGGCTTTTATGAACTTGACGAGGATGAAGGGTTCCACGTTGCCTCCCCAGGACTTCTTGCTGTACATGCCGGAGCATTTTTGGGTATCGTCTTGCGTCTGGAATCGTCAGCAAGAGCGTCTAATAATAAGAGGAACCCTTACAATCTTGATTTCAACAGCATTCGCAAGTGCTATCGTCGCTAATAACACCGCGAGGAGCTGTGTCCATCGACCCATCTCGGCAGCAATTGCAGCCGTCGAGGCTGTGGTTCAGCGCACGCGTACGACAGCAGTATTCGAAAAAGAGCTCCTCGGAGGTTCCGGGAGACAGCAGAGGGTTCTGCGGCGAGCTGGATTGGCGATGATCGTAATGTTGGTGTTGTCGTGGCCGCATTGTCTGTGATGCAGCCGTCTCCTGCGGCCGGCAAGTTCCGCGCCTCAAACTTCCGCGCTGCGCCGCCCACCTAAAATACTCCACCACGTCGCATTAGAAGAGGCACCAACATGCCCGGTAAACACGTCCCGCAGGACGCAGCTGCGGCTGGACAGCTTTGCAGGCGCTGCAAGACCTCTGAAGCTAGCCTTGTCGTGCGAACTGAGCCACTGTGCAGGTATACATATGCATTGAAGATATTCTATATACATTCACTAAGCCGGACTAGGGACTGCTTCATCAGATATGTTAGCACAAAAGCCGTGAAACGAATGGAATCATTCCGAGTCAGACATTCCACCCCAGACCAGACCCGGAAGCTACTCCTCCCCATGTCCTTCGGAGTCTCATCAGTCACGTTACTCCACATCCTCGACTACCAGCTCAAGAACCAAACCGCCAAGACCGGCCGCACCGGCTTCCAACTCCTCGTCGTCCACATAGACACCTCCGCCGTCGAACAAACCGCCCCAAACCCATCACTCATCTCAAACCTCCAAGCCCGCTTCCCCGACCACTCCTACGCCGTCCTCCCCGTCAAAGACGTCTTCGAAGAAACCACATCAGATGCCAAGCCTCAAACATCCGGCCAGCCTGAAGAGCAAGCAGAACCCCACGCAACCTCTACTTCCTCCCACCTCTCCACGCTCCTCGCCTCCCTCCCCTCCGCCACCGCCCTCGCCGACACCATCACCACCCTCCGCACCCGCCTCCTGACCGCCTACGCCGCCGCCCACGCCTGCGAAGCCATCCTCTGGGGCGACAGCACGACCCGCCTGGCCGAGAGAACCCTCTCCGAGACCGCCAAAGGCCGCGGCTTCTCGCTGCCGTGGTCCGTCGCCGACGGGCCCACCCCCGGCGGGATCATGTTCAACTACCCTCTCCGCGACCTGCTGAAAAAAGAACTACTCTCACACGCCGAGTTCGTACGTCCACCATTGACGGAGGTTATGTTTGAGGAAAGTAAGACGGGGGTAGTATCGACGAGTTCCAAAACCACGACGATCGACGACCTCATGCGTGCGTATTTCGAGTCCGTGGAGGAGAACTACCCGAGTATCGTAGCGAATGTGGTGCGCACGGCGACGAAGCTGGAGCCGGCGGGGTTCGAGCAAAGCGATGCACGGTGTCAGTTGTGCGGGATGCCGGTGCCGGAGGGGAGGTTTGGGATCCACGGGTGGGGCGGGGATCAGCATGATGCTCAGGGGTTGGAGGCAGGTGTGCAGAAGGAGGGGCTGTGTTATGGGTGCACGCGGTCAGTGCCGAGGGGGGTGGGGTTGCCGCCGTGAAACGATGCGTGGTGGTCGTTGAAAGAAAGCCAGGCGATTGCCGTTCTGGTACCAAAGCGTAACTGAGCGCCCCCGCCCCGGCGCCGGACGTTTGCGCAGGTACATCTGCACCACCGCAAACAGACCCGCGGGCTAGAGGCATGGCGGAGTGCCGACGAGCACGAACACAGCACCCCCTCCGTCGTATGGTGATGGCGCGCCCGTCGGAGAGAGAAGAAGGGGCGGGACGAGAGCGGATGAGAGGAAGGAGGGAGGGAAGGAAGGAAGGAAGGGGAGGAGACGAGATGAAGTTAGATATACGAGATAATAATTGCAGCTGAACTACTCTTTTGTTCCTAAAACCCCAAAATCCCGCTATGCCCACCCTACCCTACCTACCTAACCGCTAAACCAGAAAGCAGAAAACTAACCCACGCACCAAAAACTAGCCCTAACCTAGCCTACACACCAACAACTCGTCCACCCCCCTTCCCTCACCTCCTCCCCACCCCCTTCCCCCTGGCCACATCCTCCAAAAACCCGAGCAAAAACGCCTTATCATCCCCACTCGCCTTCTTCTGCGGCTGCATCGGCGCCACCTTCTCCGCCTTCTCCTTCCCAAACACCCCCTCGCCCCCAGCACCACCACCACTAGCACCCGTCTGCTCCCCAATACTACTAATCCGACTCCTGCCCCCATTCGCCGGACTGCCCTGCACGCCTCCACTCCCCAACGCCGGGCTCACAGGACTGATAATCCCCGAGCCCACCACGCCCAGCACATGCGGCGAGAAGTGCGCGTGCGGCGTCGCGGGCCTGCCCGCACCCGCACCAGCACCCGTCGCCGCAGGTTTAGAAAACAGGGAAAGCAGCGCGGATTTCTGGTCGTGGGGGAGGGAGTCGCGGCGGTCGAAGCCGCCAACGCCAAGCGGCGCTTGATTCTGCGTCTGCGTCTGCGTCTGCGTCTGACGAACTGTGGTGCCAGAACTACTCGGCGGGTTCGGCGGTGGACCCGGCGAAGGCGTGGCCTGTGGGCGGCGCAGGATCGTGGGGTGGAAGCCTGCGGGCTTGGGCGCGAGGATGTGTGTTTTCGGGGAGATGGGGTGCGTTGGGGAGGCTGCAGTGGCGGGGCTGGCGGTGGAGCGGGGCGGGCAGGGGAGGATGGAGATGGGGGGGCCGCTGGGTTTCATTTCGGGGGGAGGGTGGGGGGAGGCGGAGGCGCTGTGGCTGAGCGGGTGGCCGTTGGCGTCTTTGCCGTGCTTGAGGGTTGCGAAATCCGGAGCGTTGAGAGGGCCGGAGACGGTGGCGGAGGTGAGGGAGGGTTTGCGGGGCTCGTGGGCGGCGATGTTGAGGTGTGGGAGGGACGATGGGATCATGGGCTTGCTCCTGTGCCTAGGGTGGCCGGGGGTAGGGTGCGCTGCGAGCTCGATCGGCTCCCCGGATAGATTTGTGGGAGTGGTGGGCGCAGGAGAGCCAGCTGAAACGGATCCGGCACGGAAGAGATTGAGGAGGGAATCCTGGTGCGCATTTCGTGGTTTGGGTGCTACAGGTGCGAGCGATGGAGATTCGCCGCTGAAGACGGTTCGTGGCGATTGGAGCACTGGAGAATCGACTATGTGACGGATTGGTGCCGGCTCTGGAGCTGGTGGTGGAGCGGCTCTCTGCTTCATACTTGTAGTACCGTGGACTTCTGATAGCTGCTGAGTTTGAGGAGTAGTCTTTAGGATACTGGGTGACTTGAATGCGTTCAGTAGAGACAGGCTGTGAGCAGTAAGCTTGGGTGGTGGCAGCTTCGAAGCAGGCGGGATAACAGGTCCATGCAATCCAGGCAGTTGTGGAGGTTGCGCGAATTGAGGATCTCCAGTGCGCTGGTAAGGGCGTGGCGCATCGCGTGTGAAGTTTGGCTGGATGTTCGGGCCGTGAGTATTGAATATTGGATGTGCAGCACTCGAGGGAAACGGCGGAGGCCGATATCCAGGCGGAAACATGCCCTGCTGGCTGAATGGAGGATGTTGGTCATTGGGTCCAGGTGTAAAGCCTCCAGACTGCGGTCGTGGTGGCTGCATATGCTGCGGAGGTGATAGTGGGAACTGTGGAGGAGGCGGCATATGTGAGAAATGAGGTGGTCGAGGATGCTGATGATGAGGTGGCGGAGATTGATGAGTTGACTGAGATACCTGCTCGAAAGGCGTTTGAGGAACAGGCGGAGCCGTAGGAGGTCCATTTCCCCTGAGAATAGCCAGCAGAGGATTTATTGGAACTTCTTCTGGAGGAGACACCACCGGCTGACCTGACGGTATTGAGCCTACTCTCAAGAGGCGCTTCAGATCTTCTGCAGGGTCGGATATAACTTGCGGGCCGACAGAGACCTCAGGAAGGTTTTCTGAAGTTCTGTGTCCACGTCCAAGATTGGCCAACAGCTGACCGAGGTTGTCTTCTGGACGTTCTCCATTCAAAACTTGTGGTCCCTCATCTGCTGTCAGCTCGCCCATATGGGCAGTAGACTCTTCCGCCTCCGTTTCTGTGAAGTCTGTTTCGACGGGAGGAGCGACAGGGGCCGGTTTCGACGCCTTCAGCTTGTCCTGTTTCTTCTGCTTGTTTATCCAAGCTCTTAACGGTCCGAGGAACGGGGCCACCATGTAAAACATGTTATCCTTGTATACGTCCTCTCCGTTCCCCTGCACGTGCTGTGGATTTTGGCCTTTCCGTTTGAGTGTCGGCAAGTCGGAGAGCTTATACCAGTCGATTTTCTACGCCAAGTCAGTATCCCGTTCCACCCAAACGACAACTGGCCCACATACACTAATCTCCTTCCTCGTCCGCGGCGCAAAGTAGGTATCCATTGGCACACCCCGAAAGACATACAAGCGCATATGTTGCTCCCGCATTGACACTTCAATGTATTTCATATCAGCCTCATCTTTCACAAGCCCCGCCTCTTTGATCTCAAATCCAGTCTCCTCGTAGACCTCGCGTATAGCGCAATCCAGATCCTTCTCATCCTTGTTGATCTTGCCGCGGGGGAAACTCCACTTCGCACCCTTCTTCCATCCCTTTACTAATACCGCTTGGTCCATAGCGTCGTTCAACATTATGGCGCCACGCACGGGAACGCGGGTCTTGTACGCCAGGAACTCGGAGTAGGCCTGGGTGTGGTGGTACTCGGAGAAAGCGGAGAGCAGCGGACAGTGCTGGAATATGAGGAGGCAGAACTTTTTCAAGTTCATGGAGGGAAGCTGGGGGTCGAGTGGGCGGATAAAGTCTTCGTAGAACCATTGTGCTTCTTCGACTTGGAAGCAGATGCGCTCGACAGATTCGAGTTCTTCTTGGGGGAGGTTGATGATGAAGCGGACGCATAGGTCGTCCAGCCCTGGTTGAGATTGTCAGCGAATTGCATACTGCAGAATTATGTGACAAATATGAAGGTGGAGAAACATTGCGATTGCGTGTTGACAACCTGTTTGCAAGTCGCGCGTGGTGGGATGAAGGGTGCTAAAGCGCAAACATGAAGTTCTGTCCACAGCCAGACTCATCGCCGGAGACTAAGATATGGAATGAAATCCGACTTACAATCAACTAGCCTCATCTTTGTATCTGCCATAGTGCCCAGTGTCTCTATGCATGTCCTCTCAGCGGGCAGCTGTCGCAGTCGTGGCAGCTCACCCGGCAAGTTTCCTGGTCTAGAACGCGGGGGATCAGCGAAGAAGCTCACAGCCACGCAAGCAGCTAGGTTGCATGTCACGAGGCGGGGACGGACAGCTGGCGACGGTAGAGTTTGCGTCTGGTGGTGAGGCCGCGATGGCCAAATACGAGACCTGCGCCACTGGAAGGTGGCTGTGTCGGTGCCAAGCGCATTGCGGGATGCTTTGAAGGCTAAATAGACAAGAAAGTGCCACAATTCCAGTGCTGCCGTCGGCCGTAGTGTGGCGAGTGACGACGCAACATGAGACGAGAGCGATCGATGACGGCAGGGTGCAGCAAGCGGGAAGGCTCACGCTGTTTTCATAAATCAAGGCACCGCTCACGTCGACCCAGCGTCTGCTATTAATTGCTTGCCTGTCCTCGCGCGCTGCATTTCCTCACTGTTCCTGTCGGCTTTGGTCCATTCGCTGTCTATTTCCAGCCCACCGCGCGCTTCCCCGAGACGCCCGTTTCATAATTGAGGAGGTCGCGAAACCACCGCCAACCACGACACCTTCATCCAAAACTCCGTGCATTGAGCCAGCCGGACCACGAAACACGTCCTCCGGCAGCTGGAATACAAAAGTGCTGTTTGCCGCTGTTTAGACTCTTGATCTAAGCATCTGTTTTCTCCACTACCTCCTATCTCGCAAACGCAAACACACATTCCATCCATCCCTTCCACCCATACACCACAGCCATGACTTCCGCAATCGGCAAATACGCTGCAAGAAAGCTGCTGAAGGGCCAGTTCGAAAAATACAAGAGCAAATCCGTCAAAGGCGATAAGGTACGTTCTCTCTCACAATTACCAGATATGGCAATCCACTCGCATCCTTCCATCATCCACGAACACAATGCCTCCCAATCATGACCGCAACATCTTAACTAACATACTCTGCTTCCAGGACCCCTACTTCGCCACCGTAATCAACCCCCGCACCGGCAAAACTAAGAAAGTAAAGAAGCAAGTCCCGGACTACATCCCCGAGCACGACGCCCTCATCCTGGCCAAAGTCCGCAAGCGCGCCTACACCCTCGACTACTCCCTCTTCAACTTCTTCGGCATCCGCTTCGGCTGGTCCTCCGTCGTGGGGATTGTCCCCGCCGTCGGCGACGCCATCGACGGCTTCCTCGCTTGGCGCACTATCATGCTATGCAAAAAAGTCAATTGCGGGATCCCAACGACTACTCTTATGCTCATGTACTTTTTACTTGCTTTAGATATTTTGATCGGGCTTGTGCCGTTCGTGGGCGATCTGGCGGACGCGGCGGTCAGGGTCAACTCCGAGTGTCTGAGACTGTTGGAGAAGCGATTGGATGAGGTGTATAATCCCGAGGAGAAGATGAGGCCGAAGGATAGGCCGAAGGATCGGCCGCAGCCCGCGACCGTGTACGAGGACTTTGGGGATTCTGATGAGGAGGGAAGGGAGAGGCAGTATAGTGGCGATGGAGGTGTTCAGCAGCCGCAGAGGGCGAGGAGTAGCAGAAGAGAGAGGCAGCCGGATCTGGAGATGGGACAGGTGCCCTCGAGGAGCGGGACTAAGACCAAGAAGGATAAGAAGGACCTGAGAGGGACTGCGGGGCGGGATGGACCTGTGCGGACGGGAACGCATGGGAGGTGGTAGATTTGCGGCCTTTGTTTCTTTGCTCTTGGAGTTCTTTCTGATACGTCCTGAGAGCTGGCGTTGGCGGCGACCATCCACAGCCCTTCCTCTTCCTTTAGCACAGCGGGCGTTGCAGTGACGACGTTCTCTTCCCTAATCGTACTCGTATTAATCATCCTTATATCCACACCCATTCGGCTTCCATAGGGTAGAACTAAGAAGACTGCAAAAGTATCAAATCATCCTTCGTTTCCGACCTATTCATCCATGAGAGATACCGAATATATACTGGTCACGTACCTTTCATCCACATTTTACTGTCCCCGTGCTACCCTCAACCACTCTAGAACCAACCAAAAACAATATCTACTCCACTCTTTACCATCTCGCAATCACACAATTGACGCTACCTGTACCTGAGCAGCTCCACCGATACCCGAGCAGTATACCCCTCATCACATCTTTCCCCAAACTAATTGGCGCTTTTCTGGCAAAGACCCGAGGGTATCCTTTCATTGTACGTATCATCGGCCATACTCAGCGTGGTCTTAATCCGTGTCCAGTTATTAGAATTCGTGTAGATATCAGAAAGAATCTGCCGTGGGGTTAGGAGCACGCGCGTGAGTGGAGGGAGATCCCTGCTAAGTTGCCAAGATGCAAGAATTATCCAGGCGGGCGTGGCGGGCAAGGCTTAGCGTGATAAATCAGTGCTGAGAACACAGTGAACATCTAGAAGATTTACGACGACCTCAACACAATCCTAACACTAATCACCACTTTTTGTCTTTACTATCAGCTTCTCATCTCATCACCTCCAATGACGCTACTGCCGACCTTGCCGCCTGACCTTTGATCTGAAACAGCATTGCAGGGGGCACGTTGACAGGCGCTTAGCCACAGGGCCGAAGAACCCTAAACAGCACAACTATGTTGGTTTGCAGGCCGTAGCATCTGAACATTGATAGAACGCCACGAAAGTCAGCTGCAAAAAGGGAATAATCTAGAAAATAACGCCTCGCGGTACATCCAGATGCTGCACATGAAAGCGCCCTGTTTGCTACCGGCAGTGATTGCTGTAAGTGATTGTCATAATCCAACAAACTACGCCGCACGCCTGCATGATGTCTCAGCCTCACTGCAGGATGGGTGTCTTATACAGCTCGATCTTCTCCCTTTCTTTGCTCCCTTTGAGTTCCCTTCCGTCTTGATCCCCAAGTGGTGTCTTTCAAGTTTTGCTCATCGTCATGTTATTTCTCGTTTTCACTTATTTCTTCGTTTCAAAAGCCCCATTATCTTCCGCGCATCCCTTGGTAGACCCTCGAGGCTCCCCCAAAAATACCACCGATGCTGCGAATATCACGTCGGGCTGGGTGAGCACCCCAAATGTACGAGGGACGGCCAACATCCTGATATCCAGCCTCACAACTCTTGCTTTGTGTGCTTGGACAGCATATCATCCAAACGTCCACCCAAAGAGAAGCATTTGGCACACGTCGATCCGCCGGCTAAAATGGATGCTCGCGGCCATTTTCATACCCGAATGGGTTCTCTACTGCGCATGGAGCCAGCGCTACACAGCCGAAACCCTCAAAATCACTTTGAACAAAATCCTTGCAGACAAAGCTGCTGCCGCTAGCGTGGACGAAGGCGCTGATGCTGAAATCGCACCGGGAGTCACGACAGCCCCAGCGCAAAAACCAGCTCCCAAGCAGACCGTCGAAAAATGGACGACCGAAGCCGCCTTCTTCGCCACCAGCGGCGGGTTCGCTGTCCACTCTTCCACCTTCTGGCCCACGCCCATCCTTACCTTCACGCCGGATGGGCTCCTGGCGCTCGCGAAACTAAACTTGTTACCCGTCCCCGCGGTGACTATGATGGACAAAAGCAAAGCCGATACCGGCACCAAAATCCTCGTGTGTCTGCAAGCGGGCTGGTTCCTGCTGCAGACCCTCGCGCGGTTGGTGCAGCACCTGCCCGTGACGTTGTTGGAGATCCATGTGCTGGCGCATGTGGGGTGTGCGTTTGGGATGTATTGGTTTTGGTTGCGGAAGCCCTATGACGCGGAGTATCCTATTATTTTGGAAGACGAGCGAATACGAGATCTAGTTGCTTTGTGGGTTGTGACTGTTGATAAGGTATGTAAAACCACGAATGTGTGGGGATAAGGAGGTAGTTGCTGACTTTCGGTTAGGACGAGAGTGTTGACATTGGATTGATTCGCCGCAAGCAGTCTGATTTCATTTATTTCCAGAGCCGGCGAACGCGGTGGGCGTACTCGGTAAAGCGAGCTCTTGACGACTATAAGTCCACTCCAGAAATTCCAGGAGCGAGGTGGACTGATGATGGGTGGTTCAAAAAGACGTTTCCCCAGCTAGCTACGCCACCGATACAAGCGAGGATGGAACAGCAACTCCTTCGTATGAAGAGAGCGTTGGCGAGTCTGGATAATTCCGTGGAAACGACAGCATCAAGCGACGATGCCAGGGACGTACCATCAACCCCCCCATCTCCAGCACCTCCCCCCAGCACTCCTCCACAACCTGATGTCTCCACAACTCCACCGTCTCCTACCCCGTCTCCTACCCGGTCTCCTACCCCGTCTCCTACCCCGTCCCCAAACCCGTCCTCAAATCCATCCCCAAATCCATCACCACCTCCCTCCCCTTACCGCCCTCCCCACTCCATCCGCCGCTCAAACGTCCACACCATCTCCCTCTCCAACGACATCGACGACCTCTTCGTCGTGCCGCGCCGCACCAACCACGTCATCCAAGGCACCGCCACCCTCTTCACCTCGTCCCGCGACGAGCTCATCAACCGCTCGAGCTCTTACCTCGCCGCCGCCGTAATGGGCGCCTGCTACGGCGCCGTCCACCTCGCCGCCTGGAACGCGCACTTCGCCACCCCGGTCGAGAAGTGGATGTGGCGCGCGTCCGGGCTCGCCTTCGCCGCTTTCCCCGCTGCGACGACGATGGGGCTGCTCTGGAATTTAGGGACGCGCCCAACGACGATATGGTCCTGGCCTGGTGTGACTTGGGTCTTTGACGCGCTCTGGGTGTCGTTCATGACGATGGATACGTTTGTGTTGCTACCCGCGTATATGGGCGGGAGGGTGTTTGTGGTGGGCGAGTGTTTTGCGGGGTTGCGGAGTGCGGTGGATGGGACGTATAGGACGGTGGGGTGGACGGGATTTGTGCCGCATGCGGGGGGTGGGTAGTGGGGGGTTTTGGGGAGTTGAGAGGGGAGGATCGAGGGCTTGAGGGCTTCGGGAGGAAATTTCGATGATAGATGACGGTGGATTTGTTGAGGACGAGGCGCGGGGTAGGTTGAGAAAGGCGGCGTCAACACATCTGGTCATGATTAGAGGCTGGTGGGTAATACGGGGATGCGACTTTGAATCATTATAGACCCCACACTAGTTATCCAATGTTTCTTACGCTTCCTAACCCGAGTACTAAAAACCTCTACCCCTCTTCTCCTCTCTTCTCCTCGAATGATCTTAACGAATCCGCCCACGACCTCCACCCGTTTGCGCTTCGATATCTGCACTCTAGGAATAAGGTTGAGGAACTGCTGGTAGTGGCATGTCTGAATCGTCTTCTGGGTTGACATTGTCGTCGAGTCGCTCATCGGTGTAGCGCGAATCGGTCGGCAGGGGGATTTCACCGTTGTAGGATGGGAGGGGGCTAGTTGGTTGCCGAGGGAGATGGTAGAAAGGGGTGTATGCCGCGCTGAGGAGGGCAAGAAGCCTAGGAGGGTTAGCTTTCGGCGGGTATGGCAGGTATTTAGCTGAAAAGTGGAGAACACTAGGGTGAACGAGAAGGGTAGAGGGAGTCATTGGCGAAGTAGAAAAGCCTGTGAACTTATGAGAGTAGCAAGCAAACCAGTCGCGGACATAGCGCCAGCACGAGGCATCTATCATGCGACAGAAGAAGAAAGCAGAGCACTACTTACCAATGTGCCACATTTAACCACCCAATTATCTCCCAGAACATATTGCTGTACCCCACCACCTCCGCAATCATCATCCGCATTCCCCGCGAAAAAATAGCCGCCACCACAAAAGGAAGATATACCACGAGCAGAGCTGTCACTCGGTATCCCTGCAGCCTTCCATACCATCGCCGAGTCAGAGTCCTCGCACCCAGCGCGCGTCGTTCGAGAGAGAGAATATAACCGGTGGATATCGAAGAGAGGATGTACGGCCAGAGGAGGGTAAAAGGGGAGGTTATGCTAGCGACGAGGAGCGCGTAAAGGGAGAGAAAGAAGAGGAAGGGCGCGGGAAAAGTAAGAAGGAGGGAACTTGCGTGTAGTATTAGGTGGAGATAGGTGGTGGAGGCGTGAGTAAATGTGTGAGGCATCTTGATGATTGCGTCAAATAGAGAGACGGGCGAAACCCTCAACGAAAATTTAAAGCACAGATGGACGTAAAGGCGGTATGATTCGTCGATGTCTGGAAGCTGAAAGCCGCGGATTCAACCCGAGATGCGAGAGCGGAATGGGTACCTTTCGCAGGCCTAACAGTAAATTGAGGTGGTAGAAAGATGATCGCCGCGTTATTTATGGCTGCGTTCCGGATCGTAAGCCTATGCTTGTATTTGACGTCGGTTGCCGTGTTTTCGGTCCCAGGAAATATTGGAGAGTCCGGGAAGATGGTGAGGGAAGAGACGACTATAGCGGATTTCGCAATGCCAAGACCTAACAGCGGTAACGTGCGGCAACGACGCGTACCCCTTTGACTAAGTCGTAAGCTATCCAGGGTGATGCCGCAATTGAAAGGTGAAGTAGGCGTCTTTGCGGATTTCCAATGTGCCTTGTGCGGTGCCCCTTATGCAGCGCCTTATGCATACGCTGAACTAGACCGCCTTGGAGGAAGCAGATCCTAGGGAAAACGGGACGGAGCGCGGCGGTGTATCTAGGCGAGTCATGCGTGATTGATCCTCTGAACAATCCTGCAGGAACTTTGAGCGCAGATTGGTGGTCAGTGTTTTATCGTGCGCTTGTGCTCATATACAGCTGTTGCTTTGAAGGATGTTCAAGGTCTTGAATCAGATCTTCGCAATTTTAATGAGCTACGGCGGAGTGAGGATCAGTAGGATGATCTATTCAACTCGAGTCTAGTATATATGAGACAAGATTCAGTCAATCCTATCATCTAAACTGGGCAAGACATTCTTATCTTTTCGGTAAAATGTGCACCGACACTGACGATTGGCTGAAGGGGATACAGACATCCTACTCACGTGGAAATATATTCATATATCATTATTTCAGGAAGCAAAGGTGTTGAGCGAAACAAGCGACAACAAAAGATGACACAGGGAAGGGATGGGCGGAAAAGGACAGCTGCAAGTCGTCGTCATGGAGTGGTGCCAGGCCGAGATCCGGCATTCCTTATCCCGACGTCGACCCCCCTTCAACACTACTAAAACGAGGCGAAGGCGCCTTCTGCGATGCGCGCTTCGATCGAATCGAATAGACTACTCAATACAAGTGTTCAGAATCAGCTGCCCTGATTGCTTGCTTGTTTGCGCCTTCTAGGGCTGTCCATTAGGGTAGTAGGCTAATCATTTATGAGAACGCATTCGCTCTCTTCCTAGGCAGCATCTTCCTTATTTCTCTCACCTCACTCGTATAAGGGCTCTTGCTCACGTTGCGTCAATCTCGCAGCCACCCCAAGTTCAGGCATGGAGGCCCAAATCTCTCTACCAACGGCCACCTCTGGACTCTCACGATATCAAGTAAACTTCTGGGTCAGAAAACAGTCATCTGAACCTTAGGTTAATCCATAATGTGCCTCAGGAATCACCGTCCAAATGCTTGCCCTTTCTCCACCGATGTCACTTAGCAGCTTGAAATTTCTTGACTGGAAGTTATCACACATTCAATCCAGAGTGAGTTTCTGCCTCCGGCAAGTCAGCTGATGAGGACAAGAACGATCCTGATCTGGAAACCCTTCGCTGCCTCATCCCATGACTCCAAGACGACAAAGTTCCGCTCAATATTCGTTACATTAGTTTCAGTAACACTCAGGAAGGCTACGATTCAAGGTCTGGACAAAATATCAATCTACTTCGTCCTGGTGTCGAGGCGGAATTGATGAACGACAGTCTTGCAGCATGCCTGTAGGAAGCAGGAGTTGAGGTAGTGATTAGGAACCTCCAACTCTCAAACCTCCACACAAAACTGTCGTCGCTAACATCACATATCATACGTCTTAGTTTGCTGTAATATTCGTCGCGGCAAAGGGCTTGCTATGAATCCTGTCGCCCTTTGGCTCTCTAGTGGAGCTTCAGCAGGCATGTCCTAGTTTGATAGCTTCATTGGTACAATCATCAGACCGGCCTTTGGCCACTCCTATATAACAAGACAAACAACTTGCATACCTGTCGAGGTGAAGGTAATTATGATCAGATGATTGCGAGGCCGTGGATCAGAGTACACCTACGAGAGAGGATCGTGGAGTTGCAGGCACATGGGAACACTCGCGGGAACGTTGTCAGGGAGTAGCGGTGAGGGCCACGGCAGGCACGTGTCACCTCTTGTATATAGCCTCACCTTCTACGTTCACTTTGTCCACCAGTGTAAGTTCAAGCACTTAAACAGTGACTTGGGGCCTATCCCTTGGAAGTCTAGAACATTTTTATTGAAAGCTCACAAGTAGCTTGTTCTTCATCACCAACGCCATCAACAACCTAACATACCACCACCACCACCACCGCCACCACCGCCCGCACCATCTCTACAATTGCCGCCAACATTGCCTTCACATAGCCGCCTGGACATAGCTGATATTGCCTTCGTTTCTTCTATTTGCATCATCTTTGAAGCCACGACGCATCGCAACTATGAGCGCCAATCACCACCAGACTACGACTATCGAGGGCTTGCCCGACGAGTTGCTCACCGAGGTCATGTCCTACTGGCACAGCAGGCAATAAGGACTACCACAACCGACATCTAAGGGATTATGCCCTTGTCTCCAAGCAGTTCGCCAGATGCACGCAAGATGTCTTATTTCGAAATGTCAACCTCATGCTTGACCTTCGTCCCGCGAAACACCATGCCGCATCGCTTTTTCAAACTCTCCACGCGAAGCCTGGTCTCGCAAACCGTGTTCAGAAGCTGAGCGTGACGACGTACGCTACCCAAAAGCGTAACCGTACATGGCGTGCGAAACAATCCGCATGGGCTGAGCTACTAGAGCATGTCAATGGCATGAATCTTCCAAGACTACTCTAGCTCGCCGGGATACAGAAGAAACAGTTCGTGGCCCTGCTTGCGGGTCTTCTTTCCCTCGTGCCGGGCCTGCAAGAGCTCCGGTTGGAGGTGGACCTGCGAGCCGTCCTGGGTCTTTTACCCAAGCTAGCTCAAATCCCCACGAGGCCAATTTTGAATTCCCTCAAGTTCCTAGAAGTAGGAGGCGGTGGCGTTGAAGACCACAGCATTATACGCACTGGTCTATTAGTCGCCGGACGGCAACACGACGCTTCTTTGCTGTGTTTTCCCTCGCTGCAGAAGCTCTGCATCAAGAACAATGGAGACGAACTCGACGAACGCTCGAACGTACAGCTCATGCGGTACGACAACATGTTTGCCAACTTCCGAGCGCTTTCGAATATCACAGACGTCTCTATCCAGGGTCAGAGTCACGAATACATCCTCGTGCCATTCTTGTGATCCTTCAAAGGGCTGAGGAGATTTCACTGTGCCGTAAAGGGAGAAGAATCCTTCGCTATAGAAAGACTGCTTCGCAGGCTCCGCATTCATCACGATACTCTGGAGGGTCTCACACTGGACTGGGACCTTGAGCAATTGTCGCCCTCCTTTGCCGACTTTGAAAAGCTCACGCGGCTGGAATTCCGTACAGACGGTTGGTCTCTACCACTTGGACAGCAGCAACCCGAAGATGTCACTTGGCAGATGGTACGAGGTCTCCCAAAATCTCTTGAGTCATTAAGACTCCTTATGTGGTTGTATGTTCATGAGTTGAATCTTTAATGGCAAGGGTTAGAACATGAAAGGAGCGATCCCGATCTCCAACCTTTTAAACATCTGCTTCCTTTGCTTCCGGACTACCTTCCGCATCTTCGGCGCATCCATCTGGTGGATAAGGCCTATGATGAGGACATTGAGGTGACCGATAGCTCAGAATTGTATAGGTTGGAGTTCGACAAAGACAACCTGCAGAGGCGATACGAGAAGGCGGGAGTGGCTCTAGCATACAGATATGAGGTTTTGTTAGAAGACAGGGATCTGAGCTATTGGCCTTGAGCGCCCATATCGTACTTCGTCGCCTTGTTGATTTGGTATGCGTTCTGGGTCAGAGATTCTATTTCTCGTAAAGCGATACAAAACATAGAGCATTCAAGATGTTGTTCCTTCCTCGAAAATTTTCTTAGATATACTAGTGCCCGCGCATAACGAGTTCGAGTCGTATTTGCTATCTCTCCTGATCAAGCCGTGATGACAGCCAGAGTGAACTGCAAGACCGGATCTCCGCCGGCAAGGTAAATTGATTACATATCCAACGCCTTCCTACGAGCCTTCTGGTCCTTTTTGAATGTTCTTTCCAAGCGGATGTTTTGCTTAGCTTCCCTTTGCCTCAAGCATGTCATCCTTGTGTCTAGCGAGCTCGGCGATGGCTCCGCGCTACTCAGAATTCTCTCACTTTGCCCAAACTTTCTTCTTATGCTTTTCAAGCCCTCATATCTTTTCCGCGTCTTACTGACTTAAATCCTCAGCTTTCGACCTTTGCTATTCCACAACCGTGGAATGAGCGTAGAGATCTAATTCAGCCAGAGGATCTCATAGCCATGCGGGTCTGCGGGAGGTGTGATATGATATCGGCAAAGCAAGCCACCCTAGTTAAGCAACTACATAACTTTCATAGACACTGAGAGAATAGTACGAGAGTACAGGGTCTGAATTATGTCACTGACCACACTGCAGAGAGGGTAGGATGGTGTCTAGGGTTACGTGATGTGTATCCCCTTTTTCCAACCCCTTCCATCCTGAGATAGATTTCAGTAGGACTCTATGTCCTTTGGGGAGCCTGTTATGTATCATGAAGTTCTGATAGCTCCACGTGCTTGTGAACGTCTAAAATACGCGCAAAAATGGCCACGTGTTGACGGGGAATGAGCCATGCCACTGATATAGAACTTGAACACGGACGTGCCAAAGGCTGAAAAACTTTGCCATATGATGCTGCATTCCATTCGTATACTTGGGGCCTTCTCAAACACAGGCGATTTGATCTTTCGCAAGATCTGAAGTCGTTTTGGGCACCGAAGCGTAATTCTATGGGAGAATTTTCCCGACCAAGACAGACAGACAATTTTGCTTGAGCCACCTCAAAGTAAGTCAGCGAGGCTCTTAGGGAACAGCTCAAAGTCACTACTAAAGCTGCAGCGTGGGGCTGTCTAGTTACAAGTTGTGACAAAAGGGGCACGCAGAGTGTGAGGGGTAATTGGATGCAGTTCCAAATCCCAACATTTTTTGGTCTGGCATTCCATCACCACTAAAACAGATATGCGCACGAACTGGTGAGAGCTTATGAGGGCCACATAGGAGACAATTTCGCATTCCTCAAGGAAGTGATCCCTTCACCTTGCCATCGGCGCGCCCATGGCGACCGCGGGCGCAGTGAAGCAGCAGACTTGACAGAGTCAACTTCACCTGACGCCACTGACGTCACAGAGCTCATAGAATCCTCTGCAAACTGCTGCCTGGACGGTGGCGTGATCAGGCTTGGCAGCAAAGTTTTGGCTATAAAGCCTCGCCCGCCCCCCAATTTTCCAGCTCTCAACAACCTCTTCCTCCTCCTTCTCTTTGAAAAAATGTCGACTTCTCCCCTTCACCTCATCACTCCTCCACTCTTCGACAGCCTTGACCATCCTTCCTCACTCCAACAACACTCTGCCCATCCATCTCACCCTTTGGATTCGATCTGACTGGATTCTTCTCATGGCGGCCGACACCAAGCCAACCTCACCTGTTCCGCAAACGGTAAGCGTTTCATCTCGTACCATCCTCCCTCCTACCTGTAATGATGAGGACAATCCTTAGACCGAGACCGGCCTTGACTAACTCTCCTGATGGCGCCTATCCTTCATGCATTGCGACAGGACAACCAAAACCTTGAAGTCGTTTGCGCATGTATGATTGGATTGGCTGCCTGACGTTGTGACCTGCTTGGCTAGCACTGATGATTAAAGGACTAATCTTCTCTCTGATTCAAACATGACATGCTTTCACTATCCCTTGCTTAATCTCTTTCACCAATTGGAAGCTAATCATTATTCATCTCAGACCTTCGGCCTCTCGAGCGGTCTTCCACCAATGGATTTTTGGACGACATCCGACATACGACTCACGACTTACGGACTTACGACTGATTGGGGCATGGGGTTTGGGATACGGGAGTTGGGGTTCAAGAGTTGGGAGTTGGAGATGGGACATGGGACATAGGATTGGGGATTGGGTTTGGGGATTAGAGGTATGTGGTTTGGGACGACTTGCACCTCACGACTTCCGACTTACACCACTTACAGGACTTACACCACCCTGGAGCGGGGACTCCTTGGCCTTCCAAGGTTCATTGGCACCAGCATTCCGGGGCCTCTGCTCGGCGGGTCTACCACAGCCTTCATGATCCTCGTCAAATGGGGTCACGTCCTGCAAGCCAATCCTCAGCACAACAGTCCGGCAACCTGTCTCAGGTCCCGGCGCAAGTAGGCGGTTCTTGCAACGTCGCTGTCAACCGGGGCTGCCCAAGGCGTATGGCCGGGAGTGAGGGACGTCCTCCTGTGGGACGGCTCCGGGGACCGGGGCCATGCATGGGTCGGGGACGAAGGAATTTTGAAATGGGGCGGTCTGCTTAGACAACATCCTTCACATCGCGCCGTGTTCCCACTTCCCCTTTCCAATTCTCCTTGCACATCCCTACCCAATCTTTCCCCAATATCTTCTTAAATGTGTGTTCGATGAGGATTTTTCCGAGGCACACCAAATATCAAACATCTACCTTTTTTCATTGATTCTCTCACTTTATGTGGGAAATTGAAGAAGAAACTTTCAATAGCAGATATCAGAGCGTCAAGCATGGAACTCTCTTAATACTTCCGTCGAACCATTAGCAACAGCATGATCATAATTATGCCGAGCCTTCTCAATCCCTACGCAACCCTAGGCGTTTCTCACAGTGCGGATGAGAATGGCATCCGTTCTGCATACCACCGTCTCGCTCTACCCCATCATCCAGACAAGGTACGGTATCAAAAGGAACGATCACACAGCGAAGGAAAGTTCAAGGACATCCAAAACGCTTATGATCTACTTAGCATTGACATGGAGCGCGCAAAGCTCAACCATGTCTTAGTATAAGCGGAGTAAGGCTCGAGCGAACGGCATTCTCCCAGCGCTAGCACGTCTTCCGCTCGGGATGATTTTGACATGTAGGAGTTCTTGAATAGCATCAGAGATACTGATACTCCATGTAATGAGCAAGGCAAGCCCACTCTCCCCATCGTGGATCTCCAGGTCGAGGAGCGCAAGGCCAGCGAGTTCCGTGAGACAGCTGCCGCAGTATTCGCCCGGGCTACAGAGACGAAGGAAAAAGCCCAAGAAGCCGCCGAGGATGCCGGCTGTGAGGTGAGAAAGGGCACATACACAGGCCATCCTAAGAACCACCGCTATCTCCATCCACGGAAGGGTACTGCTGAGTACAGGGCTCACGCCGCGGCGACAGCAGCTGCCTATGGCAAAGCAAAACAGGTCGCGATGATTGCGTGTCAGCGCTATGGTGCCGTTACATAGGATAGAAAAGACGCCACTGATTGCCTCCAAAAGGCTGCAGATGCCTGGATAGCCCTTTTTCGCACCGGCAACTTGACTATAGACCTTGTTTTCGAAGATCCTGCTCTGCAGAGTTCACGGAGGCGCATCGGCCACCATTTCCCAGCGTACCTAGGTATCATACGAGCCACTATCTCTGGATCACGCCCTGCTGTAAACAGCCTTCTTCCAGCTGACACCACTCTCTCCCACAGCGCTTTACGAACACTACCAAGCGCCTCGTCCCCTCGGAGCTCGGAAGTACTATCAGCCGCTCTACCAGTCCCGGTGGTGTGATCACGACACCGACAGCAGCAGAGGCGACTCTATAGTTGCTCACCACGCCGATATCAACGCGACCAATCAACAAGAAGCCGACGCTCGCCAGCGCCGGTATGGGATTCTACGAAGCATGCATGTGCTGAAGCCAATCGCCGACATCAAGGCACTCCAGGAAACTGACTTCTCGCCGTTATTCCTGCAGGCGCCCTTGTATGACGTCCCCTTCACCGCGAACACACCTGACGCGAAGGCGCTGCCCGCACCTTGGGACGGTAACCTTGAGGCTGATCACCTCACGAGCTCGTATCAATGCAAGGCTATGGTCATCGGCGACCGTGCGAATGGCGAGATGAACGGCAATACAATCTGTCAATGGAAAAGATCGCATTTATCCACTATGCCAGCCTTTGACTTGAGAGTCCGCGAGCCCATCGTGGGACGGAAAAACCGGTTATCGATTCAATACATTGATATATGGCGCCGATGACTGCGACATCGACTACCGTGTATTTCGCCGCTATGAGGCCTTGGGTACGGATATGGAAGCCAGCCTCATCCGAGGCGAACGGAAGCTCCCCGAAACACCGTTGACTCTCACCAATGACTACATCAAGATTTGACATCGTAGGAAACGGCTATCCGTATCATCCCAACATCCTCACAAGCACTGAATGTCAGACTACTTTCAGAGCTATCCAGGACGCATCGAAGGCAACATTATACATTCAGCTAAACCTCCACTCTCACATCGAAACAGTGGGTGGATGGACACCAGCTATGGATGCCAGGAAATGGACTGATCCGCCTGTCAATGGGTGGTTTTACGCCATGTACCACACCAGTTATAATGTGTCGGTGGACTCTGGACGTTGGTACGAGGGCTTACAAGCGGAACCGCCACTACCAACCTGGGTGCTTCTCCCAGATGGTGCGCAATTCTTCAGAGTGAACGAGATTGCACATCTCAAGACTCCGAGTGCATGGGAAGCTGCACTCATTCCGGCTCTGCTTCACGAGAGAGACGCCACCTTCAGGCGTATTGGAGGCAGCCTCAACGACGGCGTCACTCACGATGGGACATTCTGGACCGAAGACGGCTATACTTGAACACTCGAAATTCTTCTCCCAGCCAATTCTCTCGCGCCCACGGAAGGGTCGCAGGTATCCGTCAACCTCGAGATGGCTGATGACGAAAGCGGGTCTCGGGCGCCGTGGTCTGGCAAGGTTGTGGAGTCAACGTCTTCGGCCATTCTCACCATCCAGCTCACCGCACCTCCAGGAGCACCTCTGATCTGCAATGGTGAACACAAGATGGTGATCGGCCGCGTGGACGCCAATCGGCAAGCGGATCAATGGATCAACAACGCCGCCCTAGCAATGCGATTCACTTCCGCGTCAGAGAAGCAAGGATGGCTCTCCTTGCGCCGCCTACTTCTCAGCGATAACGCCAAAACTCCTGCAACGCCAACACCATTCATGACGACCGCTCAGCAAGAAGCGGAAGTGGCCAAGTGGAAGCCCTGGCTCTCCACTCAGCAGCAACAAGTGCTGATCAAGGCCTTTTCGTACACGTTCAACCATGTGTCATTCATACTCGGTGACGCAGGAAGTGACAAGGCCGACGTACTTGCAATGACTATCACCCAGTGCATGTACAGCGGCATTCGCGTGCAGCTCCTGGCACATGGCAATGCGCCACTCGACGAAGCCATGATGAGAGTCAAGGCTATGACGAGACGGCAGCCGGAGCGGGCAGGACGGGCATGAAACTGGGACTACAGAATGATGTCATTTCCAGCTGCTGCAACTCTAAGCTATAGCTTTGAAAACATAGAGGACCCTTCTAGTTCTATGTAAGTGGAAATGTCGTGGTCTAGGACGTTGTTTTGAGCATGTATACGCCGCTCTGTGGACGCCCTGGCAGATGCAAGCCGGCTATGATGCGGATGTTATTTCTAGCGGCTGCAAATCTGATATGGGCTATTAGCATCACGTAGTTTTTTTCAAGTTGCCTGTAGCTCTAGATAAAGAAGATCTCATTGCTATTCTGGACACGTGTATAGCGCTCTACAGACGCCTTGGCCTGTGCAAAGTAACAATGATATGGATGTAAAGGTCGACACCCTGCAAATCTGACCGCATAGTCTCAGATCTCATGTAGTGTTCTCAATTGAAGGTAGCTGTAAATGAAGAGAAACAGACTGTTGTTTTGAACAGGTGGATAGCAGTGTGTAGACGCCCTAGTCGGTACGATTCCTCCACCTTTCAAGCTAGAACCCAAATTGAAGTGGCAACACCGCAGCAGGAGTAGCAGTCCCCAAGAGCCGCTTTATTCTAGCATGGTTCTTGTCCCAGAAGTCGTGGACGGTAGAAGCGACGCTGTCATCAGGTTTGGCGATACGTTTGTACGCCATAAAGACAAGCTGGAAGGTTGCCCATACTTTCTTCAGCGTTTCGTGACTGGATGTAGAGCGGTTGAGACGCTCTAGGGAGTACCGACTGTTGCTGATTTTGTAGGTTTCCAGGGTGTCTGCTAAGGCCTCAGAGGCAGCGTGCAAGACGTACTCTCCAGGCAGCAATGAAGGAAGCTTCAGATCCAACGCGATCTGGATAAGGACGCTCATCCGAATCGCGTGATCACTCTCCTTCCATTGCATGATGCGTTGGGTGAGATTGCGACCGTCTTTGTTTTTCTTCTCGGGATCCGCACCACGAGAAAGTAGCATGTGGATGAGTGCCACACGATCCTTATATCCTCTCGGGTTCATCACGGCCGCGTCTAGCGGCAGGACGTAACGGCCATGAATTATAGCACGGTCGTTAATATCGGTCCCAGCTTCCAACAGGGCTTCAATGAACTTCGATTGAGGCTCGAGTTGAGCAGTCGCATTACTGAATAGAATGGTCTCAACCAAAGGAGTTGTTTCAATGTTGTGGTAGCCATAAGGTGTGTATCGCACATCGGTGGAGGCCCCATATTTCACCAAAGTCTTAGCTACCCTAAACAGCCCCTTGCGTATGGCAAGGCCAAGTGGCAGCGCGCCGCCACTCTTAGCGCCCCACTCACGCCAGAGTTGATTTGGATCCGCGCCTGCTTCCAACACCGCGCGGACGAGGGTGCTGTCGTCTTTGTAGTTTTCCGAGATCAGATGGTGAATGATTGGCCAACGGAGGCTAGAGCTCCATTCGAGATCCGCTCCGTAATCGATGAGCAGCTCGAAGATGCGGTAATCAGCGGTTCGATGAAGGAAAGAGCCAAATTGAGGCGACTTTTCGCCGGAGTATCTGGTCGGGTCTGCATCGTATGTCCGCAAAAGCTGTTCAATAAGCTTCACGGTCTTGGAGCCATCGGGGTCGTGTCGTCGAACATTTCGCCCCTGGTCCTTGTCATATCCGCCATCCTGCTTCTTCAGTGCAGAAACAGCAGAATACCCTGGCGGCTTTAGGTGAGCATTCTTGACATAGAACATGTTTGGAAGGATGTTATGGAGAATCCGGGTTGCGTCTGTGGGCTCCAGCCAGCCAAGTCCGCCAGCCTTCTGGACGAAAAGAGAAGTAATGTCGATATGGGCGTATCCTTTGCTTGCCACGATGCAGAAGATATCCCAGGTATTTTTTTTGGCGTTTATACCCGTGACGCCGTGATCTAAGAGATATCGCACTAGAAGTACCTTTTCGTTCGCGACAGCCCACTCGATTGCTGGAACCAATTCAACGTTAGAGACATCCGTGGACGGAGTAGACTTTGGCCGATCCGCATTGGCACGCTTAAAGATCTCGCCTTCAAGTAAGCTGTAGTATCGCCAGCTGACTTCAGAGAGGCTACTCAGGGATGCGTCGTCTAGGTACGAGGCTGTGTCAAGCACCAGCTCGTTAGGCAGCGCCGAAAACGGCATAGCTGAGTATGGTGAGCCTAGTATCAAGAAGTGGCAGAGAAAGTGTAATTGTCTGGGTAATCGTGGTGCGTGTGGTGGAAGCGAGTTGTTTGTTGTTTGTTGAAGAAAGGACGTTGGAAGTTCCTATTTTAAGCACGTAAGCGCCTGAGTCACGTGACTCTAGCCATTCAACCTACCTCAGTCCAGGCCACGCCATTCAGCAGTCACACAATGTCTTCTATATAGTTGTTTGGTGGGATTCATAGTCTCCCATTAACACATCTCATTGCCTTGGCCCTTGGCTGCGCCTCCTTGCAACCCAATGGTCCATGCTTTTGCAGCGCTTTGAATCCAGACTGTATAACACGCGAAGCCAGGGTTCAAATTGGTCGGGAATGTGGTCGTAGTATTAGCAGTGGTCAGTCAAAATATTACCCGTGTCCTCAAACACTATGACTGTGAATGAACATTTAGACCTCTTGAGTTCCGTGTTCGGAACCGGTTGTAGATTAGAAAGCTCTTCCACTAGCGATCTATAACAGTTTTGATATATAAGAGACAGATAGCCTCAACTAAATCTCCGTTCAGTTACCTAGCACTCACACATCCCTAATTATCGCAACGCTGCCCGGGCGTGATAATGCGTTTTAAGACTTAATATCAAAACATCTCGCGGCTACCAGGTACATAGAGAGATGGAGAGGAAATTTTGGATTGACAGAATTAGTATCTAGTTGGTACGGCGGTGGCGATTAGTCCACCAGTTGCATGCTCTCTCGCCATCTCTTACGAGGCGGTTCCCAGCCAGGTAGCTTGCCCGTGCGACCGCAGTGTTAAATGAAGACGCTTTCACCCAACCTTCCATCCCAAGCTACACCAGACAAAAAGAAGAAATTACATCCAAAAACTAAACTATGACTTACCTTTCAGACGGCCCCCAACCTGACCGTTATAGCGGGCCCCATTAACTAATTAATTTAGGACTGGACCGCCTCCACTACGAATACCATGCAGCCTCTTATCGAGTGCAAATACATGTTATCCACTCCTGATAACCTTGGGAATCGAACCTTCGGCGCAGGCAACGCACAGCTGCACCCACCAGGGTGACCATTGCGCAAAGGCTGCTTGATACGTTATAGGGTGCTCAAAAGAAATAGATACATAAGGCCTTAAAATAGGACCTCACCAGTGATCTCTTGGGAAAATTAAAGAGCCCGGCATACTGATCCAGGCATTTCAACTTCAGGACAGGCTAGTATACAAATTGAGAAATCAAGGTGCACTGTCAGGGAGTAGCGGTGAAGGCTAACGGCAGGTGCACGTCACCTACTCTATAGCCTCACCTTCTTCCAGACCTCTTTCTCTACTCTATCATCATCATCATCCAATACATCACGTACACAGCAATCTGGGAACCAGCCAATTAGAAAACGGTGAAAGCAACGACACGTGACAGGCATTTCATTAGCGCAGTTCGTTGTCAGGTAAAGAATCCACTTCGGTCTCTCACTAGAATCCTTCGCCGTAACACGCTACAACGGCACAGGTCAAAATGACAGAACCCCCAACGCTCCAGCCTCGCAATGCTGAGTCGGACATCTCCACCATGTCTCGCCATGCTCGTCACGCTCTCTTACTCAGTCCGACGGTCCAAATTCAGATAATGGACGGAGATACAGTCCGACCCGTCCGGAAGATTCCCTGTGCGGTCCTCACTGCCTTCTCTCCCCAGACCAAAAAACACTACGAAACCCAAACCTGCGACCCCCGCATCACTGGAGCATACATCAAACTAGACGCCATCGCCGCAATCATAGACTGGATGATCGAATCATGCGACAGCCTCAACATCGACCCAATACACACCCGGGCACGGCTGGGCGGCAACATCGAACTCTACATGGCGGCGAAGGTGCTGGATATTCCGCTCGTGAAGGAGCACATTGGGAGACACATCGCGACATTGGCAAGGGACGAGCCATATATATTCTTGGACCCGCGCGTACGGATACTAGGTGCCCTGCCAGCAGACGACCTGCTTGTACAGATGGTGTCGAAGGGGTTCGCGGATGGATACGGCGAAGATTGGATGGAGAGGAGGGATATCAAGAAATTGATCACAAGGTTTCCGCTTGTGACCGGCGAGCTACAAAGGGCCATGCCAACAAAACTTATCCAGTTGGGGTTTGTGGGAGAGCGGGTAGTCTTCTTGATGTTTCTGATTATGGCTTGGGGTCCGATGCTGTGGTTCTTATATGGGATTTGGATACAGTCTTTGGATGACCCATAAGCTCAGGGACCTCTCCCGGATTAGTTGGTTAGAGTACTTTAAGACGAGATGCTGCAGCTTATCGAAAACACCATAGAACTAATCAACATACTGTGGTCCAGGTAGCTCGCGCTACATCTTAATACAAATCACTGAAATTAAAACTCTTCAAGGCATGGACATCTCGCACCTGGGTCGTAACAGCTTTGTTTAAAGCACTTTGGCATGAACTTGCTCATACACTCATTTGTGAGAGCGGACAACACAAGTAGTTTCTTTTTTAGACTGCTTAGGTATTTTTTCAACATGGGGAACTCTTCACTTTCTTCACGCAAAATCTCTGTCTGTCTCCGTTTTCGTCTCCGTTTTCGTTTCACAACTACAGGCGAAGTAGATATCCCAAGAACTCTTGTAAGAGCTAAGACGTAGAGGAAATAGGCGCCACATCACACTTATCGCGAGTTAGCCAGCAGTTCTTCAACACATTCTCTACATACTCAAAATAAAATGTCACTACAGTTTATTTGCAGCCATCTACGCTATGATACAATCTCTCGCCTCTGAGAAGTGCCACTGAAGTTTATGGACATGAGAAATGACATAGATCTAATGTTTCGTTTGTCATTAACAAGAGGTCTTTCAATTTCGTCCCTACGTTGTAATTGTTCAGTCTTTTCTTACCTATTCACAGTTATCTCACGGCTCAAGGGACCTCTTATAACTGCAGAATGCCTTGCGATATGTGAAGAGCACAGAACATCGCATCCCCTCCACTCTCCGCACGTGCTAGCGAGGGATACCTCATTTTCCCTATGGGCTGTCATCCACAATAGCCGAGTCCATTCGTCTACAACACTTATGGCAGCCCTGCATACATCGCAGACACACTGAGGTACATTCACGACGGTTGCACGATATAGCAAGTGAAGTACCAGTAATCCTTGTGTCCTGAACAGCTAATGAGGCTTTACTTGAAATCACTCATTGTTCAATTAACCAAGAAAAAGGAATTGTCAACCGTGCCATTTCCACTCAAAAAAGCCGTATATCGATTCCCATTGTTCGCTTTGCGGCCAGTGACGATCTAACCAAGACGGCGAATGATGCCAATCCACAGGATCTATTCTCCAATCTCCCTCCGGAGCTCTTCGATATCGGCTTGGTGCTCCTCCCAGAAACTACGAAGTTTGCAGGCAGTGTCGTCTTGACTGGAGTCCCCGATCTTCTCGTAGGCATCCAACACGACAAGGATCAAGCTTCATATGAGCTCAGTGAGCCAATGGTTGACGCAGTCTCTTGTGTTGCCCTACGTTTGTGCTTTGTGATGTTCTTGACCTTCTCGAGTGTATGCTCACAGCCTTCCAAGACGTGTTCCCCGGGAAGTAAGGACGGCAGGCCCAACTCTAGTGCCACTGCAACAAGCGTCCTGAAGTGGCCCAAACCGGAACGATCTGTGTGCCGCTCGTTGCCCTCTCTAGCGATACGTTCCACGAGGTTATAGCCACGTCCATCGACCTTGGCCACGTCGGCCCCATGTTCAATCAGAATCTTGACCATGGCAGCACATTCTTTATCGCTCCGGGGACTCAACAAGGCTAAGTCGAGTGCTGAGTAGTGTCGATTTAGGTTGCCGTTTGGGTCCGCCCCACTTTCCAGTATCTTTTTGATGGGCCGGAACTGATCTTCGAAAGAGATCGACATTTGCAAAGTTCCGACGGTTTCGACTGCATCGCACAAGATCGTACTACCCATGCCAGAGCCCTTGTCGTATGTGACATTGGCATCTGCACTATATTCTAGTAGCATGAATGTTTCAGTGGTCTTTCCCTGACATATTACATCTGCTAGAAGCGGGTTTCTCCGCCAAGGAACGGCGATACTCGGATCCGCGCCTGCTTCGAGCACAAGTTTGGTCAAGGCGATATTGCTCTGATCGATCGTATAGCATAGGATGAGACAGCAATTAGAGCAGCCGTTGACGTCAGCACCGCGTTGAATTAGCAGCTCGAAAATATGAGGAAGTGAGAGAGACGTCCAGAGCAATCTAGTGCATTCTCTGTTCTGAAAAAGTTCGGTTGGATTGGCACCGTGTTCGGAAAGAAGAAGCTCCGTGAGCTTAGTTGCCTTCGGTCTCTCCTCTGTGCACCAAAAGGCATGTCGAGAGTCTTTGTCTACATTTTCGGTATTCAGCCTGGACAGGTGGTAAATAACATTGCTCAAGACCCTAGTGGCCTCATCGGTGGTCATTCGGCCCAATTCAACCGCCTTGACGACAAATGGGGTGACGATATCCGCAATAGCACAGTCTCGAGCAGTTACACAGACGTAGGTAGGCCAATGCTGTGATCCAGTAACGTCTTGTTCGAGTCCTGTGATGCCGTGCTTGAAAAGGTATCATACAAGTGCTGGGTTCCCGTGATCAACGGCCCACTCGATGGCTGAAATCTTAGGTGAAGAGACGTCCCCATCATGTCGGGGCCGGTCTGCGATTGCACGCTTGTGGAGATCGTCTCGAAGCAAGTCTTGATACCACCAAGCAGTACCAGCAAGCCTAACAAAAGATCTGTCATCAAGGTATGCAGCTGTTTCGAGGACCAGCTCGTTGGAGGGATCCCAAAAAGACATGTTGAGGATGCAGTTTTGGAGTCCAGCATTGGTGGGCTGGCGCTGCACCGGTGGTAGAAGTGAAGTGTTTTGGGGACAAGTCGCTGGGAGACGCCTTACCTATTTATAAGATTGGCGACGGATCATCTGTTCACAGTGTAAAAATGGCTTCATGCTCGAAAAGCGCTAGAGGGGCAGCGCTCCAAGTAGTGAATCACTTTCATTTTCTTCAGTCGATATCGCCGCTGCTCGATATCTTGATATGGAGCTGCAAGTCCTCCAAAAGCGAACTTCGTTAATAGCAGCAATCAATTATAAATAGGACTTAATTGTGGTATCACAGCCTACGTTTTCCTTGAGAGCGGCGTTCGATTGCAAGCCCCCATCAAAGACTTTGCAGTGAAGTTTATCATGTATCTTGTGTACCTAAAGGGTTACTTCAACTAATTACGCTTGGGCATCCATCATGAACGCTTCAGGGTATACGGATGAGTCTCAATTCAGCATATGCCCGTATCCGGGCGCGTTTAACCCCCTAGTTCCTCTCTAGGGGGTAGGGGGTTTTCATTTAAGCGCCGGTCTGTTTCTAAAAATAGAACCAAAACTAAACGGCAACGCATCTTTTAGAGAGAGGCTATCCGGCCAGCCTGTTGAATGTAAATGTGTGCAAACCTAATTTTGCCTTTCCAGCGACATTGACGTGTGGTATTACGTGCGTAGATTGGTATTGGTCAGGCCTCGCTAGCATTACTGCGCCACGATCCCCTAGGCACCCACCTAAGAACCTTAAAACTATGTACCTCTCCCTTGCATCTACCCACAACATCACTCCCAGCGGGACACCACTTAAATCACGCCAGTCCGAAACACATTCCACTTCCGACATATTTTTGTCGGCACTGTCAAACGAGTTGGTGCTAGAAATTGCATCATTTTTAGACAACAAGCACCTAGGTAGGCTTGCTTTAACCAGCTGGCGCTATCAAACCCTTCTTGAAGCCGACCTGCACAAGCGAGCGATTGCGGATCGGCCTACTCCTATAACTACACAGAAGCCGAATCCGTCGTCGCCTACTATTTCAGCCATTGAATGGGCCGTGGAGAAATGCGAGGTTCGACTCGCGCGATATCTTTTCAAACATGATATCACTGGCATAGAAAACAATGGCACGGGAGGTTGGCCTCTATACGATCTCGTGACTTGTGGGAATTGCGCCGGAGAACACAACCTTGTGGACATCACGAAATTGTTCATCGACAAAGCCACTCAACTTGGACGAACGAGCACCAACGAAGCCACTAGAATTCTGTACAACATCCTAAGATACATGCAATGCATGAATACCCAGTCCCCAGAGTGCCGTATCGAGTACCAAACACCGATCGTGAAGCTCCGTAAGCAAAACTCAACTCATCGGCGCGACCGGAGGGAGACCAAGACCCTCGGGCTTATAGATCTTCTAATAAGCGAGCACGGCGCCAACCCCACGGGTTATGGACTTGATGGAGAGATCAACGAGCCCTTCCTTCATATATGTGCAGATACTCGCGTACTTGAACTTCTCCTTCGACACGGGGCCGATGTCAATTGGCACTCCGACCAACACTTCCCGATATTACACCACGCCGTCCGCAACCTGAAAGAAGACGATAGCACTGTCGTCAACCTGTTGCTCAAAGCTGGTGCTGACCTCAGCATCCAGGTAATCAATCACGATCATTACTGTCCAATCCTCGACCTTGCTCTTGAGGGGAACCATGGGAAGATAGCGCTTACGCTCTTGGAAGCTGGCGCTGCTGCGAATGTAAGGTACAAAGCAGCCGCATTAGACACGACGGTGCTTTGCGAGGCGCTGAGAAACTGCTCAGTTTCCATCAGCTTCATTCAGAAGCTATTGGAGCGCGGTGCCGATCCGAATGATTATTGGAAGTGCCGCGATGAAGACGGACTGGCACTAGATGAAGGTCTATGTGGCATTTGGGGCGACCAGACAAGTGATGTGATCAAGCTTATGTTCCAGCATGATGCTGACCCAGACAAGCCGAACAGCAAAGGCCAAAACTTCCTCCAACGAACTGAAGAGGCGATGTCACAGGACAGCAGCTGGCGAGACGTTGCGAAAAATGTGAATGCGCTCACTAATGTCGCACTAGACTTCAATCTCCCCTCATTACTTCCCGGCAAGTTCGTCCTCCAGGCAATCCAATCAAAATTCAGAGCCGCGCGTAACTCTGGCATTCTGACTCTAAGCGCTCCAATTCCAGGGCGTAGAAGGAATTCTTCTGATAAATATTTGCTCGAGACGCCATGGAGATTGTTCGAATTTGTCCGCAACGCCTACTAGCAGAGTACAGAGCTTGATCAGGCTCAGAAGGACACTGCCTCGACGCTGCAGCACTTCTGGAATGAACACCGGATTATACAAGGGTTGTTGGGACTGGAGACGTAGACATTCAGGCAGAGTCTCCACTCAACGGTGATTGACTTGAGGTGGTAGCTGCTTCGGGGACGTGGCATGAGTGGGGGCATGGGACTCATGATTATCCGTGGGTCATGACAGTATAGGGTTCAGAGAGGTCATGGTCCTGATGGGATTTGTAGATAATTAGGCAGTCTAAAGGTTAGGTTATCCTTTAATTACCACAGACTACAGCGAATATCACCGCCCAGTAGATTTGATCCCTCATGACTCTACCCAACCGCATTCGTCGCGCCCAAGTGATTTTCCAAGATTCAAGCACTATCCACCTCGAACACTAGATCTCCACAACCAACGCCTCTATTTAAATTTTGACGTCGTAGAAAGTTTCGCGTTCATGTGTTCTTCTCTAGAACCGGAGGATAGGTCCTCAGGTCGCGTTGTTGAATTTACACGAATTAATTAGAAATGCGGTTTGAAGTCGCTCTGTGCTCAACACTTTTCGATGAACAACTTACCGGAAGCGGAAGGAGCACGGACCATGAGGAGGGGTAAGGAAAGGAGCTCCTATTGTAGACTATCCCAAGGTATGCTTCCCCGGATATGTTCACAAACCGGTTCCACGCAAATACACTGACGCGCTTCTGATTCTAGTCCACATTTAAGGCCTTGCCTCATGTTTCCAATATCTCTCCAGTGGTCAACCACATTCCAACGCCAACATTCTTCAAGCATAGCTCTTCTTTCGAACAAGCCAGGACGTATATCCCCCATTAGAACTACAATCGCTAGCATTATTTCACTGTATCTCTTTAGTCTCATTGTCTACAGACGCCATTTACACCCTCTCGCGAAACATCAAGGCCCATTTTGGAACTCAGTCTCCGCCCTTTCAGCAGCATTCTCCCTCCTCCGAGGCCGCTTCCCCTCAAACCGCTATCATGAGAAATGCGGCCCCATCTTCAGCCTAGCCCTCGTCTTCCGCCTAAGCCCCATCTTCCGCCTAGGCCCCAATGAGCTCACCTTCAGCTCAGCCCAGGCCATGCACGACGTCTACGGTTTCCGCCCCGCCCACCAAAGCATGAAAAAGTCACCACTTCATACGGGCCCGTCAAAGTCGGCAGCACAACAACCCTCCAATACGTCCCCGACGACACCGACCATGGGCGCCAGCGGCAGGCCCTGAGCCACTCGTTCTCGCAGCAGGCGCTCATGGAGCAAGAGCCGATTGTGCAAGACTACATGAGCACGATGGTGTCTAACCTGCGGAAACTAACGCGAGAGGAGGAGACTTCTAACATCTGCTACTGACTCAACTATTTCACATTCGACACCATGGGGTATCTGGCCTTCAGACAAAGCTTTGGGTGCTTGGACAGAGGGGACTATCAGGAATGGGTGCACATGCTCTTCCAAACGGTCAAGGACGGCGCGCTGACGCAGGCGCGTATCACGTCGAGCACACGCACGCGAAAATGCGGAAGCGGCTCGAGGCTACGGAAGTCCCGCCGGGCGGGGATACTATAGATGGCTTTCGGGTCCCGGGCGCCGGGCGGCACGACGGTGTCTGTGGACAGTGGTCTGCGTGCCACGATCCAGCGAACTTCAGGAATCCGGATGAGTTTTTGCCAGAGCGGTAGATCGACGCGGCGTATGAGAGTGATGTGAGGAAAGCGGCAGTACTATTTCCCCTGGGCCCGCAGAACTGCGTTGGAAAAGGTTTGGCGTACATGGAAATGCGAATAATGATTGCTCGCTTGTTTTCTATTGACGTGCCGTTGTAGGATCCGGAAGGGGATATAAAGTATAAAAGTCCTTTATGGTTTAAGAGAAGTTGGTTATTATGGTTAATGTTGTCGATTTGAGGACGTGAGAGGCTGAAGGCTAGTCAGAGTCTTGACACTTTCGGGATTCGAGTACGGCGTGGATAGCCTTTCGCAAGGGCAGATTCATTCGAATGTAGGACCGTGAGCTGGAACCTACGAAGTAAGAGCTCATTCCTTGCAAAGACGACTTGCCTCATCAGGACAGGCTAGGAGACACAGAGTCGTCCCGGCAAGATCGTGTGATCATCAAAGCTGATACTTTTTAACGATATGATTGCTGTGGGATTGCAGAACCGCACCGCAAAGTAGACACGCTTTGGAAGTAATTTATAGAATTTTTGATTGCATGAGAGCTAGGCTAGTAGTTGTCATGCGCCAGCGATAGTACCACCGACCAAGCGCACGAAGAGTTGTCTACCCGAGCCATCTGTATCGACTCTGTCCCCGGTATGGGTCACCCACCCTAATACACTCTATATATATACGTGTACAGCTTGCGGTGCTGCGTAGACTCCGAGACTAGCACTCCCTCACCGCATTCCTTAGGAATACAGTTGTCTTCCACCAATTGGATCACTAATTGATCTATCAACTCCCCCAATGTGAGGCTAGGGCTGGCCCACTCTCGTACCGGCAGCCTTTCATAATTTCCTTGTTCTATTTCTTGGCCCACAGCAATCGCTACACAGGTACCTGGCGGGTCGACGACTAGCATTTGTCGCCAAGAGGCTTCTTTGACATCCTTATTCCATCCTGGAATCTCCACATTGATACCCAGGACGCATTCGATGAATGGAATGAGGTCTTTAAGATCTGCAGGGTAATATGCCTCATTGAACCAATTCTTGGCAATGTCCAGAAGAACGTCTCCAGTCTGTGCGTTGGATTTGATTAAGAAGTCCGGTTGACCATAAGGGCTGGAATTGAATATCTCGTCAACGAGTGGGTTGAAAGCTGTGACCCCATCGCGGTCACCATAGAGCCCAGCCCAGAAGGAGCCGTACTCATCAAGGGAGCGGCCCTCCATATACCGGTGGCCAGGCTTCCGGGATACAAGCGGAAAGGCCGAAGCCAGGAAAGCGTTCCGCTGCAGCGACGGTGAAGAGCGTACGACATCGCGCCAAGTCCGGTTGACCATCTGAGCACGGCAGACTTCGCGAGCAGGGAGGTAGGTTAGGATCTCCTCGAGGAGTTCGTAAGACGCGAAGACAGCGTGAGCGGCTGGATTTGAAGGTGAGCTGGTCGCTTCGGTGGGTTCGATGGTAGTGGTGAGGTCGTGATCCGGAGAATTGTCCACGTCGGGCCTGAAAGGCTAAGTTAGCTGGTGCATTTCTCGATGGAAGGATATAACTTACCGGGTCTCGCGGTCATCATTAGTGGCCGGAGCAAAGGAGTTGTCTTCATTGCCTGGCTTCATTTGCGGTGCGAGAGCTGGATCGATGGTGGCGGCGAGGTCTGGACCTGGAGATGGAGGTATGTCGGGCCTGCAGTTTCAGGTCAGATTTTGTATTGAGGAAATGTAGGGCGATACCTTACTACAGCTCTCCGCGGTAGTGATCGATATTTGAACTAATTTGTGATGAGTTGCGTGGTGAGTTGGGTGGAGTATAAAAGAGCAAGCGGTGACGACGCGAAGCTTTCACGTGACTTTTTACTCCGCATCTCATTTCGATTTTGAAGACTCACTTATTTTCCCCATATCATCCAATCTCTCTATTCGCTGCTTTAGCCGGGCCAGCTCCTCCTTGAGCAATTGTGAATCCACGTCACTAAATTAACTCTGCCACACGTCTACTCTAGCACAGTCGATAGACTGTATATTGCCGCACAGGGGGCCTATTGCGACTAATCTACCGCGGAAGTAGAATGTAAGTAAGTGGATATGCCTCTAGGGGCAATAGCCCGAGCATTAAAGCCAATAAGAGAGTAGATTATATGAGGAGTGAATGCTTAGAAGGGGGCGTGGGACTACTAAGAAGGGGGTGTGTATTTACCGGTCCCCAGCAATGGCACTCAAGTAGCTTGAAGAGGTGTGGACACTACAGTGAAGCAAACACCTCATTCATTAGAAGTATGGGGCCCCCGCCGCTATCATCATCTACGCAAAAGTGTCAAGAAGCCCAGCAACGGTACCTGAACAACGAAGCATGGCACAGTCAACCTACCAATGCCGCTGTATATCCCAGAAAGTCCCAGTCGATCCCCAAGATCTAGGCACACCTGCAGTCTTCGCTACGCTATCCGCGGCTGCGGCATCAAGTTTATACAGCTATACCTCGTGCTGTCCGAAATCGACAGTCTGGTTTCGCACTCCTCATCGATGTCACCGCGGCTCGCGAGCCCCTTCAAAACCTGATCCAGTAATTCTCCAAGCCTTAGTCCATTGCCATTGCTGGACCAGCGCCGTACGTGAGCACCACTAGTATGAGCACCTACACCCAAGGGGCTCGGATAAAATAAGGGCATCCATTTCATCACGATCATGCTCACAACGGTTGCTAGCGGATCTACGACCGACATCTTCTGCCACGAAGCCTCTATGGTGGTGCTGGTTGATCCAGGAGCTTTGACATCCACGCCGAACAGATCGAGGATATTTTCAATAAGCTGTCTGCGCATGATGAAGGCGTGTGTGACGTCTAATATGACTTCCCCACTCTGATCGTGCACCTTTACAGTGAACTGACCCGGCGATTGAGTATTGAACATCTCGAGAACGAGTGGGTTGAGAACTGCAGTCTCCGTAGCCTCGTTGATCAGACGAGAGAACTTGCAATCCTCGAGGTCCAAGTCTGCAGTCATCCCTGTCGTCGTCGCCGGGAATGCTGAAGTTAAGAACGCGCGGCGCTGAAGGCATGGCGAGGCTTGTACGACATCGCGCCAGGTGCGGCAGACCATCTGAGAGCGGCAGATCTCGCGAACAGTCAGGTGAGACAGTATCCCTTCGAGGAGTTCGACAGTGTTGAAGACGGCGTTCGCAGCTGGACCTATCATTTGCGTGTGGGACTGCTTGACGGTGGGGGAAGACAGGTTTGGAAGCCTACCAGAAATCAGTTAGACTGCTATAGTAGCATGTGGAGACGTGTACTTACATTGGCTCTCCGCAGGTTTCATCTGCACCAGCATCAATCATAAAAACGGCTTCGGATGGGCTTATTTCCGGCGCGAGTGACTGCGCAGCTTCGACGGTGAGAGCGCGTGGATCTGGAGGATGCATGTCGAGCTTGCAACTTGGATTAGTTTGCAAGATTGTTGAATGGAGTTTGGGGTCTTACCGATGCCCTTCTTGGTACCGAGGTGCGGAGTTCTTCCGCAGTAAGCGTTGTTAGGGGTGGAAGTGAGGGAGCGACTGTCGACACGGTTGTCGGTGAAATGTCCAGAGGGTCCACGTGACCCCCGAACCATGTTGCCTTCTGGTACTAAAAGATGCTCAATTTCTCATCGAAAAAAGCTCGACTGCAACAGGGATTTGATGGGATCACGAAAAGAGAAATCGAGGATATGAACCACGAGTTCTACCTAGAGAGAAAAGGGATTTGAAAGGCAACAGCGCCTGAGACCAGCATACAACTTCCCACAGAGGGGCTACTGATGTCCAATTTAGAATGCAAGCTATGAAATCCCGTTCCTCCAGCCTAGCTTTGCATCTGCCTCAACAAAGCCTAGCCTCCATCAGCTCAGGCAAGAAGTCCAATCTTGCTATCCTTGATCTCCCTAGCGTTGCTCCACATCTGCCTATGTCGAGTTGTATCCGAGATCAACAAGCCGTTTCCGCACTCCCTATCCATCTCGTCCTTGTCTACCAGAAGCTGTGCCACAACTTGATCTATCAACTCGCCCATCTGCAGCCCGGGGCTGGCCCAGTATCGAATTTGTGGAAAAAAGTATAGTTCTCGGTGCCCCAGAACCATCAACACCTTCGTCGCTGGTGGATCCACGACCAGCATCCGCTGCCAGGAGGTGTCTTGCATGCGCTCGTTCAGTCTCCACCCGGGAATCTCCACGTTGACGCCCAAAACACGCTCGATATTTGCGATGAGCTGGGAAGAGCGATCGACGGCGTGTCCAATGTCGAGAATGACGTCTCCAGTTTTTTTGTTGAAGAAAACAAATGTTCGATGTAGGCCCTGGCCAGCCACTACCTCTGTGTCGAAGATGTCGTGCACGAGCGGATTCACCGCCACAGTTCCCTGATCTTCGTTGGAAAACTCGCAGTAGTCTAATTTGCGCCCCCGAAGGCCATTCTCAGATAAGGGAGTCATGGCGGGGAACTTCGAAGCCAGGAAGGCATTGCGCTGCAGCCGCGGCGACAAGCTGATCACATCACGCCAGTGACGACTGACTATGTTGTGCCGGCAGAGCTCGCGCGGAGATAGGTGGCCCAGGATCTCCTCCAGAAGCTCTACAGTGGAGAAGACGGCGTCCGCGGCTGGACTCATCACTGTCACGGGTGCCGGGGTCGCGATTTGGAGCCTGCATATTATGTCAATCCCACATGGTAGCAACTAGGGCGTGCGGTCTTACGCGTTCTGCGGCATTTCAACTTCCACTGGGTTGACTTTGGTAGCGATGAGAAGCTGACTAGAGATTGACTTTGGTTAGATAGGCAGGCTATGCTATGGCAAGTATGAACTTACACCAAGACTCTGCCAAAGAGTCGATTTCAAGTGAGGAGGTCGGCAAGGGTTTTTGTGAACCGAAAAGGTCAACGAAATAGCTAGTGAATGGGCGGCTGTTTCAGGTAATCACTTGGACGTCACGTGACAGTTCGTCAGATCGAACTAGTAGCAATAACCGGAAGCGCCAATGCCAAGGCCGAAATCCATACCCAGTTCCGTCTATAAAGCCCCTGATCATCACCTAATGGGAACAGCAGTGCCAATCATGTATCTTCTCCGCCTTCCGCAGTGGAGGCTAGTCAGCCCGACGGCTCGGACTCCCAGGACCTGGATGGCAGCGCGTTGGGATGAGATATATGTTCACTGAATAGTGGCACGAGGAAGAAGTGTTTCCAAAGGGCTAGGCTGAGGTACAAAACATAGTCTCCTACGGTCATCTTCTTTTTTCAGTGTGGGGTCTTTCCGGATTTGTCCTGCCCTGACGTCTCATTACACCCGGTCATCTTTTTCAACACTAGCAGACGGTGTTGCTCTGGATGCATAACTAGCCCGCCGTCTCGCAACACCGCGATACGCCTCCAGCGCTAGGTAACACCCAAGAGCGAATCCAAAGACCCCAAACACCAAAATCGACAGCGCAAGCACACTCACGAAGAGAGGCTGGAACCATGTGGTCCAAAAAGTAAGGTCTTTTGCCGCCTGGGAACCTTGGATGACGAGCATGATGTGGACGAATAGCGTAACCAGTGTGACAGTTGGGATGAAGGTCTCGAGATCTTTTTTCAATATTTGGCCGAAGCATTTTAATGCCAGAAGACCGAGAGACACAGGTATCAAGTAGGCGATGATGAAGGAAATGCCGTATGGGATCACCACCGTAAGGACGACCCAGCTGATTTGGAGGACCAGGCTGAGACTCAAAATGACTTGTGCGATGGTGATGTCAATGAGGTTACCGGATGGCAGCTCGTTGGAAGGAGTCTCGTTGGGAAGAGGAGGAGGCATATTGGAGTTCCCAAGAGATGAAATTGATGTTTGGTGGATGGTGGTGGGGAAGCGGAGGATCAAATACGAGGCCTGTAATACGGCCCCCAACTGTCACCGGGTCGGCAACCTTGCTTTCTGCACGGTGCCGTCACTGCCTAGCCCTGCGAGCCCAAGCAAACCCCTCCACCATCGCGGAGGCTGTGGCAAAGAGAATCCCTTCAGTCATCGTTATAACGAGGCTGCAATAAAGTGCGGTTCCGATCCAGGAATCAGCTATGCCTTCTGAAAAACTGATTATCGTGCCTAGAAATTGCGCAAAAAAGGCGAAAACTGTAGCTGTAACTGGGAAAAGTTCTTGTCCACCGTCTGCTGGCCAGGTTTTCTTGGCAATATTCTGCGTGCATTGGAAGGCGACATATGTGACAAGTACGATGGTGAAGAGGAATACAATCAAGTTGATGGAGACGGAGAGCGCGGTGAGGAAAGTAGACTGGAGAAATCCGAGGACATCCATTCTGATCCAAGGCATGTAGCAAAACGTAGTGTGTCGCAGGCGTGAAGGCTCAATGAAAGTGAGTGAGAGCGGTTCAGCAGCGGCTTTGTGGATGGTCAAGTGTTGTATTGTTTGAGGAGTGAAGAAGCCAGCTTCAACGGAAGGACATACCCTTGTACCACCGTGATTTCTGAGTAGATTCAGTCACGTGACGTAATCTTGGTGATAAAATTCATTAAATCTAGTCACGTGACTGAATCTGCTCGGAAATCACGGTGGTACATACGGTTGTTGGTAGCGTAAGCCAATGGCGATGAAGGCTCGAAGGCTAGAGGTGTATGTACATCTAATGTGGCTAATTTTGCTCTAGCATACAAATTCCGGCCCTTACTGGTGAGCCTGTTCAAACTTCGTTGTCTTTCCTGAACCTGCTCTCAGCTGCCTAAAGTCCTGCGCAATGCCGTCATAAAATCCCATGGGTGCGAGCCCATCCACGCCCCTTCGCGATCGCCAAAACCGTTGCAGTAAGAATCCCTTCCGTAAGACAAATAACAATGCCGCTCCGGAGCGAGCTTTTAGTCCAAGATATAGCTGGACCACCGCTGTAGTCATCCGCGTAGCTTAGTGTACTTATAAAGTGTATAAAGATGGCCAGGGTTGCTGCTGCCATTCCGGGCGCTGCCTTTTCTGCGTTCTGCTCGTCTTCTGTCTTCGGCTCGTCTTCTGTCCTCGGCTCGTCTTCTGTCCTCGGCTCGTCTTCTGTCCTCGGCTCGTCTTCTGCCTTCAGCTCGACATTTGATTTGAAGACCCTCCTCTCGAGAGCATAGAAGCATTTGCCGGTAACGTAGGCGATAAGGACGCAGGTGGATAGGAAGGCGATGATTGCAGCGGAGACGTCTAAGGCGGTAATAAGGCTAGACTGCAGGAATTCCGAGAAGGGAGAGTCCTCGGCGGCGGCGAGGCGGGTTGTGTTTGAATGGGGTAGATTGATGGGAGGAGACATGTTCGAAGTCTCAGGTGTAAAAATCAGGAAAGTTAGACTCGCGTGCCTATTGGAAAAGAGACTGATACTTATCCGATTCAAGGTATCAGGTGAGGGACACATGCCTGCCGGCTGATGTCACTAGCAGTCGGACCCCTGACGGCCCACCCTTACTTGCTCGCCATTTTCTAGGCACCAAGACGAAAACGCTTACCATTCAGGTCGCCCACCTTCTTCCTATTCGAGAAGAGCGTTCAACCCGAAATTTCGACAAAGGGACTCGATTAGAATAGTGCTGTCAATGTTGCTCCGACGACAAATCTTTATGGATTTACACTTGGCCAAGCTCCCTGGATCAGATTGAGGCACGTATAAGATGAACGTACGCAGTGAAGTTTTGAAGTCGTTGAACGTACCTTTGTAAGTATTCTTAGCTTAGCTGCCAGGCTGCTCTGGATCTAGCGTCTTGTGCAGAATAATGTGGTCCGGAGGATTTAGCGGCATAGTTCTCACTTTCTCGGAACTCCGCCCCTTGCCTCACCCTTCATCAACATCACTACCCATCAACATCTCTTAAAGTCCATCTCATCCATATAAACTTACCCGTTTGAGTCGCCCAGCGTCACAGGCATGGTGAAAGCAATAACTTCACGCTTTGTTCATATTTCTGAACATGTATCGAAGTTTATCAGAGCGATGCAACAAAAAGGCGCAGCTCGAACCAATCGACATACATGTTAAGTAGCCATTAAATGCAAACCTTGGAGCAGTTCGCTGTCAGCACGAGGGCGAGCCAACCATGGAATAATTATCAAAAAGCGGCCTCTTCACACGTATAAAAAGCTTTTCTTTCTTGCTTCTACTTTCTGAACCAGAATACTTATGCATCACCAAGGTACGATACCGCGTTCTGTTCCTTCACACTAATTGCCTGGATACCACTGATATACGTTGTAGGGTTAGAGAAGAACGATCATCATCATTAAATTCGAGCTCGCTAAAATGGCAAGCAATTTAAAATTTCCCGCTCCCCCTTCATGGAGCTTTCCACCGAACTCCATCTAGAAATTATAGATCACCTCCAACTTCCTGAGAGACTGCATCTAAGGCAATACACGCAGGTTTTTAGGCTTCTCAGGACAGCCCATTGCTGTTTTTCCGCTTCCAACAAATCCCGGTGGGTAGGACGTTTAACCAGAGACGCGAAATAAAGGCAAGTCAACTTTCGACTCCGGCATGACTCGACGTTCAACCCCTGGATGGTATCAAGTTGTCCAAGGGCACACAAACGATATTGTAGAAACTGTGGGGAACGTCAAATTTTGTTTTATCCAAGCCGTCATCCCAAACTCTCCTGGTGGTTCGACGATCCTACAAACCCGGCGCCATGCTATGTTACCGTATCATATCTACGAACAATAGGCGCCGAATTTTGATGTTCGTACCTTCTGTAGTCATGATTGGAATTGTGGAAAAGACTCGTCTAATCTACACTACACGAATGAAAAAGCACAATGGCGGCACGAGGGTGAAGATGGTATCCTGAATCAAGACGGCGCCGCATGTCCGAAGTCCTTGCGCATTTAAAGGAATGGAGAGATGCGTTATTATCTGACTGCTGTGCTAGGTGTGAACTCTGTCGCATGATTTTGTTGGACGCTGCAACAAGCAACTTCACTTTTACTAGATCTCATATTACACGTATAGTCTTCAAACATCTCTATGGCGGCAGGAAAGGTGGCCGTTTGCGACATCAACGTGTCCCGAATTAATGGTAACCTTCTGTTAGTTACTCAATCTAACAGTCCGCCAGCCTTCCATCGTTGGCCAGCACGCTGTCAACCAACTCCTTCACCTTCCTAATTACAGTCGCTATTAGAGTCTTCGTAGCCCGCACCATATATTTCACTATTAACTTATTCCCATTCTCCTATTTGAAGCAGCCTATCCTAGCCTAAATTCTAGATCTTCCTATAAACCACCTATACAGACTTCATAACAGATATTTTCGCAGGTCGAAAATGTCTTCCATTTTCAGCAAGCGCCTCTCCACATCGACTGTGGGCTCCAAGTCAACGACTGACTCCAAGTCGCCCAAATCACCACGCAGCCCACGAGATGGTGGCCCTACCGAATTTCCCACGCCAAAGCCACGACCGACCTTCCTGCAGCGTATGAGCGGCTTTCTGCCATCTATACCAGCCTTCATGAAAACTGCCCGTCGGCCAAGATCAGCCCCTGAGCTCAGAAGACACTCAAATCTGCAACCCACATCCCCGACCGAGGCCAGGCCCCTTCTCACATATCACCCGGGCAGCACAACACTGCCTGTACTCTCTTCAACGGCGGTGGTGCGAAGTGATGGATATTATTACTTTCCTGAGTACAAGCCCAACCAATCACCCTCCCGCTTCTCGGGACTATGCCCAACCCTCGAAAAGCTAACGCATAGTCGCCCGTCCAGCAAAGGCTCCTCGGAGGTCCACCACGATCATGCCTCCGGCCCCAATTCAATGCCATCTGATCTCGACCTCCGCGTCTTAGAGGAGTACGCACGCAGCTCCAACCCGCCGATCCCACGTCTCACCCCCGTCAAAGAGGGATCCACGCCGCCTGACATTTACACTTCCGCGTTTCCCAACGGCCACCACTCTCCCAACCCTCCTAGAACCCTTCGTTACAATCCCACCACCCGCACCCTAACAAACCGCCCTCGCTCCCGCGGCAAACCCACCCCCTCCCCTCCCTCCTCTCCCAACGCAACCCCCAGACCACCCCTCCACCACATCCACGGCCTCCCCCACGCCTCTCAACACCCCTACATCCACCACCGCGACGTCCCCTACTACCACGAAGCCCCCCGCCCGCGCCCACAGCGCCCAGCAACCGCAAACCCAACCCCCGGCTGGAGCGACACGGTCTACTACACGCCCTACCACGCCATCCCCCCACCCCCTCCGCGTCCCACAAGCCCCGTAATCCGCAACGTACTCGGCGGCCACCACCGTCCCCACGTCGCCTTCGCAGAACCCGTGAACCTCCTAACCGCGACCTTCGACTCGCGCGGGAACATGGTCCAGGAGAGCGATTCGAGCACTACCACGTCGTCTGCGTCGACGACGCGGGTGGGGGGGCTGAGGCCGGAGATGCGCGGTGGTGGCGCGGCGGAGGGGTTTCAGTGGCCGACGGGGAAGATACCAACGATGCGCGGCGGTGGGGGGAGGGGGGATGTGAGGATCCCGGGGGGGTTGTGGTTTTTGGCGGGGGGGAGGGGGAGGCCGGGGACGGTGGATGGGTGGAGAGCGCAGAAGGGGAGGCCGAAGGGGAGGGGGGCGCCGTGGTTGTTTTTTGGGGGGATGGAGGGGAGGAAGGGGAAAAGGGGGAAGGGGGGGACGATGGCGGAGAGTAGACAGCTGGTGGTGGAGGACGTCCCCCCGCCTATGAAGGCGGGAGGGGATACTGCTGGAGCTGGCGAGGTTGTGGACGAGGTTGCTCTTGGGCTTACCTATGTCCGTCCTGAGGAGACTCCGGCTCCGGGTCCCACAAACGGGGACGCAGGTCAGGCTCCGCCGCCACCTAAGAGTCTTGCTGCCGGGCCTGCGGTTGATAACGCGGCTGCAAAAGCATCACCTCCTGGAAGCAATGCACCTGCAAATCCCTCCCGACCTCGAAGCAATGCAGCGCTGAATGCATCTCCGGCTAGAAGCAATGCGTCTGCAAATACCTCGCCACCGAAGAGCAATGCAGCTGCAAACCCCTCACCACCGAGGAGCACCGTAGCTGCGAATCCGTCGCCGCCTAGGAGTAATGCAGGTGGAGCGGCGAATGCCTCACCACCGAGAAGCAATGCACCGGCAAATGCTACACCACCTAGAAGCAACGCACCTGGGAATGCCTCGCCGCCGAGAAGCAATGTCTCTGGAACTGGTGGCAATAACGCAGCTCCGACCGCCTCGCCTGCGATAAGTAATGCAGCTCCAAATCCCTCGCCGCCTAGGAGTAACGCAGCTCCTGCTCCGTCGCCACCGAGAAGCAACACACCTGCGAATGCTTCTCCGCCTGGAAGAAATGCAGCTGCAAACCCCTCTCCGCCTAGGAGCAATGCCGCAGGTGCGAATCCCTCCCCGCCTCGAAGTAATGTAGCTGGAGCTGCGAATCCCTCCCCGCCTCGAAGCAATGCCGCTGGAGCTGCAAACCCCTCTCCACCACGAAGCCAAGCCTCAGCCACTGCACGCTCGCCCGCCGCACCCGCAGAGCCAACTAGCCCACCTGCACCCAATCCCGCAGCCGATGATGCTCAAAGGGCCGCTTCCAACGCAAACAGCGTAACGCCCTCAGAGAGCATATCCAACGTCGCATCCCGGCCGCACGGCAGTGCCGTAGGAACGTCTAATGCAAGCAATGCCAGCGCGCGGTCGCGAGTCTCCGCTGTAGTGGACACGAGGGCTCAGGTCGGAGGGCCGGCGAGCGCTGCAGGAGCTAGATCTGTCGCGGGGAGCGTGGCATCGCAAGGTGGAGCTGCGAAAACGGGGAATGCTGAAACGTCGGGTGATGGTGGTAAAGCAGGGAGCGCTACGGCGCAGAGTAGGGTGTCTAATGAAGGGGGTGCGGTTCCGCTGAAAGGTAGGTGACTCGCAGGGGGCATTAGTAGGGCTGCTGACGATAATAGATAGGTCTCCAGGGTGAGCGGCTGCGGTCGGAAACGGAATGGGGTTCGTTGCGGGGGGCTAATGTGGGTAGTAGGACGTCGAGTGGGACGACTAGGTATACTATTACCGGGTTTCTGTGAGATTAGGAAAGGAGGTGAGTTTGGTAAGTCGGGTAAGAGTAAGATTAGAGTCAGCAGTACGGAATGTAGGGGACGTAGACGGATAGAGGGTATGACCAGCTCTGACGTGGCTAATCATATAGCGAGCGAGTAATGCCTCCATGTTCCAACGAGATAGAAAAGAGGTGGGAACAACTTTAAATGGTCTCCATTTACTTTTTTTCCGGTCGGGTATCTACACACTGATAGTTTTGAACACCCTAGAAGCCAGTTAGTAAAAGCGAAATCATACGTAGATCAGATATTTAAACTTACCCAAATCCACTGCCTCCCGTCGCCATCACTGTTCCTGGTATTTGCGGATGCCAATGCGCCTCTTTTACCTGCTCCATGTAATGCACGAACAATAGCTGTGGCGGGACATCCTGCACGCCAGCCGTATCCCTGCTCTCCTCGTCGTCTAGTTCAACCGCCAGATCCCACAGCGTAACCGTATTGTCGCCTGCACATACAAGCACGATACTGTCTTCGGTCGGGTGCCACTCGACGCTCGTGATCTGCTCTTTGTGGAAATTGAAAGAAGCCACCGGAGTTGGACGTGTGAGGTCGGAGGACTTGGTGCTCGGTTTCCACGACCGCAGGTCCCACACCGCCCATTGCCCGTCATCTGCCCCTGAAGCTAGGAGGTGACTCGTTTGATGCGACCATGAGAGCACATTGACGTCTACATCAGAGACCTTCATGCTGACGGCCGGCTTGCGGCTTTTTGACCGCGCATCCCATATCCTGACGGTGCCGTCGTCGCCGGCGGACGCGAAGACGTGGTTCTCAGAGGGCGACCACTGCAGCTCTTCTACCGCGCTATTGTTGTCGTGGCCAGTAAACGGCTTCGCGTCGGTGACGAAGCCGCCCCCTTGTGTTCGAGTTGTTACAAATATTCTGCCGTTGCAGTCGCCGGTGACGAGCTTGCCTTCTGGTATCTTGGGCGACCAATCTACAGCATACCCTTCTATTCCTTTATGTACGGTGATTGTGTGGATAGGCTTATTTTGCGCAGGAGTGATGGTTGCGCCGGGGGTGTCGAAGGCGGAGAGGTGTGGTGTGATATCGTGAATCAGCACTTGGCCGGACTCCGTCATTGAAGCTGTGAGGGTTGTAGGAGGGGCGGCAGAGGTTGATTGGGGGGATTGGTGCGAGCGAATACGGTTGGTGCAGGTGTTGAGTGGGATTGATTTTGTCTCAAGGATTGGGTCCGAGGAGTCGTCGTCTGAATCGTCATCCGAATCGTCCTCCTGCTCACGCTGCATTCGACTTAGGCTGCTCAGTTTCAGCACCATGAGCTGGTTTTCCTTTTCACGACCTCTAGCGGCTTGTGTTCCGGCGACAGCATAGACGGTCGCTGGGTATGATTTGCGGTCCGAGCCCAGCTGGTCACCCACAATGTCGCATGAGAGGCAGGGCCAGGGAGATTCGAGGGCATGTAGCATTTGGTAGGCGGTGAAGTCGGGCGCGAGTGTTTCGCCAGCTGATAGCTTGTTGCGGCCGGGCATAAAGGTTTCTTGATCGACTTCCATAGCATCTAGAGTGTGCGGCTTTAGCTACTGCAAATTCTAGATACTCGGGCAGGAAGTCTCACTAACCCTCGCGTTCTTCCGCCTCCCTCTCTTCATCTGGCCGGCCGTCTACTCCAGCCTCGAATATCTCGTCCTCGCTCTCATACTCATCTTCGTACTCGTCCTCAAATTCGCCGATTTCGTCCTGCTCGAACTTGACGGGCCGGTTGCCGGATTTTAGGGGCTCGACCTCAGTCTCTGCGGGCTCTGCACGTCGCTTGCTCATCTTGCCTAGATTTCCTGCTCTTTCTAGGGTGAGGTTGGGTGGGATGGATGTGTAGATGTGTGGTGGGGGAATTATATTCGACCAGGGAAACTTTTTGCGGTGACGAAGTGTCACGTGCCGATTCCGCACAGCTGTTCCGCCCCTCGATCCTTGGCTCGAGTCTCTCGCTGCCCAAAGCATCCAAATATCAACACCGCGATATAACTCATCATTCGCGCATTGCTCTCCCCTACACGCGAGCTCTCCCCCGTCGCGCGCAGGACTATGCTCCGCGGCTCTCTCAGCACGACCTGCAGGTCTTGACGCGTCTGTAACTCGTAACTCTGTCACCGTCACCGAGCTCAGCGGCTACACTACTCACCCCCGACCCACGGCCGTCTATCTAGCGCATTGCCTCTAGAATACCCTTAACCCTCGAATACTCCACCCGATACATCTATTCACTATGGAGACCTACGGCGACCCAATCGGCGAACCAGTCGGTGACCCTATCGGCGACCCAATGGTAGCAGAACCACAAGGCGACACGGCGATGGAGGGCCAGGAGCCAACCGTCGGCCAGAAACACACCTTCATGGGAATCCAAGCCGACCAGACCATGGGCGGCGACGACACCACAATCACCGCGTCAACTGTGCAGGAACTGCCTCAGGTGCACAATAATGGCTTCAGCACCAGCCAGCAGAGCGACTACCGCCCGCAAACCTCGTACTCAGACACCGGCTTCTCCCGTCCTGCTCTTCACGGCTCGCACTCTGAGGATTCTCAGTCGCACAAACCGGCCTTTTACCCACAATCCGATGCAGACACCCCGCCGCGATACGGCTACAACAACGGCCAGCCGATGGGACAATCGATCTCGCGTCCAGGCTCAGGGCTGGCGCAGCCCAGATACCCAATCTCAGAGGGCGGAAGCCGCTCCGTGACATATCAAGAGCAGAACCAGCGGACCTCGTCGCAACCACAATCCGAAGCTGCGACCAAGAATACCAGCGTCGTCATCAAGGTGGGCATGGTTGGGGACGCGCAGATTGGTAAGACAAGTTTGATGGTCAAATACGTCGAGGGCAGCTGGGACGAGGATTATATCCAGACGCTGGGAGTGAACTTCATGGAGAAAACCATCTCGATTCGGAACACCGAGATCACCTTTTCTATCTGGGATCTAGGCGGACAGCGCGAGTTCGTCAACATGCTGCCCCTGGTTTGCAACGATGCGGTTGCCATCTTGTTCATGTTCGATTTGACTAGGAAGAGCACGCTCAATTCTATCAAGGAGTGGTATAGGCAGGGTAGGGGTTTCAACAAGACCGCTATCCCTTTTCTAGTGGGTACAAAGTACGACCATTTCGTGAATTTCCCACGGGAAGAGCAGGAGGAGATTTCCAATCAGGTATGTGAAGCGGCTCGGACTTACTAGTATTTAGCTGATCTTGTCTAGGCGAAACGCTTTGCTAAGGCAATGAAGGCCAGTCTAATCTTCAGCAGCACGAGTCACAGCATCAACGTTCAGAAGGTGAGTCACGGAACCTTTTATGAATCTCTCTTCGTTACTGACCTGAATCCAGATTTTCAAGATTGTGCTATCAAAGGCGTTCGATCTCCGATGCACCATTCCAGAGATAGAGCACATAGGAGAACCACTCCTGCTCTACCAGTCTGTCTAGAAGCGAGAAGTCTGTGAGCCAAGCTGATGTATCGAAAGGAATCCGTATGATGGTGTGACGACTGAACGAGGACTCGCAAGTTTCCGCGACCGAAAAGGATGCTGGTACGTGGGAACGCGAGCTTGAATGAAATCTGCATGACTTGGGCGACTGGAGCGTTGCAATGATGGACTCCATTATTTCTGGAGGGTTTCTGTACAGGAAAAACGGAGTTGAGATGATTTGGATTCATGGACTGGGTGCGGTTTGTATCCTAGTAATGAGTCTAGCTTATTCAAGTGCTAGAAAGCACTTGTCTTCCTGTATTATGAGGGGACCGGGAAGTCTCTAGTGGTGGAAGAGATTCAAATGGCTTCAAACGCTTGAGTTCCTCTTGAATAACTGCATTATTTTGCCGCTGTTTGTGATGAGTCGATGTGGTGACCGGCGACGCTGTCTGAACTAGTCCAGCACCTACGTAGGCTTTTTGAAGCGTTGAGCTTCCGGCTAATATAAGAATCTACTTCCGCCCCCCAGTGGTAGAAGAACTGGGTGACATTTAATGTTCTTCAATTGAGGTTGATGCTCAGGAGGCAAGTTTACCCGACCCGATCGACGTTAACCTCACAAAAATTCCTCCACATTCAACCCCTCCATCAACAACAATGTCCGCTCCACCCCTCCTCGACTTCGCCCTCCCAGGCCAACCCCTCGGCCCAACCTCGAAATACACACCCGGGCCAGGCACTCACATCTACGAATCCGTCATCCATGCCTCCATTTCTGGCCCAGTCGTCTCTACTCATGCTGCGCCCACTTCCACGACCTCCGCCAAATCCTCCAAACCGCTACCAACCCTCTCCATAACCCGCAATCCCCCGCCTAACCCCTCCTCCTTCCTCCGCGGGGGCGCCTCTGTGTTACCAGAAGTCGACAGCGTCGTCCTCTGCCGCATCACCCGTCTTGGCGCGCGCTTCGCCTCCGCTGAGATCCTCGTAGTTGGAGAGCTGGTCTGCCGAGAGCCATTTTCCGGTATGATTCGGCGGGAGGATGTGCGGGCGACGGAGAAAGATAGGGTCGTGATACGGGAGATGTTTAGGGTGGGGGATGTGGTGCGTGGGGTGGTTTTAAGTTTGGGGGATCAGAGTAATTACTATATCAGCACGGCGAAGAATGAGTATGGGGTTGTGATGGCGTGGGCGCATGTGGAGGCGGGAGAGGGGGCGGGGGGTGCGGCGAAGAGGGCGATGTATCCGGTTAGTTGGAAGGAGGTGAGGGATCCGGTTACGGGGGTGGTGGAGGGGAGGAAAGTTGCGAAACCTTTTTGAGGAACTGTGTACACATGAATTTTTCGGGATAGAGTTTGGAATGTAAAAAAGGGGAATTGAGGTAAGTGGATCCTCTATCTGCCTGTCAAAATTCGTGGTCTACTTGCTTACATGACTTCTGGTAGGAGGCGCATGGTACTGGCATATCCCAAGGACTTTAGATACCCGCTCATTTCTTTAGCTGTACTTCCGTTTCAATGAAACTAAACAAAAATGACCAAAAAGGTTTACCGCCATATAACCGACAACAGCAGCCATCGCAAAACGAGGGTTCTTTGAGACCCAATTCCTTCAACCACTTTTCCATCTCCTGTTGTCGTATCTTCGGGCACGGTGGAAATACACCGAATGCTAGACGTTCATTGAGTTCCAGACAGCTGTGCTGGAACTGCAATAACGCGAAGGAGGGCCCATCGATCCCTTCACTATTGGAAGAGGGTTTTTCTGAGCTGCTCGCACCGTCAGGCAAAATATGTAGGTGACACTTGGGGCACTTATCTACCTCAACTGTTCTGTCTCAAAGAGGCTGAGTGACTCTGGGGCCGCCGGCATGGCAGGCTAAAAGCGCTTTGGCTTTATTCCGCGGAGGTTCGGATTTTGCCCGGTAGCGTAAAACGAACTCTGACAAAAGCAAAGTACTGACTTAGTAGGGATCCTGACCTTGGACTGCTAAAATGTATTATCATATATATTGGAACTCACCACCATGTTCCCTCAAGCTATCCCAGAATTGCAATACAAAGTCTGCGTAAGTGAGCTTTGTGTTCTAGTGCAGTCGTCGAATTGCACGTTGTGTCCCAACCCTGGGAAATCAGCCACAAAATCAGCCACAAGTGTCGATCATGCCATTGTAATCTCCTGCTGGCTCGTGCACACTGCGCAAAGCATGGGTTCGGTGTGCACGACGTGAAGCGAGCTGCCATGGAGGTCCTCGCGTATGTTCTCGGCGTCTCCTCAGAATCTACATTGCCTGCTTTCTCAGCCTCCTCTCCCCACTTGTCTCGATTGTTGTTCACATCATTCAAGCCTTGAGCCACCCTTTACTCTCTGGTATTAGCCAATGCAAGTGTGAGAATTTTCTTCAGCGTTTACCACGTCGTTTCGTCCCAACGACAAACGGGCAGGCGGTGGAGTTCTTACGGACTGAATTGTACACGGTCTATCGTACAACTGGGCTTCACCCAGTCTCACCCCCGCGTATTGACATCGGTCCGCAACATATCTCAAGATGACTCACCAAGGATCTTCTCGCCTACAGCATTTCCTCCAGGCTCATGCTGCTCAATCTCCATTCTTCGTAACGGGTTTAAGACCCCATCGCCAACTCAGTAAACCAGTCTCCGGTAATCTAAATGTTGAAATTGACAACGATGGCACCGAATCAATTCCAGAATTGATAGGAAGTCAAACCCTGCATTCGGATACATCATCAGCTTTCTCGTCGAATAATTCTTGTCCCTCTATAGCTGATCCTTACCCCACAATCTACGAGGATGTCTCCGACCTCGAATCCGAAGCTTGTGGCATGCCAACGACTCGACCATTGAAGGGGTGTGACAATCCCCTCAATCTGAAATCTTTTCACATCGATGCGTCGGTCGGGTCAATGGGACTTGGATTCCACGACTCTTCCCCATTTCTTAAGCCTCTCCTTTTCCCTGACACGGACTTTGATTATAACTATCCATGTAAGTCAATTGGATTTACCATCCATTGTTTCGGATATAGCCCGATTAACTATATTAGCGAATGATCTATTAGGGATAGTAGGAAGAGGGACGGACATGAACGCTTCTGAAGAGCCAAATACCGCAAGGTCATCGCCAGACCCATCATCTCATTCTCAGCGCCACGTCTTGCGTTACGTATGTGTAACCTTTCCACATTATCCTCGCTATCTAATATTGTCAACTTATAGGAAGACCGCACCCTGGGGCACGACCGACCAAGCTTTTCTGACCAGAATGCCGAGTTACAATCTGAAGCAATGGCGCAATGTGGATTCTGCGATCGAACGTCCGAGACGAATACAATGCTCAAAGACAATACACTGCTCAAGGAAGACCTAGACTGGGAACTTATCAAGACTACTGGGCTGGAATCTCCCGAAGCTCCCTGTCCGATATGCAAAGGGCATGTTGTTACGTCGGTGCTCTCGCAGCACACCCCCGTTTGTGAAAAGCTGCATCATACGGCCTTCAGAAGCCTTGTTAAGATACCTGCGCTTGAACGCATATCTGAACAACTAATAAAGAGCCTAGAAAGGGGAGACGAGCTACCAGCTCCAGAAATTACACATTATCGCCGCTCGTCGAGATCTGGAGATCACACCATCCTCCCCTATGATAGTAAAATACTTTCGACATATTCAGAATGTCCTGTCTCTGACAAGAGCTCAAGCAATGAACTTTTCGCCTCGCCACCCTCCAGTAAACGCCGCGACAAGTGGACAGATAACACCAAAATTACCAAGAAGAGATGCCTACTGTGCCAGTTGAACCCTATATTTACCTTTCCTCGTTGCGACCCACCCTTGAATCCATTTTCATGGTTAGAGGACCCTTCTATATCAATTCGATCTAATCTGAGCACCATACCGAGCACGCCAACTGAACTGGCATGCGACACGCAAGCTTATGCCAAGGGCCAAGACGCGGACAAAAGCAATGGAGAAAACCACTCTAAGTCAATCAATGGGCTTGATGAGTGCGCGTCTGAGGAGCTAAGCTGCAAGGCAAACATACATTTTATCCCCAGCGCTAGTGTCCACGAAGCCGCTAGTGACACTTCCGAAGCTACCCACAAGGACACGAGGATAGCAATTACTTCAGCCACAACTCCATCGGAAGCTGAGCAGATGACCAAGTTAAACGAGCAATTAGTATCAAGACCTTCCAAGGAGCAAGGAGTCTCTAGCGCGGTACAGTCCACCTCCGACCAGTCCAGCCAGAAGCTTAGTTCTCTCGTTAGTGGCACTGGTGACCAATTCTCCGACCAGCCAAAGGTGACCTATAAAGAACATATGATCAGAGCCGCACGGTTCGAACGCTTTCAAAAAGGAGCGGAGGCACGACAAAGGCTTGCGGAGAGTCTTGAGCCATTTTCAAATCTCAGTATTGGTGGCGAGCCTTCAGGCCAGTCAAAGTTGACATTTAAAGAACGGATATCAAGGACGCAGCGGCATAAACGCTCTTATGAGAGAGCGGAGGCGCGACAAAGGCTTGCAGAGAGTCTTGAGCCATTCTTTTCAAATGCCAGTATTGGTGGCGAACCTCCAGACCTGTCAAAGTTAACATTTGAACAACGGATATCAAGGGCACAGCGACATAAACGCTTTTATGAGAGATGCGAGGCGCGGAGATGCTCTAAAGTGGACGAGGTGGGCAACGAGCTAAGCTTGAGAGCCAACACAAATGCTCCGCCAGCAACCTCTTATCAACAGTGTGACGAACCCAATCCCACCACACGTGGAGGGCTACCCACCAGAGTTGCCTCGGAGTATACTCCAGTCATGCATCAACGCCATCGCAGCTATGATGCTTCGAAGAGCCAATCAAGCAACAAAGCTATCGCCGCGAAGTCAACTACACTACAGGAAACAGCCCCCAGAGAAACATCCAAGGAGTATGTGATTGATTGCCTAAAACCCGAGTGTTATGCCCCAGTTCCTAGCAACACCAGCAAAATCATAATCACCGCATCTGATCCTCCTACAACGCGCCCATCCACTGGAAGCGGTTCCTTCTTAGCCTCGTCCAGCGATAGCCCCGATGGGACTGATGAGTACAGCTCGGACAGTGATTCATCCTCCTTTGCGTCTTCTCCTGGAATCACGGGTTCTGCGTCATCTATACCCATTGTCCAGTCGGTGCTATTGTCTGCGAAGAAGGCATTAGTTGGACGGGTTATGACTGAATTTTACGCTATGTTTGAAACACGCCATGGCATTCGTATGCACGCCGGAGAAGAATCCACAACGAATAAGCCAGGATCCACACCAGACCGTCCTCGCTCTAATGGAGGGAATAATTTTACTAAGCGCAGTGTACGTGGCCGGAACTCAGCACCCCCAGACGATGACGATGAAGACGACTCTGAAAAGCGTCGAGAACTGGGTTCAACTGTGCATACTAGCAGGCCACCTTACCCAAGTCTCCGCTTCGCTTGTCCTTACTTCAAAAGAAATCCTACCGAGCACTGCACAAGTAGATCCTGCGAGTATCCAGGGTTCAAAAATGTGTCACGCCTCAAGTAGGTAGCTCATTATCTAGCCAACTCAAGTCTCGGAAAGTTAACCATCTAGGCAACATCTATATAACTGCCACGCTCTACAAAACTCATGCCCACGATGTTGGCTTGTCTTTGAGACTCAAGTTGAGCTACACGGACATCTAGGAGCTCCGGAAGCTTGTAAAGCCGGACACAAGCCTGTGAAGGGTTTTACGTATGAGCAGGAACGCCAGTTGAGAAGCAAAAAAAGACCGCGGAAGCCTTTAACAGAAGAAGAGAAATGGGCAGCCGTGTATCGACTCCTCTTTCCCGATGACCGCGAGGAAGACATTCCAAGCCCTTGTAAGTAACAACCCTAGATGCCTTGTAGCTCTAAGACATTGCGACTCGCACCGTTGGCGTCACTCAGAGAGTGTTCTTGAGGTCTGCACCACATACCCAAAGCTAACGTCTTCGCAGACTGTAATCGAAGAACGTCATCGGAGGATGGCAGGATCGACTCTCTTGCATCGAACGAAATGGCTTTGTTCGAAGAGTTTTCCCGGAATGAATTTCCACGGCTCGTACAGACTGAAGTTGAGATTCTGATCGAGCAAGACGCAGCAAAGTATGCGAGTGCCTTAGTCGATCTATTTCGAAAATGCCAGGATCGACTGTTCGAGGATTTTCGGAAGTCGCGCCTCAATACGCCGCTACCTGATGCTGAGACCATCAAATTCACGGAGCCAATTGCGGATGGTCATAATGGCCGACCAAGAGAGCCGTTCACCTGGCACACAGACGAGATTCAGGAGGAAAGATTCAAGCTATTCCCTCCTCCCCCGCCAGCCGACGACCTGCGTGAGTGGAATCTTCTTGATCTACATCAAAACGACTACATCGGATTTGGATCAAATCTAGGAGGCTCCTCCAACGGCCAGTCATACTCGGGGATTGAGTCGGGCTATGGCTCGGTAGACCCAGATTCTTTGTCCGCTGAACAAGACTCCGCCAATACATCTGGTGATGTTATGATATACCAGGGCAATCCGGGCCCTGTTCTTCATTCGTCCGGCGAGTTTCGTGTCCCTATACGCCAAACCGACTATTATCAGGGCACCTTTGATCCATTGCAAATAACTTCTGGGGATCTCGGAGAAACGGCGTCGTACACGGGCATGGCCAATGTTGAACTCGACCTTGATCAATATCTACATGATTATCAAGAAACATGAGGTTGAATCCTGAGGCACGATAATCTTACATGCCCTTCTCGGTCTTTCCCGTCCGGACGCCATCCCAACACGACAACACCAAAGATCTTCCGATGATGAATACTAGAAACTAAAACCCCCATCACGATTAACGACTATTTCAACTAGTGCAACTGATTCCCGCACCGGAACACAATATCCGCTCTTTCAGCATGAACAATTGTTTCGGATGCGAGAAACTACATAACGACTATTTCAAAAGATTCAACCCCTTCAAGTACTCTTCCATTTCACGCTGCCGAGTGTCTGGAGGCGTCGCCGGTATGCCGAGTGCGAGCCGTTCGTTTACTTCCGGGTCGCTATGTAGGAAGCTGAGCAATGTAGGTGATGTACTCGCTCTTCCGCAGTTCCTGGAGCTCGTCAGCATATAACCGTCTCCGAAGAACTGAAATTCGTACGGTAGGCCATTTGGCTCCAAGGTCGTCGTTGATTGGGATTCCGGAGACGGCATTGTAGGCGGTTGGTGATTTTGGTATTAGAGAAGGCAGGAGCAATCGAATAGAGTCACCGGCGGGCTTTAGAATACGGAAACTGAGCGTTCGAATCGTCTCTTCCTTTTGAACAAGTTTTGGATATGGCCTTACGTCCATCATTCCTCTTATATCCGTATGAATCACGCATTTTGGAGTAATTCAACGCCCCAAATTACGCAGGCACGAGATTTGACTTGTATACCCTCGAATTTTTGTTCTCTACGCAGCCCAGGATTTGTTCGCGATATCTTCATGCGCACCTGCGAGTTGATGAGTGATTGGCTGAAACGACGGTCCAATCACGTGGCCCAATGCAGAGTGAGGCTGTGCGCGGCGTTCGTTGTGCGCGGATGCGAACCGAGCTAGCCTCTCTTCTCGCCTTCAGGCAGACATCTCCAACATTCCTTCTACCCTCTACCACAACTGTCTTCGATCTATCTGATTACAAGTTTCCACATAGTGCTGGAATTGCTGAAGCATTCGGCGCCTGCCATCGAACACCCGACGAAATCCGCTCGTGCTGATTGGTGGCAAGGCTAGTAGGTTGCCATCGTGTTTAACCACGACCCACATCATAGAGTACCCGCAATTCATCCTTTGCGAGCATTGCAGAATCTAATAGATCCAACCAACGTTTCAGAGATGTCCTTTCCTAGGTACAATGACCTAGCCGGAGGTTCGCAACAGCATCAATCAACTACGGGCCAGGTCCCACTTGTATGGGAACCCTATTTATATGCAGCATCATTCACAAATCCATATGGAGATAAGAGTGTGAATTCCGAGGATGAGGGAGTTCCAGAGCTGTCTATGACGCCGCGAGGGGACAGTGGATCGTCGGAAGCATCGTCAGGTCCTTCGTCTTGCGATTCGAGTCCTTCTCTAATGGACGAGGTCGATCCAAACACTTTTGACGTCCAATATCTCACACAGAATTCGGCTTTAGAAATTACGGATCCTTTTTTTGATCTCGATTTCAAAGGCTTCCTTCGTAGTGATGACGACAAAGCCTTCGATTCTGGTTACGAGTCGCACATCGTGCCACCCGGCCCGAGAGAGCCACCGGCTTTTCCGTCTTGCCCGATGTCACAACCCAGAAAACTCTTGGAACTGCCTGTCCGGTCTCAAAAGTGCCCAGTTGCCTCATGCGTAAGTTACATTCAATCCCATTATCGATAGCAATACCACCTGTCTAACCTTCATAGGAATTCCATGTAAAAGGCTTCTTTAGGAAAAGCGAGCGCGACCGTCATGTGTCGACACACTTCAAACAAGGTCTTACGTGCGGATTCTGCCATGAGAAGTTCAGCCGGGTGGATCTCTTCAAACGACATATAACCAACGCTCACTCTCAGCCGCGGCCCGGACAAGACTCTGAAGCAGCATGTTCGATCTGCTTTCAAAAGTTAGCAGCAAGGGAGCTTTCTTTACATACTGGCAAATGTGTCTACGAAGCAGTTATTCAATCACTCAAAAAGAACTCGGGTGTACCTCCACAGGATGACGCCGACGTGGCGACGCATCCGGACCAGTCTCCTCCGGAAGATTTCGGTGGGGACACGTCAGGACTATCTGCCTTTGGCTCACGCCGCATGAGCGAATCTAATCCTGACAGTCTATCTGCTGCTGGGGGGGTATCGAAGCTCGTCACCTCGGACCTGAACCAAACGAAACCCAAGAACAAGAGTAGAGACCGACGGCCAAGCCTTTTAGATAAGAGACTGGCGTTCCATGAGGCTGACAATTCCACGGACGTTCCTAGAGCAAACTCTATCCGCCAGTCCAGCGAGAAACCGCTGCCAAGCAACTCTTTTGGTGCCCAAGACCTAGCGTCGGAGCTCCAACTTCACACCGGTGATATTCTTCCCGTCACTCCTTCCCAGCCAGAAGATAGGTCTATACTCAAAGAGTCACCCGTGGTTTCGACTGTCTCAGATAGCCTACTTGGTGATACTCCTGGTGAGACGGAGTATAGCTTCGACGACGAAACCGAATCCACTAGATCTCCTTTCTCAGATTCTCCGATCGCTGAATCACCCCTGGCCTCCATCAGTCCTGTCCTCAGCTCCGCAAAGAGGGAGCTTGTGGAACGAGTTATGTCGGAGTTTTATACCATTTTTGAGTCCACTGGAGGAGTACGGTTCCACGCCGGCACTGGATCTTTTGAAAGCCAAGAGACAACACACCACACGCAAGAGAGTACAAATACAAACTCTCAGAGCGGAGACAACTCGAAAAAGCGTTCTTTTAGTGATCGTGAGTCAAATGACCAAAATGGCGACGAAGAGGATGATGACTCGTCTAAACGTCGAAGACTTGGTTCAGAAACAAACTCCGACCTGTCATCGCATCTTGGACTTCGATTTGCATGCCCTTATTACAAAAGGAATCCGGGCCGACATTCAACAAACACATCCTGTGTATATCCGGGCTTTCGGCATGTATCACGTGTCAAGTTTGTGCTTCCTTTTTCACATACCAGACGCCACCTACTAACTTTGATAGGGAACATCTTTATCGCAACCACGCTCTGCCCATTGCATGTCCGCGATGCTGCAACACTTTCAAAAGTGACGCGGAACTTTACAACCACTCTAGGGCGCCCGAAAGCTGTGAGGTTCAAGAACAACGTCCATTGGATGGGTTCAACAGAGACCAAGAGATGAGGTTAAAAAGCAAGAAGCGGTCGCCAACTATTGTGACGGAAGAAGAAAAATGGAAAGCAATATACCGGATTCTCTTCCCATTTGATCCTGAGGCGGACATGCCAAGCCCATGTAAGTCAGACCTAGGTTCCTCATATTTGTTGCCGCTAAGACCTTCTTTCTGCTCTTCCCGTGATATTGCAGATTCCCAGCTAATATTTTCGTCAGATTGTGACCCAAGAACGCCTTTCGATGACGGGAAGCTCAGATCACCAAGTTCGAACGAATTTGCCATGTTCGAAGTGTTTTCCCGGAGAGAACTTCCACGACTCGTGCAAACTGGCTTGGAAGTCATTGTCGAACAGGAGACACAACCACTGGAGGATAGATTAAAGAGTCAATTAGTGGAGATTGTTCGAAACTCTCAAGCTCAACTTTTCTCGATGTATCAACAATCCCGCATCGCTCTACCAGGACTGTTCGCTGGAAACACAGACATCATAGAGGGAAGAGCAAATGTTAACGGGGAGCGGCACCCAGATTCGCAAGGGAAGATTGATCTCGTGGAGGCGGAATTGTCCCAGCTATTCGTCCCTCCCCCGCCAACGAATGACCTCGTTACCGCACCGAGCCTCCAGGACATCCGGCCAGTGGGCTCTTTGCAACTTAAATCGGCCGCAGGAGGCTCGTCTAACGATCTTTCAGACTCTGGCTATGACTCGGTGATGCCTAGTTCTTCGATGACGCAGGGCTCTCAAAAAGATGCCAGCACTTTTTCCCAAAAGATTCAGAACATCAAACCCAGCTCCCCGCCAACTGAAGATTTTGAGCTTTTCTTCAATGAGAGTAAAGAGTATGGTCAAGATCCCTGGGCTCTTGCGAGGCATGGCAATGCAAGACCAGACTCGGATATCATGAACGCACAGCTTGAGGTTGACATAAACCATCTTTTCGACGATTTCCACAATGGCTCAGATTCTCTTTTCCGGTCGGAGCAGGATTGAATCATAGGCTTCCATTATCATTACTAGTTCTACCACTATGATTTGAAAGACCGTACACAGGCTTGGCGCTATTTTGCCACGTAGGACGTGAGACAGGCGACCGCGAGTGAGATCTGTTCCAATACGTAATGTCTACTGTTCTGATCAAGGACGACGTTGTGGCGGAAGCGAAGGGCATGGGAACCGAGGCGAAGAAGACGCCCAATGGCCATGCGCATATAGCTGTGCCGTCGGAGTACCACAAGCAGAAGATCGAGCATACACATAAGCTGCTGGAGCGGGAGAAGGCGATACTGGATGCGATGCAGAGCCGCCAGAGAAGCCGGGGGCGGTGATTTAGGGGATGTCTGAGGCAAAATTGGTTGAAAGTCATGATGGTGTATTCTAGGTTGTAGCACCAGTCTTTCAGCAAGCGAATTGGGTCTGTGGGTTGAGGCTTGTAGTAGTTCTATGATGGCTGATAGTTAGGGCTCACTGACTTTTAGATCGATGAACGGGTTTCCGAACCTGTGCACTGTGTGGTCGCTATACTTGAGCTTCAATGGATACGACCCAGTTATTCCCAGTCGATGTATTCGGATTAGAAGCTGTTTCTTCACGATTTGTATTTGGCCGGTGGTCTCCCACCACGTGACCGTATTGCGGCGCTGAAGTCGGGTCGAATCTGAGACCTCACTGAGAGCCACAGTGGACCATGTACACCCAGTATACGAGAACAACTATGTGGCTCCTGCAAGGTCGTACCTACAGTTGGCACCCAGCGGTACTGAGACAGGGATCGACAACGCAACTAACCGCCCCAGCCCCTCTGCAGCTGTGCCTCAATCTAAATTTGAGAGAGTTCTGCTCCCCCAACCTCTTCTTCCTCAACTCATCAAGTCTATCCGCATCTTCCTTTACAGCTTCTAAGCACCGTTCGTGCTACTTCCCCTGTACCCTTATCAACAATCGTCATGTGCTTCTCGTTCAGGAAAGTCCGACGCGAAGTCCCACGGAACCCGTGGACCTCTTGGGAAGTACCGTCGCGGAAGCGCAAGATTTCGAAATCGCCCATCCCTCTCTTTCCAAGACATGCACAAACCTAGTCGCCTCTTTTGGCAAACTCTCTGCGGAGCTGCGAATCATCATATATGAGATCGTCCTAGGCGACCCTACTCGACTCATGCATATTCTCCCCTATGAGGACGGATCATATCGAGTAAGTCGTCGCCGTTGCGAGGACATGGAATGTCCGTGCCCAACTTGGCAACACAAGTGTTTCAGAACGTGGTTGGAAGTTCACAACCTAAGGGGACTTAGGGTTTCGCGGGTCACGCATCCCTCGAATGACAACCTCATTACTTGTCTCTTGAGTTGTCGTCTGATGTATGTATATGTGCTCTAAGCTCTTGTATCCCTCGAAATCAAGGCTTGAGGCCTGCGCTCGTTCTCCATTGTCGCATTACTAAGCGATAGACATTTTATACACTGCAAACTTTTCCAGTTTGAAAGGCTCAACGGGAATACTCGCAATGCACTCAGTCGTACCGACCTTCACGCCAAAGAGATATTACTCACGTGACCAGGGGCGGCCAATCGATTTCCCTCCAGATGGTTTCAATAGATGGTCCAGTGGCTGTAAGGCCTTGCAAGACTTACGTGGCCTGCACTCGCTGCACGTTGACATCATTGTCCGAGACTCAGCACCGCCGAGAGATCCTGCCGCAGTAGCCTTCGAGGCCCTAGTGTCAATTCTAGGACCACTCAAAGGCATCGAAGCTCCGGTGTTTGAGGTCGAGATGAACTTTCCCATTCGTGAAACTGTTCAGACTGCACTTGGTCAAACGAACTTGACGCTTTTGGTCAACGAATGGCCATACAATTGGGATCTTTTCGGCGAGATCTCATAGGCTGAAGGCTATTACTCATGATGTATTCTGTTTGGATCTAAACTAGTGGTACAATACTCCCATCTTCACTCACAGACCTAGGGCAAGTTCCTTCGTCCATCGATTTGGTCCGAAGCTTCCGACCCTTTAGAAACACACCCACTCTATGGCTGTGTACACTTGTGTAGCACCACTTGAGGCCCCCTGGCAAACTATTGTGAATCGGAAAACGACAATTATAACACGCCTGATAGCTCTTCGGGCCACCTCAGACGGCGTCAAAATAGTATCAGATCCGCAGCTGATACGGCTTCGACGAGACGCGGCTTAAAGTAGCAGGTACGAGAACCGGTCTAACAGATTGGCCCTCAGCCTCCGAAGGCCATTCGTAGCTGATTGACGAAAGTCATTTCTTGTCGGTCGGGGACGCATCTAGTCGGGACGCATCAAGCCAAGTCCTTCTTTCTAGCCAGCTCCTTCTTGTCCCTAAAATCATTTCCTCCCTGCTCTCTCCCGGCAGACGGCGCATGTACACATAGATGCGACAGCCGCAGCCGCGTTCATAGGCGAATACTTCCCCATAATTTACTCGCAGAAGTGTTAAATCGCGGCAGTTCGTGGACCAGGAATCCGAAATCCATGCGCCCTGTTCAACGTCAAAATCCTTCTCATCTCTCCGACGGTGCCATGCCTTGCACTCCTCGGACGCGATCAATGAGCTTCCGTGCGAACAAAGAGCTTCTTCTATCCGGTGCCATGTCAACCTCAGCTTTTCTCTGTCCCGGGCCACTTCCTGGGCGAGTCGTAGGATTCCAGGACTATTCCGCCGCAAGTGTGGGCATAGGGGTTCCTCAGAGGCGGCCAGCGCCGCCTCCAGTGCTGGCATGGAGATTGGAATACCTTTCACTACGCACAAGATCGAGAACCAGCAACTAACCAGCGTGTCGCCAAAGAAATTTGTAAGCCTTGGTCGAAAACTTAAGGGCCATCGTTCGCCGCAATGGCTTTCATGGTCGCAGTGGAAAGCGCCCCAACCGCCGGCAATTGCTTTGATTTCGTCGTACGTGAAGCTGTGATGCGCGCAAAGCCTCATTCTTTGCTCGGTCCCGATGCAACGATGCACAAGACGACTTAAAGCCTTCTGCTGGGCAGAGAAAAGGGTTGGTAAGTGTCGGGTGCTACATGCGCTGCACCAAATAAATCGCCCAGAGTAATGATCTTTTTCGATGAACGAGTTTTCCTAGTCGAATTTGTTGAGCGGAAAGAAGCCCGAACTCAGCGAAATCGTATATCGCATCCTCTGACACGTTTGTCGGACTAGAATGGTGGAAGCTGGAGCAAGATGATCGCCTATCAAGAGCAGAATCTCGGTGGGTAGTTGATGGGCCCGGGCCTCGGTGGCATTATGGATGGCTGCAGCCTGTTGTTTCCGATATGCCTTCGGCGCCGTGATGCGGAATAGAAATATGGGCAATACGTCTGCCAATGAATCTCGAAAGTGGTCGAGCGTGCTCTTGAGTTTGTTTTGGGTTGTCATGTTGAAAGTCATGAATGAGTCGAGATGAGGAGGAAGTGCAAGCAAAATGTATCTTTCAGGTTGTGGGAATTTATATTTCAAGGATCTGAGTGCGTTAGGTGTTGGTACCAGTGATTAGATTTTCTTGATTCCAGTGCCCCAGGTTAGGTGAACCTTGGTTGAACGGGTGCGCAGATGGGAGAACCATGGATCGTGATGTAAGTCCAACACCGTCTGAGGGGGCCCGGATAACTATCAGCATCGTCAAAACTCAAAGTGGTTTTCTCAATCACAAATTCGTGGATTGCCTCTTCATTTCCGAAGAACACTAGACTTCTAGAGGTTGAATATGAACCATATCGTGGTGTCAGACCTGTTCGGGCAACATGAATGGAACACCGAAACCCTCAATCGGTGGCATATGCATAGAAGTGATCCAACTTCCTAGTTGTTCTTGCTGTGGCAGTGGAAACAAGTCCCCTTCGAATGATCTACTACATCACTATTTTCATCTTAACGCGTTCCGTTCTCAGGCGCGTCGAGAGTACTCTAAAGCGCGTCTCCCAATAAATACACCATTCACTTAACACAGTTATCATTCACAACAATCATGTCAAGCAGAGAGGCTACGCTCAACTACCCAAACACACCATTGAAATAAATGATAGTTACATCTGCTGTCTACTCATCCAACTCTGCCGCGACTCCGACGATGTTCTGCAAACAGTAGCCAATGAGCTGCTCGCCCCGGAGAAAGAGGCCGAGGAGACCGACAACGACCGCGAACAGGACGAAGAAGAATGTGATTCTGAATCCGATGTGGAGTCTCGCTATTAGAAATGCATGGGACGAAGCGGAAGTGGGTTGAGCTCGCGATAATCCGAAACTAGATATGCAAATCCTGCGGCGAGGTGTACGATGCCGTGGGGAAATACGACGGTGCCTGCGATTGTCATGATGGTGTGTTTGATCTTTTACAGCTTTACCTCGCTTTGATCGTTGAAGCTGCTAATGCACTTGGTATAGGCGAGCTCAGATTGGACGAAGGCAACGAGGAGTTCTGGTCGCAACATCCTGAACTCAGAGGAAGGATCCGCAATACCGAGAAGATGCGACAGAGGTATGCCGGTGCCTTCACTTGGGATTGTTGCGGTAAGGCGGGCGATGCTGAAGAGTTCTGCTAGTCGGGCAGACACGAACCAACGCGCTGGGTCATTGATTTATACCGTGAATTAAGTAGTTTCGAGATCGAAAGTGCCTTCTAATTCATAGCAAGAGATAGAAAGAAAAGAAAAGGCATGAAACCCTTAGAAGGGAGAAGGCAAGCATAGATAGAGAAGGGCCTGAAGTTATTATGGTGCCTATATGTCTGCATCTCAACTTACGCATCAATGTAGACTGGACTATACTCCCCATCAGGTGTCTTGCCAGACGACAACGAACTTTACCAACCTCGGGGAACATATGCTGGCGGTGAATCTCACTAGCAAAATCATTCCATAAAGCCAACGATCTAGAATCTTCACCATACCACCACAAGGTCATAAAGGAGTAACACGTGACTCAAAGCCAGTCGTCAACTTACAAACCCCACATTACCCCTTCCATCTTAGCGCGCCCTTTACGCGACACCGCGATCCACCGCGTCTCCCCCATCTCCATTCACCATCCACTATCCACCATAGCCGTAGCATAGCAGCAATGTCATCCCTCGATCTCGTCCTCGCCGCAATAGATGCCGCAGACCCCGACCGCCTCCGTATCACTCTAAAGCGCGTCTGTTCTCTCTCCAATGACACGCTAGAGCTCGTCTGCTCCGAGCTGCTAGTCGCCGAAAAGGCCGCTGAAAGCCAGAAGAAAGCTTCCGAATCCGGGGGGAATGGCAAGGAAGATAATTCGAAGGCGCTGAAACGGAAACGGGTGGAGTACAATACGATCCGCTTCCAAACATGTATCCAGTGCGAACAGGAATTCGACGCTACGAAGAACGAGGAGGGGTGTTGTAGATGGCATAAAGGTGGGGCCTTTTTGATGTTTTGATGGTGTAAAGAGCTAAGCAATGATATGTGCTGACATGCTATTAACCAGGTGAACTTGAAGCTGACGAGGACCCTAACATGTGGCCTGATTTCGAGGACTGGCGTGACGGGGAGTATGATGACTGGAAAGACGAGTTTCCGGAACGCTTCCTGTGGTCTTGTTGCAAGAGGCGGGGAGACGATGAGGAGGTTTGCTGTGTTGGGAAGCATATGTCCGCCCAAGAGCATGCGTCTGGGAAGAGTGGCTAGTCGCGTGCTGAAAGCGGGCGGGTTTGCTATTAGAGAACGAGGGTTCAGAGGATGAGGACTCTGAGGAGGGTTCAGAGAACAAACACTCGGAGGACGAGGGCTAGACGGGTACGGCGATGGCGCAGACAGTTTCTGGATGAATGTGGACATAGAGTCGGTGGTTGAATAAACAAAAAGTGGTACCTTGGCGTATCGAGGGAAGTCGTCACCTACAGCTCGCACGTGATCACCCAATCTCAGCGCGATAGACCTCACAACGCAGCGTGTGTCCCCCATCTTCATGATTACCAAGCCCATCCATAATAGCAGTATCATCGCGCGACCTCGCCCTCACCGCTCCCCGCGCCGCGAGCACAGATCAACTGCGCACGATCCTAGAGCGAGTCTGTTTCTGCTCCGACACTGCCCTCTACATCGTATGCGAAGAACTACTCGTCCTCGAGAGTCCGATCGAGTCAGACACCAACAACGACGGCGAGGAGCCCAAGGTGAAAATTGAGCCGGTCGAGGACGAAAATGGCGAAGAGCTACCGCAGGAGCGAACGGAGTACATAAAGCTGCGATACGAGCTCTGCAGCCAGTGCAACGAACAATACGACATCACAACCAACCAGGAAGGTAGCTGTCGATGGCACCCAGGTAAGCTGACTGCACACCCAGATGATAGACGTAGCGAGATGTAACTTACTGTTTGACTAGGCAAAGCGAAGATGGACTTCGATCACAAATCGTGGGACGACGTGAATATGTGGCGCTAAATCGTTTACGAGTCCTGGTGTCATCGAGTTATATGGGATGCTATTAAAGAGAAGCCACAAGGGTTCGTTTGGAGCTGCTATGGCCGGCACGGAGACGAAGAGCCGTGCTGCGCTGGGAAACATGAGCGTGGCACGTGGGTGGAGACTCTGCGCATGTCGAAAACACTACCTGAATGAACCCCGAAAGTATAGGCAGCCTTGTAGGGAAAGGAGACTTCGAGGTTTGACGGATGGAGGTTGTAGAGTTGGTCGTGGTCTTGTGGGAGCTTTTGGATAACATGCTGGAACCGCATGTCCTTGAAATGCCTCTTAAACCCTTCAATACATACAAAGCTCCTTCGATCCATCTTTATTCCCCAACGATCCCACCCTAATCAAACATAATCTTCCTCCCCTTAAACACCAACCCCCCCGCCAGCTTCCCAAGAGCATACCCCAGATACGCCCCCGTCACAATCGTCACCGGCCACTTCTGCCACTCGCGGTCCCAATCCAGTGGTATAGGCACCGCCCCTGCCCAGGCCCCTACCAGCGTCCCCACCATCCCACCCACTACCTCATCCACCGGCAACAGTAATCCCACAACTTCCCTCCACCGCTCCCCGTCCACACCAAGCACGTATACGAGCGGCAGAAATGCCAGGATAGCGATGTGCGCCGCCGCGAGGAAGGTATGCGCAAAATGTGTCGTTATGGGCGCGCCGAAGAGGATGAGGGTGATGCCTGTGAGGGGGGTGATGGCGAAGAGTGAGAGGATGAGGGAGAGGAGAGCGGGCTGGGAAAACGTTAGCTATTTCATTCAGATACATAATTTCCAGGCTTCGAGTGCTGGCCAGGGGAACTAAAGGATACGTACAACTATCTTCACTGTATTGGAACCAGTTGCGGTTTTTGCTGCGCTAGCCCGTTTCTTCGCAGCTTTCGGCACCGCAGGCGTCGAGGACCCCGATCCAGCAGTCGGCGGTAGACATACTGTCACATATGCGATTTGCAATGCGCTGAGCGGTATAAGGGTCTGCAGGAGCGCGGGGACGGGATCCGCTACGATCGCGTTGAAGCGCAACGCGTATAGGGAGAGGAGGAGGGCTGGGTGGATGTGTGTGTATAGCCGCGCGGCATCGGTAGGGAGGATGTCAATTGGCGTCGCGGCGGGCCTCGGTTTTATGCCGGGGGTGGACATTTCGTGATATGTGTATGGGGTCTGAGAACATTGGTGGTGATGGCTGAGGTTGAGGTTGAAGATGATTGCGTATATCTCAGCACGGTATTTAGCACGTGACCGCTTAGAAGGGAAAGTCTTGGCTCTTGGCGCAATCCGAAAGTGTAGAAGCCAGAGCGAAGGTGAATAAATTTCATTTTGCATCCTAAGCGAGCTCTTAAGCGAGTAGTACACGTGACCAACACAACTCTAGGACTCGTACTTCACACCCAGAGCTCCGATGGTCACGCATCGTGTGGACAGATATTACTATCTTAGGGCTAGGAGATGCAGACGATGCTCTATGCACAACGACCCACGCATCGTCGAGCTATAAAATAAAAGGGATCTAAGAGAAATTGGGAGATCGCGGCGCGGCACAGCACGGTGGAATATACTGCTAAACCACTTTTGGGAGCCGCATCGGCCTTGGACAGCGCAATTGCCTTTCTTGGTATAATGGTCCGGCACTTTTAAATCGTGTTACCAACTCTAGTAAAAATTTGAATATTATCATGAGCTTACGAAGTGCCGCCAAAACATCTTGATCTTGACTGAAAGCTCTATTCAAGACTTTACATCTATTCTACTCATCCCAATACCCACCACCTACCTATCCAACCCATCAAACTCCACAAGCCTTCTCACCAACCCCACCACTTCCTCCCCGCCCACATTCATCCCCGGCTCATCAATCTTCTTCGCCAGAACCTGATCCAACATCCCCCTCAACCGACTAATCAACACTCCAATCCTAGCCCAGCCCCTCAGTCTAACCCACTCATCAACCACCACGCCCCTGCCAGCTGTATCGACCTCCAGCTTGCCGCCGAACAGCAGCATGGAGAGGTTGTTACACGGCGAGCACTCCCTGATAAACACCTTACTGGTTGCCATCTTCGAGAAATAGGACAGGAAGCGCGAATCGCCCGGGAAGGTCTGCGCACCGAAGAGAGTGGAGCTGGGGTGTATGAAAACGCGCCCAGCGTCTTGGGTGAAGAACTTGATGGCGCGGGACTCAGGATCCAGCGCCACGGCGCCGGAGACCGAGGCGGCAAACTTAGTGTCGGGGAGCTCGATGCGAGCGATCTGAGGCTGGAAGGAGCCCGCGATGAGGGCGCGGAGGAGGGGGGTGGAGGTGTTGTAGGCGTTGTAGGCTGTTTTGCTGTTGTTTTCGGGAGAGGAGAAGTAGTTGTGTGGGAGAAAGTCGGTTTCTTTGAGTGCGGAGAGGTATTGCGAGCGGTTCGAGGTGATGTCGAAGAGCGTTTGGGTGGAGAGGAAGTTCTCATCGCACCAAAAGCGGAGTTCACGTGGAGAAACGCCTTTAGAGCGCATGCTAGCCCATTGCTCGTAGGCGCGGAGATCGCCGATTAGGTCGCCTTGGCCCTGAGAGAAGGGAGCACGGGCTGCCTTGGCTTCGTCACGTTTGTCCTTAGGGGAGAGGAAGGGGCTGCGCAGGGTAAGGATAGAGGCGATGGTTAGAGAGGCTTCGAGGCAGCCGAAGGTGGCGCCGTAGACAAGGAGCTTGCTGCACCGGAGGTCGGCGGGAATCATAGCGAGATGACGACCTAGAGCTGTCAGATCTTCACCATCAAGAGCTCCCATACGACGGAGAAGGTCGATAGCGCCTTCAACGGCAGTGCTGTCTGGTGGTGTGAGCGCTCCGGCAAGGAATGCTGGGACGTCTGCTACGCCCATTGCTCTCACAGAGAGACAGAGTTGCTCAAGAGGTACCCGTCGGATCTCGGGCTCAGGCCGCTCCATCATCTTCATCATCTCTGCGTTGCGTGTGTATAGCTTGTAGCATATACCAGCCCGAACTCTGCCAGCTCGACCACGACGCTGCTTACATGCTGCTCTGGAGGCCCAAACCTCACCGAGCTTGACCATGTTGTTCTGCGGATCGAAACTTGTTTCTTTCACGCGACCCGTGTCAATGACTGCAACAATGTCTTCGATAGTGATGGACGTTTCGGCAACATTAGTGGCGCAAACCACTTTCCGTTTGCCATGAGGTGGAGGTGGGAATACTCTCTTTTGCTCGACTGGAAGAAGTGATGCGTGAAGTGGAAGAGCATGAAGATTCGGTATGTTGCGGAGGGCCTGGTATCAAAGTTAGTTTCTGGACCGAAGTTCGGACAAGTCGACGTACCTGAATAGTCCGATCAATCTCCATAGTTCCAGGTAGAAAGATCAGAATCCCGCCATCTTGACCACTCAGCTGAGCGTCTATATGCTTTACGGTGTTTGCAATGAGATCGTAATTAATCCTCATGCCCACGTTCTTGAGCGCACCCGCCATAGACTTCGCCGACTCGTCCTCATCCTCGTAGTCGTCATCTCTATGGCCTGCAAAACCTGTCATCCGCACGACATCGTCGACGTAGAAGTCCTGGACGGGATGCGTGCGTCCTTGAATCTCGACCCTTCCAACAGATCCGACACCGGCGAAGTATCTCTCGAAAACATCGGCATCGAGCGTCGCACTCATCAGAATGACCTTGAGGTCTTTCCTCCGATGCAGTATATCTCTTAGTAAGACCAGCAAAAAATCAGTATCGAGACTACGTTCATGGACTTCATCGACTACGACATGACTGACATCCGCCAGAGCCGCAACGACATCGTCCGGACTGCCCCCGGATGTTTGTAGTCTTCGTAGTAGAACACCAGTAGTAACGAAAGTGATCTTCGTGACACCTGGCTTCCCTTTAGATTCTCCCCGAATAGTATATCCAACTTCATCCCCAACAATGGAGCATCGTTCGTCTGCCACTCTGTCCGCAAGACCTAAGGCTGATATCCTCCTCGGCTGGGTACAGATTATGTTGACAGCTTCGCCAAGTTTCCGCTTGATCAAATCGTCCAGGATGAATTGGACAGACTGCGTTGATTTTCCAGAACCCGTCTCACCGGAGATGATGACAACCTGGTTGTATTCCACAGCTTCAACAATGTCTTCCCGGAGCTCCCACGCCGGTAGTGATCGCCGAGCCGCCATCATCCGTTCCTGAGCAGGCATACCTTGTTTCTTTTGCCACTGTTCTAGCATTCGAACACTTGTCGGCGTGCCTAGGCGCCAATGTATAGGCTTTCGAGGCCTATTTCTGTTTTGCTTTTGCCGAACTTGTTTGGTATGTGCACCACTATCGGCGGCGGATAATCCAGAAGACACATCGGACAGTCTACCTGGCCGCTCGATAATACCGGGAATCTCTCGCTCCAACCAATCCACCAGATCGAACAGCATCTGAGTGCCCATTAGATTTGAGCTGGCATATATCAAGACCCGCCTTATTATGCTGAGGCGTATGTAGGCTGGTAGCTGTGCCTGAATCGTGATTGTAGGCAGAGCATGTGGATAGCCTATTGCTTTTCGGGCTTGAAGAACTATTTTCTTCCCAGATTTCTGCTCGCATTCGAGTTGTATTCGACATGTGTCTGGTGACGGGGCTTCGTATTTGGTGTCGTAGATGGCTGCAAGCGATTCTTGCTCTTCTTCCCATGGATCCGGTCCATAATCGTCCGCTTCTTCGAGTTCTATCTTTGAAAGATGTTCTGCCAGATCATCGTCCACGTCAGTGTTCTGCAAGAGGTGGTTCTGCAACACAGCTGCTGCTTTCGCCTCATCGCCGCCCTGACCATCGTATGCGGCTTCACACATCTCGACCGCGTATCCTGCCGTCGCAAGTCGCTTCAGAGCAGCCTCTCGTTTCAGATTGCCACTCGCCATGCTGATACCCGCAACATAGCCTTCGGGAAGACTCCAGCTAGGGAGATCATCTTCCGGGACGTGAATCAACAGCCATTCCAGGCATTCTTCACGATCCTTACACAGCTCCGCCGCTTCCTCGACATGACTTCTCCTAAATCCCAGGCCCACTACTGCCTCAATCATCTTCGCTCTCGCCTGCTGCGATGGCTCGACGTTATTCGGGTTCCACACCGCATCTCTCCTGACCAACCTCTCGATCTCCGTCCTAGTCCTCTTCCCCAACTCAATCTTCGGCACCCTCATCCACCCCTTCATTTTGTTCCCTCCACCTCCTGGGCCTCCACCACTCATCCCCGGCTGCCCAGGTTGACTAGCTTCCTTCACCCTCTGTTTCATAATTTCCTCCCTTTTCTTTGCTGCAGCTGCCTTTGCTTGTTCTCGCTCCTTGAATGCCGTAAACGGGTCCGCCTCATACATCCACGCGCGTCCCTCCTTCTTATCCGCCTCTTTCAGCTCCTGAAACGCGCCCTTCCAGTGTTCCTTATACAACGGCGGCAGCGTGAGGTGGATATTCTTCATACTCGCTACCCGGAATAGCGTATACGTCGCCGCGAAATGCTTCGCCTCCACCTGCGTCGGGGCATAAGAGAGCTGAATATGTGTATCAGGTAGTATAAACGGCGGAAGCGTGATCTTCTCCTGCGTCTTCGGATTCGTAGAGGAGAGGAGTACGGTCGCGGACCACGAGTCATCGGCTTTCCTATACTACAATCACAGTCTTAGCTTATTCCACTCATCCGCTATTGCCCTAAAACGCGTGAAGCCATTAAGACGTGAAAGTAAACGCGTCGCGCACCGTCCTATAGTCCGGCCTCGCCCACTTCTGTTTCTGGCAATGCTCAGCTAGCATGTTAACCGGCAGCTTCCCCGTCCATGACGCGCCGCCAATGAGTGTCCGTGTCTCAGCGCGCTTTTTCTCCTCTTCTTCGCGGGCTTCTTTCCGCGCTTTGGCTTTCGCGGCGGCGCTTTCGTCGTTGTTTTTGGAGGAGTTGGAGAAGACGATGTAGCTGGCGTCGTCGGCGGGAGGGGCGGTGACGGGTTTCTTGCCGGCCGCGCCGCGGGGAGGGTGGGCTTTTTTTACCATGCTAGATGTGTGTAGTAGTTGGTGGGAGGGTTTTGGGGGCGGGATAGCCGTAATGCGGAGAAGATGAGGCTGCTGATGATGGTGAAAAGGTCTTGAAGCGTCCTCCACAATAGCTGGCAGCGGCAGTATTGATGCGACTTCAGATACTACCCAACGAAACCTCTTGCCGAAGAAAACATGTATAAAAGCTGCTGTTCTTAGTTGCCATAGCCTTCACAGGCAGCGGGTAGCGGGGCGAAGGAAAATCTCATAGGGCTGAAATAAGCTCAATTTAGCGCCCGGCGGCAACGTCACTCTGAGATCTGTGCGGCCTGGTGTTTTGGAGCTCAACTCCAGTCAGGCTTCCTTGAACATAACACACCCTCCGGGCTTTTGTGCACTTCCCCGGCTTTTCTTGAGCTCCTCTGGTACAGTATCGACAGTTCTAGCGAGCCTGATGCTCTAGCTTTCCAAGCTACTCCAGCCAGTGTTGGTCTGCTGCGCTCTATTCCAGGAAACCTACCAGGCACCCCACAACTGCCCTCACCTCCCCATTCCCAACCCCGCTCCAACACCATGGAAACATCAAAAGAGGCCCCAGAGGACGCCATCACAGCTTCAGAAAGGACAGGCACCACCATACCCACCGATAAACCTCCAAAACGGCCAAACGCCTGTACGTCCCTTCCATCCCATCCCACTGAACTCTCCCATACACCACACCCCACTGACCCAACCAGTCACAGAATTAATGAACCGTTCGAAACAATCTAAACCAACTCCTCCCCCCGCACCACCCGCACCCCCCTCCGCCTCCCGCCACATCTTCAAAGACCGCACCGGCCTTGGCGCCTACATCGCCTCGCCAACCTCCTTCCCCGCCTCAGTCGTGATATCCCACAACGAGAACTACGTCCTCATCCACGACCTCTACCCGAAATCGAGCGTGCACCTCCTCCTCCTCCCGCGGAACCCAGAGATCTCAGACACCCACCCACTCACAGCTCTAACCACGAACGCAGCGTTTCTGGAAGAGGTGAAAGTTGAGGCCGCAAGAGCGGTGAAGATCGTCGCCGCTGAGCTCCGCCGCCGCTACGGCCAATACTCCGCCGCCGAGAAAGCTCGAGAGGAAGCGCTAGAAGCCATCATGGCCTCGGACGCCGACATACCCACCGAAGAAGCCCTCGAGGCCCAGCTCCCCAAAGGCCGAGACTGGGAAGCCGAAGTGATGGTCGGTACGTTTTCACCTCCTTCCGCCCCCCCCCCCTGAAAAGTTACCCACACATCCTTACCCAAACGTCTTCGCCAGGCGTCCACGCACACCCCTCCATGTCGCACCTGCACATCCACATCCTCTCGCGCGACCGCCACTCGCCCGCGCTGAAGCACCGCAAGCATTACAACTCGTTCGCGACGCCGTTCTTCGTGCCCATCGCCGATTTCCCGCTCGAGGACGGGGATCCGCGGTGGCATCCCGGGCGCGAGGGGTACTTGCAGGGCGACATGAAGTGCTGGCGGTGCGGGCAGAATTACTACGGGCGGTTCAAGCAGCTGAAGGCGCATTTGGAGGGGGAGTTTGAGGGGTGGCGGGGGGAGTAGGGTTGGGGAGGAGGTCGTAGTAATTATGAAAGAGCGGAGCGCGTGAGATTCCGGTGCATAGCGAAGCGTGCGCGTTTGGTGATACCCAGATAGACATCGAAGAACCAAGAAATGCGTTTGGGCACGCCTTACACCTGCGTGGGATACCCCCGCCAGGCTTTGAAACCCTCCGTACAGGATGTAGCGGCCACCGCCGTGGGTACTAGTCAACCCGTTGACTAGCTGAAGGCATGTTAGCTAGGGCGCTCTTCGCAGTGGTATCGAGAAGGCAAAAGTGGAGCCGGAGCAGCGGTATACTGCCAGGTATAAAGTCTACGCACACGCGTCTACCACTGCTCGGGGTACCCCCCTGGGATTTCAAAACCCTAGGCACGAATGTCAGGTTTCAAGCCGCCTAAACTAGCCTGCCTCTTGACCAATTGGGCACTTACTAGCTGGGCAACTCCTCACAGTGGTGTCGAGTGCGCAAGACCGGATCTAAGTAGTGATGCATCTGCATATCTAGACTTCTGACCTGGTATTATATATCCGTATGCCCAGACTTACGGTCTGGTATTTGTACCTCATCATCACGATAGCAGCACAGTATTGCGAGGCGATGGAGTTGATACCCAGGATGCTTCATTCGTAGCTGTTACCTGGCTACCGTTCTAGTGGAGATTCCCATATGCCATGCCGTGCCCACCAGTGAAAAGGAAAGAAGAAAGAAAAAGAGAGACCCCATCCGTCCGTCCTGCCCGTCCTGTCCGTTGCCAGACAGCCTTGTCATGTATGGTATAACCATTTCTCCCATGTCCGAATCCACCACTCCAACGCCGAAAAACCAGGCTGAAAGAAGGAGATCTTGTAGCCGAAAGGAAAGAAAGATGGCAGAGGCCATATCATGTATCATGAGGGGGAAGGGGAAGGGGGAATCGTGGAGTGTGCTTTCGTTAAAAAAAAAAAAAAGGAAAAGTGCAAGCCTTACCGCCAGAACTCCGTCGCTGGTTCGCTCATTGTCCAGTCGCTCGCCCAGTCGCTCATCCGCCACACGCTCCGAAAAGTAACCAGCTAGAATAGCCACGTTCAGTGTATAGACCGACGCTGTCTGAGTAGCCCCAGTGCCGCTTCAGTCTACAAAGCACCTAGTCAACCTCGGCATATTGGCCTAAAGTGGAGCTAGTTACGAATGACGATCCTCTTGACGACATTCGTATCGATGCCGTGCAACTCAGGGGGAAACTTGCACTTGTCGGCAAAAATGCACGTCTTGCCGCCTTTGGTGGAAGATGAGCCATTCTTCGGATCCGGGGCCGGGCAGCGGTGACCGTAGATGCACTTGAGGTCTTCGCAGCTGGACCCGTTAATGCAGGGCGCCATGCGCGCAACGAGCTTTAGTGTTTCAAGCTCGCCGCGGGTCGGCTTGTAGGTATGAACGTGGGTGCAATGGGCGCCAAAGGGGCACTCGTTGCGCAAGAAGTGCACGTTGCACATCTTGATGTTCTTGACGCGGTTGACTTCGTCCTTGTTGTAGTTGGCGGACTGCGGATCAACGCGCTGGCCTGCGCGGTTGCGCGGGATAGTGGTCGGGGTGGTGTCACGGGCCTGGGTAAGTTTTGTTGGCGGTGGGCTCTTCGATGGCGGTGGGCTCTTCGATGGCGGTGGAGCTGCGGCTCGGTTGGCCCAGGTCGGGGCTGTGGATTGTGGTGTGAGCACCGCGAAGCCGGACAGATCGTTTGATGCGACAGTGGACACCGAGGGGTTTCTTGATAGTCCATACGCCGAGGATTCCGGAGTATTGTTTCCATTTCCATTCATCAAAGCCGGACGACCGGTCGGCGGAAGGAAAGGTGGGGGGAAGCTACTTGGGAGTCCATAGGCGAAGCGGTCCGGGTTGAGGATCTTGGTGTCGCGGAACAACCCTTCGAATTTTTGTGACTGAAAGGGAAGCTCTTGGAGCTCCTTCTCAAATGGAACGCCCTCCAAAAGAGTGATCCGAGTGTTGAAAAATGAATCCTGTGCATCTTCTTCCAAAACTCTGGCGTACCCGTTGTCATGGGAGCATCCGAAAAAGATCTGACGGCAATGAATGTTGCCGACATATAGCTTCAATGTTTCTTTAGAAAGTAGTTAGAGGCTTGTTGCTAAGCAGTTGTTTGCCACCGTTTGTGGCGCCTCATAGTATTTTCAGGTTCCCAATTCAGACAAAAGTCTTGCCTTTTGGACAACTGATAAACTAGTGAAGCCACCCCAGACAGCGCCAGAGCAGTGTACACAGATTAGAAGTGTGATTCGCCGCCATGGATTTCTGAAAATACTACGAGGCACTACAAGCGGTGGCAGAACAGTGCGAGATTTGCGGGTACTCACCGATAATCTTCTCATCGGCGCGGTCTTTTCCTGGGCCAACATCGACAAAATCAAAGAGATGTTTGCCACGAGTGAAGCCACGAGCAAATTCCTCAATTCTGCTGCGGTCATCGATGATGCCGACCTTGAAACAGATATCGGCGAGGCCTTGAAGATTGGCATAGACGCGGGTTACGATTTTCGATGTCCTAGGAATGTTTTCGTTGTCATCTATGAATCGGGCCATGCAGGCATGGAGATGGTCGGCAGCTTGCTTCCCCCCCATGGCGCCGGCGTTGAGCAGAGCATCTGAGAACTAGTAGAGTCAGTCAGTCAGGTGTGCGTCTAGTAGTAGTACAGCGCCTAGTCATTGATCCGTGTACACTGTTCTGCCACTGCTTGGAATGCTCCAGCATGTTTATAGAAATCTGGAGCGACGCCCAGCATAGCTAAGTGTGTACTTCCGTCTGCCACTGCCTGAGGTGGCCGGGCAAGCCAAGTTGGTGTTCCAATCAACTAAATTAGGGAACTCAAAAATGCATCGAGGAGCTTCAAACAGCGGCAGACAAGTGTACGCAGTTTACGTTAGTATGGCGACACTTACAATCATGCCGTCACCGTCGATGAGAATGACGACGAACGGATCACGGTCCCAACAAGCCCGGAATGCGCGGTTTTCAGCTTCAATCGCCTTCATTTCTTTCTGGACATTTCTGGCATACTCAGTCTCGCGTTCGTGGGCGTCGCATTTGGTGGTGTATAATTCGTAGAGGCCTTCATAACGAGCAAGAATCTCCTCGAACAGATGGTGCTTTTCCTGATCGAGAATCTGGAGCTTTTCGTAGCGATCCCACAGAGTCTTTGATGAATCGACCTCATTGTCGTTGTACGTGTTCGTGCCACCACCACGAATAGCACCAGATGCGTTAGACATGCCAGGCATTCTCGGAGCTGGTGACATTGGCTGCCTGGAGGAGTTTACAGCGGTCCAGTGGGTTGAAGTGCCTTGACGGTGGCAAGAGAGTGTAATCAGGCTGCTGGTGAGTTGAGAGAGAGAGAAGTGGCGATGTTGAGAGGCGGGTGGATCAAGGCGGTAGATGCCAGGAGTTAGGAAAAGCTGTGTGAGGCGGCGAGGATGGTAGCACACAGCCGGGCTTCGCTGTGAGGGCGCTGTGCGTGAGTGGCTGCAGTGTTAATAGGCGCTTGTTCGACGCCGCGACAGGATATATATAGCTGCGACGAGACTGCTGGTGCGGCGAGGCAGACGGGCGAGTGCAGGCGCTGCTGTCTCGACGGTGCTTTGAGTTTGCTTCTCTCTGCCTGCAGCGGATGCGCGTAGTTGCAGCGAGTGTGTCTAGGTTGCTCTGGTGAAAGACTGGCGAAGGAGTGGTTGTGGCTTGACAGGGCCAGACAGCCGACCGCCGTCCAATCAGGGAGCTCGTATGATAACAGGTCTTGGCATACACAGAAACACGCACAACGCTGCAGGATAACGCCGTCTGAGGTGGTCCCGCTCGTCTTTTACACTGTTCAAACAGTTTCAGTCGAACTTTTAAAAAGGGCTGAAGCAGGTCAAACAGCGCCAAACCAATGTGCTTGTGTAGCTGCTGTTACACTATTTAATGTGCGAGCTTTTATTAGACAGCGGTAAGACAGTGGTGTACATAGATTTACAGTACCAGCTATACTGCTACGTTGGGCGTGAAAAAAGCGGTACGCTCATCAAGCACTGTCTCGTGTGTACAACTTTCTGCTACTACCTGGAGTGCTTCAATGTGGTTTCAGAAATCTGAACGAGATAGAAGCTCTTCCCTTAGGCTATGTGGAACCTTATTGAAGCACTTCAAACAGTGGCAGACCGGTGCAGACACGACTGGACGAGACAGAGTGCTTGATGAGTGCACCCTTCTCCCATGCCCAGCGTGCCAGCCACCAGCGTGCCAGCCACCAGCGTGCCAGCTGCACTGCTAGCGCTATCAGTGCACAATTCAGACTTATGCATGCCAAGACCTGTCATTATACGAACTCCCTCCAATCGCCCTGAGAAGCCACGTTCTCCCAATATCTGGTCGAAACTCCATCACCGCTCCCCCCATCACCCCCGAACCCTCCTCTGTCCTGCCCGCCATGGTGTTCTGGAAGCTCTCGTCCCTGCTCCTGCTCTCGCTGCGCGCCCTCAGTGCCGCTGCCCAGATCGATGTACGTCTCCGCACCGCACTTCCGGCATGACATCAACAGCCAACGCTGTCCACTGGAACCCTTCCCGCCCATCGCCATGGCTCAATTGGCTTGCTAACATGAGCCCCGACAGGTTGAATCGGTCGAGGAGCTCGACGACGACGCCGCGCAGACGCCCAACCTCAAGGTCGCCATCTCCGCCTCCTTCCCGCAGTCCGAGATCTTCGGCGTGAAGCTCATCAACGGCCACGCGACCCAAGCCGTGCTCTCCGTCACCAACAATGAGCCTGCGCCCCTCACCGTCGCCATAGTCGGCGGCTCGTTGATCTCCAGCGAGGGCCAAGTCCTGCGCAACCTCACCGCCCAGAAATACAACGTCGAGATCCCGGCCGGCGCAGAGGAATCCCTGACCTATGCTTTCGCCACCGAACTGCACCCGCAAGACCTGCGTTTGCAGCTCGTAGCCGTGTTGCAGGACCAGAAGGAGGCCTTCTATACCCTGTCCGTGTACAACGAGACGGTCAGCGTTGTCGAAGCCCCCACCAGCTTCTTTGACCCGCAGATGTACGTTCCCGGCAGCCTTGCCGTCCCCGCCCACTGAGGTCGTACCAGCTGACCCACTGCCAGCATCTTCCTATACCTCGTCCTCACCGCCGCGTTTGGTGGAACCCTCTACTTCATCTACACCACCTGGATCACCACCCTCTTCCCGCAGAAGCGTCGCGGCGGCAAGGGCGGCGAGCGCGCCAAGAGATCTTCCGGTGGTTCTAAGAAGGTCGACCCGACTGATCAGGCTTCCGTGGTTGGTGCCGATGGCTCTGCCGTTACCTCCGGCGCAAAGTACGACGAGAGCTGGATTCCAGCCGCCCATCTTCAACGCCCAGAGGCCAAGCGCATCCGCAGCGGTACGCCAAAGACCAAGCCAAAGGTCTAGAAAATCAGGTTCCGAGCTGGGACAAATCTTCAAGGCACGTTGGAGATGATCGTAGGTGAGAAAACGATCACGTGGAATAGAGGCTGCCTACTGGGCACTGATATGCTACTATATGCCTAGAGCAGGTTGGATGGGATAAGGGTAAGTTGGGTTTACAGGACGAAGACAATTTTCTGGTCCTCGTTGGGACCTGTATTTGCATAGCGAAACACGGCGGGGGGGCCCAAGGGTATGATAAAAGTAGATTTCAAATCGCACCTGTAAAAGTCATATATTATTAGGGGACTACTAATCGTACACCCCCTAATTCCTAGACGTACACCCCCTTTTCACTCCATGTACACCCCCCCCTCTTGGCGCTTCACCACCTTCTAATTGGCTCGGAGAGCCCGGAGCTTCCTCCGGGCATTCACCCTTACGTCTCTCTACACGTGATGCTATACGCGAGGCCGTACGTGATGCTATGCACGAGGCCGTACGTGAGCTCGTATGTAAGGCCATACGTGATGCTATACACGAGGCCGTACGTGAGCTCGTACGTGAGGCCGTACGTAATGCTATACACAAGGCTGTACGTGATGCTATATATGAGGCTGTACGTGAGCTCGTACGTGAGCTCGTACGTAAGGCTATACATGAGCTCGTACGTGAGCTTGTACGTGAGCTCGTACGTAAGGCTATATAAATTGGCATGATGTAATTGCTTGTGTTGTACATGGCCGCATTTAGAGAGAGCATTCGGAATTAATAAGCAAGTTAAGCGAGCGAATCGGAGGCTACGGAGCAGCCCTCCGAGCCAATCAGAAGGTGGTGAAGCGATAGGGGGGGAGGGGGTGTACGTGTAGTGAAAAAGGGGTGTATATCTAGGAATTAGGGGGTGTACGATTAGTAGTCCCCTATTATTATTTGAGACAACTCGAAACTAATCTCCTTCTAAGCCCGCATGGTCACACCTTTACATCGTCGTCAGAGGCGGCTCAGCGATGATGGTCAATCGTGCACTCGCGCTTAATCTCTAACACTTTTCGGAAAACCCCAGACCTCGGACAACCCCTGCTAGGCTTGCACCGCCACTTACGATGCTTATTACTTCAGCCTTACAACCAACGTCGGGATGCATTGTCATGTACAGGGTCTCGTCCAATGAGACCACGATGGAAAGTTCTTTTCGTACCAAATTGCCCCAAATGGCCTCGGAAGGGTAGGCCCAAGCTTGCTCGTAGGAAGGGTCGCCACAGAACCTACCTACACCGTTCATTCTCTTCCACCAACACAGGTACAGGAAGGAGATGCACGCGCTCGTCACCTGGGTCACCCCAGATGACTAAGTGAGCGTCACGGACCGCTCTCAATGTCTTTGATTTATATTTGTCGATCCCGACAGGTGCCAAGGCTCATCTTCGCACTCATAGACAACCGAATGAGGGGACAGCTGCGAAAGCCACTGCTTCGCCCCTTGGAGTAAGTCCCTTGTACTCGGCCCTAGTGGAAGAGGTAGACATATAAACGATAGGGCCATCCCTTCCAGAAAGGCTCAGTATCTCTCTCCCTTTCATCACCTTCAGCCAACATGTATTTCTCCTTCAAGCTCATCATCGTCCTCGCTCTATCCGCCATCAGTATTCCAGTCTCAGCCCACTGCTCCCCAACGAACCAGTCCGAGGCATGTCTATGCACGCCCGATCAACCAGTCACCAAGTACCCCAACAAATGTCAGATCACGAAAGTCTTCGACCACCTCGCCCAAGGTAACTTCTCTGCCTTCCTCGCCCAGGTCACGCCCGACGTCCAATGGACTCTCATGGGCACCCACGCGCTCGCCGGCGTGTACCACAATCGCACCATCTTCGCGATTGATGCGTTGCAGCGCCTCTCAAAAACGCTGGATCCCGCGCACAAAACCTCGCTGAAGCTCACTTTTATCGTTGGTGGCGGCGATAGCGAGTGGAGCGTGCAAGAATTGCATGGACAGGGTGTTTGCAAGAATGGTAAGCTAGCGCTAAGATGACTCCGCTCGCGGCTCATCCGCCAGTCTCTACGAGAACGACGAACGACTAACTCTCTCTCGCGCCTAGGACTTATATACGACAACAAATTCAACTGGGTAACGCGCTGGAATACTGAGGGGAAAATCGCCGAGTGCCGTGGGTATCTGGATTCGGCGTTGGTGCAGCGGGCCATCACGGAGAATGAGTCTGGCGAATATACCTACACCGACCAGAGGAATGTGTTGAAAGCGGGTCCTGTGGGCACAGGCTGTACCTCGGAGTAGTAAGTGTGTGCAATCGTGGCGCTTGGAAGCTCGAGGTCGTGAGGCCTAGAATCCCGGTGTCAAGTTCATCTATGCCCACGGGTTACAGAAGCCGCCTCATTAAAAAATGTCTAGAACCAAATTGTAAATTCGCGTATACGAACTTCGTACCTCCTCCCAGCTTACCTCCTCCCACTTCCCTGTTGATTTAGCGCTGTATGTACTGTTTATAAGCAAAATTACGCCCGGCGATTTCCCTCCGGCTCAGATTTTCACAATCCCCCGAAATAAGGCGACTCGGACGGCACAGTCCTCAATTTCTCTCATTCGAAAAGGCGACCAAAGGTATAGAATTGAAATGCCCCCGCGGCTGAACGGCGACGCACCATGGCTGCTAATATTCTCAATCTGCCGGTATCTTTATTCGTAGACACGGTTCGCCATGCCATCTTAGAAAGACCATATTCCAAAAATTTCAATATACTAAGGAAGACCGCATCATCCATCACCTTGAAGTCACCGGAAGCGAGCTGGATTTGTATTCATATGAGAAACGCGATAAAATTGTCGGCCTGCCTCGTGCGATGGTCAAACACACGCGAACAAAGTATCTTATTTACCGGCTTCCAATTCCGTCACCTTGGCGAGCACCTCCTGCATCTGCTCCTTCAACTTCTCCACCTCGCCCTCTAAAGCCAATGCTTTCGAAAATGCTATTTGCTCCATGCTCTGACCACGCCCCTGACCTCCTTGACTTTCCACTTTGCATATAGTTAGCGTAACTCTGGGTACTGGGTATGAGAGAGATGACGAATTCGTACTTTCGTCATCATATCCTTCTTCCGAGTCGTCGTCGTACTGTCCAATTCTGAGATGTATAATCTAGGGTATGGCTTGCTAAAAAGATGCAAGGTGCAGTTGTTGTTTTGGATCAAATTCGAGGTTTTGTAAACCGGAAGGTGAGTGTGATGGAAGAGGTATATTGCGACGGGCTCGACAATTTATATTCAATGAGCGCTCCACCGCAGAGGATAGATCCCACTCATATCGACCTTTCGGTCAACCATTCACGGCATCCCGTGCTGATCTCCAGCACTTTCATAGGCTCCAAGCCGATCTTGCGGGCTTGGTCTGCCGGCTAATTGCATCATAGACACCCCTGTGCCGTCATGGCTTTGATAGACGCTGAAGTTTGAAGCCTGTGAGCTCGCCATGATGGATTGTGGCCGCTGTGACTGGATTAATAGGCATGCATCATCGCTCATCTTCAAGTCATTTGATAGCGAGAATGCGATTTGGAGAAGAAAACCTAATAGCTCTGTCGGTCTGCACAATTCAATGATAAACCGCACATAACCAAAGCATTTCATCTACCGACAACTCTATCTTCGGGCCAGCGCCTTGATATACATCTGCATCTACTGCGCCGCCTGTAACGCCTGAACCTGCTCCAACTCGCTCACGCGCGTCGGCACCGTTTTCTGCCCTGGCCCGGCTGTCTTCTCAAGCTCTGCCTTCACTTGTTCGATTTGTTTAGAAACTGGTTTCTAATTAGTATGAAACCGGGTATTATAACGGACAGATACATACAAGAGTGGGTCGAGTTAGCGATCATCTGCTGGATTTTGTTCTCGTCCATTTTAGAGATATGTTGTCTGGGGATCGGTCTTGATAACGAGATTGTTGTGCTAGATTGGGGTTTAGATGGGCTTTCGAGATCTTTGTAGAATGGAATGGGGACTGAGGGTAATGATACAGATGGAGTGTGCGTGGCTATGGGTCTGACGGTTATGTATGGACCTTATCGACCCTCCTTAGCTAGCCGGCCACCTCCGGCCTTTCGTGTTTGAATCTTGCTTAGGATCGTCTTAGGGACCTAGCCGATGGTTCCACTGATTGCAGCGGTTCATTGGGCAGACTGGACCAGTTATCTCTTACGCCGTCATGGCTTAATACACGTTGACGTTGTGACGTTTGAGGTCCACTCTGACTGATGAAGCATGACGTCTCAGCTCTCGTAGAGCTGTGGTGGGCTTCGTGAGTGGTCGTATTTAGCATGACGGAGGCGCGTAGTTATTCCCATTCGAATTGCCGAAGACTAGTCGGCCTAATTAGAGCGAGGTAGTGTCTAGAAGAGGCCGAAGAGGGGCATTGGGTGCTGAATTAAGCTAGGAGACCGCGGAGGAGCAAGTTCTGACGTTGGGCACTAGAGTTAGATGCGCATAAGTGTTTAGATTAGTGAAGAAAGGCAAGACTCTTATGCATGATGTAATATGATAAGAGACGTGAGTCTCTGATTGCAGATAGTTTCGAGGGTAGACTTCTCGGTTTCCCGTGGTCCTTGTTGGAAAAACTGCCAAATGGCGACATTGAGACCTAGTTAAGATTACTCTGGCCAATAGGTGGGTCTGGATACGAGTAACAAGATCTGAAGACATCGACGAGATCGCAGGGTACAAATACAGTTTGGCTCGCTCCGTGCCATAGAGCGCTAGTGGACGGACATCCCGTGGCCAATGGGATCAAAGAAATGAGATATATGAGATCGCTGGATCAATCAATATTGCTTGCCACGGCTGGTGTGACGTGTCTCGATTACGCCAGGCGGGAATTAGAGCTAATATCAAGAGCTTAAACGAAAAGAGCTCTCAACAAGACCAACAACGATGTCATCTTGTGCTGGCAGATTCATCCTAAGTACAATCCTCCTCCGCTCTAAGTCTAATATAACAACGTTACGATCAAACTGTATCAGTGTAAGCAAGCGTACCTCGCATCCAACTCCCCGCCTCACCATCCCCGCACTGATTTTCCCTCCAGATGTCTCTCACCTTCGTCTGGAACTACGAGAGCTACGCCAAAGACATGTACTTCAGGGCCCAGGAACACTACGGCCGCACGTTGCTCGGAATGGAGCTCGACAGCCGCCCCACGCCTCTCAATGCCAAAGTCATAGATATGGGCGACAGAAACATTTTCAAAATCGTTTTAGATGACGGTCGAGTAGCCTGCGAGGCCGGGCACTGGATCGTGTTTAGAGAGGACAATGAGGGAGATAATTATGAGTTTCACCTTTGGGGACGGACCAGTTTCTCCGATCATAAGCGGAGGCCGTTCTGGTGGGCTACCCTCGGGGGTTCTACTCTTTCATGGAATGAGGAGGGGCTCGTGAATACGAAGGGGGATGGGAATAAGATTGGCGCCGGGTTTTTGTAGTTTATACTCCACCGTGCTGATAATGTAGATGTTGCCTGGCAGAGAAACCTCAGGCAGGGCGAGGATGATGTATGAGTGGCCTTTGGGATGGAATCCTAGGTGAATGTCGTCACTGCTATGGATGAAGATCAATCAGAAGATCAATGAAGGCTACTCTTAAAGCAACTGCAAGGCAAAATAAGTACTTGGTAATGTGATGAGCTGCCTTCAAAGCTTCGGGGATATGGCATCCGGATCATCAAGCTCTCTTCCCTTCCCAACTATGTAACGTCGTTCATCCAGATGCGAGAATTACCCGCTAACGAGAATTGGTGGACTGTTTTGCGAGCAGTTTTAGTCACGCTTAAAAGAATTTGGACTAGCCGCTCGCCCCTCAAATCTTCTCGAACGACGTTACACAGCCACAAGCTCAGGTTCGAAAGTGGAAATGAACTTTGGTGAAATTAGTTTTCCCCTAAGAGTACATCGCGCATAAACATTCCTATAGGGGACTATTACTTACAGCGCCCTTTCTCGTAGTCACGTCGTGAAACAAAAATTCAAGTTGTATCATAAACAACAAGGCTGAGAAACGCTAGTCTCTAATAGGAACTGGATGCATGAAGATGCATGACCCCTAGCAGGCACAAGCGAACGCGCCGCTCCAACCTCTCGTCAACACCGCGCCAGCCTTCTCCCCACCAGAAACACCAAAACATGTCTGGCTTCAGCGCCAATGTCTCCCCAGCTATCTCTCAAATCAAAACGATGGAGATCAGCCACGCCCGGCAACCAATCTCCCTCGTGGATCTACTAAACCCCTCCTCCATGTACCCCGTCTTCCACAGCCTACGCGCCAGCCTCGACGTCCGCAGTATCCTCGCGCTAACGTCCACCTGCAAACACCTCCATGCCTTACGCCACTACTTATGGGACATTAATCGCTCGTTACGGCCGTTTGTGGATGATCCGGCTGAGTTTCGTAGCCAGCTGGGAGCAGCAGACGGCCTGATCTCGGGGAGTTTTGTGCTGCAGTTCTTTGAGGGGGTGTTTTGGGAAGAGTCGGATTTGGATGTTTTTATTCGGAATGATGGGCGGGAGAGGGCGTTTGCGGCGTATTTGACGCATAGGGAGGGGTACGAGTGCGTGAATCCGGTGGGGTCGGAGGTGGATCCGTTAGAGTATAAGATGAAGGGGGACTTTAAGGTAAGAATGGTTTATGTTTTATAAAGATGTTGGGCTGTGCATCTTCCATTTGTCATTGTTTGACATGCTTCATCTTGCTCTCTCTCAAGAATCTGGAAGGGATGAAAGTCACGTGGAGGTGAGACGTGGGCCTTGCTCCTTACACGAGCGTAGGATTCTCAAAGCTTATTGAGGCACTCCAGGCAATGATAGATACAGGTTCTTATTTCCACACTTTGTTCCACATTTCGTCTCTCTTACTCCACCCTTGTCACCCTACTAACCACTGTTTCCCAGGTACTCACCTATCTCCGGCCGTCCTCGGCCAACAACACTTCCCACCGCCCAAAGATCCAGATCATAGTTACGAAGGACCTCCCTATCTTCCGCATCGTCCAATCTTTCTACACTACCTGCGTCGTCAACGTCATCTCCTGGAACAAAGCCTACGCCATCTACGCCCGCCCCACGTTCGCGAACCACAAAACCTACCTCCTCAGAGGCGCGGACGACATTATCGGCGCATTACTCCGCAAATACAGCGACAGAGGATGGCAAAGCCACGACGTGCTATGGCCCGAAGAAGCGCGCTCGCCCCTCAACCCCTTCCGGACTCCCAGGCGGGTCGGCGATGAATTCACCTGGACGCTCCCGCTTTCCACCACCGGCGTCCGCACGCCGAAAACACCAGACTCAGTGCTCGAGTATGCGCAGTTCGGCTTCTCCCATAGCAACGACAAGACCAATTTCGACACCCAGACCTTCTCCTTCCAAACCAGCTACCACGTCGAGATCCTGCCCTTCCGCGCTAACGTCTTGCGCTACGAGTACACCTTCACGCCGTCGGACTCCAGGTGGTGCTTCTACCTCGGGGAGCGCGTGGATCGGTTGACGTACTTGGAGCTGCGGAAGATGAGGCCGGAGGAGCGGCCGCAGGAGTTCGAGCAGAGTATCGCCAGGGATGGGGAGCCGCAGACGCGGTTCTTGTATACTTGGAAGTTCGAGAAGCCGGCGTGGTGGACGTACTACGATGCGGAGATCCCGAAGTGGTATGAGCAGTTTGAGGAGGATCATGGGCGGAAGAAGGCTGGTTCGGTATGGGCATAAGGGAAGGGCGTTGCGCGAGCGCTGGACTGCAGATGCGCTATAGGACGCTGTGGGCTTTGCGTATATGAATGAGAGAGTTCATCAGGAATGACTCTGTTTTACGGTGATAGAAGCAGCCTATTCGGTATACCATAGCAGAGACTTGACCCTAGTACACTGAATTTTGTTTCATGCTATGCTAGCTCAGACCTGTTCGGGGACCTAACCTAGAGCGACGGCGCTTGTAAGCATGCCCTCGAAAACGAGATTAAGGTACAAACTTCAGCTAAGTAATAATGAGATGAAGGTGGGCGTCATTTTCCTTGCCCGTGCTCGCTGAATACTCCGAGAGGCCTGCAAGGCTGAGTTTCAGCTTCGCGTGCTTAGAACACCATGCCCTATCATGCCTCTGCAGACAGGCAAGCCGATACAGAAGAGGCACATCCAGTGGTTTAGCGCGAACATCAAGCCACCAAGTCAGCCGTAGCGGTAAAACTTGGGGTACCGTGCTTTTAGTGGACTAAGCTCAGCCCCGGGAAGACTTTAGCCAATGAAATAGTATCTTCCGTTCTAATCTTACCTATTTTGCCTGTGGCTTTAAATCCGCGCTACAGCATGTCCTCATGTCCGGTGGTCACTCTCTAATACTAAGCCACAGACTTGCCGTATAAGGGAGCAACTCCGGGCGCCTTTAGGGGGATATAGCAACGTTCTGGCCAATCAATCCTCAAGTCGGCTAAGTACTAGCCCAGAAAAGAGGTATACAAGGATCGACTCGGTTTAGCGCTATGTTCACCGGACGTAAAAAGATGCTGTAGAACCGGACGCGCCTAGCTGATGTGGTATTCCGAATAACCAATGGCAGTATTAGAACGTTGACAATGCAGCTATCATGCGACCAGCGTTTGCTGTAACATCATAGATAGTCGTATCAGACGGCTTAGCACAGTGGTTGAGCATGGTATTCCTGGAGCCTTATAGCTTACCGTCCCGAATCTCTTTCTCTAGTAGATCTCGAATTCCCTCGAACTTCAACAAAAAACACTCCGGAGTCCAAATCTTACGTCTTGGACTCCCCACTAATAAGCATGGACACGGTGCGCGACTCTTCCTTCCAGCGATAGGTGCTCCCACTGATCTAGCGTAGGACCAAGGCCGCCTCTCTTACGACGGCCTCCCTCATGTCCCCGATTCGACACTCGGGCACAATCCATACTCGCAACCATTGCAAGGGCAGGCGCTTAGGCGTCCTCCAGGTGTCTACGACCTGACATATGAAAACAGGAGACAGCCACAAGGCCAGAAAGCGAGGATTCTGGACCTGCAGAAACCCACTCTTCTCATACTCGGCGGCCTACTCTGCATCCTGATAATCGTCGGCGCCGTCGCCGGAGGCATGGGCGCCGCGCTCGCGGCATTGAATCGCAAAATTGCAGACGCACAGCGAAGTGCCGTCACCGCGGCGTTTTCGACGTATCGCGCCAGCGCCACGGGAACAGCATCTTCCGCATCGTCTTCGACCGCATCTGGATCCACAACGGCCGTGCCAACAGCATCTACCACCGGCACGATAATAGAGTCGTCGTCTCTGACGATTGTGCGCGATTGCCCCTCCAGCAATGGCAGCACGACGACCATCTCCGTCTCTCCAGAACAGCGCTTCGTGAAGCACTGCAGCTTCCTCTTCGACACTCACCCTTCAAATGCCTTCGGGAACTACACGACGTCGTTTGATGCCTGCATCGGCTTGTGTGCAAGCTATAACGTACTCACGTCGCCAGATGCGAAGAAGTGCAATGGGGTGGGGTGGCGATGGGGATCGGATCCCCCGTGGGGGGCTTTTTGGGATGTGTTTTGGGCTGGTTGGGTTGACGGGGGCTTCGGGGAGGCTTGCGGACGGATCGACTACGATTACGCCTGTGGATAGTGCAATCTTGCTGGATTGAGAGGGAATATGAGGAAATGAAGCAATTTTGACAACCGGGATGTCCTCGCAAGCTACTGGAGATGGCGGGGCCTGGTGTGCAGTAACACGGCCCTAAGTATTTCGACTTTTGTTCGGTACGCCATTGTGTTGATCACCTGTGTAATGAAAGGAGAGTAACTTTGACTGATGATTTGGTCAGGTATGAGGTTTGACTTTGGAAATAAGACAGAGCCCTATTGCGCTAAACCCAATGAGTCACGCTAGCGAAGCGTCCCACTCACTCCACGAAGTCTCCTTCGACGTCAAGTCAATTATCCACGACCTTCCTATTCCAACACTTCCCCAACAATCACTTTCTCCTCTCGAGGCATAGATGGCGAATGTAACGCCACTAGCAGAGTCACCACTAGCCTCCGTGACTCATCCCCACCGTGCCCAGCCTTGCTTACTTAACATCTCGGCCGCCCCGAAAATGTACTTAAACTACCTACTCGTCCGAAAATCTCTCAAAACTCATAAATTCCTTATATTCGCAATTATAGCTCTTCCCTTAGTCTGACTGTCTCATCCCCATCCCTATCTCTCCCTGCATCATAATGCTCATCCGCCCCCTCATCAGAGCAGACCTCTCATCCGTCGCCCCCATCGTCCACGACACCTTCTCCGGCGACGAGCTCTTCACATGGCTCTACCCCCATCAAGAAAAATACCCCAACGACCTCCGCCGCTTCCAGCTCATCCGGCTCCGCTCGCGGCTCGTCCAGCTGGGCTCCCACGGCTTCGTCGCAGAGTCGGAACCCGGCGACGCGGAATGGAACGGCGCGCCTGAGATTCTAGGTTTCGCGTTCTACATCCGCGAAGGAAGCGACGAGAAGGCTGCGAGATGGCGGCAGGACTCGATTGCGAAGCGTACGTTGAGAAGAGCGTTTTGAGCTGTGCTGTGCTGATTGAAGAGCAGGGTTGGATCGGTATCTACTCAGCTGGGAGCAGTGGTATGAGGAGAAGGCGTTAGACCGCGCGTCTGACCCTGCTCGCGCGAAGATCATGCGTGAGGCTACGCAGTATAAGTTTACCTCGCAGCTCGAGTCGTATTGGTATCTAGGGTTGCTTGGCGTGTCACCTAAGCATCAGCGAAGGGGTATCGGGGCAAAGCTCGTCGCGTATGGGCAGAGGATTGCTGAGGAGGAGAAGATGCCTGTGACGCTGGAGGCGAGCGTGATGGGGCGGGGTCTGTATGCGAAGTTGGGGTTTAAGGAGATCGAGCGGTTAGCGATTGTGGAGGGGTTGGAGGGGGTGGCGATGCTTTGGGAGCCGGAGGGGGCGGAGGGGACGTGGTTGGTGAGAGGGGAGGATGGGAAGGCGGAGTTGAAAAAGAAGGAAACGGGACCGTCGTAGCCGTTTTGAGATGATTGATTACCTCGGGAACAATCGCAACCGGGCAAACGGTGTCAATCACGTGGACAGGGGCCAACTTTCTTGGAACAAACCGCCCTCGCAGAGATTGAACGGCTAATCAAGCAAAATACGTGTCCTTGGTGAGCTGTCACAGATTTACTCATATATCAAAGAGCGGTCCGCTTGGCTACATTTCATCTCACACTCAGTTCCAGATTTCAACAGTTTCCACCCGTCCTCTTAATGTGCTTCCTCAACTGCATCGTATGCTCATGCAACGCAATCTACCACGACCCTAACATACGACTATGTGTCCAAAAACGCGGGCTCCGACCCGGAAACTGCCCAGGCTGGAAGACCGCTATCACATACGTAAACGTACCTTGTCCAGACTGTCCTCCGCACCACCCCTTCCCCCCTCCCCTCCAACACTTCTCTCTCTTCGTAGGCGAAGACCCTACCGATCTCTTCGGGGTGCCATCGCCCGAGCACCGTCACTCCAGGTCGCGAGCCGATGTCCCTCTCTATCAAAGGCACGTCACCATGGAGCATGACGTCTTCCCGGAACCGACTCACGAGCCCCCTCCTCCACCGCCAATCCCACCTGAGCTCATCCGCGACCCGTTTCCGAACCTCGTGGATCCGACGCCTGAGATTCTTGCGGACTTCTACGCGCATGAGAATGCAGAGCTTGCGCGATTACGTGCGGTTATAGCTCCCTCGGTTGCGGGGTACTCACCCCCACCGTTTAATCCTCCGCGATGGCGTAGTGTGCGTTCTGCTGCCGGCGATGATTGGAGTCGCGATACCGCATCGGTTTCTTCAAATGGGAGTGGATCCTGGCCTTCGCAGAATCAGATTGCGGTTCCGGGTAGTCCGCAGAGCATCTCACCGGGGAATAGTGTTTCGACATCACCTAGTAGCTCGGATGATTCAGTTCAAGCACAGCATGGATCTCCGCGACCTCGATCTAGGCAGGCAGGGGGTTACATGCCAGATCGTGGGGGGTTGTTTCCTTATTTCGCACCGTTTCATCATTCGCATTTTGGCATGTAGGCAAAGATGATAGAGGAAGCGACATTGAACCCAAGGCTAGAATACTACGCGACGAAAGTGCTCAGACGATACTACAATGAGAATGCAGTCCAGCCGCTGGAAGAGAGCAGACAAGCTAATTCAGGATCTACCGTGGTGCTATTTATTGATCATCATGATCCGCGTGTAAACCCGCCATTTATGAACCGCTGATATACTTTGGACATAACAAATCCTCACTTACTTAGTAGTCCTCTCCACGACTAATGACTTCCTTCACGGTAGGTCGGAGCAAGATCGTCTTGTGTGTTTCATTAATAAGGATCGTCCAAGCGCACCGAGACCATTACTTACATGCTCAAATTGGGCTGTGTACGACCCTTTCTTGTCAACCAAAGGCGGGTAGTCTTCAACAATACCGGATTTGACGAGATTGCTTAGCTATCTGTTTGTCAGCCACCCCTTATGTACATTTGAGCGCTAGGCTTGGCATACACCGAGCAGATACTTCTCCTGTCCGATCCTGTCCAAATACCGTCGACAGAAGGGAAGAGTGCCGAAATTCTGTGTGATAGTACCCAACAGCAACTTAGCCGACGACAAATGTAGGTCCACCTTTGGCGCATTCCTACGCAGAGCATAATGCGAGACCTCCCCTTGATCGACACACCGGCCATTCCCAGTGCTGCCGAACGTCTCAATAGCAAACATGTCGCCTTCCTCCATCTTGGTCATATCGTTCGTCTTGACCGCGGGCACACTCTTGGTGCCGTGGATGCTGTACGGCAAGATAGTATGACCGCATAAGCTGCGAATCGGCTTGATCGGATACGTCGTCCCATTGATCTCGCACTCATAGCTTTCCATAGCCTCCTGGATATACCCGCCCAGCTCGCCGAGGCGGACATCAATCCCCGCTTCGCGCACACCAGTGTTTGTCGCGTCCTTCACGGCAGCGAGGAGGTTGTCGTACATGGGATCGAACGCCATCGTGAAGGCGCTGTCAACAATCCGACCATTCACATGCACGCCGATATCAACCTTCATGACGTTGTTCTGCTGGAGCACCTTCTTGCAGCCGGCGTTTGGGCTGTAGTGGGCCGCGATGTTGTCGAGGTTCAGGCCGGTCGGGAAACCCATGCCGGCTATGAGAGCATCGCCTTCGGATAGGCCGTCGTGGCCGACTAGGCGACGTATGCTATCTTCGATGCCGTTGGCGATCTCGGTGAGGGTTTGGCCGGGCTTGATGTGCTTTTGTGCCCACTGGCGCACCTGGCGATGCGTCTCGGCTGCTTGGCGGTAGTCGGAGAGGAAGCCGCTGTTGAGGTTGTCTAGATGGCGCTTTTCTTCGTTGGTGGTGCGGTACAGGTTGTCGTCCTTGTATTCTACCTCTTCGCCCTTGGGGTAGGTGTTGTTTGGGAATAGTTGGGATATGAGGACTGATGGAGGTTCGGTCTGGACAATGGGGACCTTCTTCTTCTTGGGCTTCCTCTTTTTGTTCTTCTTTTTCTTCGCAGCAGATGGCTCAGGGCCAGGTTCGTCAGCATCGTCATCCGGCTCTTCGCCAGAGTGTTCTGCAGCATCGTCGTTTGCGGTTCCGTTAGCACCGGCGGAGCCGTTAACGCTATCAGGCTTCTTGACTATACATGTTCCAGTTAGTAAATGTCGCTTCCTAATGTTCTCAAGAGACATATGACACACCGTTGAGTATCTTGAGTTCATCAACGGAGGCTTTGGCTGCCATTTTAGCGACAGGAGTGGTCTCTTAAATTTTTGTGGAAAGGAATCAGTCAAGTTCAACACCAGCTACTACCCCGCCAGATTTCAAAGACGTAGGAGCTGACGTCGTCACATGGTTCTATGCCGTAGTTGATGGTCGGAGTTGAGTTCAACACCGATAACCTCATATAGAATCAAGCGAGGTGGGGCTAACTTCTTACACGACACTTTTGTACTTTGACTGGAACAAAACCAGCCAAAAACTTTTCTTCGCGCTTCCACCTCTGCGACGGACCATCTCTCGGTTTTGTCGCTGAGTTCCATCCTAGGAAGCGAGCTCTGCCACGATGGCCGATGATTCACCAGAACTACCATCCAAGAGAAAGTGTCTCGGCACAGACTGCGAAAAGGATGCTGGAGCTTTACAGTGCCCAACATGTCTGAAGATGGGCATGAGCGACAGCTATTTCTGCTCTCAAGATTGCTTCAAGAGGAACTGGGTTTGTTACGTACCCTCCTCCTACTTAGACTTCAGGCTGACAAATCTCGTGATGTAGAACGAACACAGGACCCTACACAAAACGGCGCAAGGCAAGACACAAGATGGTAACATCTAGAAATCATTCCTTCTGGAGTTGTGTCTAAAATCGATCCAGTTACCGCAGCTTACAATCCTTTCCCAACGTATTCCTTCACCGGCCCTGTCCGGCCTGTCTATCCCCTTTCTGCGAAGCGCACCGTCTCCAGGTCGATCAAACACCCTGACTGGGCCGTGACCGGCATACCAAAAGGTGAGCAGCGCTTGAACAGGACGAAAATAGACATTCTAGACGCCAAGGGGCAGGAGGCAATGCGTAAGGTTTGCAAATTAGCTCGAGAAGTACTGGACATCACCGCTGCAGAGCTCAAGCCGGGCATTACCACCGATTACCTCGACGAGGTCTGCCACAGAGCTTGCATAGAACGGAATGTAAGCACGACTTGCTTCAGATGAAGCTCATCTATTTCTGACTTCCATAGTCGTATCCTTCGCCCTTGAACTATAATCACTTCCCTAAATCGCTCTGTACTTCTCCGAACGAAGTGGTTTGCCACGGGATACCGGACCAGCGCATCCTCCTGGATGGTGACATCCTCAATCTCGATATCTCATTGTATCACGAGGGCTATCACGCTGATGTCAACGAAACGTATTATGTGGGCGATCGAGCCAAAGCGGACCCAGACTCGGTCAGAGTCGTCGAAACGGCACGGGAATGCTTGGATAAAGCAGTCGAGCTCGTAAAGCCCGGCACTCCAATACGAGAGTTCGGTCGCGTCATTGAGAAGCATGCCAAGTCAAGAAACTGCAGTGTCGTCGCGACCTGGGGTGGCCATGGCATCAACACCGAATTCCATCCCCCGCCGTGGATACCGCATTACGGCAAGAATAGGGCGGTGGGAGTTTGTAAACCTGGAATGACTTTCACGATCGAGCCGATCCTTACGCTTGGAAGACCGAGGGAAGTGTATTGGCCGGACAATTGGACAAATGTTACGGTTGATGGCAAAAGGACTGCTCAATTTGGTGTGTACCAGCAACGTTTCGTGTCTATGGCCCAATGCTAACTTAGCTATAGAACATACCTTGCTTGTTACAGAAACAGGCGTCGAGGTCTTGACTGCGGCAAGCGAAAGTTCTCCAGGAGGCCCAATACCGATGCCCACTACTACAAACGAGATAGCAAAAGCTGATAGTACCTCCAACGTATAGTCCGATCTATCGATGCGAGGTTGAAGGAGAGTGTATGGAGTTTTGATCAGGTGGATCAGGTATTGCAAAACAGGAGATGCTCCAGGCCCGTCAGACATCATAGTCACGTGACCTTGGACTTGGACTCGATATTGAAGGAGGACTGCACTATCTGAGTCCATAATGACTAGGTTTCATGCCTTTTCAATGCGTATATACTTCATCCAGATAACAGCAACTACCCTTGCGGAACTAACGCTCGTGATTCAAACGCCAAGCTGTTTCTTTTCGCGAGCGGCTGCACCCGACACATCCTTCGCTCCATTCATTCTATCCCCCACAAGACGACCTTCAGCCCAGCTCGCATCCTGACATGTCATGGCTTGCCAAGAGCATTATTGTGTCGTCCCGCGTGGTGCGCGGTTTTCGTTCCTTTCCGCGTTCAGCTGGCAAGATCTAGATCTTCAGCATTCCGTCGTGTCATGCATGATTCTCCGGGCACTGTAATATTTCCTCTTTCATTCGTCAAATGTGGGATCACCCTGGAAAGCTTGCATTTCCTTCCAAAGTCTGCGCTAGAAAGAGTCGCCGGTAACCATTCCCGGACCGTCCCTCAGAAATGTCCAAAAATAGTTCTTTCTTTTCCTTCTCTGTACCGGTCATCCAGCCCCATCTTAGCTGCGCTGCATTGTATCTTCCTGTGCTCTTTTCCGGATTCCCAGTATCGAGAGTAAGTCTTTGCTCGGTTTGATCTTAATATGCTCTTCGAGGCTCCTCCTCTGCAGCGGGTACCTGATCTGCCGGGAAAGAGGCCGCTACACGCCATCTTGAAATTCTCCTAGGCACTGAGCAGATAAGAGTAAGCATATCGGCTATCTGTAACGCTTTCATAAAGTGCCAGTCTCTCTCCATATTAAGGCTGGAATTGTGGAGATCTTGCCTGCGGCTGAGTCGCTGGGTCTCTTGGAAATGGTCGAACAGTTCATCAGCTCGTTCCCGTGCTTGGCCCCAAGAAAACCAAGAGGAAGAGTTCCACCAAGCCGCATTCTTGGTACTCTATATCCACTCTCGTGCCATGAAAACCCTGGCGAAAGATGCTTATGATCGCCTCGACCCTAGTGCCAAGCGCGAGAGTATAGCATCTAGTCCATGCGCCCGAGTCTATGTGGCAGTATCACTGACGGCCGTTCATGCAGAATTTCTTGGAAATATTGGAAGGGACAGTGGTTTGGCAGAGCTCATCTCCATCGTGAAGAACGGTGGAGGCTAGAGCTCTGAACAGCTCCCTAATCCAGATCGAACTCGCCTCGCTCGTCTCCTCCAATTGACTGTCTATACGTTGACGGAGCTGAGCTTAGGCGATTTCAAGCCGTATGTTAGTTAGTGGTCCAGTTAACCAGAGTCTCGTATCTATAAAAAGGCTAAAGATGCTGCAATGAAGAGTAAAAGCTTGACTTAGAGCAGCCCGGATCACTGCGCCAGAGGACAAGATGTATTTTCAATTCTACATTCTAGTTTCCTTAGTGTCGTCTCTGTCTCTAGTCTTGGCAGGGACGCCCATCCCTAACATTTCACCATTCTTGGTTAATGGTGTACTTGATGGGTATAATTCAGACAACAATCATCCGATGCAGCATCTAGCTAACTGCCTATAGCCCTGGAAGCGTTAATGCATCCGACTATAATTCCGGAGGCACGAACTCTGTCAATGGCTTCACAGTGACCATTCCCAAGAACTTGATTGTACAGTTCCCAGCAGCATGGGTTTCCTTTCCTAAGTTGGCTGCTGCAGGTCTGAGTGGCTACGAAGTCTCTGTTGCTGGAAAAGTAGTATATTTAGGTTGAAACGATCGTCTGATGCAATAAACTAACTTCACTATAGGTCAACGGAAAGGTAATTGCTGGACAAATCCAACTTTCACAACTTTTTCTGAAGTTCGGACAAGGCTACATCTCGGCCGTGGACACCGCAGCTGGCACCTTGTCGATTCTCGGAGGCCTAATAGTCCGGATCAATAATCCTAACAGCGTCTGCTCAAAGGGCACTACTGGCAACGAGCTCTTTACTGCCGATGACGAGAACCCAAGCATCACTGCCTTTTCCAGATTTCCTATATGCATTCCTCGGTCTGGCGACGATCCGAAATATCCTTCCTCAAATCGCCCTGCTGGACAGTTGAGCTTGTAAGCATACTATATTAGATCTAAGCAGAGATACATACTAACTATTACCATAGTGAGGCCCCTAATCCTCTCGTCATAGCCCCTTTTATTGTTGGCGACTTCCTTAAGTTTGGTGGTATCAAACTTCCAAATAGCAAGATGCTCGTGTACAGCATTATTGCGCCCAACGTCCAGATCACCACGAAAGCCTCAGCTACCGTGCCAAATTATATTAGAGCTGAAGACGCCCTCATTGCTGTTTTTGATAACAAGCCTGCCGCAGAATTCGCGGACACTAGATTCATCGGCTACCTATCTGACTTCACGTCCTCTGGCGTCTCTGTTACCATCAACGCAATCGATGTTGATCCATGCACTGGCGATATCACCGAAAGAGTCATTGGAAACGCAATTCCAAAAGCTGGTGACCTTCGGGGCAAATGGATCTTCCGCGCAGACTCGACGACTTTATCCAGGTATACAAGGGAGCACCGCGTATTACTGCTAATACGCCTCAAGTGATAACAAAGAATGGAATCGTCGCTAGCCAATTCGTGCAGCCAATCACGGCATGGGTCTTCCCAGAACCGAATGTGCCTGGTGTCGAACAACCGCCCTTTGACTTCAATGGAATCAACGACGATGGAAATTATTATGGACAGTTGAGCCCATTCCCTGGTAAGTACTATATAACAAGATCACAGTTGTGTACATATGCTTACCACCATATCCAGGTCCCGCACCACCAGCTGCCATCCCGTCGACGTGCACCACAAACCCAACTCCCGTCGCAACTCCTATTGCCAAAGTCAACACAGTTGCAGACGTCCGCAAAGGCGCTCTCGTCACCCTGGTCGGCTCCAACACCGAAGCCAGCCTCACTAACGCCGACCTCAACTTTGCCTGGACCCAGATCGCCGGCTCGCCTACAGTCACTCTCACAGGGTCTGATAAACCCTCGGCTTCCTTTACCACGCCCGCTGTCACCACCATTACAACCTTCACCTTCTCCCTCAAAATCTCGCTCAAATCTAGCCCCAGCGTATCCAGCACGGACACCGTGACATTCAGAGTAGATCCGAAAAAGCTCGACGTCGTGGTCATTGATACGTACACGTGGGCGAGCACCCAAAGGGGTACGATTGCGGTGACGCTGCATTCGAATGTTGTGGATGGGAGCAATACGGCCATGACGCTCATCTTGGGCGGGACGACGCAGCTGGTTATGTTGAGGGGACGAATCCGGGCATGTGCACGTATAGTGCGAGGAGTACGAAGAAGCCGACTAGTGTGCAGGCGAGGAGTAATATTGGGGGGTTGAGTGCAGTTGTGACTACTACGACGTCGAAAAAGAGGTCGGTGGTGGAGAGGAGGGCGGAGATATTGGTGGGGATATCGGATGCTCATCAATGAGGTGTTGCAATTTTTTTTTGCAATGGTCGAGGCAATGTCTGATATGATTTTCAACTCCCACATATTTCAGGAATCAAAACATGATCGGGGATTTACTGGTGAGTTGTATATTGTCACCCCCTCTCCATTCAGGTGAAAGCTGATTATTCCTGCCCTTTGAGGGCTCTAAGTTATGCATGCTCTTTCAAATCAAGATTATACCATTCATAGGAAGATTCTTTGTGTCAATGTACTCCATTCATTTCAAAACCATTCAAGAATATCACAGCCATGACAGGATAGTAGTAATATCAACCTCGAGCTCTCCCAATCTAACCACAGAAAAGAGCCATACAGTAGCCATTCTATCAGCATCAGTATAAAATACAATCAGCCACACATTCTCTGGTTCCTCCGCCCCTATTGTTGCTAGGGATCCTAACTACTCCCACCTACTCCCTCCGACTCTCGCCGCTGGCGCTTCCCCTCTTCCGCCGCCTCTCTCGTCCTCCGATCGTAGGCGGCGGCCGCAAGACGACTCCTCTCACGCCTCTCCGCGTCCATCTCTCTGACCCTACTCCTCGTAGATCTCTCCACCATCCTTAGCCTCGCGATCCCCGCGGCATCACTCGCCACTCTCGCCCGCGCCGCCCTTCTCGCCTCTCTCAGCCTGGCGACCTCCGCCGCCTCCCAGAAAACCTCCCACGCCTCCGCCCTCAACGCGTCCAACGCTTCCATAGCGCGTGCAGCGTTTTCCAGGGCGCGTCTCTCTCGCAAGAACTTCGCCAAGGCCGCATCCTCACCGCGGCGCACGGGGGCATCGCTCTCCGCCAATTCCTCTTCCTCCTGCTCCAGCCCCCTCTCTGCTTCTGCCTTTCTTCGGAAAGTCTCGAAGGCCCCCTGAACGCTCCCGCTAGCCGCCTCATCCCTCGCACGGATCTGCTCGAGCAACTGCATCGTAACGTTTTCTGCAGAGCCCCCCTCCACTGCCCACCTCAGGTTCGCGAACCCCTCCGGCGTGTCCGGGAGAAGGTTCGGCGGGGGACGTAGTCCCGGCTGCTGCACCTCCCGCCGACGGCGCTCCTTGTCCTCCTGTGCACGACGCACGTTCTCGTTGAACTCCATACGATCGTACGGAGTCTGGTTAGGAAGAGCCATCCGGCGCGGGGCGGTCCATCCGTCGGGGCGGAAAGGACGCTGCTGGTCAGCTCTCAGGCGGGGTCCCACCCGCGTGAAGCGGTAGCCGGGGACATGGATATCGTTGTTTAGAGGCTGCGTCTGGAAGATGGGGACGCGGCGGCCACGGCGCTCTTCGGTGACGATGGGGTCCACAGGGGGCTGACTGAGGAATTGCTCTTGGTGGTGCTTGACGCGCCAGTATTCGATGGTGCGCATTCGGCCGTGGTCGAGTTCTTGGCGCGTGAAAGGGGTCCGCACTGGGCCAGATGCCCACAACTCCTGCCGGCGCTGCAGTTCGACCAGTTCGTAGATATTGTGGGGGCGTGCTGGTACGCCGGGGATGGGAGGGGCTTGTCGCATTTGCGGGACGCCCGGTCTAGTGTGTCTGCCGTCCAGCATAGCCATCAAAGACAATGATGTGGCACTCTGTTGTGGTGCACTCTGTCGTGGTGCACTCTGTTGTGGCGCGTCTAGCACGGAGAGCAAGGCCCTGGAAGTGGCACTCTGCTGCGGGACTTGGCCAGCTGACTGAAGTCCTGGCTGCTCCCGAGTCGGTGGAGTGCGCCTAGGAGCATATGCAGATCGGCCCGTAGGATGGGGCTGCTCCCTCACATCAAGCTCATGGGTTGATGAAAAGTATCGCGCGCGTCGTGCTGGTCGTTCTTGGGAGCCCACACCTAGCCCAGAGGAAGAAAATCGCAGCCCCTCATTCTCAGGGGGAGTTGACGACCTCCTCCGGCGCCTGCTCCCTGTGCGGTTATTGGCCCGAATGCCACCTGAATTGTCAGTGATCGTCGCGTCACTGGTTGGGGAGACATTCATCGCGGTCACGTTGACGGTGTTGGCATTGATCGTCACGGTCGCGTTGGTTGCGCCAGGGTTTCGACGTCCCTGGGAGGGCGAACTAGCGGTAGGGCTTCGAGCCACTGGATCCCTACGACGCGCCAGTACGTCGTGCTCAGGGGAAGAAGGCCACCTGCTATCGTCCCAGATCCCGTGTCGTTGGGTCCACTCGTAACCCTCAGTGAAGAGGTTGGTATGAGGCTGGTGTCTCTGGTTCTGGGAAGACGAGGCGAAACTTGGCCTTGAACCAAAAAGACCATTACTACTCCGATGCTCAAGGACGGTCTCGTCCTCCTCCGCGACGTTTTCTAGGCCTGGCTGTATTGCTGCCCCACGAGGTCGCGCAGATCCGCCGAACAGCCCACCCCCTAAAGACGAGCCCCGAAACCCTCCTCCAGCAGTATCTCCTCCAACGCGCCGGCCTCGCGTAACGTAGCCTCCAGCAATCCCATGGTCGAGGAAATCATGCTCTGGGCCTGCAATTCCATTAGCCCCCACGGCCCCCTGGCTCTGATTGCCTCCAGTAAACAAGTCCTGTGGGTTCTGAGACCCAGGGTTACCATTGGCGGGATGTGCATTCTGATATGTGTCCTCCGTTGTTTGCGGTTGGTGGAAGCTATGCGTAAACGAAGTCCACTGTCCTGGCATGCGCTCAATGATGCGCCAATTGTTGGGCGCACCCGAAGAACCTTGGCCTGACATGTTTCGATTAAGGATGTTGATTTGGAAGAGTAGTTGCGGTATCGGGAGAAAGATCGGGATGTCAAAGTCGATGTTGAGGCTCGGTTGGTGGGAACTGATGTTGTGGTGGGCGTGGTAGCGGGCGTTGTGGTGCTTGCAAGTGTGAGGAGGTATGTTCTGGCTGCATTGCGGTATAAAGGGATATTTATAGGCTGCTTGCGCTCCAACTTCTGCTCTCTGCCAGTGAATCTTTGTTCTCCAGATGTCGGCGGCAGCAAGGGCAGCGGCGGGTTTGACGGGGCAGTGAGCTCGCCCGCTAGGGTCTTCGTAGAGTTTCTGATGCATTCTGCAAGCAGTGAACTATTTCGCCGTATTGTTTATACCAGATCGGTACTCAATTTCGTCTGGTAGTCGATTTAGGAGTTTGGTAAGGGCTCTGTAGGTCCTCATATAGCTTTCCAAGTGCTTCCCATGCCCTTACTGTGCAGTTTGCGGTATGATTTGTCTCATGGTTTGTCTTATGGTTAGTCTCATCCTGATGTTTGCGATCTCGGTTCCCATCCTTGAGGGCCACAGCTTGCCAATTAGGCCATTTCGCATCCCTACGCGTGGATAGACATGAAACCTCGATATATGATCAGACTGTCGATGGATGATTCGGGAGTAGCTTTTCCTTTCCGTCTGAACAATTCTTTGCTCTTTGACTATGAAGGTTCTCATGGTAGGCCATATTCCTCAACTCTTACCATGGCGAGTGATATTCGACCTTCTTTTCCATAAATGCCTTATTTAGCCATAGAATGAATGGTTATAGCGATGTCCTTTGAGCTAAGATGTAGACTCGGCTGCCTGGACACAGTCGACCGGGCAAGAACCGTAATAGATGAGCTCTCAAAAGTCCTTTTTTCAAAAATAGAAATGATGACATTTTAGAAAGAATGGTAGCATTTGCAAGAGCTGAAAGAGAACGGGGTAACGAAGTACACGAGAGGTTGTATCAAGATAAATGGAAGGAAGGAAATGTTCCTATCGGGAGCCTGCTAGAGTTGATATCACCATCCTTGTACCCTAAAAACGAATGACTGGGCTCACTTGACTCCTCACTCAATGATATGCCACAAGCCATTATCGCAGACGAGTGGAACCACGAGTGTTATACCTATTAACACAGCTACAATGTAAAATATGGCGACCTCCGATATTGATCGACGCAGCTGTGCAAAGCGCCTCGGGAGAGGATACTACTCGAGGAAAGCTGCATCCTTGCGGGCCGTTCTAGACTTAGTACATAGTTACGCTGTCCCACAATAGAACCCAATGATGGAGTTTTTAATCTAAGTTCGTGATAGGGACAGTCTCGAATCTGCCTATTAGCTTGCCGTGGATGCAGCAGATCCAGTGCAGCGCTTTTGGAGGTCTTATCGGAGTATGCAACACCGTTTCACTAGTTCCACGGTAGGAAATAAACGTCTGCATCTTGTTGCATTCAGTCGTACATGCTGATGGCCATGTCTCCCCGTACCCCGATGTGCAACTACCTCTCGGAGCGGGTTATGGGCCGCGAGACTGCCTCTCTGTGCAGAGCAGAAACATCCATCCTCTGGGAGCTGAAGTTCGAGATCGAGGCCTAAGAAGACGTGCTGGAGAAACGCAGTAAAGATGGTTGGTGGACGAAGACGATGTTGGTGGTTCGGAAGAGGAAAATCAAGGTCCGCGGAGCGCTACGACAGAACAGCCACCCCCGTCGTAATCCCCCCAACCACCGCTCAAACACGTCCCTCGTCACCTCCAAAATCCACAATTCCAACGCCATCTCCATCGAAAGCATCAGAGCCACTTAACGAGCACGCCAATCCTATCATTTCTCATTATCAACCTGGTGTCTCGCAACCGACACAGGCAGCCGCCCATCTAAACCGGTTGAGCTTCTGGGGCCAGACTTTCCAGAATCTGACCAAGGAGGACCAGGATATCATCAAAACTTATTCGTCTCAGCTACAGCCTGGTGGACCAGTGTTTAATCAGCTTGATAGCCTGTCCCAGCTTGCGGCAGATAAGGGAACGCAATGTCAGAACGAACGCTGGAAGTTCACCTTAGGCCAAGAAGAGGTAGTGCTGCGAGATGTGGCAAACAAGGTCGTATTCTGGATTCAAAAATTCAAAGCATTTGGTGATGTTGCTGCTAGCTGTGATCCCGTCCATGTTGCACTTCCATGGGCTGCTGTGAGGTTTCTTTTACAAGTAAGTATTGTTGCCCTCTATTGAAAATACCCCTGGCAAGCCCTAATTTATGATCGAGGCAACTATCGCAGAAAGCGAGCAAGCGGGATATTTACTCTGTGGCGTGGAGAGAGTGTGCTCCCTCATAAACAGGTGCAAAATCTACGAGACTTTCGACCTTGACGAACCCAACCTACCTTCGCTGCAAGCCGCAGCGAATCTCCGGTCAGCTCTCACCAATGTCTATACTGAAATTTTCGATTCTTAGCTACTGCGTTGCCTCTCTTTGATAAAGGCGCTATCAAAAGGGCAGCCCTTGCAATCTTCAACCCCGACAAGATCAACGAGCATATCAAAACACTCAAAAACCTTGCACAGGAGACAGAGACCGACGCGAATAACTATCATATAACTTGCAATGTTGACTTTCAACAAAAGATCAAGCTGCAGTTGGATGAGTTGCTTATGCCGTTGAGGGTCATGCAGGACCAACTCGAAACCTTATGGATACGATCCGAGCGAGCCGAAAGAAACGAGACCCTCGACTGGGTGTCCAGAACCCCGCGTGCAGATTACCATTGGTCAGCATTGGAGGGAAGGGTTAAAGGGACGGGATTATGGTTCCTCCGTCGAAAGGAATTTCAGGAGTGGAGAAAATCCTCAAAGAATTCAAGTCTCTGGCTCCACGGTATCCGTAAGTCATGCCGTAGCCCAACACGCCTCTTTTGCATCTAAATTATTTCTTAGCTGGTGCTGGAAAGACCAAGATTGTCGCCACCGTTGTTCATCAATTGACTGGTTTACGCAATCGAGGAGAGTCCAACGAAGGACTCGCGTACTTTTACTGCAACAAACTCGAGGAGACGAGACGAACACCATCCTATATCTTGAGCAGTATGCTACGACAATTATCCATCAACTCGTCTGGGAAAGCCATTCACCAGATTCTGCTTGATAAATACCAACAAAGAAAGGAGAACTGTGCAAAAGATGGTCGCTTGTCTAGTCTGCATTTCGAAGAATGCATAAGTCTCATGAGCAGAATCGTCGCTACCTTCCCAAAGGTGACTCTAGTACTTGATGCGTTAGACGAGTGCGATAGGTTATCCAGGCAGACCATAATGAATATCTTCGACGACTTGATCTCCGAATCTTCTAGCCCTTTGAAAATCTTGATATCAGGTAGATGGGACACAGATATCAAAACTCGAATGGAATTCGCCGGAAATCTGTGCATTGAAGCCGCGGACAACGGAAAAGACATTTCTACATTTATCGCCCAGAAGATCACAAATGCCCGCAAAGAATGGAAACAACTCGTAGACGATGACCTCCGGATTAAGATTACTGTGACTCTCCAAGAGAAGTCACAAGGCATGTAAGCAAAATACCTTCGTCTACCTACAATGCTAGACTGAGAGCTTGCAAAACCCAAGCGCCTCATGCTTTTCATCCCGCCCTGACTCTCCCGCGGAGTGCTTCAAGCAATGCCAAACAAGTGCGCAGGCTTCCGGCTAGGCGCTGTGATACCGCACAATGTTTGCTGACTTTCTATATTATAGGTTCCAATGGGCAAGTCTACAGATCGAGCACCTCCTAGATCTCGACCTCGAAGAAGACATCCGAACGCGCCTGGGTAGCCTCCCTAAAGATCTCAGTAACGCTTATCGCGAGATATTTGACGAAATACAGAAGGAAAATGGAAGCAAGCCGGATGTTGCCAGAAGAGCTCTTCAATGGCTAACATGTTGCATCACACCACCGACGATACAAATACTGGCTGTTGTAGTATCCCGAAACCCGGAGACCGGTGATATCGACTATAAAGATGTCTCCGGGGAGTTCATTCTCTCCGCCTGCCGAAACCTCGTAGTAAGAGACGCTAGTCTCAAAATCTACAGATTCTGTCACTTATCTGCTCAGGAATACTTTCACAAATATTGGAAGAATGCTGAGCCAGATTTGTTCGTATCGAAAGTGTGTTTACTCGCCCAAATGCCATCATCTTTGGTCTTCCGAAGAAGCCAGTGTTCATGGTGTGAGCAACGAAAAGGGCCTTTTTCTTACGAGCTTGAAGCGGGCTTTTTTCAAACCTATCCGCGGACGGCTGAGAGGTGGGATCCAGCTTCGAGACCGAAGATCTTCTTCTCCGAAACCCAGGCGGGTGGCGGAAAATTCGTTAAGCCTAGCTCTACGGATATTGATGAGTACGCCCAGAACAATTGGGTCGAACATGCTAGGAATTGTTTACCTCAAGCGAAGGACCATCGACTCGGACAGCTGTTGAGGTCCTTTTTGCTGTCACAGGACATATGCAAAATATCCTACGCTTTCTGGAGTCATCGAAGCTACACTAGTAGAATATCTCAGGTGGAGCCTTACTGCCTGGGTCTCAGTACCATCATTTGTTGTTGTGGTCTTTACCCGCTTGTCTCTGACTGGTGGTTACCAGGGTTTCTGCCTCCAAAAACTCGATCTAGAATGGGGCTCGACCTAGCGCAATGCGCTGTAGATGCAGGAGACATACCACTGATCGAGGAATTTGTGAAAACGGATCCATGTCCAAAAGACCTCGCGGATATTGCCTTGTTCTGGGCAGTTGAGACCATGAACGAAGATTTGACTATAAAACTCCTGGAGTTTGGCGCGGATCCTAATTCCCAAAACATAATGAAGACCAGATCAGTGTTGTGGGTCGCAGCGCGTGGTTGCCCCAAGAGATTCGTCGAGATACTAATATATGCCGGTGCTGATATCAATTGGCACAGTAGCTATTGTAGTACTCATAGTGCGTTATATGGCGCAGCGCAACGTTGCCGCTACGAAACTATCCAATTGCTTTTGGAGGCAGGAGTAGACATCGATGCCGTTGCGACGGAGTCTTTGGGGAACGCTCTTTACTTTGCATGTGTAAGCATCGATACGGGTGCTCTCTTCGCTCTTCTTTTTTTCGGTGCTAGAGTTGACATGGGGCGGAGAGTTGCAGACTGCATTGAACGCTGCTGTCTACGTCGGTCATCTTAGCTTAGCCAAATCACTCATTGCACTTGGGGCAGATGTCAATGCTCAGCACAATGGGTCGGAGACCGCGTTGATGATTGCAGTCAAAAAAGGAATGGTCAACATGACGAGACTGCTGCTACAAGCCGGGGCGAGTGTCAATGCATATCGTGGATCTACGAAGGAGCGGGTCTTCGAAACAGCACAACGTTTGGGAAATAGAGATTTAATTGACGCGCTGCTCAATTACAACCCGGATTCTGGTGTAGAGAAGGTACCTTCATATTTCACTCGTTTGCCTCTCGCCCACAATGCTAACATTTCGATCAGCAGGAAGATCCATATTCGTGTCGTAACCCTGTATATGTACACAACCATCACAGCTATGTTCTGTCAAAGAGGCAAATAGAGTTCCTCAAAGAGGTCAGATCGGCACCCAGATGTGAACAGCGCCAAAAATACTACCTTGAAAAGTGGTCGCCTACGTGGAAGCATCTCGCCTTACGTAGGACAAAGGGTATGATGGTACGAGACAGGGGATAACGAAAGCCTAGAAAGATAGTTAATAATGGACTACAAGGCAACAACTTCATGAAATACTCTTTTTTCTAAGAACCGAAGCAGTAGCATTGAGTTTCTAATGTCCACCCCATTATATAATATACCTTGAGGCTATGATTGGCTGGCTCGTAAAAGCACGTGACGGCTAAATCCTAAGCTATACCTGAGTCAGATTAGGCTCTTACGCCTCCTAGGTTCTTCTCCAACCCTATCCGAACTTCTCCTGAGTATTCCTCTCCCACAGTTATGGCACGCATCAAGACAAACGCATCATTGGAGCCTTTATCAATATGGTCACGGCATCATCAGATGTATTTCGCGTTGAGCTGCCAAAAAGGACCCGTAGAGCTGGCAGCAAAGTGCGGACGGGGTGTTTGACCTGCAAGTAGGTATCCCGCATGCAACTCGATACCGGAACAGCCGAGACTCATAGAGAATGGCCGCTAATGTACGATTGGCAGAATCCGACGCGTCAAATGCGATGAGAAAAAGCCCAGCTGCTTCAGGTATGCTGTGCATGACTCGCGTCTCCATCATGTCATGTGCTTTCTGACCCCTCTCCAGATGCACCAGTACAGGTCGGAAATGCGATGGGTATCCCCAAGATATCAGCGACTTACAGTTTAAGGTTACCGTATTCCAGCAGTTATCAAATCGCCGACCTGGGCTCCCTATGCTGTCTGGTCTTGGCGACAATGTCCAATATCTGGAATTCTATCATGCTTGCGCTCGGCCAACACTATCCAGCCACTTTGATAGCGAATTCTGGTCCCGTATTTCCCTTCAACTGGCCCAATCCGAGCCTGCCATTCGTCACGCCCTGATAGCTCTTGGCTACCTACACAAGACCGAGTCCGGCAACCTGAGAGATGCACGCACGAGGTTCGCGGCTCGATCTGAAAACAAGATCCTTCTCCTCAACTACAACAAAGCTGTTAAACATCTCGCTGACCGTATGGTCGAGCCCTCCTACACCCCCGAGATTGGGCTCGTCACGTGCTTACTATTCATCTGCATTGAGTACATGCGGGGAAACTGGGCGACGGCGTTCATGCACTTGACTAACGGGCTAAACATCATATCGGCATGGAGAAAGACACATGCAATCAGCTCGTCGAATGGGTCAGTTTCCCCGCAATCTCCTCCAGGAAGCACGAGCAGCGTTTCGAGCAGCTCAGCATCTTTGATAGAAGAAATGTTGTTGCCGATCTATATTCGGTCAATTGCAGCCGCACTCATGTACGGCGTCCCAGTCGAAAAGGTATCCGACCACCTTCCTACCAGCTTCGAGATGCGACCTTTCACTACGATTTTCGACGCACAAGTTTCTAGCCATGAGCTACGGAACCTCTCTCTCCTTTTCATCCGCGACTGGGGAAAGCGGCTTTTCGAAGGCGACAGAATAGCAGAGAAAGACGTAGAGCTCCAGAGCTACCTCCTAGACTGCCATCACTCCTGGCTGAGCGGTCTCGAAACCCTCGAACGCAACGGAGCCCTTTCAAAGGAAGACCGAACAATAGCAAGCCAGCTCAGAGTCACGTACTACGCCACCTACATCTTCATCTCCTGCGTCACAGAGACCAGCCAAATGCAGTACGACCAGCATCTGGACACCTTCAAGGCTTTGGTCTACCACGCCAAGCTCGTGCTCGCGTCCAAAGGTTTCGCCGCGCCGTCCGCATCGCCCTCGTCCGCAGGCTCCAGCATCGCCTCTTCGCCCTCCGCTCGCCCCGCAGCCAACTTCACCTTCGAAGGATCTGTCGTCGCGCCGCTCTTCTTCTGCGCAAACCGCTGCCGCTGCCCCATCACCCGCCGCGAAGCCATCGCCCTGCTTGCTCTCAATCCACCCAGAGAGGGTCTCTGGGACCCGCAGCAAAACGTCGTCATTGCGACGCGCGCCATGGAGATCGAAGAGCGCGAAGTCGATCCCGCGACGGGCTGGCCCGTCGACAGGACGCGGCTCTACAGCGTCGTCATCGACGGCAACATGGACGGCAACGGGCGCTTCTCCGCCCGCTTCAGCACCGGCTTTTCCGTCGACAACTTCTCGTGGAAGCGGGAGGAGAGAGTGTGGGTGGAGTGGTTTGTCTTGGGAGGGGATGGTGCCGCAGAGACCGAAGTCGCAAGACAGGCTGGGCCCCGGTCCGGGGCGTGGCGGGCTTATCCTCTCGGAAAAGGATTACTGTTCAGCAGGTATCTTCCATCCGAGGATGGTTCTCTGATTGATCACTCGCATGAATTACATGGCCGTTGGCCGTCCTGGAGGATCTGGAGGGAAGCCGATTTTTCGGAGGACCAGGCGTTGTTTGGGCCCGCGTATCCTTGAGACGTGTAGCATGTGGGCACGCTACGAAGAGTGTGGAGTTGCGCAGTAACAAAATCTACGATGTTCTGCGCTGGCGATGGTGCAGATGCGGTCTGGAGAGTCGTTGGCTCTCTTGTGCAGAGTGGAACCAAACCTGACATGTTGTGCGTATTCTTACACGGGGTGTGTCCCAAACCTGCAAAGAGAACAAATGTGGATTCCGAGAAAGAGTTGGAACGGGGGGTTTGGGCAATCAATGGCAGTGTTCATAGCCCAGCATCATGCCAGGGCAAATGGCCTTCAGTCCCCTTCGAACGCCCTTGACTAGTGCCGGATACTGTGAAGGATAGGAGATGGTACGCAACGAGGACGATCATCATTTTTTGAAGGAACACGCGAAAAGGATTGAAGAAATGCTATCATAGTCCAAACAGAATGTCTCATCAAGACCAAAAAAAATTGGTAACCACGGATTGATATTGGGAAACGCATATGCAAAAAAACAGACGAACGCGACCCGGGATGAGATAGAAATTCCAAGCTCACTCTAAACCAAGGCCCACTGTGCGTTGAGTCTGGCAATTTGCTTGAGTAAAACTGAGGGCCTCCCCCCCCATGCCCATGCTAGCCTGATTCCAAAAGCTTTCCGATATTGCGACTCGCCAATCCAGACTCGATCCCTCAGCCGATCTTGAAACAGCCTCCCGGGTTCCTGCCATCGAATCCGAATGTGCCAGACCAAATTCACCAGGAGAAGCATTGCGGGAGCTAACAGTAAGGAAGGAAGGGGTCCAATCACGGGTCTCTAAACTGTCTAACTGTGATCTTGCTCATCGCCAAGGGCCAACATCCGACGACAACAACTATATCCTTTCTGGACAGCTCTCAGCAGACTGTTCCCCAGGTTCCCCGCAATTCGCCCGATGCGGTACATGACGCGGATTCCCGGCGGGCGTGGATGAATTTCGTGGCGGCGCCGGTGATGTGTTCCGGGCGACGATCTATATGAGTCTGAAGTAGAGGGGGTTGGGGCCGGGGGGGTCGCCGATTTTCGCGGGCGCGGGAGGGTGGGGTGGGACATATTTGGGGGAGGGGGGGCAGGGGGCAGTTGGCGAAGGCGAAGGCGAAGGCGATGGGATGACGGTTGTAGGGGGTGGATGGGGGGAGGGATAAGAGGGTGTTGCGTATGAAGCTGGGTTGTGAGGCTTTTGTGTATTTTTGGAGACGGGGGATGTGGCGAAGGAGGTGGTGAGGATTACGGATGGAAAAGGGAGTAAGCAGGCGTGTGATTCGGCGCCCTTTATGGTGAGGGTGGTGGGACGGGTGATGTGTGTTGGGCTTCGTAAGTAGATTTGGAGGTGGATGGTTGATACTGGCTAATTCTGTGATTTAGCTCCGGCGGGGTGTATTGTAGGAGCAGATCTGTTGTGGTATGTCGCGAAGAATTTGCATATTATCGGTACCGCCGTAGGTTCGATGCTAGATACACAAGAGGCGTTGAGCTATGCAGCGAGGGTAAGCTTACTTCCGAAGTCGCGGAGAAGTATTAGAATAACGAGATTTCTAGGGTTTGCTTAAACCATCACATGAGAAGTTCTCATTCGTTCAACTCCCAGAAGCAGTAGACAAATTTCGTAAAGGTCAAGTCGCTGGAAGACTTGTTGACTTTAATTCAAAAAAAAAAAAAAGGCGGCTACCCCCCCGTGAGTGGATGAAGCATATGGGATGACCTGGAGAGGTACCAGAGTAGTCCAAGACGTTGAATTTAGGTCTCGTCCAAAATTTAAGCATGCATGGAAACGCTCCCAACAGTAGCGAACCAGTGTACACAGAGCTGTGACGTGGCAATCTTCCAATCCAGGGACATTACTGACCGAGGCGAATATATTTCGTAGGGGTTCTCGCGCGCACTTGATAACCTTGTGCCCATCAGTGATGTTTATACTTTGTTCTGTGCACTTGATCATCTGTGATAAAGACTCGATAGTGTAAATTTTGGTCTGCTGCCGGCGCCGTTTAATGTGCCTCAACAGGCTGACTATGCCGTCAAAAGTCCCCAACCCACCGAGTGTTTTATCCCCAGACTCCAAACTCCCTTGAGTATGAGATCAGCGTAGATCTCTCCCGATCAGTGGGAAACCACATAAAGCTAACCGGGAGCTTCAGGTGGCGTCGTCCTTTTTGCCCTTGTCGTCCTTGGGTATCAAGTTCCGTAAGGAAAGGTCATACACCACGTCCTCGACTTCCTTAACCCTGTATTTTATGCCATCGCTACGGCGCCGGAGGGAGTCGTTCTTCAAATTGAGGATCTGGAAGCCGGCGTGGAGATCCTTGATGAACTGGCTTATGAGGATGGGTATAAGGTAATCGCCGAGAGTGACGGAGTTGCGTGCAAGGCGGGCCAGCTCATCGACGAGAGAGATCAAGGCTTGGAGGTATTCTTCGATCGTAAGGTGGAAACCGTCGCGTCCTTTGAGGTTGACCGGCACTTGTGATGTCGTTGTTAGCTTGGATAGAGCATACGAAGGGCGTGGTCCTTACCATTCATGATGCCTCCCACCTCTTCAATGGTCAACAGGCGGCCAGGCTGGGAGTCGCTGCCGTTTCCACCTAGCCAGCCGCAGAGGAGAATTCCGTATGTCTTGGGCATGTTCAGTTTATGCCAGACAGACTACGCTGGGGAGTCGTACCGCATCCTGAATTTGCCTTGACCACATTGTATTCCATTTGTAGTAGGGGAGCTTCTCAGCAGCTTGCGACAGCTTAGCGATGATTTTGACTTCATCTTCGATAGCGAGTGAAGCGTCGGAGACGAGCTTCGAGACTGGAGGAGTTAGTTGTGCGCGCTGGTAGAAGGTAGAGGTCCTGAACGTACAGGCATAGGCGGGGGTGGAATGGGCTCTGGCGAGGATGAATTGTACAGCTTTGTCTAGAAAAAGTCAGCGATGGAGGTTTCGGAAAGGCGGGGAACATGCTCTGCTTCTCCAGACTCTGGATGATGCCGCGAAGCTCCTGCGATGTATTAGATGTGCTGGGTGGAGGGGAGCTTGAGCTGCCTCACCTCACGGACGGAGGTCTCCTCGTCGATGCGGGCTTGGAGATCTTCAAAGATGGCGGGATCGACCATCCCAGTGCGGTCCGCCATGACGAGGATTTTAGGAAATGTGATCTTCACGGGAAAAAAGAGCTACATGTTTGTTTGTCGGACGCGGGCAGCCCGCCGGGCAGGTAAGGGTCACGTTGCAAGCAGGCGGACAATTGAGGCCGCACAATCAGCATCAAAATTCAGATCACAGCAATGCAGCAGTCTCAGGTGATGATAATCGGATTCAGTAGCTGCTGAAAGAGCTATGCAAGCTGGTTAACTAAATTACAGCGTTCAGCGAAGGTAAGAGATGGTGCAAATTGTGAACAGACAGGTGGCGGCCTCGCCAGCACAAGCAGTGAAGAAGCGCTTCCAACCACCAGCAAAGCTCCAAAAGCAAGCAGAAAAGATATTCTTCTTCGAAGTCCCAGACCAGCTGGGAAGTTCAATGAAAAAAAATTCGCGTCGGCCCGAGGCAGTGCAATACGAGCGACACTGTGCTCCTGGACATAGGCAAGCCCAGCGGCCCAGGAGCGGTTTCCAAAGACTGGATTAATCTTGAGAGATCCCGTAGGATCGTTTCAGAGATTAAACTGAAAAGAACAGATACTACACTTGATCTAAGCCAAAAGGCACTAAAAATGTTGTTAGCAGGAGCATCAGCATTGCGGGGGAGGTGGAAACATACAAGAGAGCTGAGGAAGGAAGAAGGGACGGGGGCCTGGCGAGTTGATATACTTCAGAATCCAGCAGAGTCTTGGCGCTGACTCACCCGCGCAGCCTCCAGGCAGCAGCCCACGGGTGCACGGGTGGCCAGGTGAGGAGCTCCGAAGTCGGCATGGAATCTCATGGAACGCCGTGGAAACGCGACCACGCTTTGATTTCACACGTGATTGATCTAAGGAACCTCAATCCATTAGCTTCAACATCTATTACGATTTACGAGCGGGCATATCTCACCTCATGCTATTAGAAGCTCTACCACTAACTTCTAATATTCCAGGCTTTGTTCAAGTCCAGCTTCCAGTTATGATATGTTCCCAGAGACGATCTATACTCTACATCTCCTAATTAATTATCGAAGCACTGCGAACATTTATTAAGCAATTCTTTACACCTCTCACACTACAGATGAGTATTTCTCTTGGTACACATGACCGTCTCCAAAATCTTATAACTATTACCTTCCTGTCTATGACGCTTTTATAGCATAAGAAAAGCAGTCGCTTTTCAAGGACGTCTTCAAACCTTGTACTGCGGTGTAAGTGCTTGAATTTGCTGTCAAAAATCTCTTAATGTGCCGTGCTTCCTCTTCTATCAGTTAGGGTCTTATCTAGGCCAGATGGTTTCTGTCCCGGGTACGATCAAGGCCTACTGTACTAATATTTCCATTTCTATAGGCTCATGTGCTACTGTTTGAGGTCCCTTAACGTATTTTCGGAAACCCCAATCAGATTTCGAGTGATCGGTTTGACTAATCGCTTCCCTTAACGAGTCACCCCTAACAATGCCATCCACTGTTCGAAAGAAGGGTTCTAGCACTATATGCTTTTTATCTTCCTAGTGTCTCTCTGAGTCCAGCTAGCTATCGTAGTCTGAGAGGTCGCCAGCTTTGGCCGCCACGATCTCCTAAGTTCTCGAACATCCCGTCCGAAACTCCGCATCACTTTCAGCTAATTTGAGAGCAATTTCCAATCTATAACAGTTTCAAACAATATCTTAAGAGCTTTACCCGTTTTAAGTACGCTTACCGCCGCTTGAGTTACCTCAGCATGGTTTCGGAGGTTTGAAAATGACATAAGTCCTGAGTCTTGACCACCCATCTACCTCCTTAGGCCACCCCAGGCGGCGCTATTTACAGTTGCAGAGAACGCTTGAGAGGCACAGTCAAGATGCCTAGGTAGATGACTGGAATCTACATTCAGGTACATATTTGAGAGCGTATGAGTCAGCGCTAAGACTCTGCTGGATTCTGAAGTATATCAACTCGCCAGTCCCCCGTCCCTGCTTCCTTCTCCAGCTCTTACTATGCCATTGTTCCATGCGCTCCACACGCGAACTATATGATGCTACCCAGACTTCCAGCTGCGTAACCTCGTATGCCACCGTGTGAGGTCCCTTACCGTGTTTTCGGATTAACAAATGAGGACTAAAATGATGTTTTTTTCCAAACCTCTTACAGCCCTAGGCCACCCCTGATGACGCCAAACATAATAGGTAAAGCTCCAGGTGCGTCTTCTTCGTCTGTTATCATCACGAGCTCTGCCAAATGGCGCCTCCTTTTCAGATGCAGGGAGATGCTAAGTTCTCAAATGGTTCATCCGGATGTTCCAACCACTTTTCGACCAGTCCGAAAAGAAATTCAATCTCATCAGTAACTCCAGATCCTTCCGAAACTCCGATAGTTTACAAACGGGTTCGCCGCTGCTTGAAGTCCCTCGACGCAGTTTCAGAAATTCAAGTGAGACCTAGTTCTATCGATTTGACGAATAATCTACTCCTCTAAGCCACCTCTGGCGGTGGCATGCCTAGATTATGTCGAGCTCGACCAAGTTTCGTCCCCAGCTCCCCCAGTCATGATAGTCAAAAGACGGGAAGGCTGAGCCGCGACGCTTACGGTTTCAATCGATGGCAGCCATTACTGGCACACGGCGTCTATCGGAGATGACAATGAGCTAGGAAATCCTAAGAATGTCTACATCTGCCCAACCTGCGGTCTGAAGTCTGAATACATCATCACAGTAAATCTGATGTTCGGCGTGATGGATCCCCCCCTGAACGAGCCGCTTGCTGCACGTATGGAAGACGCGGTGGCTCACACCTATGTGACTCGCATTTGTAAGGGAATACTGACTGCATTCGGCCATATCACGTGGCACTGGATTCCAGAACGAAGAGAATATGGGTCGCAAGGCTCATTACGACGTCGAATTTTGTCCCGAATTCATTTGTAAACGACGTTGCATCACCATCGACCGTCCGGGCCCGACAGATCGACCACGCCAGAGCTATTAAGGTACGAGCAAGCGGAGGCGGATGAAGTGTGGTAGTGCTGATCGACCTAGATTCGAGCGATATCCGTTTCTCTTGTTACCTTTATCTATATATAATTTTTCTCTCTTAACGCCGAACGGCAACTAAGGTCTCAAGATGCATGTCTTTACCATGTAGATAGCTCTTAGCAAGTAAGACGATGCCATAGTCCGCCTCACCAATCGTTAACCATCAATCGGTCACCGAGCCCCTCGTGCTACTCGTCTTCAAACCAGTTCGGGGGCCACCTCGTCATCTTACTTCATACCAATCGTACCCTTTTTACAACCTTACAGCCACCGGAACTGCCAATCGAGCTTCTACAGGCCGCTCGTTCCGCTGAAATTTTAACATCGCGAGGGATAGGGCTTTCAGACCCGTCTAGAAGTAGCGCAAGGATTGGCAACAAGCAGCCTTATAATCCCAATTACACGTCCTGTAAGGATGCCTTCTGAGGGAAAGGTACACTCGTCCAGAAGGCATTTGCTGAAAGCCCTCAACCGTCGAAATCTCACCGAAGGCACCTCTTCCGGAACATCGACTCTCGCTTCGCACTCGTCGTAGAATATTAGTGTCGAACCAATTTGAACCGGCAACTGTCGCGGTTGCTCCTCCTTGCATCCACTGGATATTTGGACTGCGGGTAGATCTACACTATCATCGGCTAGATCACGAAGCTTGTAGTCGTCCAGTCTATTCAGTACCGCTGGTAAGTTCGGCCTGCGGTTGGCAAGGTGGAGGCCCGGAGCCGTAGAAGGGGGCAGGGCAGACATGGCGTCCTTCAGCGCAATGCCATAGATTTGCTCGTCCATTGTCGGACCTCTACTAGGACCGACTCTATGTAGCATCGACCCCACTGCTAGAAGCCTTGATCGCTGGAGTAGGGGTGGCGACTGCGTCAAAGTACAGGCTGCAACATCTGGCGGTGGCAGATTCGACAAGATGTTAGCTAGGCTGAGGCTGGGATTTAGGGGGTCAAGCTGCCACCGCCTGGGGTGGGCGGGGGAGGTTACCGGTTGTCCAAAATTATAAGTTTTGAGCTTCTAAAAATTCTTCGGGGCATCTCATGTAGTATTGAATGGGTATGAAAAAGATACGTGGCAAGGCCGCCGACTGAAGGGCTCCACTATTGGAAGAGGGCTACTCAATATGCAAGCCCCAGAAATGACATCGTCGTTATCATGAAGCTCATTATGCATGGGGTCCTCTAGAACTCTACGTAGGCTGTCAAAACTGTAGCATGGCAGTTCCAATCCAGACGGCTTAGCTAAAGAGGAAGGAGGTCGGGCCCTGCGAAGCGGGTATCTAATTTACAGGCCCCGGAAACGACATCGACCTTACTCTAAGGCTCGTTGTGCAAGGGGTCCTCTAGATGTATCGATACGCTGTCAAAATGACCGGAAGATAGGTTTAATTTATGTCGCCTAGCTAAAGAGGTATGAAACCAGGCTCTGCACAGCGGGTGTCCAATTTGCGCGCTCTGGAGATGACATCGTCCTTATTCAAAAGCTGGTTACGCATGGGGTGTCTTGGATACTTCTATACGTTATCAAAACGAATACCAGACAGCTCTGGTTTAAGCTACTTAGCAAAGCAGCAGATACTCCGGTCTTACCAGAAAGGGACCTGATTTACAAGCCCTAGAAATGACATCTTCCTTCCGCTAAAGCTGGTTACGCATGAGGCACTTCAGATACCTACGTACGCTATCCAAACAACGACAAGATGGAGCCATTTTAAGCTATTAAGCAAAGAGGATGGAAACCAGGTCCTGAGAAGAGGTATCTAATTCACAGCCCTGGAAAATGACATCCACCTTATTCCGAAGCTGGTTAGTCACGACGTGCTTCAGACAGCCGCGTAGCACGTCAGAACGATAGCATGATAGATTTGATTTGGGCTATTGCGTAAAGAGGCAAGACATCAGGCTATGAAAATACGGGTATCTGATTTGCGAGCTCTGGAAATGACATCGTTCTTGCTAGTTAGGCATGAGGTACTTCGGACACTTGCGTACGCTGTCAAAAGGACAGTAAGAGAATTCCAGTTTCAATCAATCAAGAGCGGAAAGGAGGGATTTCTGTTCATGGAAAACACGTAATATAATTGGGAATAGACGTACTGTGTACACCATCCCACCACCGTCGTCTGAGGTGCCCCAGCGAGCTTACCCGCTCTCCAAAACGACACCTTTCGCATCTCTCAGACCTCACCAGGCCACCTCACGCAGTACCAAGCAAGTGCGCAGCAGCAGCAAGTAGTATTTCAATTCTCATGCTAAAGTCCAGCTCAAGCATCCACCCCCACAATCTCCATACTATCCTCACTCCCCTCACTCTCACTCCCAAATCCCCATTCCTCCTCCTTCCCCTTCCCCTTCCCCTTCCCCTCAGATCCCGAAAGTGCCACTACCCACACAAACTCCGGTGCCAGCAGCATCCACCCGATCCTTGTCCGCCGGGAACACCTCCACAAACGCGCTGGTGCTCAGCTTGCGGCGCTTGGGGGCCTGGGAAGTCATTCGCCCGTCGATTACGCTGCGGCCTGGTGAGGTGAAGGCGGTTGGAGTGAAGGTTGTGGTTTGAGTGAAGGTTGCGGTTTGAGTGAAGTTGGTGGCAGTGAAGGTTGGTGTGGTGGGAGACGGGGCGCTGCGACGGTTTGCGCGCGGTGCGAACCAGGAGGGCGAGAGGAGCTGGCTGCGGAGAGGCGCGAAGCCGGAGGGGACGGAGATGGCGATGGAGCGGGCGCGCATTTTGACGTAGGTTGAAAGAAGTTTTGGCCGTGGTTTGAGTGGGTTGAGGTGCGTCGAGGTGGTGAGTGCGTTCGCAAAATGATGGTTATGTGAGTGGAATTTGAGGTTGTTCGTGAGATTGATGTGATCGCGACGATGAGGTTGTGAAGCTGATGAGAAAAGAAGGGCGAGGGAGAAGCTTATAAGAAGAGGATTTGACGAACAATAGGAAGCCTGCCTATTGAGGAACAATAGAAAGAACTCCTATTGTCGACCCGCGACTATACCATGGTGAAAAGTGAGGTCATCCATAGGAGTGGGCGCGTGCACCGTGCACGAACCTTGGGAATCGTAAGTGAGGAGCTAGAAAACTGTTTGCAACCGTGAGCAGGCGATTCGGGGAGCTTCCGGGACATTCACCTTTGCGAAGATGGGTTTGGGCATATAAGCGCCGTCGGGGCATGGGGAAATGGAGGAAACATCACCTACACGTATATCTCACACAAACCGCGGGGACGACTGAGATTAGAGTTCCACGCCGAAATCTCAACCATGAATGGTTTTCTCGCTATCCCACTGGCGTGGGCCATATGGGCATGGGGTTGGTCCGTCTATCTCATATGTCGAATCCTTTGGATGTTGCTTGGACATGCTGCCTTCGCGGTGCTGGACCAGTATCTTGGATCTAAGAAATGTGATCAAGCGAATGATAACAAGCAAGGAAGAGTGTTTGATTTCGGATTTGACATGACTATACGGATCCTAGGGCCCTTTCAGGTTGTCCAACAAGTCGCGACGCCGACTCCACGCCTACCTGGGCTGAGTATCGGTGTAGCTAGCTTGAAGCCGCCGTCTTCACCAAAGCCGCCAGCGGCACCAGGTTCACAAGAGGTCCGCAAAACTACTAGGGCTACTCCAACCCAGGGTCAAACCTCTCGACGCCGAGTCCACGAGGCAGCACGATCCAATCCAAGTGTACCACGGGATATTCGCACGAATATTAGGGTTGTTACAACCTCAACCGCAAGACACTGCTCTCGTGTACCCAGCCGCATGAACACCTACATCACAGTAATCCCCAAGCACCGCCGCCTCCAACTAACCACCCTTCACAGCGGGCTTTCCCTCCTCCTCGACCCCGGCCCTCGGGGCACGGACGATATCGCCCTGCTGACCCCCAACCTTCCCCGCGAGATCCGCGTCAAGATCCTCCTCCTACAGATCACCGTCACCGCGTTCAAGCGAGCGGAGGCTGTGATAGACGGACTCCACGAGCTACTGCTAGGCCTGACGCCCATCACCTCGATAAAGAACCCAAAGCCCGACTTCCACGCGATAGCATGGGCCTGCGTAGAGGATGAAGCTAAATTGAGGCAGGTGGTGAGGGCCACAGGGAAGCTGCTGTATAAGGAGGCCGATTGAGTATACCTCCGGGGTTGGTGGCATGATGAAGTCTTCCCAACGCGGTTGCTAGAAAAAGATATCGTGGAGTTCGAGGGGTGGGTGCAGGTTTGCATGGAAACGGCGAGAAATAAGGCGACGGAACTGTACGAGATGATTGTTAAGGTTGAGAATGAGGTGCACATGATGAGAGTGCAGTCGAGAGCTGTATTGCCACGGCCGGTGGCGAAGAGAAAGAGGGAGTATAAGGAGGCTATGGATAGGGAGAGGGCAGGAGCGGTCAATGTGAGGTATATGAAGGACGGGCGGATCTTCTGCGATGGGGAGCTGCAGACGGATTGATTTCTGTAGTGTCCTTGGGTGCGAGAGGCGGTAATGGATTATGTAGCGGTCTACTCCTGCTTGCTCAGTTTGAAGAGCGTCGAGCTGGAAGAGCTCGCAGGTGAGCTGTTTGTGCTAACAATGTGGAATGAGAAATCGAGAACTCCCACTAAAATCTTTACACTTCTGTGGGATATTATTAGACGAGAACGACGGTCATTGATAGATACGATACTTACTTTAAAAGCTTCTCGAGGTCTCCAATAATGCAACGTGTTGATATTTGCATGACGGCGAAAGCGGCATAGCCAGGCTCGGCAATGTGCCGAACGCTCAATATGTCTCTATCAAGAGCACGAATCCTAGCAGAGAGTTGATAAGGCTTGGGGGTCGTTAGATATGGGGGCAGTGGTTGGCCATTCGTAATGGCCGAGGAGAGTAGAGCAAGAAGCGAAGTGATCTCGTGTGAAGTGACGTTGACCGAGCTGATCAGACGTCGGAAATCTTCAAACCACTCACTTTCCGAAGGGTCGCCGTGATTGGAGTTCATGTCGGTAAAGGTGTGAGAAGAGTATCCAACGAGGGACATGTATTGCACGATGCTGATGATAGTTGTTAGTAGAGGTCCTCTCGCATGTCATGAATGCAGACAGCTTACTTGGTAACGCATTGGATGATGGTATCGTACTCTTTCTTTGGAAATTTACCGCCCAGGGGGACTTCCCACTTCTGGAAAGCAGTGTTTGTTTTGAGACTTTGAAGCACAAGCATCTGTTTTGAGAAAACCTTGAGGCGAGCCTTCTCGAGTTTCTTTCCGGGGCTACCTTTCGTCGTCAAGTCACCCTCATCGCCGCGAATTCGAGCGCGAACGGTCTCGTGAACGATAGAATAGTAATTCGCAGACAGATAAAGAGCACAACCAAGGGTTTGTCTGATGATAGAGTGCTCAGAGATCGGGTATGGAAAAAACGTCCAGACGAATGCTACGAAAAGGCCTCCTGCAACTGTTGCGAGCCGATATGGTGCTAGCGTGTAGATTGGATAGTATGGCTGGCCGTTGGAGCTTGCCGCGATTTTACCAATCTTTCTAACCTCAAGCTCGTATCCAATAATCATGGTAGCAGTGACGACGCTGATGAGTCCGACGATTATGAACTTCGGCTTCTTAATCGGAACGTAGAAGCCAAAGGTCACGAAGATGAACAGGAAGACTATCACACCAGCAGTCTTTCCGTCAGGAATGTACCACATGAGGAATGATAAGACCATGGCGAGGACAGTTCCGATGAGTCGGAGGAAGAACGTGGATGCGCTCTGGCCAGCGCTAGGCGTCATACTGATGGCGACCATAATCATGGCCCATACAAGCCGTTGTTTTATAAAGAAGACTTGGGTATCATGAAGGTAGGCAACGATAGCGATCGACATGGTCGCACAGGCAGCGCGAAATCCGAAGGCTGACTCGGAGGATCGAAGAAATCTCGGAAAGATTCGGATAAAGTCCCCAATATGCTCCCATGCGGTCTGTGGGGGAAGATGTTCGGGGTCCTTTCGAGCACTGTAGGCCTCGCCCATATATATGGTGGACTTGTTTCCATCGACGTCGCCGGTTGTGGTGGTGTCCTCAGCGGTAGAATCCTCAACCTTGAAGATGTTGACCAGCCATTTCTTCAGACGCCTGTTGCCAGGCATAATGAGCTTAGATTTCTTCATCTTGCCATCTGCAACTTGCTCGTCTGCGTAACGGACGAGGCTGAGAACGGCACGACTGACGGAATAAAGTAGGAACTCCATCTACACGAGGGCGTTAGTTTATGATCATACCGGGACACAATGGAAGTGCGAGGCGTGTTGGTGTTCCGATGAACTGTATTTCCGCAGTCGGGGATCAATAGAAATAACTTACGAAGAGTAGGAGGTAAAGCTGCTTTGAGTTTCGGTTGTAATCGCCATCATCTTCAGCTACGTCGTCCGACACGACGTCTTTGTAGCTCGAAGGATGTTCAAAAAAGTCGTTTGGCAAGTTGATGCCTTTGAGATCACACCATTCCCTGAGTGCGAGTTCCTTGCCTTGGTAAAACCGTTCTGTTTGGCTATCCAGATAGTCCGCGAATCCGGCGTCTCCTGGCTTCACAGTATCGCCCTTGGCCTCAATGTCTTCCGTCGCATTCTTCTTTTTCTTCGGAGCCTTCTTGAGTTCGAGCGTCAGAAGGGCATGTTCGAGTCCGTCATCCATGACCTGAATGATGGTTGAGAATGGCTCGTGGACGGATTTCATGATCTCATTCCATTCCGTAACAGCCTTTTGTCTACGGGCCTGCGTCTCAGGGTCCTGTTGTTTAGATTCAGGCGAGGTATCCCAATGGTTCATCTCCGCATATCGGCCGAATATATCAATCGACGATCCCAGTCCCATCGTGGGAACCATGATAGCGCGCAGCTTTTTGTAGATCTCCTCAAGCTGGTCCGGGCCTAATTTGCCGTATGCGACTTCGCGTTTTGCAAACGGGAGGTCACCATGGAGCTTTCCGTGTAGTTCGGTGAGTGCAGCGATACTCTTCTTGACGGCGGCAACTTCCGGTCTCTCCGTGGGTTTCTTTGGTTTGTGGCCTTTCTTGTCTTCGCTGCTGTCTGTGACGTCTCCGGAAAACATATCAGTGGTCTCGAGGCTCAGCATGTAGCCTTTGTGTGCTTGTAATGCTCCCCTCAAGACACCGATATAACCAGTCATCTCTTTGAATACGACTAGTCTGCAGCTCGTCGGAACGACGAACAGAGATACTCCACTGGAGAGCGCAAAGCCTGTCAGAAATGCTTCAAGCAGGCGTTTCGCAAAAGATATCCCTTGGGTCATGGTGCCAAACTCGGGGCCATACGTAGCTGCAACGTTGACGAAGATAGAGTAGATGATGGTTGGGAAAGCAAATTGAGGGAACTTTGCTTTAATGGAGTTGATAATGTAGATCTGGAAGAACAGCCAGATAGCGCAGACGGCGGATTGGGAGGAGTTGTATCCAGCCAAGGGAGCACCAGCGGGAGTGGTGTGTTTCCGCGCTTGAATAGAGCTCCAGATCATTAGAAGTGCGACGGCGGCGCCAATACAGGTAGCGATGATATTCATGGTCATGGTCTGGATAAACTTGGCGCGTGGCATTATGCAAAATCCAAGAATCGAGATAATGGCCACGAGGTATCCGAGGGTGCCGTACTGGGTGGAAACGGCATTAGATTCATACCTGGAGAGCTGTGAGCGTTAATTGAAGCAACGGCAGGAGAATCTTACATTGCCAGAGCGATTGTAGGAGGAAGCGCAGCCCTATGAACACGTGAGTTGTCGCCAAACTGTACACTGAAGGGTGAAACATACTTCATCATGATTAAAAAAGTCCCGACATCCAGGTCCAGCTTGCTCCATAACTGCTTCACCTTCGACTGCTTCTTGGTCACGTCGGCGCTCGCCTTGGGCTGGCCAACCCCCTCTGCGCTCGAACTCGACATCTTGGAGGCAGCCGAGGTCTTTGCCTGTTCGCTAGGCGAGGGTTCCGGAGAAGCCATTTGGACGGAAAATGTTGAGGGCAGTGGAACGCGTCGGTGCTGTGAGTTGGCGATGTTGGACGGAGGGATCGGCTCGCCGGGATGAAAGCCACCACTAGCTGGGGTTAGCCCGTACTGGCGCACTGGTAAGCTGGGCGCTGAATTGTTTTTGTGTCAGTCAGCACGGATCGCGGAACTTCAGATGAGGCGCGAAGGGTCGTGCTCCATCTCCAACATCCGAATAGGCAATTCGTGCGGTGTTGAGAGACACATTGCGGCTGTGAGCGGCGTCTCAGCAGCATGCTTCGTTTCCAGCTTCCGCTTTGTTGGTGCTCTGGGTTTCAGCCGAAGTCCGTCAGTTGCAACGATTGCCTCTGTCCATGGGTCCGTTTCGATACCAAGCCCTTAGTCTGTGTCCAAGATACCAAGACATTGCCTCCAAATATTGCCCAGTCCAATAGAAGAAAGCTATTTGCACCCAAGGTCCTGCACAGATATGCATGCGACAGCCGCACATCCGAGTTGTGTTGTAGGCTCCATGGACGAACCTTGAATAATGCCAAATGAGTTTGCACAGATCGCCTATATTCCTCCCTCCTAAATAGTAGACCAAGAGAAAAGCACGATGCGATCGGATATGTATATATGAAATACGGCCATAGTAATGTGCCTGTTCGCATTTGTTTGAATCTGATGCAGGATATCTATATCACAATCCGCTCAACGCTATACTTCGGCACGCGCCGACTGATCAATGCACCCATCTCTCGCTTGCTCCTCACCTCGACTACGCCATTACTCCCAATCTTAGTGCCCTGAAGTGCGGGCTTGCCCGGCCCCAGAGGTAGCATGTTCTCTTGAAGCATTACATCGGGATCTTCGTCATCTCGTCGAGGAACCAGAATTGGCTTGTGCTCCTTCCGCGCCATGTACTCTCGTCGTTCGCTTTCCCGCCTATCACTCCTCCACGCATGCCGCAAGAAGTCGCTCACAAAGCCCTTCAAGCACAGCGTCTCCCAGACACCCGTCAGCGTGTCTGTGACTTCTTGGCTCAGAGTCTCAAGTAAGTTTGCCGTCGAATCCTCCATATTTGGTGCGTTGGCAGCCGCGAGCCAGCCGCTAATGCCGATCGCATCGAGCGCGCAGGTGAGAAGCGCGACGATAATCACAATCGAGTGGTCATACAGCTCGCCAGTTCTTTCATGCGAGTCGGACTCCATATAGTAGGATGACCACCCGCCGTTATGGAGCTGGATTTGAAGCAGGCTTGTGAAGATGCCGATCTCATGATGCGTCAAATTGTCGCGTAGAGTAGAGGTGATAAGCGGAGGAGGAAAGGAATGCAACCGGGTAAGAGCATGCTGAAATGCCTGGCCGCGAGTAGCAAGATTGTCTTCTTCGAGTAGTGATTGTGCGTGGTCTAGAGCTTGGGTTGCTGCCTCAATCTCAATCTCAAAGTCGATGTCCATCCCATTCTCGTCGTCATTGGACGTCGCACCGTTGGTGAGTAACCGGGGCGTGGACTGGGGAGCACGATCGTCGTCAAAACTTTGAATCAAAATCTTAACAGCCTGAACCACTTCGGCAATTGGTAGGAAGGTCGGTTGACTCAAGACGAAACGCAGGGTTTGAAGTTTCGGATCGAAGTTGAAAATTGCTGCAACGAGATCTCCGTCGGCAATAGACTTGATCTCCTTGAGCTCATGCGACGATTGCTCTCGCAGAGCGCGCTCGATTAATTGCTTCGTGAGATGCCCACCTTGCAAAAGCCATCGGAAAACCTTTGGGGGGTAAAATGAGATGACAATTGACGACGTGACGGCCAGACTCGACTTGGAGTATCTCTCTCCGTTCGCGAATGGCGCCCACGAAAAGATTTTTCCAAGGGCATATGTGGCTTGGCGTCGATAGAGGTGTCGGGCTGAATCTGGCATCGACTTTGGAAGCTTCCACTCATCGCGCGACGTGTTAGTGACTTCCGTTTTTGCCTTGTCCTTGCTTTTTAATACTCCAGATCCGTTGGTCAGATGATCGGTCTTGGTGCCGTTCAGAAGCTTCTGCGAGGCCGGATCCGCTTCATTCAGAAGAGACTTTGGCTCGGTCGATTTCTTTGGGGCTTCAGCACTAGCACCCACTGCGAAGCCAAAAAGTTTTTCAAACTCAGCCACATTGCCAGACTTCGCACATTTGTCCATTTTGGCCTCACGTTTAGCCTCGCGCTGGAATTGCTGTGAGCCATCAGGAAAATCTGCGACACATTTGTCAAGCGGCTCAGTAGAGTGTTTGGGAAGCTCGGGTTTCTGTCGCTTGGGTCGAAGGCCCTTGCCAATCGAGTCGATAAGAAGAGCTTCTGTCTCTTTTCTTCCTCTTGCTGTGCTCGTTTCAATTCCTAATTGGATTCCAATCAGTTCTCCCTTGGCCAACCCTACCACCGTGTCGATGTCCGAGAAGTAAGCCAAGAGCTTGGGAGCCGATCCAGGGCCAAAGTCTGAAGACAATTTCCTTTTCTTGGAGTCTATCGGGATACCGTCACTCGACGTCAATGTACAAAGAGCCTGGAGTGAGTTGTATTTGACATCAAATATGCCACAATATTTCTCCGAGGATGTGAACAAAAGACTTGATGAGAGCTGTACGAAGGATTGCAATGACGTTCGCGGAACCTCCAATTTCGATGAAACTCGAGGAATGGTGCCTGAGAAATCGTACGTGATTATTACGCCGTGGATGAGTTGATGCAGGATGCCAGATTTGGAGTTGAGTGAATAAATGGGGTTATCTTGTGAGCTCGAGCTGCTAGTGGTAGTAATACTAGGGAGATCCCAAGCTAGTACATGCTGTATCTTTAGGCGGCGGCTGGTGATGGCGTCGGAAGACCGGGACGGGATGGCAAGAATTTGCAGGGTGCGGGGATTGTCCTCCAGCAACTGCGCGTCGCGCGCAACCAAGCATAGAATATGTGTGGCATCTAAAGAGTCCTCTTGAACACCCATGGATGGGTTTAGGGCGGTCAACACGTCGGTACGGCTTTTCAATAGTCCTTGGCGGACCGCTTTAGCGGTGGTCAAGCAGACGTACTCAATGAGCATGCTCTTTTTTTTTCCATTTTGGGTGGAAGCAAGGTCGCCAGCATCAGAGACCCACCGCGTGCTTTTCAAGTCGGCGGAGAAGCAATAGACTTCACCACCCTCGTGAATGCTGATAACATCGTGATCTAGAGAAGGGTTTTCCTCTGTACCCACAAGGGGGATGACCTCAAGTGCAATGACCCTGCTCGCCCCTTTGGGTATGCTGAAAGTAGACTTCTTCGAAGTATTTGTATCGCCTTTTCGGACGTCCTCGGTGAAGCAAATTACTTGAGCGTCCGACCCCGCCAGTGATTGCGCGACAGGCGCGTAAGTAAAGCGTTGTGAAGTCCGTGTTTTTGATCCTTTTCGATATACAGAGCAAGGAGCTGCCGTGAAGTACGTATGCGGTGGGAGAGCGTAGGAGGTCACAAGCTGCGGCGAGTGGACCTAGAAAGGCTTTTCGTCAGCTAATATTCACACCCAAATTACTCCACCCCCGGTACACCACATCCGCGCTCCAAATCCCAAGTACACCCATACGCCCATAAACCGGTCTGCTACTCCAAGTCCCGACAGAACCCAATATATCATGCGCTCCAATTCAGCTTCTGACCTTCTCAAGTATCCCAAAGCCCGATTGCACAGGCGCCATAGGATTTTCAGACTTACACTGTATATATTGACACCCTCTCCATCGACCCCAGTGGCGATTTCAGTCCTTTTCCTCTTCTTGGAGCCGCTCAAGCTATGCACTCCAGCGGCCACAGTGCGGCCATTGGTCGAATCGAAAGGTCGAGGCAGCGAAGCCAATGTGTGAGGGGCGTCGAGCTCCCTGGCGGCCGACATTGCAGTATCGGAGAATGCTTCTTTTCGGCGCCCGCGTGAGTCGTGAAGCAAGGGAAACGGTGCTGTTCGGTGAAGGGTCGAGCTCAACTGCGGGCGTGAACTTTTTCGTCAGTCTTGGCGCCGTACAAAATAAAGTGGGCCGCGAGCGGTGGCCAATAGAAGGCCCGGGAGATTCTGTTAATGCGAGCGCGTCAGTTCGCGTTCACTAACGCGACTCTCACTCATCCTCACCATACACTGCCGTCTTTTCGCCGTTTTTCAGCTTATTCAGTTTCAAGCCCTCGCCTTAAATCTATCGTTCAAATTGCATCGCACCTTCTGCCAGACTGATGATGAGGTAGTCCACCACCTCTCGAATGGCTCTCGCCGAAGTGCAGTCGGCCATGAACTTTGGGGAGCATAAGACGCTACACCCCTTCTTCTCGAAAGCCAGGCGTATGCATTACAATCTTACTGTCTTGCAGTTGACTGACGTTCCTCAGGGATCCCATCTCCGGAGAGAACCGAGCAGCGAAACGAACCTGAGCAGACCACATTCGTGCCGGAAAGGGAGCAACCCCATGACAAAGAACCACTCAATACCGATGCACAGCCCGGAAGCAAGAAGAAGAGGGGGAGGAAGAGCAGCAAGCTGAATGAGAGAGGTAGCAATGGGTCGTTGAAGTCGAACCAGGCGTCCTTAGAGAGATTCACGCAGAGACCCAAGATCGTCAGTTCTGAGAAAGAGGCTCGCATTTTAGACGCGTCAGGAGATATACAGTCAACGGGGAGAGCATCTGCAGCAGGTTTCGAGCTTTCCTTAGTCGAAGACCCAAATGCAGACCGTCGGAAACGAAGGAAGACCGCTTCTCCCATACCGAAAGCTATACACCTGTCCGAACCCGCCGAGACTGGCCTGGGACCCAACGCACAAGATGCCACCGAACCATCCCTGCCTCCATGGCATGAGCAGCTCATTGCGGAGGCGACAAAATTAGACACAGTACTAGTCGAGGCCTCAAGTCCACGCCATGATCCTCCCCAACTTCTTCCACGACAGGAAGAAGCTGTCCCGGATACACCAATGAGGCAAGCACTAACTGATGACAACGCGGTCATTCCATCTTCTCTGCCTTCGGAATCAGCACAGCCATTGGATACACCCCGCACGCTGGACGTCGAGAATAACTCTGGAGGTGAAAAGGATACAGGGGTGAAGGAAATGTTGCCGAAGAAGAAACAGTTGAAGATCAACAGCAAGGGGAGATTCAGCTCGCCCGTCTCGAAAGACACGAAGGAAGTCACCAGTCCCAAAAGACCACCCGGAAGAAAGGCCGCAAGGAAAAGCCAGCAAAGTACTGCTACGATTCTCAAATACGGATCGGATTCTGAAAGTCGAATTTCCCTCGGCAATCAGATCAATCAGATTCTGAATGGCAAGAAGGGAGATGAACAGAAATCCCCTAAACCTAAAGCCAACCCAAAGAAATCCAAGGGCCCCCCAAAACCTACCCACCCCTTCTTCCTTGGCAAGGCCCTCGAGAAGAAAGAAGAGCAGACAACTGCAAAAGAAGCTCCCCAGAACGCACCACTGCAACCGCCAAAGACCCCTAGGAGGAGTGCCGTGACTCCAGGCAAACTAAGAGCCGAAGCGCAAGCAAACCGCTCGCCGTCCAAAGCTGTAGCATTCGGACCCATCCCAGGCGATCCAAAAGTTCTTAAACATCCCGGCGTACCGGATGCGCCCTGGCCTTCGAAAGAAACCTCACACGTGCGAGGTCTGGAAGGCGGCGAGAAGGAGCGTGTCTCATTATCACGATCAATGGACTTGGGATCAAACAGTGTTCTCCGTGTGAGAAAACTGAAAAGCGCTATGACGATGGTTTCTAACGAAGAGGACATTCTTTTGAGGGCATCACAGCATCTGAGTCAATGTGCTCACGATTTTTCGGCCGAACACGAACACGCAGAGGCATTCCGCGTTCCTGAGCGACTTCTTACTACTGGTGCTGATGTAGCAAAGATGGTATGTCAGGAGTTGCGCGCTCATGTTCTCAGCCCTGGTGAAGAGAATCCTACTGGCCAAAAATTCCATCCAGCGTTCACGGCCCTGTTTTCCGGCATCGAGAATACACTCACTCCGTTTGACAAAGGGGAGTGCGAGCCTCAGGCTTGGACTCAAAAATATGCCCCCAAAACCGCAGCTGAAGTACTGTCACCAGGAAAAGAAGTAGGAGTTCTCCGCGACTGGCTGAAGAGTCTCACGGTTTCGAGCGTTGAAGTCTCCGGTAAGCTGAAGGGCCGCCCTGATTCAAAGCAACAACCAGCCAAGAAAAAGAGGAAGAAGGCTCTAGACGACTTCATCGTTTCAGACGGAGATGACAGCAACAATGACGATATGGACGAGCTGACGGATCCCGAGGACGCTACGGTTTCTAATTCGAGACTCGGTTGGAGGAAATCAGTCGTCAGGGTTGGCAGACACGATAAATCAGATGATCCTCGGTCAAAGCGAAAGAATGCAGTCATTCTCAGCGGACCGCATGGTTCCGGCAAAACGGCGACTGTGTATGCTGTTGCGAAAGAACTCGGATTCGAGGTATTCGAAATTAACCCTGGAACTCGACGCAGCGGCAAAGATATACTTGACAAGGTAGGCGACATGTCGGAAAATCATCTGGTCAATCACAATTCAGGCGAACAGAATGTGGCACCAACAGCTATTGAAGCGGTTGATCCCGATCAAGATCGAATGGCTGAAGCCCTTCAGAAGGACCTCGAGAGCGGTCGACAGGGTACCATGACGTCTTTCTTCAAGCCAAAAGCCCAAGTCAAGACCCAAGCAAAGCCAAAAGCAAAATCGATATCCACGAAGATCAAGAAAGCCTCTACTCATGTTCAATCTGCCTTCCCAAAACCGCAAAGCCAGCCCCAGAACCAAAAGCAATCCTTGATCCTGCTAGAGGAGGTAGATGTCCTATTCAAAGAAGACGAGTCGTTCTGGGCCACTGTCATAAAATTAGCCACTCAATCCAAGCGGCCGATAGTTATGACCTGCAACGACGAAAGCCTCATTGCTCTTAACGCCTTGCCTCTCCATGCGATCCTGCGTCTCTGCCCCCCTCCCGCGGATCTTGCAGCAGACTACCTACTTCTCCTGGCGGCTAAGGAGGGCCACTTGCTAGAACGAAGGGCTGTCAGTGATCTTTACAGATCCAAAGATCACGATCTACGTGCTAGCATCACCGAGCTGGATTTCTGGTGCCAGATGTCGGTTGGAGACAGGAAAGGAGGGCTTGAATGGATATATCAGCGGTGGCCACCTGGAAAAGATGTCGACGAGCACGGCCGGATCCTCCGTGTTGCCAGCAAAGGCACCTACAAATCTGGCATGGGATGGCTTTCGCACGACGTGATACAGTCCAGCGACTGGCTTGCTTTCGACAAGGAGGAGGAGCTGTTGACGGAAGCCTGGTGCATGTGGGGAATCAGTCCAGAATGCTGGGCTCATCCACCAAACGACGTCCAGGAGATGCATAGTGGCTCAGCCGTCCGACGCAAAATCAAAACACTTCAACAGCTAGAAGATCTGCTAGAATGTGTCAGTGCAGCCGATACCTATTGCAGGGTCGGGCTGCCTTTCAACGACATGGTTAGTCGTTCTATTCACGTTTGGCACATACAAGCACTAATATTCTATCAGGACCCGATGGATCCAACTCAGCCACTCATGCCGCGCAACGCTGCTCAGAATTTCACAGAAGTCCATTCCCTGCTCCAAGCCGACCCACTAGAGGATCCCACAGCTTTCGCCGAAAAGTTGTACGTACGAACCCATCTCGCCGCCCAGCGAGCCGCTGCCTCCTATTCCCTCTCGTACTTCGAAGACATTCGCACAACATACTACTCAGACCCATCCGCGCCAGAAACCTACACGGGCGCGATCCTGGCTCATAAAGCCTCAATCCGGACCACGACTGACCTCACCCGCTGGGACTTCGCAGAAGCTCTGGATCCACTCGCCATCCCGCCTGCTAATGCCCTCACGCATGCTGCGCCATCGTCTCTCATCGCTTCCTCATTCGATCGCGAGTTCCGTGTTATCGTTGAGGATCTCGCGCCTTACGCTCGCAGCATCGTCAAGCATGAGCAGAAACTGGAGATTGAGCGGGTGCGGATGAGTAACTTACTATCAGAAGGCGGTCGGGCGAAGAGGCAGCGGACGAGTAGAGCGTCTCGCTCGGCACTGGAGGGCGGTAAGAGGGAAGAAAAGAGGAGGGAGAGATGGTTTACGAAAGAACTGAACATGGACCTTGTTATGGCGACTGGCGGGAAGGGATGGGCGGGGATGGGCACGGAGGTTGAGAGTTTGGCGTCCGACTCGAGGAGGAGTGGGAGTGTGAGGACCGTTATTAGTGAGGATGAGGAATGAGGTATGGAGGATGGGGGCTGGGCGGGGATGGGGATTCAGGGCAGGCCACTATGACGGTTATCGTACATTTCATCAGCATACAGATCTGGATATTCTAAACGGCATGGATAGTATGGGAGGGAGGCTCACATGGAACAGCATTTGCGGCTATGGGCATACATCTGGCGTTGATATCGGCTCATCAGATAGGGGCGAGCCATCGTATGTATCTAAGGAATTGCATCTCTATCATTCAAACATTTCGCATTCGTGGTATCGAGAATCCCGACTGATGCATCTACCAAAGCAATATCTCGCTCTAAACAGCCACACTCCCCCTACTTCCCAATAGTCAAATACAGCCTATCCCCCACATCCCCCAAACCCGGCTTAATCATCCCCCTCGCATCCACCTCCGGATCCACACCCCCGACCCAAATCTCGACCCCCTCCCACTCCCCCGCCGCCCTCTTCAACCCCGCCTCGCTGCCCAGCACACTCACCATAATAATCCTGTCCACTCCCCAATCCCTCAGCGTCTCAATCGCCGCGCACGCCGTCGCGCCCGTCGCGATGATGGGATCCACGATAATCGCCAGCTCGGCGGGGCCCGGGGCGTGGTGCGAGGGGTTCAGGGGGTTGGGCGTGTTGGTGGCGGAGGGCGCGGTGGACGACTGCGAGTGGTAGGGCAGGTTGTTGTAGTACTCGACGGGCTGCAGCGTGGTTTTCTCGCGGTAGAGGCCCAGGTGGTGCACGGGGACGGGGAAGGGGAGCAGGGCGGAGAGGGCGGGCACCATGCTGAGGCCGGAGCGCAGGATTGGGACGAGGGAGATGAGCGAGGGCGCGATGGTCGTGCGGGTGTATTCGTAGTCGAGGGGGGATTTGTCCTGGGGGTTGTTAGTGGGGTGGGTTTGTACTATGTAGAGGGGTGGGGGTGGGAGGGGTACAGTGAGAGTGGGAGATGTTGGAATTGGAATTGGAATTGGAATTGTTGTAGAGGGGATTGGACTTACGGTGCCGTCCTCCTTTGTCTCTAGGCCTCCGGCTAGAGCTTCATATCCCACCATGGAAGCGATATCGTGAACGAGTGACTGTACATCGCGGGTCCCCGTCGATTGTGAGCGGAGCTGGGAGAGCTTGGCCTTGAGACACGGGTGCCGCGAGACGTGGACATTGGCGGGGAGTCCGGAAGCCATGGCGCGAATTGAGTCCGGGAGGGTATTTTTGAAGCTGAGCGGGTGTGTGTGGGAGAGAGAATGCAGAGAGGAAGGTGGTGGTGCCGTAGCTAGATATCTGAGGCGGCACTGGCCGACGCATGGGTCCCTTGCGCGGATCTTCTTTGTCGCGGGACGGCCGTTCTCGTGTCGTGTCCATGATGCAGTCCACGCCTCTCTGCATGTTAGATTCTGCACCTAAACACGTACTACAATGCCCCTTTTCTCGGGCAGCTCCCCGGAAGACTCCCCTCCCATATAACAAGGCGCGGATGCTGAGCGAAACATCACCATTCGAATAGCATCCGGTACGCCATGGACAACAACGACAGCGACGAAGCATTGCCAACGCAGCGCGAAGGCCACTACAACCAGCAGCGCTCCTCTCTTCGATCCGATCGGTCAATTAGGTCGCGTCGTTCGGGGCCGCCAGGGCGAGAGCAACTGGCCAGCGACTACAGCGAATATGCATTACCGCAGAACTATGACAACCTCACCGAATCCGGACCTGCTCCGGACCAGAACCCGACCGAGGCGTCTTCGTATCGACACCGGAGCTTAGAGGATAGGAACAGAAGGCGTGAGAAACACAGGAGTGGTGGAAGCACCATCAGCCGGAAGACTGCGGGGGACCGACCACGTTCACAGACTGCGAGGAAGCAACGAGAGCAGGGCGAAGACTATACAATCCCGGACAACTATGAAAACCTCGACGAGGCTGCGGCGCCATCCCCTGTGGAAAATCCACACGAGGGACCAGTATACAGGCATAATACCCTTGAGGGTGAAAGATCAAAGTCGAGGGATCGGCGGCGGTCAAGAAGAGGGAGCACGCAACAGGGCCCGATACACACTCAGGATGCCGCAGCATTCGATTTCGATCACTTTGGACGAGGTCACAGTCTCGGCGATGCTGAACCGCCGCCTATACGGGATCATCGATCCTCGACTGCTATTTCCAAGGAACAGGTTCCAGGCACTTCCTCATCCAATCTCACAAATGGACTACGAAAGTCGCCTCACAAGGGAAAGGCTTCACTTTTTGCCACAGAGTTGTACACTGTATCATACCTCATCCTGTTCTCGATACTAGGCACGCTGGCGCGTCTGGGACTCCAATGGCTGACTTTCTATCCTGGAGCTCCAGAAGTCATGGGTATTCTATGGGCCAATTTTGCTGGATCTCTTCTCATGGGCTTTCTATCTGAAGATCGTCGCCTATTCCGCCATGAACAGCACGATGGCAGCGGAAGCGGGAAGAGCTCGAGCGACCTCGAATCCGGCTCCGATCGAGAAGCAGCCAAAGCAGCTCATTCAAAAGTCAAGAAGACCATACCACTCTATATCGGCCTTACCACCGGATTGTGCGGATCGTTCACTTCATTTTCGTCTTTCATGAGAGACGCCTTCTTCGCGCTATCAAACGACCTTCGCACGCCCATCAATCACCCATATACTGGCGCAGGCCCAATCCAACCATCCTCAACCGTTCCTCGAAACGGCGGATACAGCTTTATGGCGTTATTAGCCGTTATCATCATCACCGTCGCCCTCTGCATGTCGGCTCTCAAGGTTGGGGCTCACATAGCCATCTTTCTGGACCCTTTCACCCCTACCTTTCCCTTCGCACTCCTTCGAAAAGTTCTAGACCGCGCCGTTGTCGTTATTGCCTGGGGTGCATGGTTAGGGGCAGTCTTCATGGCTATTTGGCCACCAGACCGGCCATCGGGGCCGAACAGTAAAGGAAGCTGGACCAACGAAACGTGGCGCGGCCAGGCAATCTTCGCCCTGGTATTCGCGCCGTTGGGATGCTTATTGCGGTTCTACGCGAGCTTGAAGCTCAACGGCATCTCCCCATCTTTCCCGCTGGGCACTTTCACTGTCAATATCTTTGGCACCGCAGTACTCGGCATGGCGTACGACCTCCAACATGTCCGTCTCGAGGGATCGGCCGTGGGTGGTGGTCGAGTCGGATGTCAAATCTTCCAAGGCCTCATGGATGGCTTTTGTGGTTGTCTTACCACTGTGAGCACCTGGGTTGCTGAGTTGAATGGGCTGAGGAGAAAACACGCTTACTTCTACGGAAGCGCGAGCGTGTTGGGCGGGCTTGGCGTTCTTGTTGTCATCATGGGTAGTGTGAGATGGACGGTAGGGTGGAGCTCGACGGCGTGTGTGACGTGAATGAACGTTATGGAAGAGATGGAATTGATTTAATGGACAATAATGGATGACGATTATAGGTTTACAAATGTATGGATTTAACGTAAGCATTCGGGTATACGGGTATGGATCTATGGGGTTAAGTTGGGATAGAATTGGGAGGTTCAAGATATATTATGGTAATTCAATCAGCTTCTTGCAACGCAGGGCAGTCCGTTTTGAACGATTACTCTACAACTACCGTTATACTACTTCCAGGCACAACTCCCAGGCCTGGGTCGATATTCCGCCAATTTTTTAAATACCCTCTTAGTAATCCACGAGTCGAAGTTTGCCGTCGGGAAATCCCCCAGTACGCACCAATACCAAGTCAAGCCAGTGGGGCGGGTGATTGAGCAGTCGATTCGGTGTCTCCGAAATACGGTGGGTACTCTCTCCTCCTAGAGGGCGGTGTTTGGCTCCCTGGTTCGAATTGGGGTAGTTGGGTTTTCTTCTGCTTTTTCGGGGGTTGCGATGGGAAGGGAAGGGATGGCATGAGATGGGCACGTGAGATGAGAGTGGGGCACGTGCGGAAGGGGTATAAAACCTTCTGCTTGCTGGCTCGCTGGGGTTTTCTTTCTCTTCAGAGAGGAAGGGAAGGGCGCTCCGAGGGGATTGAAAACAGATGACCTAGTCATATATGGTGCGGAGCTTGGAGCAAAAGTTTGCACACAGGCCGACAGTGGATCTGGAGGGGGTTTTAAAATCGCGCAGCATTACCCATGATGGTGTTGCTCGGGTAGTTGGATGTTCAAAACGCCATGGAGTTGTATGCTATGGAGTTGTATGCTATGGAGTGGAGAGAGGGTGTGCACTCTTCAAATTGATGACGATCCTCGCCATTTGGAGATTCAATCGGTAGTCATTTTTTCCTTGTCCTAGCAGTCAGTATCACGCATCTTTATACCTCCTTGGCTCTATCATCTCGCGCCGGCAGACTTCATCGGAGGAGGAGAAAGATGAGCGTCAAGCGGAGTTTGAAAGACCTCAGCCAGACTCCAATTTTCGGCCCCATAAGCTCTTCGACATCCATATGTTTCTGGCCTTCCGCAATCTCAGGGCTTGATGGACTTCCCATGATCTCGATCCCGCTCATGAGGGTTTCGTGTTGAAGATTTTTCATTCCCACCCCATGTCTGTGCAAGAACATGAACGCAATAAAGGAGAGTGGCGACGACCTGAGTAGCTGCAAAGCATCCACAGCAAATGATGATAACTATCCTCAAAAACCTTTCACAAAAAAAACAGACATGATCAAAAAGCTGGTGATGATACAAGAAAGCTTTCAGCGAGATTCGGTGGAATCAGACCAAGAGTCCAAACTCAAAGAAGACTTCGATCTCCAGCGTAAAGCCAGAAAATCGATGCCCCCTCTTGCGCAGGCGACGGGCGCCCCATCCGTCTGTGGGCCTGGATATCCGTATACCCACCAGACTTACCTACACCTCGAACTGATCCTGGAAACAACAACATCGTGATGGAAAACAAGCCCCGAAGGGACACTTAGTCTGGCGACAAGACAGACTGAAAACACTAGTCGGTGGACGTATTACGGTGTCGATGGAAAAATAGGAAGGAGGTTGTGGAGGAAGACGTTGAAGGGAGCACGAAGCTTCCTCAAGTACTCAGGGAAGAAATGAATTCAGGAGCGCGCCTTAGCATCATGTGAAATCGTGGTTTACACGTGATTCATGACTGTGAGACACGCTGGTCCAGTGAATTGGATCCAGGTTGTGTTGGGCGCAGTCTACAGAGCAAGTTCAATCGACAAAGATACATCCCCATGAGCGGCGCGCCGGAGAGCCTGTATATAGCCAAGTGCTCTCGAGATTGATACATGCCTATCCCCTCCCACGGTGGCGTCTTCGATTCTTACTTAATCAAGCGCGCAGCTAATCATCTGTCTAAGCACTAGGCCCTTACTAGGCGCATTCTTTATCGATGACGGAGGACGAAAGACACCGTGAGAAGGGATAGAGTCGGACTTTCGACCACAGGCTCCATCCTTCCAGGCGCGGTTAAGAGCGAAAAGCCCCAAAGGGGTCGATTTGTGTTGCAGAATTCGAGGCGGGCCGAGATCGGCTAGAGTTGCAGTTTTCGCTCCCATCCGTTTTTCCCTCCACTCAGAGCAGTCACCTCGGGGAACTCTCCATGCCATTCACATCTCAATCCATCCAATGCAGAACCGAGTTCAACATATAGTTCTACAGATGATGAGCCCCCGTGTGTCGAGAGAGGATCGTGGCCTTGTGCCCTTTCCAGCCTTGGTGCACGCCACTATCATCCCGCAGGCCGGTACCACCTATTTGAGCCTCTCAGCCCCCCCAAGCTGAAAAAAGCAGATCATAGCCTTGTGCGATCTTCAGCCTCAGGGGCTTCCGGGCTATGATTCACCATATATGATGCCCCGCGTTCAAATTGCTGTGTTTAGCTGTCGCATCAATCCCCTCATCGTTTGAGCGATGGCCACCAGCAATCCCCTCGGAAGGATCGCGAATTTTGGGACTACGACGAGAGCCTTAGCAAAACGATTCTGGACAGCCTTCTACGCGAAGTGCAAACGATTGTTTGTCTGGCTGAAATGTTTCGTCCGGACTGTATTTCACGGTGCAGAGAAGGAAGCAGAAAAGCCTGTCGTTTCCAGTACCTGGGGTTACGCTCTGTGGCATTGCGGTATCCATATCATTCCATTACTAGCAACGATCGCGCTAGCATACTTCAATTTCCATGGTCTTTTCATTGGCAATGTCTTGCAAAGCCTTTATAACGACACAGCTCAGGCCATTGATCGCCTCAGTTTGCAGGTAGCGGCGAAGCTCCTAGTGCGTCACCGTGTCTTTGATTTTATCATATACTAATTGTATTGCAGGAACTGCTCATTATTGCCTCGTTGGGTGTGGTCATCATGGACACAGTTAGAGACAAATTGCTATTTGACGATAATGAGGGTATCCCGCTTGGACTCGTCACAGCGAAAAGCCGCTTTGCAGATATCACCTATCTTCTATCGCACGACTTTCGCGCAGGTTGCTGGGGTTTCCAAAAACGCAGGACCCGAATTCTTTTCATTAGCCTGATTACAGTTTACTCTCTTATTGCCATTCTTGCTGGACCTTCAACCGCCCTCCTGTTAATACCCGCTTACTACACATCCTGGCCCGCTAGAAGCGTCTCGTTCTGGTTCAATGGAGACCTACAGCCTGCGATATTAGACCAGAACTATACTGGCATTTCAAAATGCACCGACTATGCCAACAACTCCACTTTATTATCTGATCGTGGCCCGCCATCAGCATCTTGCATCTGGGCCGGCCAGCAATACTTGTCGACTGCGCTTCGTCAAAGGGCCTATTACGACGATCCTGACATTTCTTACACTGACAGCAAAGTGAAACAAGTGATTTCATTAACATGGGGAGTTTCGAACTTCAATATATGGAGCGATACGGTGCGAGTCACAGCTGTCGCAAGTAATCTTAGAATCGGGGTAATCTCGCGTTACGTGAGTCAATTCCCTTGGTGCACCGGTCTTTTTAACTCTCTCGAAACTGCTCTAGGGCGCCCTTTGCACACTCTGAGATATCGTGAGTACAATGGAACCAAGGGGAGCGTGAGGAGCCCGCATCCTGTGGTACGGATACAGTGTTTTGACGCTGTAAATTACATGGACAATAGTACTTACGTTGGAAGCTGGAGCGAAGAAATACGGCTTCCGGTGAGCAGAAAATAACCCTTTCTATTCTACTCCGACCGAAAGGTATTTTTCTAACCAAAGGACAGTTCCCAGTAATCCCAGACTTTACAGGCCGCAGAGATCTCAGATACTTCATACCTGTACATCTTCTGCAGAGTCCTCAGACCCCTAATAGGACTTCCACTCAATGGGTACCAGTTCCCAGTGGCTTCTCAAATACCAGCTACAGTTCTCCAAGCGATAAGTATGCAAGTGCTTTCTTGGTGATACAAAATCCGAACATAGCCACCCAAAAGACTCCGATCACGTGCTCTGTGCAAGCAGATTGGGTACAAGGTACAAATGTTGGAAGCGGACTTTGTTTCAAGCAACAGAATGACGTCGTGCAGCAAGGAATCCTAGATGATCAGTCTCCGCTAGACTTATGGGGAATTGACAGTCAAATTCCCCAGGTCAGCCTGCTTTCCACAAAACCAAAGGATAGAAGCAAGCAGGCCTTACACTGGAGTGGCTCCAGTCCCTAACGCCGGCTCTGGACCCCAATCTTTCTGGATGGACAACCCTAGCTTCTACGCTACAAGAGGTCTTCGCGAGGGCAATTATCCCGCATTAGACAAGCAAGACTTGTTCATCGCAGTTGGTTCGATTGTAGCGAGTTTCGTCGTCGACGGCATGTCTCGCATAGGCTACGTCGAGAATCACATCGACGCACTCAACACCGATCTTGTATGCTACCACGCTGATCCAAACCTAAGTGCCAATAATACACATTGTTGGTGAACGTGGAATAGCAAGAGCTCGGATGCGATCTACAAGAAGATTCTCCATAGCGGCCTGGAACTCGATCCCATCCCAGCGCTCCGACAATCCGGGCAAAAATATGTGTGGTCGGCAACGGTCGAAGGATACGGGATGAAGGCTACGAGCACGGCCTACTATCTTGCATTTACCGTGCTTTCGGTATACGTGCTCGTGGTTCTGGTCCATATTTCCTATACGCTTTTCCGACGCCGCGTAAGCGATTCGTGGTCAACGCTCACGGACTTGCTAGTCTTGAGTCAGAGTTCGCCTGCGCCAGCTGATGTTTTGAGGAATACTTCGGCTGGGATCGCTACACATGGTACGCTGAAGACACAGCTAACGATTCGCGAAAATCCCGGTGTAACTGTAGATCAAGAGAAGCTACAGTTACTTTTTGGTGAGGATGGAAAAGCACCAACCCTTAAGAAGATAAGGCAGGGTAATGTATATGGTGTCAAAAGCTGAACATGTTGGTATATCTGCTAGAAGCGTATGGACTTGAGTTGGGTGTATACCAATTAAGATATTCTGAGGCACTCCTTTTCCCACTTCAAGAACGCTGCTATTATCTTTCGGTCTGGAATATTATTGTAGCTTACAAGCCACCCAGGGGGCACACCGCTTTCAGCATATCTAATTGGAAAACCTTTTGCTAGTAATCTAGTGCTAATAATCTATAGTTCTAGGACTAACAAGCCGCTTATAGTGCTCTTTATCCTGTAGCTAAGGCCATTGCTAGTAGATCTAATTATCTCTTTGTTCGGGTACACCAGCTAAGTAGCCTGCTGTTTTGTAGACTATTCCGAGGCCGAGTAGAATTAGCACCTTATTGAAATTTGGACACTAGGATGGCAGATTAGGCATTGGTGATTTACTATCTTGCTTCTCTTCTTCATACTCAACTTTCAACCACCGGAGTTCGGGAGAGGCTGTGCCCAGCTAGAAGTACTCTGGCTTTGCAGATCATCTGGCGCGTTCCCTCCGAAAACGGAGAATTTCTCAAGAACGCCTAGTACGCCATATCGTCATGGCGCTGTGTAGTTCGTCTTCAATGTCCCTTCTTCTTTTGGCTCCAAAGTTCGCCGCCATTTCAAATGCGGTTCTTTGTAGCGCTCAAACGACGATGTGACGATGTAGCTCAACTCAGCCTTGCAAGCCATCACGGCTTGCAAAGCTTCCCCGGGCTTTCACTGCGACGCGCCGATGTCTATAAAGACAGCTCCCCGCGTGCTCTACCTTTGGAGCATATCACTAAAAGCAACTCCAACAATTCATCAAGCCGTTCGGAATAACCGACTACTCTCCAACCGACCTTCGATCCTGCCACCACGAACTAGAATCTCTCTGTCACCATGTGCTTCAGCTCCCAGCTAAATTATGACGACGCGGCAGGCATGCCGGCGGCCAAAGTGGCCTACGCGCAACACCCAAACCCACGTACCAACCCCCCACGGACAAAGAGAGCGAAAAGAGCATACGAAGAGGATCTCCGAAACTACGGACTGGAGGTTTCGCAAGCGAACTGGGAACGTAGGCGGAGATTGACCATGGCTAGAGGGGCTGGCGCGGCTGCTGGGGGAGCGGTGTAAGTTTGGATCTGTTCTTATAAGACCTTCGTTGAGCTAATACTGTCGGTTTCAGATGCTGAACCACGCCTTACACGTTGCAAAAAAGTTTAGAAAGAATGGATGTGTTTCTACTCTCTTAATTAATGAATCTGGCGGTCGAGAGGATTTAGAGAAAGCACGAGACGGGAGACAGATCGCGTATCCGCGATTGTATCTTAGAACGCGATGGAATGTAGCTGATTTTCTGGCACGCTGAAAGCATCATGGTTATAATAGTGCATACTATACTTAGGCAGTGAATCTGAGCTTTTGATTGTAGAAAATATTAAAGCAAAAGAGAGGGAGATATGCCGGGACTTCGGTATTTGTCGATCGCTGTCTATAGGGTTCTGTTGTGGCAGTGTGTAAAGTTTGCCTCAAACCAAAGTAAATGTGGTTACGTTTTTTGCTTCCTCAGTTTCCAGTGCTTCGCCGTACATGATACCATCTACGTATGCTTCTCCAAAAAATTCATACAGATTCGGATCGTCGCTCTTAGGACGAATGATGAACGGTGTAACGCCGCCATCGAAAATACAGATCATATCCCCAACTTTTAAGTCACCGGGTCCTATTCCAACGCTCCCGCTTGACGTCGAAAAGAACGCACGCCCGAGGCACGCAATTTGGAGGCTTGGCATATACTCCAATATCGTTTCCGACAGATCGTTATCCTCTAAGTCTTGATTACTGAATCTCTCAATCGTTTCTTCATAACCTCCTACGATATCACCCGTATACCTTCGGTGTGGAGGTGACGCTAGAGTTTTATTCGCAACCAAGGTACGTGCATGACCAATCGGTATGGAGTTAAGTTGGTTGTACACCGATTGAGATATTCTGAGGCACTCCTTTTCCCACTTCAAGGACGCCGCTATCATCTTTCGGTCTGGATTATTGTCATAGCTTACAAGCCACCCAGGGGGTACAACGCTTTCAGCATATCCAATCAGAAAACCTTTTACTGGCAATCTAGTGCTGACGATCCGTGGTTCTGGGGCTAACGAGCTGCTACTAGTGTAGTGCTCTTCATCCTGCAACTGAGACCATTGCCAGTGGATCCAATCGTCTCTTCGTTCGGGTACACCAGCTGAGTAGCCTGCTGTTTTATAGACTATTCCGAGTCTGACTGGAACTGGCACCTCATTGAAATTTGGACACCAGGTTGGCAGGTCGGGCATTGGTGGTCGAGAAGACGCTTGGTTAAGGGTGAGAAGATGGGGTCGGTTCGCAAGCCAAAGCGTTGCAAGATCGATATACAGTGTTTCAGTCGGGATCTGATATGACACGGATACCAGGTCTCGCCAGAAAGAATTGGTGATTCCAAGCAGACTGTATACCCTATCACGGGGGTCAAAGGCTAGAAAATCTTCCGTCATTGATGTCAGCTCCGGTAAGCCCTGGGGGACAAATGTGCCCTCTAGTCGTGGTTTTCGCAAGGTGCATACTAGTCGAAAACAGCCTAGGCCTTTCCAAAGGTCTTTTGGCGGCATCAACGGGCGGTTCATCTGGACCAAGACCTGCGACGTGTATAGGCCTTGTTCGTCGATCAAAGGCAGCAAGGAGTCTGCATTGACCACACTTTCGCCGCACACAAGTAACACTGCCCTTGAGAGAACAGCTTCCTGGACGACCCATAGCCGACGGAACCAAGGCCGTAGGAACAGCTTGTACAGCCCTAACCATCCGGGAGGACGGCTGACGGGAAATCCAGATGTCACCACTTTGCTCGCTGGATTGCCAACAAATTCTCGAGCTTTTTGCAGCATATTTGGCAAATCTAGCATCATGGCGGAGATGTCTTCATCTTCCCTACCAACCCATGCTACCGTAGACATAGCTCTTTCGTAGATCTGGCCCATCCGTTGGACTTGCACATTTTTCTCTGGTACATCAGCCTGATTGATACAAACTGCATCAATCCATACGTGCCGAGAAGGAAGGAATTTGGCAACGTAATGCAATATTGCTGCAACATTTTGAGTAACACTGAAGCTTTGGCCGTTGCATATTATCGCATGGTCCGGAGTTTGTCCTTCCCAACAGTAAGAGATGGTGATATAGCCTGGCGCATCGTCGAAACTGGTCTTCTTCAGCTTAATAGACAGGAGGCCGTCAGCTTTTGAGGCTTTCAAAAGTCTGATCTCATGGGGAGCTAACAGCGTATGGGTGTATGTAGTTGACATCGAGGATTATGGTAGTGAAAAAGGCTGAGCTTCGCTGGAGGGTGAAGTGCAGGTAGAGATCTGCGCGGCTGCCTAAAGATGGAACGCTAAACCCAACACGGAACATGTACCAACGAATGCTATTTCCATCCGTTTGAAACACTCTCCTAAACTCTCTCTGATAGCCATGGTAGCTAGCCTGGAATTAGTTCTAAGGCATCTAGCTCTATACTAGTGGAATTCTCAAGCGGTATGGTGTGGGCTCCGTCGGGTTCTGGTCCTGACTCAACGTTTTCAACGCTTTCAACTTCTGCAAAAGCGCATGTCAGCTATAGCCGGCAAGGTTTTATGTCCTTCTTAGTACTATATAAAGCTACTGATCTATTTAATATTCCCTAAAGATCAACTAAATAATTAAGAGAGCTAACAGCTAGTATGCATAATTTGTAGGACTAGTATCCACTTAAGAGACCTAGACCAGACTAGCGCTTAGAAAATACCTGTTATGTGTTGAGAATCGGGTGGTTGGGCTCAGCGCTAGCACAATTACCGGCCCCCTTGAACTGTCCAGCCTCCTCCCTTAAGAGATATATATAGGCTCTGTTCCTCCTGCTATATAATCATCAATTCAACTCATTTAGGTTCCTCTTCGCACACGTCAACATTATAAAGCTCCTTATCTATATAATACTAGAACGACTTTATTAAATCTTCAGGCGGATAATGTGCGCCCATTGAATACCTAGGGTAGTTGTGAACCTATAAGCGGTACTCCCATGAATCGATCGAAATTTCCTGAAGCGCCCATTTACAATCTTCCAATGTGTAAATGAAGTGATACCGCGACTGAGTGCTTTCATCTAATCGGCATCTCAACCTCACTACCATCCGCCAGATACACATCCGAAGAATCGGGCCCAATCATCAAATACGCCAGCAAAAACAGTGCTCTCAGCTTCAGCAAATCAGCCAACTTCCGGCATTGCACCGGTCTCTCCTCCAAGCCCTCCCCGAAAGTCAACGTCGAATCCCTCAGGAGACTTGCAGACAAATCCCAATCGCGATACTCGGCCGGCCCCACGGAGTTCCTGCGGCTAGTCTCAGAGTCTGAGTCGCTGGTAAAAGCACACGAAAGCGAGCGGATTTGGGCAGAACGTCCGGCGGGCACGTTGGTCATGGGACTAGCGGGATTCGCTTTCCAGCTCTTCGTGATGGCGGCTACGATCTTGGCTTCGGTGGCATCCCAGTCGTAGTCGGCAGCGTCGATGCCTTCTCGGTCGCGCAAAGGGACACGGTCCTGGCTCTGTTCGTGTTTTTGAAAGGCTGGTAGACTAGATGCAGTGCTCAGGCCCGTAGCGGTGGGCCTGCCGTTGGTCGTCGGGCGGGAGGTCCTGGAAGCAGCGCCGCAAATTTTCACAGTGTGATAGATGGCTATGTCTAGGATGATGACTTGAACCCAAAGGAGGTTTTTGGGGCAAAGGTGCTGAGATTTCGGTGCAAGCTGTTAGAGGAGAGGGGAGTAGCGGTGAGGGTACGGTAGGCACGTGTTACCTATTTTATATAGCCTCACCTTCCTCCAGACCTCTCTCTCTTCTCCATCATCATCATCTAATACATCACGTACACGGCATACAGCTCCTTATTCCGTGACACAAGCCTTTGCCGTTGCTCGAAATCTGAGGCCCAGGCGCTGGGGTCGAAGGTTTTCAGGAGGCTTGTGGTATAGGGCATTATGATTCCGTGAACTGCTTGGGTGTCTGTTGGGGATGCTCGAGGGGGTAGTATTTCTTCTTGGAGGCCGTCTGGCAGGAGGGCGAATAAGCGTTTGATGGGACTGGTGCCCCAGGAGTAATGGCCATTGTGGTGTCCATGTTCATGAGATAGCGGAGCCAACGCGCAGGAATGAGATGTCTCCGCATCTGACCGCATGCTGCAACTGATCGACAACTTTGAAGGTCCTTTCGGAGCTTTGGCGGTCCAATACACATTTTGCCTCCAGCTGTAGCCATTCTCTAAGAGGTTCTAGGAGTACTCTAGACGGATAGCCAATGCAAAGAGGTGATATGCACATGAACGTAGCGGATGCTACTAAAGTCGGGACTTTGAGTCCGATATCAGGTTTCCAGGACGTTATGCCTTCTTTCAGATGGTCCTGTGAGCTCGACCGCTTATCGTTTAAACTCCCAGCTTCTCGACTCTCTTTCCCCTTGCAACGCAACCCTCTCACTGACACTGAACACACCACGGACAGCACGTGTTATCATGGGGCCAAGCAAAACCCCTTTCCTCACCGTGGACGAAGCCTCGTACTTCATGCACCATCAAATTTTGGTCTGTTACCAGGGCTTGGCGGAAGACCGAACCCTTGGAAGCTGACACGTCCTAGGCCACCATTGTCGACCTAGCACCCCCTGCTGGTGCCATACCTGTCGTTGTTATCAGTGTTCTCGCTGGCCTAAGTTCCGTCGCCCAAATTCTCGAGAGCATCAAGCGCTTTGCCGCGGTAGACGATGTCTTCTCCAAGTCCTTTGCAACCACCCTGGTGCTTAAGTCCGATCCTACCTTCAACAATGCCGATCTTTCTGCAAAACTCAGATCATCTGCACTTTTGTCCGCTGTGTACTATTCACACCCAAAATCACATGTTGAGGTTCTTCCATCTGGCCCATATTTTCTTTACGGCGGTGGCATCCATCAAGCGTGGCGCTTGTACGAAGATGAGCTTGATAGCTTCATTTTTTCCGTGGTTCCTGACGATGTGTTGAAGCCGAAGCGGCAAGTACTCCGGTCATCCAAGGATGTGTTCATGAAACCTAATTCATTGCAGCTACACTGTCCTCGAATCCTTCGGCTCGAGTGGCACATGGAGAAACATTGCAGAACCGAGTCGTCTCTAAGGAAACCCGTAAGAGGAGAAGCCCCTCGCGGGAGCTCGGATGGGTGTGAAGGATATATTCCGATTGGAGGGCGTCAAGCTGACCATGATGAGCAGACCATGGATAGAGCTCTACGGCCCCGATGAGGAGAGTGCGGATTATGTTAAGAAGCTCATCAGCCTGGGCGCAGTCATCGTAGGCAAGACAAAAATGGCCTCTTTTGCTTCGCCAGAGGAGCCAACAGATCAGTGGATTGACTTCCATTGCCCTGTGAACCCTCGACGTGACAGGTATCAGAGACCTTCGAGTAGCTCAACGGGTGCTGGTGTCGCCTTGGCAGGCTACCCCTGGCTGGACTATTCGATCGGCGGAGACTGTACGGTGTTCCTCTCTATGCTCATACCACTTGCTAATTTTGAAGGAAGCGGCCGGAAGCGTGAGAGCTCCGGCTCCATGCAGCGGCCTATTTTCTCTTCGGCTGAGCTTCAACTCGACATCTATGAGAGGCATTCCCGCTAATTTGTCGTGAGTTTGCCCCTAGTCTTAGTTGCTAGCACTCACTCAATATACTCGGACTAGTAAATTTGATGTAGTCGGGCAACTTAGTCGCGATCTGGACGATCTTCATCATACTGTCGCCCACACATTCGATCTGAACGACAACTCAACACAGTTCCCATCCAAAATTCTTTATGCCCAGGAATTTTACCCACTCGTGAATGAAAAGCAGCAGGCTATGACCGAAGAATTTATATCCATTCTTGAGGGCTTTCTCGGCGTGAAACGAACACTATTCAGCATGACGGAGACGTGGGATCGGTCTCCTCTAAAGGAAGCAGAGGGAAAATCATTACTAGAGTATCTCGAAAAGGTAATGCTCTCTAAAAGCAGTTCACCGTGAGTTGCTGACAGTGCAAAGCGCATTCTGGGCGTTGTGCTACCACTACTATCATGGTGGCAGCTGGCGTAGGAAGGGCAAAGGATCAGTGAGGAAAGCATGAGTTGTATTGAGGTGCTAATGAGTGGCTATATAGTGAAGAGAGACCAGGGGTTGCAGGCAGCAACGGTGACAAAACAACAGGTGAACCCTGTCCAGCTGAGAAGTGAACCCTGTACAGCTGAGACGCGTAGACAGACGTGCGTAGGAGCATTCTAACTGGCTGCCACATGGCTTCGACCAATTCCGCGACGATTACAAAGAAGTTTGGCAAGGAAGCTTATGTTGGACCCGTCGTCCGTTTTCGATGGTGAGACAGCTCTACTACAACATTTGTCAGCTATTAATAACGCCATTCAGGAATGTCGGGAAAGGCATTTCTCGGGACGAGTATGAGACGTACTTAGACCACCTAGCGGTGTTCAGAAACTGGTTTGGACAACACCTGATGTCACACGACCCGCAAACGCTCTCCAATGCTATTTTGATCATGTCGTACGGTATGCCAGATCCGGAATACCGAGACGAACCGAATCTGTACTGAGTAACCTGATCTCTTCATCTGCTGCTGCTAACCGTCCGTCTAGCCCTGCCGGGACGTTCATATCATTGCGGAAAAATTCATCTCCAGTCTTTCATGCCCCCCAGCTAGTGCTACCGTGTAAGTGGCTGGCAGAATGACTGCACAATCTTTCATACTAACTTAGAGCCCAGTTGCTCAAATGCCATATCACTCCAAAATCAGCGGCCGAGACGAGGTGCGACCAATCGCTAGCACCATGATAGGAGCAAAAGGTACGTTTCCCATCAGCGGTAACGTTTGATATTGATCAAAAGCAGGGAGTGATCTCATGCTTATTAAGCTCACAAAGGCGGCATTCAAGAAGGCATCTTGGCCGATTACAATCAACATTGGTCGTTTGATGTACCCACTAGCGGACAATTTACGAAACGTAGCACCATCGAGCGAAAATTCGGCGAATACATATGCTGCCGTTCGCCAGGCAGTCAACGCAGTCAAAGAGCTTGAAACACCCCTAATGGAGCTGTCGACTGAAGAGGTTGGGCGCTCATGCGTTGTGGTCTGAGTCTAGTCTGTCTCCAGCCTCAAAACGAAGCACGGGCCGTGTGCAGCTCGGTCGCCAAGTGTTAGTGTCTTTTCACTACTTTTTACTAGCTGCGTTGGCCGAGCGCCAATTCCTGCAATGGGATTCATGTTTTAAGTTCCTCCGGCTTTTCAACGGAGAGCAAGATACTTATTTCACGATCCGGACTACTCAATACACCTGCACCTGTCTTCCTTACATCAAGTTCCTGGAAAACCTAACAATTCTACGTAGTGTGGAGTCTTTAACTTCGGGAATCTATTTTTTTCTTCGTACCCAACGAGGACCAGTACATTGCTGCAAAGCTTACCGACGAGATGCTTACCGCAGCAATAGCAAACACGCACAATGAGGGAAATTTCTGGAGCTCCTTGATATTCATACCGAATGCCGACGTGACAAACCCCAAGGGAACAAAGAAATATGCCAATTTTGTAAGACGATGGACTTCGTCAGCTTGCGAAATCCCCTGCTCGGCACACATGAGCTGGGAGTAGCTTAGGAGAAGCGAGGCAGCTGACTCGCAGTCGCGTCGCATGATCGAGCATCTCTGCAGCAAATGCTCGTGGTCTTCGTGAAGTTTCCGCTGTAGCAGCGCCTTGCGCGATGACGTTTCTGCGGAAGCTGCCTTGGGCCACTCGACACAGCAGCCTTGTTGGATCCAATGTAGGTTTTCTGTGAGCGATAGCTCGATCCGATGGATGGATACAGAATGTCGCAGGCGTTCTAGCTTTACGTTGAGTAGTTCGGTGTTGATGGTGCGATATTCGGCAATGTTTTCTGAGAGGTAATTCAAGAGTTGGACAAACGACAAGGCCACAGTAGTGAGCAGACTTGCTAGGAGAAAGAAGGGGTCTTCCAACAAAAGGCGCATGTCAATGTCATCTTGAACGACGACGTTGCGTAGCGGATGGAATTGCCCATAGGATGATTTCGCTGACTGGGTCTCTCGCAAGTGTCGCCGGCCTTGGTGTTCAACGTGATTCTGGGTGATAGGCGCGTTGTATGGGACGATCGGTAAGGTGCCAACGGGTACACCACCGTTAGATTAGCTTGTCCACAGTAGGCAGCTGTTGTGTAGCAGGCTTTTGCCTTGGTCGGTGAGGTATACCGCTGAGCAACTCACGTCAGTCTGGAACTATGTCAAAGAACATCGTAGGCTGCTTACCAACTCAGGGCTTCCGATCGGCAATAACAGTAAATGATATGGTCTGCTCTATGCTACAGTAATACGCGTCTTGCTGGTATATTTCCCGGAACCTCGTCGCCCCATAGCATTTGCCCGAGAATAGATCTTTCTCACACTGTCGACATGCTTCTTCGATCTCCAATCTCTTTTCAACGTAGGATTCCATGCTCGGCCCCTCAACCAACGACCGGACCGAGCTGGTGAACTGTATACGCATGATGTTGTCTTGTCGTGACGGGAGCGTTGGCCGGCCATAAAATCCGGCTCGATTGTTGGTACTGTTGTTACCAAAGATGTGCTCGATGAAGAATTCCGGCCGCAGGTTCCATCGAGCGCCAAGCTGTAGCATAGTATCGGGCGATGGGAAGCCCTCGAGGAGAGCAGGCCGAGGTCTCTCGGAGTGAGCGTCCCACTCTTGCGATTCGAATGGGAATGAGACCGGGTAAGTCTGAGATGGCGAGGCTGGCCACGCCTCGAAAAGCTTCGGTTTCTCCAGCGATGTATGGATCGGTTTCTTACTGCTTGGCCCAAGATGGTCGACCAGCTGTTCGTAGTAACTGAATGCCTCTGGGTGACTGCGATAGCAGGACTTGACGAAATCGACATAATTGGAGAGCCGGATCTCGCCTGATATATTTGAGTGTGTGATCGCGGTCTCGGGCAAGGATATTGGCAGGGACATGTGCCTCCCACTCCCTTGGCCGCTGTTACTACGGAGTTGCTGGAGTAGCTCATGACGCCGCGCATTGGTGATGCAAATTGTTAGCGGACTTTCTAGGGAGCACATGGTTCTAGTATCGAGACTGAACCAGGCGGCTGGATAACATGTCTGGGCATCTAGATTAGTGGTGGTGGAGGCTGGACAACGATCATAAAACCGCGCATATATGATTGGGAGCCTCACTAAGCGCCAGGCATCTTCAGGACACCGACAACCTATCAAAAAGTAGGCAACAGGCGACTCTAGCGAGGCTTAGATGCTAGGTTTATGATGTTGAGATAGAGTGCGACGGGCTTGCAGCTGGTCGCCACCTGCTTTCCTGCCTATCGAGTATTCTCCTGGCCCTTTAAATACACGAGGAGTAGCTAGCAATCTTATACACGTGGTGTTGAGATTTTCGCGAGCGATAGACTCACGTGTATGAAGAGAAGCTGGAATCCTACGTGGAAAATCATCTACTATCCTCCGTTCGTACCCGCACGTGCTTAATCACATCCAACCGTCTATTTAGATAATAGGAAAACTGAGGTCCAAGAAAACTGAGATCGGTTCAGATCAGATTGCTACGCAAGAATTCTACTGCTTGGTTCAATTTGTGGGCAACACATGGGAAAATGTAGGAGATGGAAGCAAAGAGTGCGGTTCATGAGCTGCCGGCCTCTAGGAGTCGTCTCACGAACTCTTTGATAAGATATCAAATAAGCGTTCGATCGACTAAATGCTTGGGATCGGCCAAAGTCGTTGGCAATTGCGAAAGAAAGGAACGGAAGTATATAATTAAACGAGAAAATAAGTGCTCAAGGAAACCTCAATTTGCGCGGATAAATTATCGCCATTAATCATTGAGTCCGGTCGTCCAGTCAGCTGCAAGAGTCAGTGCTGTGATCTGTCCAATCCATTCCAACGTTTAACGGGCCAACCCGCCCAAAACTACTCCTTAAGCGGCCGGTCTAATTCAGTCCTGAGCTCGAAAGTCAAACGGACGGCTTGCTATTCATGACCGTCCATCACGTTCGCAAAGTGGAAGTCGCTCATGCGATGGGCGCAGAAAATTGTTGACAGGAAACGAGGGGTGTCAGAAAACTAAGACGCATCGACCCGGAAGAAGTTTGGAAGCTAAGATTCCAGAGGCTGATACGACAATGCAGAGTTGAAGAAAGTCGCGGGTGTAACCTAACCTGAACTTCGATTGCTAAGCTGGAGTATGAAGGCTTAGAGTATGTGGTGGTGTTGCCGCGGAAGTGAAGATAGAGATGGAGTTAGCGTTCTTAGCACCACTGCTCTACGCGTCTGACCCTAGAGCGCCGTACTTTACCATCCTTAAGTCCGTTCCTCCGAACTATTCTACGTCAGTACATAGGTAAGTCAATAAAGCCACTCCAAATCTCCAAGCCAAATCATCTATCCTCATTCAACCCATCCAAAATGGCCACCATGAAATACACCAACCTCGGCCAGAGTGGCCTCCGAGTCTCCCGCATTTGCGTCGGTTGCATGTCCTATGGAGACCGCAGGGGGCGTTTTAAGTGGTCAATTGAAGAAGCAGAAGCCCTGCCCCTCTTGCAAACCTGCTTCGAGTCTGGCATGAACTTCTTCGACACCGCAAATGGTTATTCGAACGGCGTCTCCGAAGAGATCCTCGGAAAAGCCATCAAGAAAGGCAATTGGCCCCGTCATAACATTGTCATTGCGACAAAAGTATGGGCGCCTGTTGGATTGCGCAAGGCCGATGTATTCGAGGACCCATTGTCAGTTTCCTTCGATGAAAGGGAGAGGAACGGCTATATCAACGCGTTCGGGCTATCTCGCAAGCACATCTTCGACAGCGTGGATGCGAGTCTGAAGAGGCTGGACCTTGACTACATCGATCTGCTCCAAATCCACCGATTCGACCCTCGCACGCCAATCAAAGAGACTATGGAAGCTCTGCACGATGTGGTAAAGAGTGGGAAGGTCCGGTACATTGGCGCAAGTACTATGTACGCTCACGAGCTGCTCGAAATGCAGTACACAGCTCGTATCCACGGATGGACCGAGTTCATCTCAATGCAAAATCTGCACAACGCTGTCTACCGAGAGGAGGAGCGAGAGATGATCCCATCGCTCAAGAAGTTCGGTATGGGCATGATACCATGGAGCCCCGTGCATATGGGGTTCCTCGTGCGACCACACGACAAGTTTGGAGACACTGAAAGAGGCAGTGGTATGGCTGGATCATTCTTGGGTAAACCGATCACCGAGACGGATAAGAAGATCAATGAACAGATCCAAGAAATCGCGAAGAAGAGGGAAACGAGCATGGCAATTGTGGCTATTGCTTGGAGTTTGAGCAAGCCTTACATGACGGCTCCAATTCTTGGAATGAGCAAGGTTGAGAGGATCAAGGAGGCTGTGGAAGCTGTCAATTTTGAGCTCTCAAAGGAGGAGATTGAGAGTATTGACAAGCTGTACGTTCCGAGAGACGTGCTCGGTTTCTTCTGATGGAGGAAGAGTCGACGTAAATGAAGATAAGACCTTGAAGTTACGATAGATTATTTAAAGCTAGCGTCTATTATATTTCAGGCTGCCTGTTACTTCACCCCACACTTCGAAGCTTCCGTGACAACTTCAACCACACCTCGTTACATCACTCAAATGGATTCCATGAGCAAACTTCTACCAAAGCTCTCGGTATCACCGGAGGCTGACGAGTTGGAGTCCCGCCTCCTACAACTTCCTTCTGAGCTCCGAGAAGAAATCTGGTATTTCAGCCTTCCCCGCAGTCTTCCCTGCGATCTCTACGACGATGAGCAGTTTAACGACGATAAATACTTCCACCCCACCTTCTACAAGGCGGCCCGCTCCTTCAGACTTCCACTATAGGAATCCAGCAATCTAGCCCTCCTCCGTGTAAACCGCCAAATCTACAACGAAGCCATGCCCCTCTTCTGGAAAAGAAACAGCTTCACCCTCTTCGTCAAGGGCAGAGACAGCCGCCTCGCCATTGGATTTATCCCGCCCCCTCTGCCTCGGACACAGCCCAATGGCAAGCCAGTCCAGCATCTACGCCTCTTCTCGAGTCTGGACACGGAGTACACCAAGCTGATTAGGCACTGGTCGCTGTCATTTGACACAGGCTACAGCGGCAACACGGAACAGACTGTCACTCAAGAGAAAGCCGTATGGGACAAAGCGAAGCGTGTCATGCCACTGCGGATCACGGAGCATCCACTAGCATCGCAGTATCTCCAGCATCGATTCATCACTAAGATCGCGACGTGCGAGACGGATGCGCAATCGAAGCTTTCGTACAAACAGTCTGCGTTTGCGCATCTTTGCGGGCTTCTGGATACTCTGAAGTTTGCGCCGACGTTCAGGTATCTGGATCTTGGGGTTGGGGAGAATCCAGGGCCGGATCTGACGAAGAAGAGTTTCCCGGCCGAGCGGTGTCAACATGTGTATATGTATAAGAGTGTCGAGTATAAGGCTGGCGAGGAGCTTCTCAAGTTGCTACCGCAGTTACTGCAGGCTAGGACGCCACCGATTCCTGGGAGTAGGGAAGACAGGGCTTGGGATTGGTTGCAGCTGGAGGGGAGTACCTAGGTACAGAAACGGGGAGAACAGTTCTTAAAGAAATTTGAGAATTCTAAAAGGGGACTAGTACTGGTACCCCCCTTCTTAGTAGCTGTGCACCCCCCTTCTCGGTACAAACACACCCCCTAACCCTTGTCGTTTTACCGCCTTGCTATTGGCTCGGAGGGCCGGCTGGAGGCCTCCGGGCATTCACTCTTACATCTCTCTGCACGTACATCCTGTCTGTTTTATACATTATATCTATTTTATAAGGCTGTACGTGAGGCTGTATATAAATCGGCACGGCTATACAGCCTCTCTATTTTACAGCCCAGCCTGTCCGATTTGTATAGCTATATACTAGTTGTGTTGCATTACGTATAGCCTTACGTACAGCTAAGTGAATTAGATAGAATAACACGTGCAGATGCACGTGAAAATAGAGCTCCGGACGAAGCTCCGAGCCGCTCCAGCCAATTAAAAGATGAGACGAGGAAGGGGGGGGGGGGGGTGTTGTATTTAGTAATAAGAAAGAAGGGGTGTACCAGTACTAGTCCCCTTCTAAAATGAGCAATTTCATCTGCAAAGTGATAGTATTTACAATATATTTAAGGGTTCTCTATTTGTTATAGCCTTTCAGAGGACCTTCACTAATATGAAGTTGACCCACTATATCGCTAGTAACTTGCTTGGCCACCTGAGTCGGTAGACAGATATATACAGCATGAATGGAGATGTGTGTGATAGCGTGGTTAATGCGAGCTAGAGCAAAAGTGCTTTAAATTGGAAGTGTTAAATGAAACGGCTGCTGTAAGGGAGTGTTTTTGAAATGCCCTCTGAAGTAATGAGCTTAGCCTTTCTCTGAGCGGTATAAAGCTCCTTACTCGTAGACGAGGCTTTTGGAATTGGATGACGGATAAGCATGTTGAGAAGGACCTTCAATTGGAAATGTAGTTTTAAGTCTGACGGTCAATGGCCATAAACCACATATTGCCTCGATCATCATTATTCTTCTAATTAATCTAACCCACAGCAACGCCCCCGGCGTACCCTCTCCTCCACCGCAGTACGCAGCGTATCAGGTAGTATGCATGCCCTATAGCGGGTTATGCACCAGGAACATCTTAAAGGTGTTCCCTTCTACCTGCCCCCCCTGGTACCGTTTTTGCCGTTGTTTCTCGCCTCGTAGTCATAGTCGTGCGATTGTAGCAATAGACATCCCTCCGCAGCAACGCCAGTAGCTTAGTCACAATCAGCACGTAGCCGATGTCTAGCCCGGCATGCTGCTTAGTTCAATCGTCGACCTTTTGCCCCTAGATGAGGTTCTTGGACCTTCTTAATGTTGTTTCCTGTAGTGCTCATGGGTGCTGCCATATATGAGCAGAGGTGAAGATTCCGCGAACGTGTTCCGGTTCGAGCGAGCTGCACCATTCGGGGAGATGGGTGTAGTGCAAACCTTTGGCGTAGCAAGGAGACTTGAGGCCTGGTACCCGTAGGGCTCGTGAGGCGGAGTGACATTCGCACGTAAAGGCAGTACAGTAAGTATATACAATCCCGCGCTGCAAAGTGCGACTGCAATGAACGACCTACCCCCAGCAGCATGTGCACGAATAACGGTAATGGTTCATTGAGAGATGCTTGCCCCCTGAACTCATCTTAAAACCCAGATCCATCGTCGGTTCGGTGGCCCCAGTCAGGAATCACACACGGTCACGATGGCTCTAATGTTCCCACACTAGAGTCCATACCGAAATATTAGAGCATTTTTGCTCATGTGGCCGCTTCAGAGATCCAAATGATGTTCAAAATAATGTTGTTGTGGTCTTTCGGGCGTGCTTATGTTGGATAAGGTGGTGAAGGTGATCGATTCCACGGCCCTGGTCCTGGAACTCTCGGAGGATGCTGTTCTCGCTGAATTCGAAGTCCGACAGCGTTGATTCTGGCAGTCGCGTCCAAGTTCCCGGCCTTCGCTGCTTTCCTGTACCACTCCATTGCTTGGTCGAGATCGACATCAACGTGTATACCAATCTCATGGAAATATCCCATGGCAAAAAGAGCTGTAGGAAGGTCTTGACTAGCTGCTCGTTTTGCACGATTGAAAGCGATCTCCTCGTTGGTCTCGAAGAGGTCTTCATAGCCGCAAAGACACCACTTCGATATGCCCATGTCAGCCTCTGGCTCCCCTTGGTGGGAGGCAAGCTCGTAGTAATGCATCGATAATGCTGGATCGAATGGATAGCCTAAATTGGCTAGCTCATACGCCGATCCCATCTTTAGCTGGGCTTTCGCAAAGCCAAGAAATGCGGCTTTCTCTAGATGTTCACGAGCGGAGGCTTGGTCGTGAAGTTCTGGAACCCTGATGTTCGGTAATTCGTCCGCTTGGAGCATACCGAGAACCTGGGCAAAGTATGAGCCGTGAAACACAGATATGGACCATGAGCGGACTCACAAAAGCGCCTTGGGGAGCATTTTCGTCGGCTCTCAAGGCAGCTGTCTTGAGCAGCAGGATAGCTTTCGGGAAGTTTACCTTTTGACCGTGCTGCCCCAGAAATGCCATCATGGCCATACGCTGAATGTTCGTTAGTAGGAAGGCTCAAGACTTTACGCTGATTGGAAGCAATCGATCTTACGTAGCAGCATGCAGCATCATCCTCCTTGCTGCCTTTCTCGTAATATTCAATCGCTTTAGTGGAATCGTTGCTCGTCTCATACATCATACCCATGCGGTAAGCAGCCCGCATATATCCTCCTGATAGTGCATCTCTGTAGAGGCGAAAAGCAGATCTCTTATCAATCCTATGGCCAAATTGCCCAAACTCAAGCCATTTACCTTTTTCGAAGTTCGCGCGGGGGTGTCCTTGTTCTACCAGAAAGCCAATGATATTTTTGGCATCAACCTCGAGCTCGGAACCTTCCACGGAGCTCTTGAAGGATGGGTCTTTGGTGTCACAAACAGCTCTTTCGAGCGCATAACATACAGCGAGCCAACTCAAGGCATCACTAGCCCAGGCCAGCTGCGTGTCCGCGTCATCAGAATTCAGTACGGGTTCCCGTGCCCTTTCAATGTACCTCCCTTTTTCTTCGTCTGTTGGCGGCACATTTGACGGGGCTGGATCCGATAGCTTTGGAAATGAAGAGGGAACCTGGATCAGACTAAAGCCAATAGGGGTTACACAGATCCCCGGCAGTGCTTCACTCTTTTGATTGTGGTAGGACGACGAAGGTGAATCCGGAAAACTCCTTGTACGTGAGTTCAGTTGAGCAGAAGCCTCTACCAATGTTTTCGGAACATCCTTCCTCCTCACGTTGAAAGTAGGTGTTACAGCTCGACGGTCTGAAGGTTCGCGACCATTCGTCGTACTCTTGGGGCTTAGTTGGAGGCTTCTCATGCTTCTTTCTGCTTCAGATATGCCATAGACATTCCCACCGCTTCGTGTCTCATTTCTCTCTGGCTCTGCTGATCTCTGCGACACCTTTTGCTGTGCAGCAATCAGGGCTCGTCTGTAGGCCTTTGAGTTCACGATAATATCGTCAAACTCAAATTCCCGGCCATCAATTGTTGAAGATGTATCCGCGACGTCTCCAAATATACTGTCTGGGGCGCGCCTGCCCGAGAATATGGACTCAGCGACGTTGAGTTTGGGGTTTGTTGCCCGTAGAGAGCGTGTGTCATTCGCGACTCGGTTTAGGACAGCGCTATTCCGTTGCAATAGTCGAGTAATATCACTTAAAGATTGCCTGGAGTAATTGTTAGTAGGGCTACGTAAGGGCTTGCGATCAACTTGCATTTGTAGACCCTGGATAAGTAACGTCAGAGCTGCCTGCTGTCCTCGGATCTGAGCGAGGTATTCCTTCATGTTATCTTCATTCCACAGCAGCTTTCCTCTTGCCCTCCACCCAGGGCTTTGCGCAAAGTCTGACGCATCGACATCTAGCTTTTGGATCTCATCATCGAGACAGGCGTAGACTACGGCGCAGCCAGTCAAGGCGATATCCAGAGCAGAAACAAGCTCAGGCCTGGACCGCAGATACACAGCCAGAGCATCGTTGTTCTGCAGGAAGAGGCCTTGAACGTTGGAGAGAGCCGCGCTGATCAGTATCGACTCAGAGCACAAGGCTGCAATCGTAACGTGGGCGTTTTTAAACTTGTGCCGCAACGTATCGAGAGTCTTGACGGTCTTGAGACATGCTGTCGTGATTCCCAGGACGCTCGCAGTCACCGAGAGAGGATCCATTGGCACCCGTTAGCATCTGTCTATGCTGGTAGAGAGTACATTGTTAGAAGTGAACTTGATAGCTGAGTCGCGAGAAGGCTGAAGGTGGTGGGCCTCAGCCCCCACTTCATGCACAGCATCGCCGTTAGCCGCCATTGACCAGACTCGGGACTGTGAACTATCTTGTCGTCGTTCATGGCGTCGCACAGACGACGAGGAGCATATGGTAATTATAGGACCGACCATCAGCATGCAATCTTCGCTTATGAAGTTGCAAGAAAGTTGGTGGAATAGGCTTTGTGGAAATAATGCCCAGGGGTCCACTATCCCAATAGCCAAGATCACGGGACACCAATGCAATCGACTCTCCATGATACGTGAATTAAAGTAAACATTCTCATAAATTACATTACTGTACAAGCCGTTAAGATCTCCTGCCTCAAAACGGGCCCGGAATAAGGAACGTCCCATGATTTTCCAAGCCTATTCAATAGCATCGAATTCGTCATCAATCATGTCCGTCATGTTCGCTAAAACGCAAAAAGAATAATGAAAGTCGTGCCTCCGGGATAGTAATAATCAGTGGCCTAGCAAGACAGGCCGTGTCGTAAAGTTAGGATGCACCGCTCGGGGTTTATCGCAGCGCAGATGGGGCAGCTGCAGCAGTCGAACTGGGCTGAGCATTCCGCTGGATCTCAGCGTCTTTGCGCTTTGCGAACAGGCTCTTAAAGGCACCGAGCCATCTCGCCAGATTATCTTCGCTGAGTGCGCAAAATCGGTAGTTTCGCTCGTCGGAGATGATTTGCATGCAATATGGCTTCGACCTCGACACGGGATCGATTTCGACGGCGTTGATAATGTTTGAGAGCGGGATAATGAGGTTCGCGGAGTATTCCTAATCATCTATTAGTATGTGATGCTCGATGCTCGTTCGTTGACCGTACCTCTTCATTCTTATACAGTCCAAGCGACTTTGGTCTTAGGACCACCCATAACTTCTTCCACTGCCTTACACCTCCTTTGGATTTCAGAACGTATAGCCACCCGTGGTAAATTACTCTCTCGTCATCCGGTGTCGTACCAAGTCCGCTAGCTTGACTGACATTGCGCATCGCGTCCGATCGACCGTCGCCGGGTATCACCTCAGCAGCTGATCTCTCTCGGGTCTTGGGATTGTTCAACGACAGAGACGATCCCCGGAAGCGTGTGGATGCCGGCGTATCTGAAAAATCGGAGAATGATCCTGCCTCGTTGCCAGAGTAGTTTATCAGAGTGTGAGAGGGGCGTCGAGAGCTATGCATATTCCCTGCCTCAGCAGAAGAGCCTGTTCTCGGCAAAGGATCAGCTTCTGAGGAGCTGGAACCCACTCCTTCCCTTTTTCCAATTCTTCCAAAGTCCTGAAATGCACCACGAGCACCTCCTGGGCTCATCAATACCATCTCCTCTTCCTCTTCATCAATCCGGGCCTCGGATCTGATAAGTTCTACCCATTCCTGCGCATCCTTTTCGGTCGGTGCCCCAATGTGGAAATTCCTTGATGGAGAAAACAGGCCAAATACATGGTCCATCTTGCGCTTGGGGTCCTTCTGGCGCGCGACCGCTGTGACTTCAGACAAGTTGATCTGGTGCCGTAATTTTGTTTCATCCTTGTCTTTGTAAATGGAGAGTAGGTTGGGCCGTAATACGAGGTGAATTGGTTTCCAGGACTTGAGAACCGCACGGATCAGTAAATGTTTTGATGTGATGTGTTCAGTCCTGTGGAAGTCACCTTTGTCTTGCGCGTGCGCTTCAGGACGGTGCCCGACTTGAGGACTCGATCAAACTCGAAGCTCCCATTCTGATTCACCGGCGACAGTATCTCAGATGGCTGCTTGTTTGTCTTGTCTTGGACGGTGTTCAGGCGCATGGACAGGTTGGGCGGTTCAATCTTCATACCCATCGAGGGCTTCTGTCGACTGGCGGCTGGAATTGGAATTGGGAGGGTCTGCGTGGTGTGTTCCGGCATGTTGACTTAAATGAGAGCGGACAACGCTGTTCCACCTAGGGCTATGTGCTCATGGTGTATACGGGGCAAAAGTCCGCGGCCACGGAATTCCAAGGTTGAATTATAGGAGCAGCGTTATGCAGGAGACGCGGCGAATGAGGGAAGCGAGAGCAGCAGGGAGGCATGCGCAGACAAGGGTGCTCAGGACAGCAATGCTGTGGCGAGAGTGAATGGCGATGTGTTCGTGAGACGGCTGGGCAGCGCCCTGGGCGGGTGCTGTTGCGGAGGTGTATATGGCGAGGTGAGAGGGCGCCGGCAGCGTGATGTTGACGTCGTTTCACCAGAGGGCGAGCCACCAAACACAGGCGGGGTCTCGTTCGAAACTGTTTCGATTCAGCCTCGACTTTTCTCGACGACTGCCCACCAACCATCTGTCTTTGAGGCTCTGGTCCTCGATCTTCTATTCTGAGATACCCGGCGTCGCTGAAACCCTTTAACGCGCGTCAAACCCTTCAAACAGCTTCTTTCACGTCCAACAGTCCCGCAGCCAGCAGCCTACAAAATTTTATAGGCGCCCTCCTCCGAAACCCCCAGCGCGAACCTCGATCTCGCCTCAGGTGCATAGCCAGTATGCCTGTTGTAAATCCAGAAAAGCTGGTATCGCTGCAGCATGCTGCCGGAGATGTCCGAAATGTAGACCTTCTGTCATCTCCATAAGTTCTTGCGCTGACTTTGTTTCTATCCAGATATGTATTCTTGCCCACGTTGTAAGTACGACTATCGTCGACTCAATCGCTCTCGATTGACATCGTTGCTAGGATCATGGCAAGACCTCTCTCACAGATGCCCTCATCGCCACCAATGGCATCATCTCCCCAAAGCTGGCTGGAAAGATCCGATACCTGGACTCGAGGCCAGACGAACAACTACGAGGCATCACGATGGAATCCTCAGCGATCTCACTATACTTCTCCCTGCTACGGAAGACCGCCCCGGACGCAAAGCCAGAGCAGAAGGAGTACTTGATAAATTTGATAGACTCACCCGGACATATTGACTTCAGCAGCGAAGTCTCCACCGCGTCGAGGCTGTGCGACGGCGCGGTAGTGCTTGTAGACGCAGTCGAAGGCGTTTGTAGTCAGACCGTGACCGTACTGCGGCAGACATGGATCGAGAAACTCAAGCCAATACTTGTCATTAACAAAATGGACCGACTAATCACAGAACTGAAGATGAGTCCGGGTGAGGCGTACACGCACCTTAGCAAGCTACTCGAACAAGTCAACGCCGTCATGGGCAGCTTCTTCCAAGGCGACCGTATGGAAGATGACCTCAAATGGAGAGAGAAAATGGAAGAGAAGATCAATGCCGCAGCTGAAAAAGCACAAGAGAAAACTGACGGTATTAACTCATCCGTATTAGAGAACGCCGATGGCATCGACACCACCAATACACCAGCTGAGTATGAGGAAAGGGACGATGAAGACATTTACTTCTCCCCAGAAAATAACAACGTCATCTTCAGTAGTGCCATCGACGGATGGGCCTTCACCGTCAAGCAATTCGCAGGTCTCTATGAGAAGAAACTCGGCATCAAAAGATCCGTACTCGAAAAGGTGCTCTGGGGCGACTTCTATCTAGATCCAAAGAACAAACGCGTATTGGGGTCCAAGCATCTCAAAGGCAGGAGCCTGAAGCCGATGTTCGTCCAACTAGTCCTAGACAACATATGGGCTGTATACGATGCTACTACGGGAGGTGACAAAGGGAAGGGGTGCGTGGATTTCCTTATTCTTCTGCTAGATTTTGTTACACATGTACATACACATTACGATCAAATACTTATTACTCCTCAACAGAGATCCTACCAAGGTAGAGAAAATCACCAACTCCCTATCCATCAAGCTCCCACCACATGTCCTACGTTCTCGAGATCCGAGGGCTCTTCTGACCACCCTCTTCGCTGCTTGGCTTCCTTTGTCCACCGCTTTTTTGGTCTCAGTCATCGAATATCTCCCCTCGCCACCAAAAGCGCAAGCTGCACGAATGACCGAGCTTATAGACAACTCTCCTGGTTCCGAATTTGTTAGTCCAGAGGTCCGAAGCGCAATGACCAACTTCAAAGCCTCAAAAGACGACCCCGTAGTCGCCTACGTGAGCAAAATGGTCGCAGTCCCGGCCAGTGAGCTCCCAGAAAATAAGCGACGGGGCGGCGGTGCGCTCAGCGCAGAGGAAGCACGCGAGCTCGCTCGCAAGAAACGCGCTGAGCTCTCACGCGCGCAAGCAACTGCTAATGGCGAGAATGCTATCGACAATCTCACCCAAGCTATCAATAGTACCGCGATTGGAGAGCAGGAAGAAAAAACTGAGTCTGAGCCTGCAGAGTTAGCGGAGGAGGAGCATCTCATTGGATTTGCACGCCTCTACTCCGGGACACTCGCCGTCGGTGACGAGATTTACGTCCTTCCACCCAAGTTCTCCCCAGCGAAGCCGCACGCTCAACCTGAGCCACAAAAAGTCACCATCACAGCACTCTACCTTCTTATGGGTCGCGGTCTAGAACCTCTCACCCACGTTCCCGCCGGTGTCGTCTTCGGTATCGGTGGCCTAGCAGGGCACGTCCTGAAATCTGGGACACTATGCTCGCAGCTCGACGGCTCCGTCAATCTGGCTGGCATAAACATGGGCACGCAGCCTATTGTGCGAGTAGCTCTCGAACCAACGAACCCGTCAGACCTGGGAAAGATGATCGCAGGGCTGAAGATGCTCGAGCAGAGCGATCCATGTGCTGAGTACGAGGTTTTGCAGAGTGGAGAGCATGTCATTCTTACGGCGGGTGAGCTGCATTTGGAGAGGTGTCTAAAGGACCTGAGGGAGAGATTTGCGAAGTGCGATATCCAGGCCGGAGCGCCCATCGTACCTTACAGGGAGAGTATTGTCAGAGCGGAGGAGATGAATCCGCCTAGGGACAAGGACCTACCCAGGGGCACAGTGATTGGTGTAACGACGTCTAAGCAAGTCACCCTCAGGTTAAGAGTCAGACCGCTACCAGCAGCCGTAACCGAGTTCCTTGGAAAGAACGCTGGCGCGATCAAGCGGCTGTATTCTGAGCGCCGGGCAAAAGAGGAGCGAGAGCGGACCGACGGTGACGAGGCGCCTCCTGAACAAGACGGCATGGAGGAGGCCGAGACGCTGGAGACCGGCCACATTCTAAGCCTAGCAGATTTCAAGGCGGAACTGAAGAAGGCCTTTGCGGAAGCCAAAGGCGAGAAAGAGATTTGGAACGGGGTGATAGAGAAGATAACGGCCTTCGGCCCACGAAGAGTTGGTCCCAACATCCTCGTCGACGCAACCTCGCAGGGCATATGTGGCAAGGTGTAAGGCCCCATAATATATCCCCCTGTTACAATGCAGAACACTAATTCTCCCAGTCTCCGCGACTTCTCCTCCCCAACTCCAGAGCCCTCACACCCCTCAGACAACGCCGCCCTCGCCCCAACAGCTCTCACCGACAAAATCGCCTACGCCTTCCAACTCGCCACAGCCGCTGGCCCCCTATGCGCGGAGCCCGTTCAAGGCATCGCCGTCTTCCTCGAAGACCTCACAGTCGCCGTCCCGGAACTTGACACCACTTCCGCCTCTCACGACCGGCTGGGCCGCCTAACGGGCGAAGTCATCAAAACCGTTCGTGACTCCATCCGCCTCGGCTTCCTGGACTGGTCCCCGCGCATCCTGCTCGCCATGTACACCTGTGAGATCCAAGCTTCCACCGACGTGCTCGGCAAAGTCTACGCCGTGCTGAACGGCCGTCGCGGGACCATCCTGTCGGAAACGTTATCTGCAAACTTCTCAGCTTCCACGACTGGGAACTCAACGTTTACGATCGACGCTTTGTTACCGGTGGCGGAGAGTTTCGGGTTCAGCGACGAGATCAGAAAGAAGAGCTCGGGGAGTGCGTCACCGCAGTTGCGGTTCGCGGGGTATAAGATGCTGGACGAGGATCCGTTCTGGGTGCCGTTTACAGAGGACGAGCTAGAGGATTTGGGGGAGAAGGGAGATCGGGAGAATGTGGCGAAGAGGTATGTGGATGGGGTGCGGGGAAGGAAGGGGTTGCTGGTGCAAGGCAAGAAGCTAGTAACGGACGCGGAGAAGCAGAAGACGTTGAAGAGGTAAGGCGGAGGGGGGAACACGGGCTAGCCTTTTCAGAGTAGTTTAGAGACTATGGACAGCGGTGTCAAGGTTGTAGACTCTCCTGGATTTGAGCAACTTGATTTGGGACGTGACGGTGTAGCCGCACCCTATGGAATGTGACATTCAAAAATGCGAACACCTTCATCACTCAATGCCGTGTTTATGACTTTCGGCTCATCATATTCTATTCCTGACTTAGCCATGTTGTCGTGAAGGTCTTGAAAGGTCACGTGGAGGTCGGCCTCGCTTATCGACTTAGCGCAGCGCACTTCTTGGCGCGGCCATCCAACTTTGCGGATTCTCGATTTCCTTACGACACGACGACATATTCGCGATCCACCACAACAACAGTCAAAGTACGCCGAAAAATAGGCTGGATACACTGGAAATTAGCTAACGGTTCTCTCTAGATGGTCGCCTCTAAGAAGCATGTCCCAATCGTCAAGAAGCGTACGTCAAACCTCGAATACTGGCCCTCGCAGCCTCTCTCCTCAGCCTGAATCTCCTGCAACAATGGCATAATACTGATCTCGCAATTTTCATTCAGACACCAAGCGGTTCAACCGCCACCAGAGCGACAGGTTCATGTGTGTGGACCCTAGCTGGAGAAAGCCAAAGGGTATCGACAACCGCGTGAGGAGGCGTTTCAAGGGCCAGGCTGCTATGCCGAAGGTGAGGAACAACAATGGGCATTCAGAAAAATAAGGCTGACTGGAATTCTACTCCTAGATTGGATACGGATCCAACAAGAAGACGAGGCATTTGATGCCCAGCGGCCACAAGGCCTTCCTCGTGCACAACATCCGCGAGTGCGTACCACCGAACCGATAGTCACAGCTAGTAGATCGCTAACAGAATCGATTTTCAGTGTCGACCTTCTCTTGATGCAGAACCGCACCTTCGCCGCAGAAATCTCACACTCGGTCTCGGCGCGCAAGCGAATTGAAATCGTTGCCCGGGCGAAGCAGCTGAGCGTCAAGGTCACGAACGGCAAGGCCAGAGTCAAGACGGAGTCGTAGGGTATCTCAGTTCGGTGGGAGGCGCTCGATAATCCAGGGGTGGAATCCCTTTTGGCAGACCTGGGACTTTTCTTCAGAGCAGCGTGTATCCAGCTTTACGGTCCAATGGAACTGATTGCTTTCCGCCTGTGACTTGGCACTGCGGCGCCAGCATGTGAGGGTGAAGGTAGTGGGCCGGTGGAGGGGTGGCACAGCGGTATCGGCAGAAGGGCTATCAAAACGGATATCAATGGGAATCATGACATCAATGTCAACATCAACTGACCTCTACGGGATATCTCCATCCTCTGCATGATGTGGCCGGCTGGGCTGTTCAGCCTGTTTCAGGCCCGATCCCCCCCGAATGTGACGGATCATATCCTTGACTTGCGCAAGCTCAAGCCGAAGAAAGACGCACGCTGCCTCGCCGGGAGCACGCTGCATTAGAGCCTGTAACGTGCAGGCGGGTTGAGATCAGAACTACAGTGAGCATCTATCATCTTGGCATGTGAATATCAAATTGGTCGTTGCTCGCCTGGCGATGGGCCGGGAGTGTGTAAAACGACCAGGCTCGGCGTGCACAATTCCCAGGTTCCGTTCACGACGCTTTAATCCTAACGTCGGGAGACATGACGATACTCATGATTACCGGTGACGACCTAAGCATTGGAGATATGCTTCAGCCTCTGGTTAGAGCTACACTAGCGAAATAGGCACACCATGATGCCTCTGCGAACATTCATCGAGTCAAACGAGCGAAGTCTATCTCTGCCAGTCTCAGATTGCTGGGCTCAGGGGATCTTCAGCGTGCTAGCTTTGTCCACCCGCTTACCCGTCCGAATCATGCATGCTAGCGTCGTTGTTTTAGCAGCCCCTGGGGCACAAAGCACGCGATGTCCACTCAACACCACGGCCAGCTATCTCGGAGGGCTACACCGCTAGAGATGGCAATGGCGTCTTGCGTCCGGCACACGGCCGCACGTCAGCAGCATTCTCTTGCCCTGCGGCTTCACCCGAGCCACGGGTCCCCGAGATGCCTGGTGATTGGCCGCTGGGATCGCTATCAACGACGACACGCCTGAGGAGGCTCCTGTGCCTCTCTGCAAACAGCAACGCTAGGAATCCGGTGCCAGATGAAGTCTCACGGCCAGAGCCAGGACCGGCCGGGGCAGCTCAGCTAATGGTCGCATAATCGAGTAATCGAGGGCTCCGGCCCTCCTTTAGGGGCGCCTCCCGCCAGGCCGCCCAAGGTTCTCCGTCACAGACCCACGGAGAGACACCAACGAAATTTCTATGTCGCCCATGCGACCTGTTCCCGCCGGGACGGCCTGCTAATTTGGCTCCCGCCTATATAGCGCGCTCCCGCCCTCTAGCTGCGTGCTTCGTTCCTCCTCCCCAGATCTCACCACCAAAGCACCGACTGCGACTGCGTCCTCGTCTCGCCAGCGTCCGCACGCTTAGTGGCGGCTGTCTCGCCACCACCAGCCCACCAAATGACTCCGAACCTCTACCTCGCAACGCAGACGCTGTTTTCGCCGCACAAATGGTTTGTCCGGAGGCAGTCCGAAAAACCCCGTCGCCAGACCGAGCACTGGGAAAATCCCATCGCTGGCATCTACGAGTACATCCCCGGCCGAGGATGGTATCTCGTAGCCACCGACTATCCTGATGAACGGCTGGTCCAGCCGATTCACGTAAAGTACTCCAAGGTGCTGAAGCGCTACATGCTCCAGCCCGACTACGACACTCGCAAGCGCCATGGCAACATTAAGGACGCCAAGGGCAAGACGAGGAACGTCTGCTTCTTCCGACTCGACGACGGCGTCGCCTGGGTGCATTGCTGGGACGATGAGGGCCACTTCATCCCCGGCCCGTACAAGATGTGGTGTGTCGACAAGGAAACGAACCAGTTCCGCCACATGCTGAAGGGAGACGATCCCTTCTACACCAGCCGATCCAACAGCCGTGCTGATGACCAGATTCCCACGTCCAGGAGGAGCCAGGAGAGTCGCTCGACGCAGTATCGTGGAGAGGGAAGCAACAGTCGCACGCCCAATACCTCCCAGCCAAGCACCCGTGCGAACAGCGTGCGCGGCCTGTCCGCGCCTCCGACTCGGCCAGGCAGCCCGAGAGGGAGCTCCCTGTCACAAGCTCCGACTCTGCCCACGGCCGCTGCAATCGAGGAGGGATTGAAACAGAATCCTCTGGACCTCCAACCGAAATCGACGGACTGAGCTCGACTTCAGGGCTGGCACTTGCTCTCTCCGTTCTCTAAATTCTGTTTCTGCATTCTTGTTCACCATTACTTTGAAACGCAACGTTACGACTTCCAAAATTCCAGACGATCTTCAGTTTTGGCTCGGAAAGACTTCGGCTTGGGTTCCCAACAGTCCTGATGGGCGTGCTTCCTACTCAAGCTATTCCAGAGCCCATTGCAAGCACGCGAGAAAGACGCCCTTCGAGTCGCCTTAGTGTCTCCCTCACAAGCATCTCGCCAAGACCATACTCCAGTATCGCTAAGCCTTTGATCCGGATCTTTCGGCTTGTTACCCTAGACTTCCATTCTTCCTACTAGGTTCTTTTTTAGTGTTTCAGGCGTTGTGATGACGAAACCTTGGAAAAGTAATATCTTTGTAATTTCTCTTCACCTGGGGCTAGGGTCTTTTCTCAGACGGGAATTTTTAGACCTTCGTTCATTTGGCCGGCTATTCTCAGGTCGTTGGTCCTAGATAGCCGCATCAAAAGCTTTCTTGGCTTGGCTTTGCATGCACGTGTCTGCGTATACCCCATACTGCTTTTAAAATATAGATCTCTGTTCACTCGTTCCTCACGTTTACACCATTCCGATTCTGCGCTTACATTTAAATCGGTGTTCCTAAAGAAATCTGTATTCATAAATCGGAGTCGTCTAGCCACTACTTGGATGGTCACCATCTCCTTTCAATGTCATCTCTGAAGACGATTACGGATGTCCAGTTGCCGTCCGTCTCACTAGGTAAATCCATCGGGACGTTCAACACCACATACCTCCAGAATCGCCACCTCACAACCCCATGGCCGGAGCGGGTCGGACACACTCCCTGCTAGCGTGTTTCGAATGTTTGATCACTTCCTTATTAGTAGAGATATGTGTGAGCATATTTGAGGTCTGTATCTTGCAAAATCGCCTTCTGCTGAATTCCGACCCTGCGTGCCACTTACAAAGTACTGCAAGACACGTCCTTCTAGGGTGCTTCGAGGGCGAGCGTAATCCCTGATCTACCGAGAAGATAAAAGATCATTTTATATTTGTTGCATCGCGTCTAAAGGTATATAGGTATAAGTTCTTGGCAGAAACGCGAGACTCGACCATAAGCTCCTTAGTATACCAGCATATTTAATTCATGTGGCAGCTTCTAAATCCAAGTCCCACAGCCTTACTGTTCTGTCGAGCGATGCCGACGGTAATAGCTTGCCCTCTGGTGAGAAGGCCAGGGCAGTGACCCCGGACGAATGGCCCTCGAGCGTCCGCAGCGCCACCCCTAAGCTGGCGTCCCATAGTCTGATCATGCCTTCACACGATGCCGGGGTCGAGAGTCCGCCTAAGCGTGTGACAGTTGCCGACACCTACACCTGCATGATAGGACCGTGACCTTTAGATAAGGAGAGGGTTGACGGTCATTTCTTCATCTTTGATCGACAGCATGGGTAGTGTAGCCTCTAACTGCTTCCTAGGGATGCGCGATTTCCACACTTAGGTTCTGGCATCAGCTCTATCATGCTAGGTTATCGTCACGATAGCGTACCTCTATATATGAATATGGATGCAAAGGTGATACTCGACAGCGTCACACTTAACACAGCATATACCCACATAGCTTTACGGACGTGGAGTATCCCAAAGTCAGGCTCTGCTGGGCCTGATGGCACGTGAACAAGATCCGATGAGAAAATGGCCTTTGTGTATTAGCTATACGAATGGGATCACTTTTATAGGATGCATACCGCGATAAGATTTGCTGGCATATAGACAGTCGCGATAAACGTTAGGACCTTGGTCAATCGCGACTCAGTCCCTGTTTTTTGGAGGATATGCTTGAGATGGTCTCTTTGGGAGCAAGCTACTGTCTCCATTCGGGTAAGCACTATCGTATTTCCATTCATCTTATCAACCTTCCTGTACTCTAAGAGCTTCGATAACTGTCATCACTCGTTAGAGTCGTTCAATGCAAGGGTGACAGAATTTACCAATAACGAAGTTCTCTCTGCCCGAGATTGTAGCGTCATGGCTTGACTTGAGTATCGTTGGATTTGTTTGACAAGGTCGGGCAATTGCCTTTGCCCTGAGTAAGTTGTCCTGGGATTGGGAACATTCAGAGCACTCTCATGCAGAGATAAATCCCGCAGCATGCAAAGAATATCTCTCACGGATCTAAGAATTGCTCGACAAAGGGATAACGCATCCACTAGTCGCTCTAGACGCTGGCATTCTAAGAAGCCCACTTCGTAGTATAATGACCCGACACCGATGGAAGAATTCAAGGCTTTCTCCCTCTAACCAATTGTCATTGATAAACTTGATACCAAGTGGATGTGGCATACTCACCAAGCATTCCAGCGCTTGCCGTTGGCCATTTAGATACCATCGCCAGTCAGGCAATGTAGACTCGAGTAGGAGTGTATGCAGGAGCTTACTGTCCTGCATAGATTTTCGGCATGAAATGTGGTCCCATAGAGAAAGCATACTCCTCTTGAAGAGCTGGACGAAAACCCACACTGAGGATCTTTGCTGGGTATCATACTTTTGGTAGATCAACGATTGTCTGAGGGACCATGGGTTTTTAAGGTTATCCCTCCCATGTCTCTCTTGTGTCCGAAGTAAGTATGTTATCTCTATGCTTGGTAAGTTCAGTTTGTGCCTGAGGGGAGGGTAAGGTTACCATAGCTGCCTTTGTCCATTCCTTCTGATTCGATGCTGTGCTTTTCGCATAGACTGAAATATGGATCGTCATCTCCAGTGACCTTCGCCCCGAATGAATACAGGCCGTCAAGAAATATCGTAGAAATACGATGTGTAGTAAGTAGAGCTTGCATGGCTTTGGTAGAGACTTGCAGGCGACCCCAAGACGATGGTTGATGAATGAAGCTAGGCAAACCTTTAATTGGGGGAAACTCAATATCATTTATAAACTTACTACATCGTGTCGCGCGTTGTAACTATGTCCTTCTAGATTGCTCCCATTAGAAAGGTTGCACACATGTGGAATAGTTATAGAAGCTAAACCTACCACACTAAAGATCCCTTTTGTTACTTTATCACAATATGTCAGTGACAAGAGCTCGGTATAGATCGTGGCGCATACCTCCGCCAGACAGATCGGTCTGCCATTTCTCTATATTCCCTTGGCCTGAAAATATTCTCTGGCCTTCCGTGGTCAGCCTGTTCAGGTGTGCCTCAACCTCGAGTTTTCGAACCGAACCAGAAGGCAAGCTGTCGAAATAACGCTGCCATCCTTGTATTTCGTCTTCGTCACACATTATGATGGTTTGTGCTAACCTCGGAAATTGTTCGAGAACACTGGGCTTTCTTTTATGGCGGAAAGCTTTATCTTTCACCTCGGGCTACGAGGACAAGGCTGACCGGTACCTAAAAACCGCTCAGCGCCCAAGCGAGGCTGATTTTGCTGTTAGGCAGCAACGCAAAATCCTACTGATATCAATTTGTCAACGACACTTAGAAGTCGAAGCCTAAGGGCCCATCAAGTCCCGCAGCATCTTTCAATGGCACTGAATCAATTGAGACATCAATTACGATCACACAAGAAATCAGCCGCGGGTCAGAAAGCTCGACACTTTCTTCCAAACGGGGTTCTAGAAGATATCTTGACTTTTGATACCGTTCATACCGCGCTTTCCGATCCGTCTTTTCGTGTCATCCCACACAAAAGAAACGACACAGTGCATACCGTCCTGGCCGAGGCAAAGAAGATTTTTGCAATCCTACTCGATCTCAAGCTTTGTGATAGTCTTACCCAATTCATTGAAAATGAGATCACAGATAATGTCCTGCCCGTGGACACTAAGCGACTGAAAGGATTCCTTCACGACGGGGACGCAGAAGACTTCGTGCGTCAGCAATGGGACTACCTGGCATACACTTTCCGTAAAGGACCCTACCAACGAAAAATCTGTTCAGAAGTTATTCTTCCATATGTGGAAGAGAAGACTATCGGTGGTGGGGGATATTCTACTGTGTATGAAACAGTCATCCATTTCGCGCACCAGAATTTTGAACAAAACGCACCACATAATGTAAATGGGCAATGAAATCTAAGCGTTTGCATAGCTAATGAATTTTTAGGGGGTACGGCTGATTCGCAAGAAGCTCACGAAATTCATCTCCGGACCGAAGGACGAAGCTGAGCTCTTGTTCCTTCTCAGCAGTCATAAGCATGACAACATTGTCGAACTTCTCACATCCTACTCACAAGATGGCATCCCAAATTTGATCTTTGAACGCGCAGATATGGACCTCCATGACTTCTTGCTCCAAGAACAGCGAATCCCTAGATTTAAAGAAGATAGCGCAGTTTTGAAAGCGCTTCATGGCCTCGCAACGGGCTTGGAGTTCATCCACAAGATCAGACCAATAGTATCCTACGATGAACATGCACCAACACAACAGCTTCCGTGCCACCAAGATATCAAGCCTAGGAACATCTTAGTCAGAGGAACAGACTTCCTTTTGAGCGATTTTGGCCTCATGAGACTCAAATTCGTCACCGAGGAGTCCGGCACTATCTGGAAAGACGGCACATTTGATTACGGCGCGCCTGAGTGCCGAGATCCAGTTACCCTTGGGCAACGAAAAATCACGCGGGCTTCGGATATATGGTCCCTCGGCTGCATCATCTCGGAACTTATCGCTTATATGAGAAATGGTAGCGAGGGAATGACCAGGTTTCGCAAGCTACGAATTAGGGATGGTACCTATGGGGATTTATCTTGCTTCCATGATGACCATGGCCCGAATCAAGTGGTCTTGGACGACCTTAGAGAGACTACACTTGGATACGGCGAAGGAAACGACTTGAACCCCAGGTTCAACCTTTTTCAACTCATACAGGACATGCTTGCTTCCTCACCGACGGACCGACTGGATGCCAGTGAAGTGGAAAGAAGTCTTTCCTGTATCACTACACAGATGCTTCTCAAAGATGTTCTAGACGCCACTAAAGCATGTTCGACGAGACAAAGTGATCGTTCAATGACAAATATATCCCGTTTAAAACTTCAACTTGAAGAAAATCGGCTACGTGCTTGGGCAGAATATCTTGGCCTTTGCTCCATCCTAGGTAAGAGGAGTACACCTAGCGGCCAAAATGTCGTCTGGTATCCAACGATTTGGCGGGACCTAGAACTTGCAATCCGGGATTTTCGAGCCAACCCTCTGTTCGAGTCTGCACAAGACAATGAGGATTTCTTGATCCTTCGAATGCATCAAACAAATAATGCAGTTCACAGCCACCTGTCGGATGCAGGAAAACTATCCGCTGACAACATCTTTGCCGATATAAGTATGTCAGGCGCAACAACCGATGCACTGCGATCTCTCGGCCAATTGTCGCAACGAGGAGAGCTACAGTATCAAGATATTGGATCCATTGCGGCAATGAAGTACATGGCGATACTCATTACGAAGCAGCCCTACTGCCATGTGTATGGCACAAAAATTGACCAAGCTTTGATTGAAGAAGACCCAGAACATAATGACGATGACGTACGGCCGAAAGCATTCTGGTACCACGTAGGTTATCGGCAAAGCGAGAGGATCAAAGTCTTGATCGAGTGGAAGGGGTACGGCATTGAGTGGACGAAGGACCCTGACAGTAGTGAATTCGAAGAAATAGGAGAAGCGATGTTCCATCGGATTCAGAATTTAGTCGGGATGCTAAACAAGCCCAAGCCTGTGAATTTCCGGGTCTTGGACTGTCTCGGCTGTTTTCACGATACCCAACAACACATGTTCGGCATTGTCTACAAATTTCCGTCAGATCAAACTAGGCCCGTCCGCCTTCATCATCTGCTTCGCGGAAGGGACCGGTCATCAATACTCGTACCCCATGTTGGAGAGAAGATTACTCTCGCTGCTACTCTCGCCCAGTCCCTCTACACATTCCACATCTCGGAATGGCTTCACAAGAACATCAACTCGCGTAATGTGTTATTCTTCACGGGATTATCGAACTTCAGGGATATAGATCTCTCTCGCCCTTATGTCGTAGGATTCAATCACAGTCGTGAAGCAGATGTTAGCGCTTATACCGAAGGCCCCGAGATGTCCAGTGAGTGGGAGAAATACCAGAAATACCAAGATCCTGACTACGTCAAGGGATCACGTTATAAGAAGGGTTACGACTACTACTCCTTTGGACTGCTTCTTCTGGAGATTGGAACATGGGAACGCTTAAGTAATATTCACGATAAGCACGAGACGGAGGACTCCTCTCAGCTGAGAAAGCGATATCTGAGAATCTGCGACAACGTGATTTTGGAGAGAATGGGCCCGACTTATCATCAGGCGACCAAGGCTTGCCTCTTGTTTGACTCTGGGTTGCCTCTCGAGAAATTAGACTCGGCTATGGAATTTCGAAAGAATGTGGTAGATAGGCTAGCGACGTGCCATCTCTGATGCAAGTTTGCTTAGTGCAGACACCCTGCTCGCCTCTCTTTGCATCTTCTCTTGCACTATGCTATGTCGCAATCTCCTCAGTGGAGGTCTGCCCCGGCTTCTGAATTGAAAGTTGCTCCTCCTAAGAGACGAAAGTTATTCTCTATTCACGGCTTGGTGAGGGCTAAAATACTCGAGTGAGGGTTTTGGGAACGGAGAGTGTATATGTGTCGTCCACGTGCTACAGAATCGTTAGCAGCGTCCATCTTCCTCGGATCAGCCGCTTACGGTAACCCTGAAATTTCCTACCCCGAAGAGGGTTGTCAAGAGTTGAACAAGCTTTGCGCCATCGATGTAGCGTGCGTCGAGTGTTTGAGTTTGCATTTTCATTTATCAATTGAGCATGTCGCCCCGAGTGATAAAGACCTTTCTTGAACTTGATATATATAGAATTTGCTGAGGCTCTGTTCGAAAGTAGCCAATAGCTGATAAACACGTTGTTTTTCCGAGGTGACACAATCGCGGGGATGAGAGAAATAACTTTCCGACCAGACATCGCATGCGATATAGGCCCGCCGCATCGGCATGTATGGCCACCTAGGTACCTTGGAAGACACTAGTACTAACCGACCTTCGCATTATCAATTTCAACCTGTTTCTCACACGTGACTCGATCTAAACATGGTCAATTTCGACGATTACACAGACTCTTATGGTCGTTACAGTTCCTTAGCTACGGATCAATTGACAACGCAATTCCAGAGCAGCGCTACTGTGGCAGATCCCCAGGTAGGGAATCCTCGCTATGGATTCATCGCAGTCCTAGGGCTCGCCCAGCGATTCAAAGTCGACTTCCTACCTATCAAATGGAACAATCCCCTGGATCTAATCGGTAAGGGAGGCCAGGCTCGAGTCAATCACACGCCCATGTCTGTGCAGATGAGCTTTGCTTTCAAACGATTCCAGCACGAAGGTTTCCCAGATCCTTTTCGTGAGGTTGTCCAAGAATTACTCATCCTCACCCACCCCTCTGTCCGACATCACAAACATATCATACACCTGGAGGGAATTGTGTTGGACATCGTGGCGGAAAATAAGATATGGCCCGTGCTGGTTTTCGAGAAAACGCATTTCGAAGACTTGTACAAGTTTGCAAAATCGGGTATCGGGAGGGAAATGTCAATAGATGATAGGCTGGCACTGTGCGTAGACATTGGTGTCGCAATCAGAGACATGCATGCAAATGGTAAGTGACGCAAACTGGGCTTATGGCTTTGCTTAACAAGACTCAAGGTATCATACACGGTGATATAAAGCCTCACAACATCTTGGTGTTCCCAGGTAGCGACGGCAAAGTTACAGCAAAGGTAGCGGATTTCGGATTTGCAACGTGGTTTCGCAGCAGGGATGATTTGATCGCAATGCCACGATCCGTACCCTGGAACGCTCCAGAACACCGTGGCCAGAAATTCAGGCCTCTGGATGCTCAGCGCATGGACGTTTATTCATACGGCATGCTCTGCCTCTGGCTACTATTTGGGGTAGACACCCCCGAAAATGTGTTGTTACCCCTATCAACCATATTGCAAGACGATCAAACCCTTTGCTTCGATGTTCTCGGTAGCTTGGGGAAAGAGAATCTGTTACTTATTTGGAAGATGGATGAGAACGACAAGTTATTGGATTGGGCTACATGGTTGGTGTTGGAGCATACCCATATATCAGCTACAGTCCAGCGTGTGTTACTGGAGTTTTTTCGGTCAAGCCTCTCTTTCCATTCTAGCAGACGTACTACCGACCTCGACCACCTGCTGTGTCTACTTGCTCCTATGCGGTAAGTTCTAGATATGCAACATTAAAGATCATGGCAAGGTTATTAACGAAATGCTTAGAAGTATTCCGGAAACCAATATTGTTGACAGAGTGCAAGAGCAAGACGCAGAAGACTTCCAAGTGCGTTAATCATATGTGGTGTTGTGGATTCCTATTGACATGCACGTAGATTGTGCAGTCCATCTTGGCCTTCTATTCTGGGGATTTCCAACTACGCTCACACATCGCCGAACAGCTGAAAATCATTGTATCGGAGTCCACAACGCCAGTCTTCGAACATATACGAACCGCAAACGCTGTGGAGCAGCTAACATTATGCCGTATAATAGGGTTTGGACTACCCAGGGATAGAAATGCGAACGTTGATAACACCCTTGAGGATTCACAGCGCGCCAAAATTGAAGAGCAACTGCGGACCATAAGACATCAAAGTCCCAAACGGTTTCAAGTTGGGACGTTGTTCTATGACTTAGACATTCAGGGCGTCGTGCAGCTCGCCACTTCTGAGTCGACGTATGCAGTCGGCTCGGCTTCAGCTACACGAGCCCTTGAGGTGATCGGGCAAGAAGTTCAGGACTCGAAGGACGTCTTTGGCGAGAATCACTGGATCAACAGGCTCGTGAAGTCCGAGCTCGCCGAGGTATTAGAGGAACATGGTGGTGCAGAAGGGGCCGAAGAGGCCGAAGAGCTCTTGTTACAAGTCGTAGAGACGTGTAGGAAGCTGTTTGGAGAAGATCACAGAGAAACCGAATACAGCATAAACAACCTAGCATGGACATATAGGAGACGGGAGCTATGGGAAAAGGCGGAAAGATTGGAGGTATACGTATTAGAGAAGATCAGGACGAGGTTTGGGGAACACCATTCTAGTACATGGACCGCCATGGGAAATCTTTCACATACCTACCGGAACCAAGGCCGTCTCAAGGAAGCGGGTGATCTAGACCTTCAAAGGGTTGCACTTCAAGAGCAATCCCTTGGTGAAGAGCATCCTACTACTATCGCAAGTAAAGAGGACCTAGCGTGGGTCTATAGCTCCGAGGGAAAATTCGACAAAGCGAAAAAGCTGCAAAAAGATATACTGAAGCTTTCAGCGCGTGTATTTGGCGAAGAGAGCGGTGTATTTCGGGGCTTTTCTGCAAACCTCGCAACAACGTATCGGGAAATGGGGCACTGGAAAAAGGCCAGGAAGCTACTTGAACGCCTAGTGGAGGCATGCCGGAAAGCAGGGACCGAGAAGAGTGACGGTGCGCTAGATAACATGGCTGCACTGGCAACGATGTACAGAATGACGGGCCACTTAGGAAAGGCTGAAGCTTTGATTAAAGAAGTCATAGAAGGGAGAACGGAATTAGTGGGAAGGAATCATCCCTGGACAATGTCCGACATGTCCATCCTAGCCGCAACTTATCGCGACAAAGGACAGCTCAAAGAAGCTGAAGAGCTTTTGCTAGAGAAAGAAAGAGCGAATGAATACGGGAGGAGCCGCCCTGCTATACTGCGTCATATGGGCATCCTTGCTGGTGTGTATCGGGATCAAGAGCGCTGGAAGGAAGCTGAAGATTTGGAAAGACGGGCGTTACGCACAAGTATGGACGTGTTCGGAGAGGAAAATCCTGATACGTTGCTCACGATGAATAATCTGGCGTTTACACTGCACGCACAGGGTTGCGTTGATGAGGCAATCTCAATAATGACCGAATGCTATGAATTGCGGGTAAAGGTACTCGGTTCTCAGCATCGATACACCATCTCCTCGTTGGAGTGCCTAGAGGAATGGCAGTCAGAGCATCGGGGTAGCTAATCATAGCACTACTTAGCTGGTCTGGCGTAGACTATTATTATCCATAACACTAGAGGGTTCCTTCGGCATGTAGGCAATTATTCATGACTCGCTTCAGCCACACAGGCCGCACAACGGGAAGCGGAAAGGAGATCGCGGAGAACACAATCATGCAAACACGCAGAGTTTTGACCACCTGGAACTGAATGGGTCTGGTTTAGTGCACTTACGCGGCGCGACTTGGTGCCTTACAAGGTGCTTGTAGCATGGCAAGTTGAGGAGTTCGATCATGAAGATCTTGATAGAAGAAAGGCGGTGGATCGAATTGCGAGCTAGGTTTCTGCTGTCGGAGCACGACGAGATGTGTTTTGAGCCCTTTCGTCAAGAGCATCGAGCATGGTGAAGCACGGGAGACTTAGCCCTAGCTGGCTCAAGATAGGAATACAGTAAAGCCTACTTATAGTGATATAGGGATTTAGTGATATCTTCTATACAGTGATACAAGTCGCCGGATTGTACGATTTGCCTCCTAAGTTATATCACTAGCTCCCTGCTTAGTATAGTATCACTAAGCCCCTCTCATACAATATCATACTAACCGTGCTTGGTTTGTATGGGAGAGTGGTCCGTGGCCCCCCTTTTTTGGGCTGTTTTGGGACAGACTGGCTTATAAATCACCAGCACGTGACCTTGGTAACAGTGATAGTACCCCCCTGACCGACCCCTATCACTATACGTAGGTTTTACTGTAGTAGCAGACGAATCACAGTTGACTTCATATCAACTAGCCTTAATAGTACACATCTAGCCTTCATAAAACTCATGAGCAATCTCGTTGTACATCGACCGTTTCGATGTATTCTACAAGAGGCGGGGCAGTGATTGAAGGCGGGCAACCGGAGCCGACTCCTGAATCAACTTTCTCGGCCTGTCGTGCGCCGTCAACCGCCATATCAACACAAAGTCACCCGCCACATCACGAATCGCTTCATTGTCTGCTCACCCATTGACGCGCATTCATCCCAGGCCGCGGTCGAGGTTGAGCCCCTCGCCAAGCCACTGCTAGCGATCCCTGAGCGAGCTGGAGCCCAAGCGCCAACGCGTCTTCGAGGTTCCGCACAACAACACGACACCACCTGCGCCACCGCGAATATCTGCTCCCTCCCATTCCGACGTCAATAAATGCCCGCCCGCAACTCCAGCATGGAGCTATCCTCGCCGGACGCGGAGCCCTCCTCCACCGCCGCCCCGCGCAAGTCTGGACGCGTCGTGAAGAAGCCCGAGCTCGTCGCCGCCGCCTCAAGCCCCTCCGGCAGCGTGAAGCGCAAGCGCGACGGAGACGACGATGAAGACATGGACGACGCGTCCGACGAGGCGAGCGACGAGGAGAGCGACGGGGAGCCGGACGAGGAAGAGCTCAGGGAGAAGAAGCGCGCGAAAAAGAAGGCCGCCCCGCGCAAGCCAGCGCCCAAGAAGAGCAAGACGAATGGCGAGGTTAGCTTGGCTATCCGGCCTGCTGTGACGAAGCAGAAGAAGCCTCGGAAAGCTAGGACGGTGAAAATGGTGGATCCTGAGGAGGCCGAGGGTCTCTATGGTAGGTCCCAACTTTTGGCTGCTCTGACGCGCATAACTGATTGCCTTCGATAGCTGAGGTATTCGCGAGCGGAGATGACCTGAATGATGTCGCGGCCCGATGGATCACCAGTTTCAATGAGAACGAGGCCATAGCAGTCGCCGAAATTGTCAATCTCGTCCTGAAATGCGCTGGATGTGATTCCAAGGTCGACAACCACGACATCGACGACCCTGATAGCTGCGCGACAAAGTTGACGGATATACAAGAGGAATACCAAGCAGTGAGTGATGGAATTGTGGGACCTGGGATTGTGCTAATTGGGTTCAGAACGATATCACGGAATACCCTCTGGTCGCAAGAGGCAAAAGCTCGGCAGCCTTCAAGGCTAACCTTGCAGCCTTCTTCCGCTCTCTCATCGAATCCATTGCCCAGACCAGCTTGCTGTTCGACAACGTTGTATTGATGGAGAATTTGCAAGTGTGGATCAGTACACTGTCATCCGCCAGCAATCGCCCGTTCAGACATACTGCAACGGTTTCATCGCTGGCCATAATCACTGCGCTGTGTCATGTGGGGAAAGAAATTGTTGAAAGTGAGGCCAAGGCTCGCCGGCAGAGCGAGGCGGAAGCAAAGAAAGCAAGAGTCAACAGGGGAAGAGTTCAAGGGCTAGAAGCGAGGGCCCATGAGATGGGCCAGAGAAAGGAAACGGTCGATGGTTGGCTCAGGGAGATGTTTGATGCTGTCTTCATCCACCGTTATCGAGACGTGGATCCCAAAATACGAGTCGACTGCATCGAAGCACTGAGCGAATGGATCACGACTTATCCGGAAGCCTTCTTCGACAGCCATCATCTTCGCTATCTTGGCTGGGTGCTTTCGGATACACATGCACCATCGCGGGCTACCGTCATCAAAAGCCTGCAAAGGCTGTTCAAAGACAAAGACAAGCAGGTTGGGCTGAGAACGTTTACTGAAAGGTTCAGAACACGAATAGTCGAAATGGCAACATCAGATGCTGAAGCGACCGTTCGCGCGTCTACTGTAGAGCTATTGGATACCCTCCTGGAAGCCGAAATGCTCGAACCGGACGACATTGATTCAGTAGGACGCCTAATCTTTGACTCGGAGCCACGAGTCCGAAAGGCTGTAGTCGGGTTCTTCGTGGAAAATATTAATGTCGTGTACGAGGGTAGGATTGACGAGATGGGAGGTCAAGAAACACTTGACGAGACTCTAGTACGACCAGAAGACGACGATGACTATGATAGCCCTAGGCTCGAATGGTTGAAGCTCAAATGCTTGGTCTCACAGCTCGAGGCATATGACTCTGAAGAAGGCGAACTACCAAATCAAATCGAGCACATCGCGGGATCTCACTTCGCATTAATCGCTGCCGGCATCGAATCGCGCTTCTCTCTCGCCGCGCAATCCCTTTACGACCACATGCCTGAGATTCGGCAATGGGAGATATTGGCAGGCTATCTGCTTTTCGACCACTCTCAACCCACCGAGAACGGATCCACGACTGATGCCAGTGCAATGCTCCAACAAAACTGCAAGCTCACCGAACGCGAAGAAATCATCCTCCTGGAGATCCTCAACGCGGCTGTGAAGATTAGTCTAGCGAATGCTAGCGAACCTTCTACCGACGCCCACAAAAAGACAGCCAAAGGACGTTTGACGAAAGCACAACGCGAGGAGCTGATCGCGAACCAAGAGCAAGCCGTTCGCCACCTAGCGCTCCTCATCCCTCGCCTGCTAAAGAAGTTCGGCGCAATTCCCGACGCCGCGTCCAGCGTGCTGAATCTCGAGCGTGTCCTCAACCTCGACGTTTTCCAAGAACTCCGCCAAGACGCAACTCTCGCCGCACTTCTGGACGATATCAACAAGCAGTTTATGACTCATGGTAATGAACGGGTTCTTCTAGAGGCTAGTGAGGCTCTCCGACACGCGCGTGGCTATGAAGAACTCCGCGAGATCACCGATGGTAAGGTGCAGTTGCTATGGGACGACACGATGAACGCTTTTGCTACGCTCACCAAGGGCCGGGACCTATCAACCCGCGGATCTCTCTCCGATAACATCCTCACCGGTGTCACGAACACGGTCCTCCGCATCGCGAACCTAGCATCCATCTCCGACTGCGTACAAATCTTCGAATCAGTCCCCACAACACCTAAGCCCAAATCCAAACCCAAAGCGGCCAAGACCGCCTCCGCGGACACAGACACCACCATACCACCCATCACAGCCCTAATCAGCCTCATCACGCGCGGCGTTCCGCAGCCAGACACCGATCTCATCGCCGAAACCTCCGCCGCCGAAGACGCCCTCGCAATCCACGCGCTCCGCGCCGTCCTACCCTACTACATGTGGAAAATCAGCCACTGGAAAACCGCCATCCTCTCCTCAACCCCGATCCCGGACACTGATGTCGCCGCCGTCGCCGCCCGCTTCGATGACACCAAAGACGCCCTCATCCAAGTCATGAACAGCCGCAAGGGCGCCGACGAGATCCGCGTCGAGGCCGCCGGCGTCATCTGCGACCTCTACTGCATCTTCATGGTCCTGCGCGACGCGAAGCGCAGCCGCGACGATCGCAAGAAGACAAAAGTCAAGGGCAAAGCGCAAGAGAACGGGACCGCCGTGGACGCCGACGAGGGGCCGGAAGACTGGGAAGCCCTCATCAAGCCCATCGACCCGGACGTCCGCAAGCACCTGCTTAACGTGTTCGCGGCGACGGAACTGGCGTTCGCGAAGCGCGCGGGGAAGAAGCTGGATGGGAAGGCGAATGAGAAGGATAAGGAGCTGCAGAAGGATGCGGAGACGGATATTGATGCTGACCCCTTGTCCGACGATGACCCGGTTGATTCGGATGACGAGGCGGAGGAGGTGGTGGAGGATGTGGAGGGGAGCTCGGCGAATGCTGCGGCGGAGAAGACGCAGCGCGCGCTGTTGGCTGAGAAGCGCCTTTGTGAGATTGGAGGCAAGATGGTTATGGCGGTCCTGGGCGGGCTGTTAGATGACTCGCGGGGTACGGTCCGCAAGCGGCTAGAGCGGAATCGGACGAAGCTGGGCGCAAGCTGGAGGGAGGTGTGTGCGTTTTTGGAGAGGGCGAAGAAGGGGAGGGCCGTTGCGGGTGGCGCGAAGCAGGTGGCGAAGGCGAAACTTGCGAGTCCGAAGAAAGCGAGGAGTAAGGCTATTGTCATCGATGATGACAGTAGTGAGGATGAGATTATGGTGGATTCGGGTGATGAGGATGGGGAGGGAGAGGGTGCGGGGGACGCGGAGGAGGAGGAGGCTGAGAGGGAGGCGGATGTGGAGAGTGTGATGGGGGATTAGAGAAGTTGCGGTCTCTTCTTGTGTCTTTTTGTACGGGTCAGCGGGTGGATGGTCGGCGGATCTGTGCTTTCTTCTTCCATCTAGTCTGAAGTCCGCGAGCCGGCTGTCGTCTTTGTTTCGTATTCATGCTTCATGAGCGGCCGGTAGGGGGCGGGCGCTGTGCATAGCTGGCGGGTCAATGGTGTTATCGTTCGGTGGGGAATGTAGATTTCGGGGAGGCGTTGTAGTAGGGTACGCCGGGTGTGCGTATGCTGCGCAATGCGATGCTAACGTCCAAATCCAAATTCTTCAGAACATTCAATTCTCGACTCTTAAAAATGGTGATCTTGATACGCTCACAGTCCGTGGGTGGTCTTGAGTAGGTGTTTTAAAGTTTTATTCAGTCATATTCTATCATCTATCTCTATTCATTCTCGTATCTCCCTGTAGCAGATGTACAACAGAAAGGAAAGGCTGATGTGATGCTACAAGCATAATCTCTATTCTCCATTTTCCACCATGTTGATCGCCTATGACAGGGAAGGAAAGAGAAGAACAAGGGAAAAGGCGATGCTGCTCGCTTGGTTTCGATTACAGTATCTGCTCCCACCGTGATGCACGCCGCCGTCCGTTCAAAACGCATGAGAGGAACGATGGAATGAAGTAGTCTGACTCGCACGCACGCTTTTCAAGACTACGCAATGGATGAACTGGATGTAGCTGCCTGTGGAATCGCAGATGCCGTGACGCCGATGACAGAAGAAAAGGAAAGAAAGGGGGAAACAATTGAAAATCCAGGAAGTCGTCGGTTGGACAGTGCTAGAGTGATTTCGGTATTCGTCCTTCAGCCAGATGCCGGTGGAATACCTGGTAGTTAAGCTACAAGGGCAATTTGCTACCCAGGGAGACCGTAGGGCTATGCGAAGTGTGGTTGGAATCATGAGCGTGCGGAAGGGGCAGTGTCTTATCGAGCTCGTTTGAAGCAGGCAAAGTCCTCTCGCAGCTAGGTTCGACAGAAGTTGGTGCGTGAGGATGAGGGACCTCGCTTCCCTTGGGCTCCCATTGGTCGAACGACCAGCCGGTAATGCCGTCTTTGATGGTGAAGCGGTGTGAGGAGAAGGTGATGGAGTCGTAGAGATCGCGGGCCGCGGAGCGAGCTCTCTTGTGCCAGGGACCTAGACCACCGAGCCGAGCGTCTTCTTTGCTGCGCCAGAGGCCTGCGGAATGTCAGTCGTGAGTCAATGATGGATGACGCAAAGTCATGTGACAATCACGCGAGCGATGACAGGGAAGAGGACTTCGAGAGAGAGCAAGGAACGGAACATATTGACTTACAGGTCGCCAGGTTCCTCCTCTCCGAGTTAGGATCCCCGAACCAATACTTCAGCAACCCTCCACTGGCCGTCGCTTCGACATGGCTTGTCTGGTCCAGTAGATGCAGCAACTCCCGGTCGACAACCTCTTTGAGCTTGCTACGGAAGATGACGACGTAGAAGCTCTGCTCCTCCCACTCAAAGTTCTCAGCACGAGCGAGCTCTCTTAGCTGGACGAGTACGGCCTGCCAGTTGAGAGAATCGACATATGGCGCCGTAGCGTAACCTGGACGGATAGGCGTGAGACCAGTGAGTGCGAGAGCAAAGAGCCGATTCGGAGTGTCCAAGGAGCGTAAGTCGAGTAGCTGATCCGCGAAGTTGTAAGGTGAGGCAATGAGTAGAGATGAACTTGTTCCCGCGTTCAGCTTAGTGGTGAGCTGTTGGGAAGCTGCACTCTCGAATTGAAGAGGATAGAAGTCGGTGGTGACTAGAGTGGCATCTAGAACGTTTAGGAGTGGCTCGCTTCCCGGCAAAGCTTTGGGGGCATTTTGAAGTTTGGGAGACTGTTGAGCGGCCTCTGCCATAGTTTCGATGACTGGGTCGTCAGCCTCGAGTATGGACCCATCGCTTGTGGTAGGTGCAATTGAAGATGCCAGAACCTGTGTCTGCGGTGTGTATATTCCGGGAGCCATGATGGAAGTACTAACAGGAGTTGATCGTGGTACTTTAGAAGTACTTGACGTCTGTACTTAAGTACCCCGATTACCCCCGCCGCAAACCACACACTACCTCCGATGTCGTCGATATGCGATTGCCCGGAGCACGCCAGTTCACTACAAGCGAAAACTAGGACGTTTCCGAAGTCCGAGAACGGGAATCGTGATGGACGAGTCTCAGGGAAGAAGTGGAACAAGGCGTTCACAAATGAAAAGGGTGACAGCAGGAAGAGAAGTAAGTCGAGGCTGTTCAGGAGGCACAGAACAAGCAGATGCATCGTTGGCGGATTGCTTCAGGGTCAGGTGTCGTGACAATGGAGCAACATTACGCGACAAAGACGGGCGATCACGCAATGCTAACCGCTCCTGCTCCATGAAGGCGCAATTCAGGGACCACGGGTGCATTGGCGCCGCGGGAAGGCCCATCGTTCCGGTGTTTGGGGAAGAGTGTTGCGGTGTGCGGGCTGCTACTAGCGCAGGGCTGTCGAGTGAGACGGCGAGGGACGGCGAGCGACATCCGCGAGGGAGCGTTGACCTGTTCTAGAGTAGTGCCTCGAGAGATACGAGTCCTGGTTTCGAGCCACTGCACTAGCAAAGCTCGAAGGATGTAGACCAACAAAGAAATAACGGCTATCTGGGGCTCACTCTGTAGCATCCTCCATTCGCTGCTGTAGCGTACCTAGGTACTACACAAGCAAGTCCAGCCCCGCAGCCATAGTCGCGGGCTGCCACAGACATGGAACACTGTTGTCCCAAACCACGTTGTTTCGGTGTTTCGGTGCAGGTCCCAACAGAAGAAAGAAACGGCTGTACGCCAGAGCACAGAAAACCATGATGGTGGATGAAAATAACGGTTGAGCGGACTAGAAGACGAGGCCCGGGTGCTCACGCCCACAACGCACGCCAGACGACTTACGAACGCATTCCAACGTTGGATGCAGCATTCAAGCTGAAGCCGCGACTTCCTGGCGCTATGGAAGCCTAGCAACCGTGGCGGAAGGGACTCCGTGCAATGTGGATAGAGATAAGAGGCCCTCCAAAATAGACGGCGGGTCTCGATCAATGATGCGCCGAGACGTACTCTAGCACTCTCCGTGAAGCTGCGCCTCCACCCCTTCCTCGGTCGCGCATATTCACGTAGCAAGTCCAGTTGCGAACAACTACGCCAGTGAGTACGTTTGCGAGCAGCGAAACGGTCCCGAGGACGTCTCGTTTTTCTGAGCGCGCGGTCGGGTGTTATTGTCGTGTAACAAAGGCGTCGACGCTCTGCAGTAGCGGCTCAGAGCGAGCCGCAGACGTGGTACCAGAGGCGGTATGCGCGCAAACAAAACACCCGAAGGGCCATTACAGCAGCAGATCAGGCGATAGACTGATGCAGGTGGTGGTGATAGGACGACTTATGGGCGATGGGCGATGGGCGATGGGCGCTGAGCAAAAGCAACCTCACAACTCGACGCACGGACCCATATGCACCAACTCGACATGTGCATCGAGCCGTCGTGCAGCACAGGGACCCGTCTCGAGGTGCCTCTATGCTCTGCCGAGTACGTCAGCTCTCAATCCAGAGTCTCGCACATGTGTCGTTGTAGTGGAACCAGATGCCAACGTCGAGGCACACCTTGAGTGTCTCCACTATCTCAATGCTCAGTCCGCCATTTTCTGGCGTGTTGATGTTTAGATGCGACCTCTGCTTTTCTTTCTCCCCTAACATCTTGAAGCTTCCAGTCTAGTTGTGTCATATTTGTCACCTGTTCTCTTCGTTTTCCCTTGGCTACCGCGTTAGCCAGGAGAAAACTCTGGCTCCGGATGCCTGCATGAATATCTCTCGGCAGCTGGCAGCCATATTATCGTACTTTAAGATCGGCGACTGTACGCCCAGATCCCCCACTTCTGGTTTCCCATCTTACGAATGTTACGTCCGTTAGTACCGTGATGGAGCATCCCTAACACGGTCAAGCGAGTGGAAAACTTAGTGCAGTTCTCCTATAATTTCCGACTTCATCATCATTGTATGACTTCCAATCCCACAAAGCAAGGTGAAGCACCTCCAACGGTGTCAGCCCAGTGAAAATCTCTTGTTCTCTGATTTTAGTGGTCGAGGTTCTTACATCTTGAGCCGAGATTTGTTCACTGCCCTGAGGCGGCTCAACAAGACAAAACACATGTCAAGGCATCTAGACACAGGATCTATTTGGCCACTCGTAAATGCTACATCATGTCCAACTTTTCAGAATATACTGAAGCAAGTCAAACACCGGCAAGAACATGGAAAGAGCCACTGGAGATCGTTGGTGTGATCTGAGGGGCCAAGAATTTACATCACGATCCGAAAAATTTATAGCTGCTGAGGCACCTCATACAGCGGTGAAACGGCTCAAGCACTTAGCAAACACCTGTGGGAACTGAAAGGAAAACGTAGGTCTAATTTGGTCGCCAGGAAATGAGATGGTCTCCTAGAGTTTCTGAGCACGTTGGAGGACCTCAAACGGCTTCAACGAGCTGAAAAGTGACGCTATCCTACCTCTTTCAATTCACGCTTTCTGAAACGTGACAAAGCTGCTCACATTTCACGCACCTCTAAAGGACTTCACGCGGTCGCAAACACGTGGAAAACGGCCTCGTTTAGCCCCCCAAATACACACTCGCCAGCTCGTGACATCACTCCTAGAATTTTTCACACCTTTAAAGGACCTCATGCGGTACCAAGCACGTGTATACACCTGGTCGAGATCATAGATTTAATTTCCAATGCGAAGAACTTAACATCCTATGCTGAAGATTTTTAGCTTGCTGGAGGACTTCAGGCGCTGGTAAGCATGTGGGAAAACGATGCTATTTCACACCTTGAGATATACGGCCTCCGATTCATGACATTGCTTCTGAATCTTTTCACACCTTTGGAAGACTTCAGACGCTGCTGAGCACCTGGAAAAGTAATTTGCTCTAGGACCTTCCAACATACGATCTCTGTTTTGTGACGTTGTCCCCGAATCTTTTGACACCTTTAGAGAACTTCAGACGCTGGTGAATACCTGGGAAACCTGTGCTATTTCGGGCCTTTAGATATGCAATCTTCAATTTATGACATTGCTCCTGAATTTTTTGACACCGTTAGGGCCATTCAGGCGCTGGCGAGCACTTGGAAAAGTGATGGTATTTGGGGCATTTAGATATGTGATGTCCGATCTATAGCATCCCTCTCGAAATTTCTCACACCTTTAGAGGACCTCAGACGGCGTCAAACACATGTGCACATCAACACTTCGATTCAATCATGTGAAAATGTGATGAGAATCACCCATTTCGTGCCCATTTCGCCTAACTTTTAACTACCAAAAGGCCAGAAAGCAATACCCAGTTCCGTCCCAAGAAGCACCCATTTCGTGCCCACGCAGCCTAACCTTTGAGTCCCGAAAGCCTAAGCCTTAGAACCCATTTCCGCCTAAAGAACCAACCACTCCGTGCTCATTAAGACTCACTTTTCCACCGAAAGCCCAGATTGCAGCACCCGCTTCCGCCAAAAGAATCACCCATTCCGTGCTCAATCAAACCAACTTTTCCACCGAAGCCCCAGACCCCAGGTACCCCCCTTCCGCCCAATCTTCCTCACATAATGCGAGTGTCCATTATGGCGAACTTCTGGACTTTCTCCTTAGTTCCAGCATTCTGCGGAATGCCGTACTCCGCAATGATGCACTCAAAGGGCATGTTCGTCACCTCGCCCACGACCTGCTCCGTCTTCGGGTCCTTCTTCTCCTCAAGGTCCCCCCAGAGGATGAACAACTTCTCCCTTAACTTGGCGAGGGCCTTCTTGGTGTGGTTGCCGTTCTTGAAGCTATTTACCACATTAGCACCAAACGCGTAGTTAGAAATAGGAGAAACTTACTCGTAAGCCTTCATGTCCAGCAGATACTCCGCGCGGTCCTGCGCCACATAGACCGGCAGTTGCGCCGGGTTTGGGTTGAGCTCTTTGGGGACCGACGCGTCCTCAAGTAGCAGAAGGAAGCAGAATTCCCACGGCGCCTGGCCCTTCTTGCGCCCGCCAGGGTTGTACGCGGGGTCATCGTTGCTGCAGCAGAAGTCCTCGATCTTTGGGGGGTCGAAGTCCTTGACGCGGACCCTCACGCGCCGCTTTTGGTTGATGAAGGGCAGTGTGTAGGTGACTCCGCCTGGACTCTTGTTGGTACGGTCGGTGTTTATGAGGTCGTGGAGGGTGCTGAGCTGCACATCGGGGTACTTGCAGCGTACTGAAGCCAATTAGTAATGGTGATTAGATTGGGGAGGAAGAACTTACTGTGTGTGTTCAGCGATGACCCTGTTGCCACGGCCTTTGATTCAAGCCCAGATGTCTCCGCGTTTGAGACTATCACAAACCCAGCTGTTGCAGCCTCCAAATCAAGAGCCTTCCCCTTCGCCGCTTCCTCCCTCAAACGCTTGCTGAGCTTCTTCTTGGCCTTCTTTGATAGCGTAGGTTCCTCTGTGGTTTTCTGCTGTGCTGCAGATGTCTCACGCTGCTTTTCGTACTCAGATCTCCGCTGTCTGACTGCCTGGACTCGTGCATCGTCTCGGTAAGGCTTGCGGATGTCGACCTGTTCGGGGCGCTTTTGGTCTGGGTGAAGATTCCCTTCGAGGAAGCCATTCCGGCTCGTCTTGAGACGGACGTTTCGCAGGAGGACGATGTCGCCTTCGTTGAGATTGTCCCGAGCCCAGCTAGAGTGCGGTGGGTAAGCCCGGACCGACATTGTGTGATATCCAAAGGGACCCTGCCACTGTCGCTTCAGACGATCTGTATACCCGAAGGCATCTCCATCGCGGCTGCTATCTTCTCCTAGTTCGGTCGGTTCGGGATAACGATATAGTAGGTTGTTCTCGGTATAATCGCTGATATAGAGATCCACTGCGCTGTTGTCTAGCGTTTCGAACATCTTGACAAGTTCTCCTAATATGTCGCGGAATCCGTCCGTACCCAGGTCTTTTATAAGCGAGAACCTGAGGCTATTGGCGGTGCCACCAGAGCCCATAGGCTTTGGCTTTGGCGCTGCTGGCAGAGTCGACGTCAGATCGGCCAGGTTGAGGCTCGGCGCGGCGGAGGAGGGGAGGGTAGACATGGCATCCTTCAGTCCGATAATATAAAGCTGCTCTTCCATGGTGGGAGCTCTACCAGCCACGGCTTTGTGCGGCATCGACCCACCGCATTCAATGGGTGCCTTGAATGCCGGAGCGGGGATCGCGGCTTCGTCGAAGTAGAATATTGCAACATCCGGTCCCCTGGATACCATCCCAACCAAGCCAAACTTCGTGCCGACCGTCATTTGCCGAACCACGAGGAAACCCCCAGCTGCCTTAATTGTAGGCATGTCCTGCTCAGATCTTCGGAAGATTCGGACCGTAAGAGGCTCCTCATGCGCATTGGTCAGATCCCGAAGCTTCATCGTGATCATCCAGTCACCTTTCCCCGTCTTCTTGGGGGGCAAGAACTCAATGACACAGCCTATCACATTGAGAGGTTTGTCGAGGGTTTTTGATGCATCGGCCAAGGTGCTGAAGCCGCGCGGCACCTGCGCCATGGTGTTGTTGGAGGCAGCGAGATATAGCGTGCTTGGAGGAGTTGTCAAGGTTTCGAGGCCAAGTTCGGACAGTCGCAGATAGTGCGCCACAGAGTAAGCCGAATTGAGAGCTTAGGGTAGTCACTTTGTCAAGGCGACCTCACTGTCTGAGTGGCTTCAGTGCAGTTTCGATGTCCGCAGCGAGCTTGGTGGGGCAGCGCAGATTTGAAGAGCACCTTCAGAACCAGCAGCAACGAGGTCCGGATTTATGGGTGTTGGAAGGAGAGGTGCTGGCAGAGTGGAATTGAAGCGCCGAGGGTAGTCGCTTTGTCAGGCTGATCGCGCTGTCTCAATGGCTTCGGTGTAGTGTCGACGTCCGCAGCAACATTGGCAGGAGTGCTGCAATTTGGGGGGGGTGTTGATTGCAGTGGAGTCGAGGCTCTGAATCAGAGTGTGTTGGAGAAGGGAGGGCTGGAATCGGGGTGAGGTGGTCGAAGATTTGACCGGCTGATCGCGCTGGCTGAGTGGTCCCGACGCAGTATCGACGTCCGCAGCGACGTTTGCTAGAGGGCGCAGATTCGGAGGGCGTGTCGGTACCAAGAGCAGCGGGCCCTGATTCAGAGTGTGCCGGAACTGGGAGGGTTGAATGCGGGCTGAGGGAGTCGAAGGTTTGACAGGCCGATACCGCTGGCTGAGTGGCCCCAGCGCTGTGGTGGTCTGGTGTTGTGGAGTGTAGGAGTGATGGAGGAAAGATGAAGCGGAAGCCTCTTATATAGGCCCTCTCCCGTTCGGAGCAGTGCGAAGGTGCTTCGGAGCAGTGCGAAGGTGCTTCGGAGCAGTGCGAAGGTGCTTCGGAGCAGTGCGAAGGTGCTTCGGAGCAGTCCTAGGTGCAGCAGATTTTCACTGACTTTGGTCTGATTTGTGGAGTGTAGAAGTGATTGAGGAAAGACTGGGTGGAGGCCTCTTTTATAGGCCACCTTCCCATTCGGAGCAGCGAAGCTACTTCGGAGCAGTCTTGTAGCTGTACCGACCTGGGGTGGTTGATGGAGAGAAGATTGAGGCGATCGATGTGACTGCTGACTGCCGTCTGGTTTGTGGAGTGTAGAAGTGATGGAGGAAAGACTGGGTGGAGGCCTCTTTTATAGGCCGTCTTCCCGTTCGGAGCAGCGAAGATACTTCGGAGCAGGCTTATAGCTGTATCACGCGGAAGTGGCTGACGGATGGAAGGTTAAGGCGGTCGAGGTCACGTTTGAGAAACTTTATACGCGCCGAGACTTAGAGAAAGAGGTAGAAATAGACAGAAAGATTGCACTGAAGTATCACTCTTTGAGTACTTCATTCACTTATCCAGAGGATTGCCAACATTGCAACAGCGTTTGTCACGAGCAAAGTGCTTGCTTGTCCTGTTAACAGAGTCTCCAGAGCGCAGAGGGTCGACAAGGAGACTTTCTTTCAGCAATCGAACCTAAAAGAGGGCCCTCAACTAGTGTTGGATTGTCTCACACCAGCATTCTACTCACATTTGCTCTTTTGCACCGGACAGCACAGCGGCGTCAACATTAAGGAGCAGCAAGCGACAGTTGATGCCAAGGCTGCTGAGTCATCCCCCGCGCTAAGACCCAAAAGAGAGGCCATTCTGCCCGCAGCCATTTTGCACAGAACAGCGTCCTCTTTACCCCACGACCGACCCAGCGCCTCCCTCACTTCTCACCACCCACCACCCACATCCTCACACCGGTGCCTAAAACCACCATCTCCAGCACCTCACCAGTCTTCGACCCACGCTGCAGCCGCATTCCCCGCCGCCATGGCCGAACGCTACATCCCGGAGCATCGACGCACCACCTTCAAGGCGAAGAGTGCTTTCAAGCCCGACGAGCTCCGACGCCGCCGCGAGGAACAACAGGTCGAAATTCGAAAGGCAAAGCGCGAGGAGAACCTCGCAAAGCGCCGTGGCATTGCTGGCCGGGACGCGCCCGGAGCCTCGCTGGGCGCTGCCCCCGACAGTGATGATGAAGGAGGGAATATCGAGAGTCAGGTACGTCTATTCCACGCTTTGATGCTTGTTCGGAGTGTGCGTCCTCTGGGGTACGCCGTGCTTCTGCCCATTGTCCACGATATCCCCTCCCCTTTGCCAGCCCGCTGAGGCCCGTACGCGGGCTGGGATTGTTTGGACCGCCACCCGCTAGTTGTTGGCGGGTGAACTGTTCCCTCCTTATCCTTATCCGCACGAGCCACCTATCCGACATGGGAGTTTGGACCCTGATGGACTTTTGTGCAATGCGATTTGATGAGCACCCTTGCTGACATGACCGTGCATTAAAGCTGAATGAGGAACTCCCTCAGATGGTCAAGGGAGTCTTCTCCGACCAGATCGACGAGCAGATCCAAGCCACCACCAAGTTCCGAAAGCTGTTGTCAAAGGAGCGCAACCCGCCCATCGAGCGCGTCATTGAGACGGGTGTCGTGAGCAGATTCGTCGAGTTCCTCCGTTCGCCTCATACCCTGGTCCAGTTCGAGGCTGCCTGGGCTCTCACAAACATTGCGTCGGGATCTGCTCAGCAGACCCAGGTTGTCATTGAGGCCGGTGCCGTCCCAATCTTCGTCGAGCTGCTTAGCAGCCATGAGCCGGATGTCAGGGAGCAGGCCGTCTGGGCGCTCGGAAACATTGCAGGTGACAGCCCGACTTGCCGCGATTTCGTCCTCCAAGCCGGTGCGCTTCGACCGCTCCTCGCTCTGCTTGGAGATAGCCGCAAGCTGAGCATGCTCCGCAATGCTACGTGGACTTTGAGCAACTTCTGCCGTGGCAAGACCCCACAGCCTGATTGGCAAACGGTCAGTTTGGTTCCTATTCCCCCACCCTCAACTTTTTGACCTTTGACTGATGCCCTCGGATAGATCCAACCGGCTCTCCCGGTCCTTTCAAAGCTTGTCTACTCCCTGGATGATGAAGTTCTCATTGATGCATGCTGGGCCATTTCCTATCTCTCAGATGGCTCGAACGACAAGATCCAAGCCGTCATTGAAGCTGGAATTCCGCGTCGCCTCGTAGAGTTGCTGATGCACGCTTCTACCTCGGTGCAGACTCCCGCGCTCCGCTCTGTTGGAAACATCGTCACTGGTGATGATGTCCAGACCCAGGTCATCATCAACTGCGGCGCTCTGCCTGCTCTTCTATCTCTTTTGAGCTCGACCAAGGATGGCATCCGCAAAGAGGCGTGCTGGACCATTTCCAACATCACCGCGGGCAACTCAACCCAGATTCAGGCTGTCATCGATGCCAACATCATCCCCCCTCTCGTTCACCTGCTCCAGAATGGGGACTTCAAGACCCGGAAGGAGGCTTGTTGGGCCATCTCCAATGCCACCTCTGGTGGATTGCAGAAGCCAGAGCAGATTCGGTATCTCGTGCAGAGCGGTTGCATCAAGCCTCTGTGCGACCTTTTGGCCTGCCCCGACAACAAGATCATCCAGGTTGCTCTTGATGGCTTGGAGAACATTCTCAAGGTTGGCGAGATGGACAAGGAGGCGTCAGAGAGCACCGGCGACCCAATCAACCGTTACGCGCTGTTCATCGAAGAAGTTGGTGGTATGGAGAAGATCCACGACTGCCAGAACAATGCCAACGAGGAGATTTACATGAAGGCCTACAACATCATCGAGAAGTACTTCTCAGATGATGAGGAGAACGCGGAGAATATGGCCGAGTTGGCCCCACAGCAAGGCCAGGACGGTCACTTCGGGTTCGGAGCCCAACAACAGCAGCAGAACTTCAATTTTGCGAATGGAGGCGACTCCATGGATATGTGAACGTACAGTCACATATCGATACCAAAATATGACTTTGGCCACTCCACGACGCCGGCGTAGCACTCCAGTGACGAACGGCAAGACAGTACCAACCCGTAATAAAGGCCGTCACCGTAACAAAGGCCGTCAGAATCCTAATACGATGGATCCCCGGCGGTCCCGGGCCATTACACCATTTAATCCACGACCAACCCTTGCAACCGCTCGCACACCCATCACCCCCTCCCCAATCGGACCACCCCCAGCTCAGCTCCTCACACCATCCACCTCAGCCCTCAACACCAACCCCCATATCCAAAAGAGCGTGTCGACCCCTTCGTCATGACCGACTATGAAAGCATCGCAAGATACACCGTCATGTAATTCCCTTTTCTTTCCGTTTCTCCTCCTGTCGTATCGATTCGCACCCTACCTCCAGCATCATATCCCCGGCGTAACCTAGTGGACCCCTTGTGTCTTTTCTTGCTTTCTCTTGTGGTCTTCTTTCTTCCCCTTTTTTGGCACCCGGATCACATTTGTCGCAGACTGTCGGTTCAAGCTTGAAATTGGTTCGGCGGGTTTGGGGGGTGTCAAGTTGCGATGCAAGCCTGGAGTGGACTATGTGAATCCCTTATTTTCTCTTTTGGGGGGGTGTCGATAGATCAATATGGGAATGGGAGTCTGATATGTTTATTTATTTGTGCTATTTTTGTGATGTTTGATGATCTATTGAGGTAACCTAAGCAACTTCGAGCCTTTTTTGATTATCTAGGTTTTTTGGAAATCTACTGAGGCACCCAAGCACCATCGAATCAATGGTATTGGAGACCGATTCTTGCTCCAACTCACAACGCCGATGGTAACAAGAAAGACTGCGCTATGAATTTCTATCCAGTTTTCCCTTGCTCCCTTTACGCCCATCCCAAACTTTCCAAACGTCCCTTACCCAACCCTCAACCGCCTAATAGCTCCGGATACCACATCAACCTTCGCATCCCCGCAGCCGCCAGTCCGCCCAGGACTCACCTGCCCGTTCTCTGCCTTGTTCCCAACTTCCCCTATCAGCACGCTCTTATCCGGCCCCGTAACTGTCTGCCCCTTCGTCTGCGCAAATTGGGCACTCCGCTCATGCGCGGGATTCGACGAGTAGAACTCATCCCGAATCGGATGGATCATGAGCGTCTGGTTATGAATCGTGAGCGCGCTGTTCGTCGGAACAGTGACCCAGTTATCACGGTCAAACGTCAGCGGCTCGGAGGATATTAGAATAGTGCTCGAGGACTTGTCAAGGCGGGCCATACGGAACGTCTTCGCGGGCGGCTCTGACGACGGCGGAGACGGAGCAGAGGACGGCGACGACGCAGGCAGATCTTCCAGCCACGACGTCCCCGAGCTGAAGAAGAGCGAGGCGGCCTCGTCGGTGCAGGACGAGACATAGCGCGTGCAGACGACGCTATGCCCGTCCGTGACCGCGAAGTTTAGCAGGCTCCGCGTGTCCTCCGTCCGCAGCGCCTCTGGTATCTCAGCGATAAACGCATTGATCCGCTCGATCGTCTTTAGTAGCGCTTTGCGCAGCACGATATGCCCAAATCCTTCCGAGGCCGCCCGCTCGTCGTCCGGCGACACGCCCGCTCGCTCCATGCTGTCCAGGAACAGCGCGAAGGCCCACTCGCTGTCCGTGCTCCCTTGCACGTTCACAAACCATTGCTCGGAGAGGGAGACGGCGAGGCGGCGCTTGACGTGCTTCCAGCCGCCGATGCCGCCATTGTGCATGAACATCAGCGAGCGGTAGCGGAAGGGGTGGCAGTTGGAGTCGGAGAGATTGCCCTCGGTGGTGGCGCGCACGTGGGCGAAAATGAGGGAGGAGGTGGTTTTGGAGGCCAGGCGGGAGAGGTTGATGCAGTTCCAGGCGGGGATGGTGGAGGTGAAGATGCAGGGCTCCGGGCCTAGGGCGGGCGCGGTGTAGTAACCGACGCCAAAGCCGTCGCCATTGTGAGGTCGGCGGCGGTCCTGGGGATGTTAGTGTGTTGGGAGAGGTGGAGGGGAGGGCGAGGGAGGGGTGTACCAGGCGGAGGCGGGAGTCGTAGGATTGGGTGAGGATGGAGTGGGTCGGGTCGAGGATGAGTTTGGAGAGGAGGATCTCGTCTTTGCCTTTGTAGACCTGAGGTGGTTAGCAATTGAGAGAGAGGTGTATGAAGGTTGAGGACGTACTAGAAATCTACACATGATCGCTGCTCTTGCTTGTTATTACTTGGTTGCCACTATGAAAGGCGCTCGTTGTCCTTCGAGAACTTGATCTGAATTGTGAGAAGAGTCAGAGAGTACGGGCTGCTAGCCGATCTCGCTTAGCACGAACCGTACTTTTTCCGGGATATCCTCAGCCCCAACATCATTTTAGAAGATTATATATTATATAATTCTACTCTACACTCATCAGACAGGTCGCGTGGCCCAATGGCAAGGCGCTTGACTACGAATCAAGAGATTGCAGGTAAGCATCAGCAATATTAGCCTGCCAAACCCCGACACTAATAAGTTTCAGGTTCGATCCCTGCCGCGATCAGTGACACTTCCTTTTGCTTTTTTTTATTTTGCACTTTGAAGAACATCTTCTGTAAGAACGTGTACATGTAGTGATGGGAGAATTGGGGAAGCTACTCGCTTCAAGAATTTAGATGCATAACTGGCCTTTTCTTCGCCGCTTTCCTTTGCCGTTTTTCCTTCACTTTCCTACGCCGTTTTCCTGCGCCGTTTTTCCTGCGAGGTTTTCAGGAGCTAGCTTTCAAGGACCTCAGGAACGTTGTAAGCTTTTCGACGCTAGGTAGGATGGAAGGCCTGCAAGACGAGGAAGGGTACAAAATGATAAAGCCCTGCAAGATGAGGAAGCCCTGCAGATCTATGAAGGACAGTAAATCTATAAAGGGCTGTAAAATTATGAAGGCCTGTAAAGCTATGAAGGCCTGCAAAAGCAAGACAGTGTCAAACTTCCACGAGGTCTAAACTCACGAAGAAGTGCGCGGAGTAACTACTCAACGGCGCGAAGTTTCTGAAATCCGATGGCGGCCTACGTATGTTGCCAGGCGTGTGACTGTTGGAGCAATGGAGGCTAGAGGATATGTTCAGACGATGAAATCAAATAGGCTCTTGGAATCGATTCCAGCAACTCCTCTAGCTACACCTACTTTGGAGGAGCCTACGAAGTGGAAACACTTCGAGGTAGGCGGCGTAAATCTGAGCTCATCTTCTTAATGATAAACTCGACTTCCGTGGTTCTACTCTAGCTTATCCAGTTTTAGCTTGCCAGATCATTCTGCAGGCATTGGCTTCCATTAGGTTCTTAAACGTGATGTCCTACTCCTTGGTTAAAGGCCTAAATTAAGGATGGCGAATTGAGGCCTACATGCTAAGGTATGCACCATTAAATAGTGTGTTCTCGCAGGTCCTTAACTTTAGATGTATCGACATTAAATTCACGTATTCTAGGTTCCAGGAACCTTGTTCCTATAACCTCAACCCTAAAGACCTTGGACAAACGCAAAATCTACACGTACCCAGTAATCTGCTTATAACCAAGGCTTACACTCGCCCCGGCCTCCTTGCACTAAGCCTTGGCTTTGCGCAAGCCATACTTCGAACCTAGATTCGGTGAACTTGGACTCCTTAAACCTCAACTCTTTAAACCTCAACTCCTTAAACCTCAACTCCTTAAACCTCAACTCCTTAAACCTACATTCCTCAAACCTATACTCTTCGAACCTTAACTCCACGAACCTCAGCCCCTTAAATCTGTACTTCTAAAACCTGCACTTCCTAGAACTGTACTCCCCGAACCTCAAGTCCTAACTCCTCGAACCTCAACTCCTCGAACCTTAAGTCCTAACTCGTCAATGCTATACTCCTCGAGCCTATACTCCTCGAACCTGTACTCCTCGAACTTACATAGTGAACCTTCCTCTACGTACCAAGACTTTTACACGACAGGATCACTTACACCGACGGCCGATCCATGTAGGCGGCCTTCTCAAGTCCAACTTCGAAAGCTTAACAGCAGCCGCTCAAACTCAATCAGAATCCTCGAGCTCAAAGATCCAAGGAGGGTCCGTAGACGGCTGCCACTTTCTTTGCTTAAATGAATCGAGTTAACTCTTCAACATTCGTAGGTCAAGTTCAGTATGGTATGCCTTTCGATCGAGCGTGAGCATAAAGGCCCCCTCAAGAAGACTGTTATCTTCAGAAAGCCTGCGTCCAGGACCCGGCCTGCATCCGAAAGACGGCCTGCTTCCGAAAGCCAGCTTGCGTCCTAATGTAGCCTGCGTCTACAACCTGCCTGATATCCTCAACCTGCCTGACATCCTCAATACATGGTGAACATGTTCCACTGGGCACACGACCTCAACTCCACCTAGAACGTACACTTGGCCCTACGACCTCGATTTGGCCTACAACTTCAATCAGGCCGCAACCTCAGCTAGGCCTGCAACCAACCTCAACTAAGCCCTAGCAGTCTGTGTCTTCGACCTGGCTGACATTACCGAAAACTTCAACCAGACATACGACCTCAATCAGGCCTACGACCTCAATCACTGATTAGGCCCGCAATCTCAACCAGGCCTGCAACTTTGGCTAGGCCTGCATTTTCCGCGAGGCCCGCACCTACAAGCCAGCTTGAGTCCTCAACTGGCCCGCTACCCGATTGCTTTCCTCATATGGGCGTGAGCTGTTCACACGCTCGCGCCGGGGAGAGATATCCAATAGAGGGTACTAGACTTGCGAAAATCGTGAAAAAAGCCTTCTACTGTTGCGTGCGGAGCTTCGTATTATTCCCGGATATCTGAACGGGTTGCAAGTTTGTCGGCTTAAACAGTTCGTAAGCCTGCTAACGGGGTGGAGGCTCATTCGGCGGAGAAATAGAGAATGTAGTAAGAATGGGGGTATATAAAAGTAAGAGGAAGGAGAGTAACGTGACGCGGAAAAAGAAGCCCCAGTCAAGCTTCGTTGAACATAGACTGGTAGTCTATTCTGACTCCGTTTGAGGTAGCCTGGAGATCTATCAGGGTTGTCAAAACTGTCGTTTTCCAACTCTCAGTACCGTATCAGGGGCCATCAAGCGGTGCTAGGCAAGTGTACACAAGCTCAGAGTGGGTGTGTATTGAAAGGATAAGACGCTTTAGAATCGAATCCCAGACAAGTGACATCCAGTTTTTGTTCAGGGGAGCGTGACAGTAACACACTTCGCTGGCTGGCAGTTTGAATAAATCCCTACCGAAGCTGGCTTCGATTTCGCCTTGACGCGAAACTTGAAAAAACCGGTTTCAGAGAAGTACTCTTTGGGAGGCGGGCGATTCCTACTAGGAGGGTGGTGTCTTGCTTGCTTTTTTTTCTGAAAAAATGGAGAGAGGTGTAGTATCTATACACCGAAAGTCTCTTTCCTACTACGTACGTCAATAGGGCACAAGAAGGTTGATCTTTTGCTATGAGTAGAAAGTTATATTCACAAAGTATCGCCACCGGTTAAGGCGCACGGCGCCCGAACGCGATTTTGCCAATGTAAATGTTTCTGCTGTTACTTTTTGTTGCTCCAGGTGTCGTAGCGGCGCTGATATTACGGGCACAAGGGGTACTCAATCTGGGGACTCACTCCAGACGCTCGGCTAAGAAGATCATACCTTCAAGAAAGTGACTCGCTTCAAGAATCTAGACGTAGCCAAGACCCTCCCAATGCCATATATTGGACCAGTATGATACAAACTATTTCTACAAAGGTTACAAAGTGTACATCGCTGGTCTACCTGTCCGTCAACATATTCTGTATCGCGCTCCAGTATTTTTGGTTGACCACTTTTTGCACCTCCTCCTTTGCTAGCCACTTGAAGTCTTTAATGCCGAGCTTGTTATCCGCTAAATTTGCTTGACCTGCCATTATCCGTGCTTTCATGAAGAAGATCTTCTCGCCCAGCTCCTCCACATTCTTCCGCTCTGGGTGCGGTCGCCGTTTTAGGTACTCGAAGCTGTAGTGGCCGACTGGCACATTGCCAACGACCCAAGTATTCATGTTGAGACCGGCATTTTGTACGAGAACACGCTCCGCTGCCTACACATCACCGAATTAGCCAGCGTCCCCCAAGCCGTCTCTAAATCATGATCATAATCACTCACCTGATGCAGAGTCTCCCTGCCCCGAATCTGATCATCAGGCAACACCCACCGCCCCTCCTTATTCTGCACCACAAGATACAAGCTCCGCTGCATCAAGCGATCCAAACTCCTCTGGTCCCCCTTCCGATCCGCCTCCGTCTCCCGCGGCATCGGCCGCTCCACAGGCTCCGCCTTCTTCTTGCTCGCCTCTGCCGCGACCTCCACCCCCACTTCTGCCACCGCTGCCCCCTCAACCCCCTTCGCCGCATCAGCCCCCGCGCTCTCCGGCGCACTCGCATCCGCGTCCTCCAGTAGCCGCTTCACCTGCCACGCGGGCTCCGCCTCCTGGGCACCCACCAGCACCTCATCGTTCCAGCCCTCAGGCCCGTACGGGTTGTATACGCCAATGTCGCGGGCGGGCGTGAGGCGCTGCTTCATCTTGCGCTTCCAGTCGATGTCGGCGGGTGTGTCTTTCTTGAAGTAAAAGTAGCGGGGAAATGGGAGAGCAAGACGCTCATTTAATCGTCGTTGATATAGATAGAATGATTTCTCGAAGGGGTGTAGATCGCGGGTCAGGAGGGGCGGGCGAGAGAGCACGACGCCAGCGCGGATCTGGTAGGCTTGGGAGAGAGAGGTGGAGGTGACGGGGAGGATGGAGGAGAGCTGGGCTTGGGCTTCGAGCGCCGGTGCGGTGGCGGTTGCGGCGGAGGAGTAGGGGGAGATGCGGGCGTGGCATATTGAGGGCCCTGGGATGAGTGTTAGATGGGGGTTTGGAGAGGATGGAGGAGGGAATTGGGGTTACCTTTTCGAGAGGCAATGTGCCTCGCGCTTCTGTGACCGGCGTTCATGATGGCGGTTGCATTTCCTGGCGTGGGGATGGGTCTGGCGCGCTCAATCCTCAATATCATGCCGTGTCGCCTGGAGTCTCGCGTCCAAAAATTGTGAGCGATAGACTAGCAGCTGCACGTGATGTATAACGCACAGGCCACTGCTACTCGACTTTTCTTCGAGAATCCCGGCTTCTCTTCTTCATCTACACGGCACCATTCCTTATCACCAACAGCTCGTAATTCTCCGGAGCTTTTGGCCATTTAAAGGTGCCTAGAGGAGATGAGGGCAGTCTTTTTCGCTAGCGATACCTGAAGCTTTATGGAGTATGGCTAGATAGATTTTGCGCACATATTACCCTGGTGTGGGTTGTTTGGGATTACGACTGTTTGGATTCTGTAACAATGGCCTAAGAGTATGCAGTTCGAGTTAAAACGGTCACATTTGTTTCTATGGAGGAGTGTCCAACCAAATGCCTTGCCGTAACAATGCTTGATGATGGAACGACGAATGTCCGCAAAATCTCTCGATATTCTAGATGAATTTATATCTCCATCTATAGGAGTTTCTTTGCAGCTTATATATGTTAACACCGTCTCTCAGTCTCTTGATATGCCTCCCTTCTAATAATCTTCGAAAAGACGCCCTCCAGGAACTCTTAGATGTGGTCGTGGGAAATGGTCCGTTATAATCTTGTATTGATATGACCAACAGCAAATTCTGTGCCATAGACACAATTCAGTCCTGCTGAACCCACAATGACATGAAATTTCAGCGATATTTCGGCTCTTTGGTGAAGCAATAATCTCACCAAAGAAAATCGTGGCTGTATGCACCTTTAGATGGTAAAGAGAGATGAGACTTGCCCAGTGTAAATTCCCTACCTAAAATGATTAATCTCGAGCAGTGAGCAAAAAGACACTACTTGGAAGCGTCCCAGAGGAGAAAGTGCCATTGAAGATCATAACTAGTCTTACACTATTCACACATTCGTAATATACCCTAGTCCAACAAGCATTTACACGAAGAGCCATACTCACCAAAGGCACCCTACGCAGCCTTCTTCATCAGGGCACTCTTAAGTTCGACAGCCGGAGCTTCCTCTCCGGGATTCCCCTTAAATTCCCACCCAGCCGCAATCTCCGCATCACTCGCCTCCCCCAGCCTCCTCACCTCCCTCCGCATCCAGCTCACAATCTCTGCAAGCGCCTTCACATCCACGGCTGGATCGGCCTTGAAGACGTTCCGCCACACGGCAGCCGCCAAAACGGCGTCACTCTTCACTAACCCCTCGTCATAGGCGGCCAACACGCCTCGCCACTGGATCCACAGGTCTTTGAGATACTTGTTCCGCACGCCGCGCGCAACCATGCCGTGGAAAGTCGCCATGCGGTCCTCCGCATTGTGGAAGAAGTGGTCGAGGAGATGCTGGTGCCAGGCAGGAGCGTGGGCCTTGGGGAAGAGGCGGAAGCGCACCGTAAGGAGGTACATATGGAGGAAGGTCACTTGGGCCCAGGTATTGAAAGTCGGGGTTAAGCCGAGAGCTGGATAGTGTTAGTGATTGAATTGATTCCAGTACTCCACATAGATATAAGAGGTGTTCTTACAATCATACCACCACCCTGTGCCCACGCCTAAATCCTCTCCCGCGTCGTTCTTCGGCGCGACGCCCCCTTCGTCGATCTGGGGGACAGTGTAGTTTCCGGGCCGCGAGCACTCCAGGAACAGCGGCTGAGTTGCGCCATATGCGATATATGTCTCCGTGGTTTCCGAAGCTCGTTTCCTGAACTCGCTTGCTAGCCGCGCTGTTGTAGAAGCCGGTAATGGGGACTTTCCAGGAGATGCGACCTTCGGGGGTGCGGTGATGAACTCGACACCTTCTATCACGGACTCCGCGGGCGCACCGGAGGTATTCTTCGAGTCGGGTCGGAGTTTGGGTTTTCGAGGTTGCTGAGATGCGGAAGCGAAGGTTCTTAAGGGTGTATTGGGGATGAGATTCGATGTTTTATGCGGTGCTCGGCGGGCCTGCGGATGTTAGAATTGATACTCATATAAGTGTGGCATTACGAACCGGTGCAGCGACCTTCGTCCTCTTCACAAGAGCGCCTAAGCATGCTCTACAGGTGTAGCCGGAAGCCATTGATGGTGATGTGGGATAGGCTGTTTGTTTTTGGGCGATGTTCGTTGCACATGCAGCTGGAAAAAAATCGCGAGTCGCGTTTATGGATGATCTCACCATTCAAGCGCCTTTTTTGTCTGTGCAGGATTCTCCACCAGCTTTCAGAACAAACCAATCAAGTTGTCAAATATCTAATATTTACAATTGAAGCAATCTCCTGCTTGAAGAAGAACATATCCTATTCCATAGAGTTCTATTTGTTGCATTGATGCTGAGTTGAAAGCACTTCTAATCCACCTATATACACATCAATCGTATCATGTCGTGCCTACCAACCCCTTATAGGGCTCCCAGCTCCTTTAGCTTTCCAATCATACCATCAACGTCATCAACCTTCACGCCGCCCTTCCTTGGTGGTGGTTCCGTAACCTTGAGCGTCTTTAACCTCGCCGAAAAATCACCCTCGTAATCCTTCAACGTCTTCTTAGCCAGCGGCTTCTTCTTCGCCTTCATGATATTCGGCAAGCTGGCATATCTCGGCTCATTCAACCGCAGATCCGTCGTGATGATTATAGGCAGCTTCGCCTTCAGCGTCTCCACACCCCCATCCACCTCCCTCGTAACCGTCACATTATCCCCCTCAATCGTGACCTTTGACGCCGACGTCGCCTGCGGCCAGTTCAGCAGCCCCGCAAGCATCTGTCCTGTCTGATTCGCGTCGTCGTCGATGCTCTGCTTGCCCAATATGACCAGATTGCTCTTCTCCTGCCCCACCACCTCCTTCAGCAGCTTGGCGACGCCCAGCGGCTCCAGCTGCTCCGATTCTTCTACTACGACGTGGACACCGCGGTCTGCGCCCATGGCCAGGGCGGTACGCAGCACGTCTTGCGCTTTTTGCGGGCCAGCGCTGAAGGCGACGATTTCCTCGACGGGGACCTTGCGCTCGCGGATACGCACAGCTTCCTCAATGGAGAGCTCGTCGAAGGGGTTCATGCTGTGTTTCACGTTGGCGGTTTCGACGGCGGTTTGAGCGCGGTTGACTCGGGGTTTGACCTGCGGTATCGGAGCTATTAGCAAAGGAATTTGGGGATGAGGTTGTAGAAGAATTATAAGGTGTCAGAAGAGTTTGGATGCCAGGCAAAGCATGTATGTTTCAGCGTCTTGAAAGAAAGGGAATGTAGTGCATACAGCATAGTCAATGACCCTTTTGATGGGTACTAATATCCTGAGGCCCGACATGGTGCTATGTGTAGGAAGAGTGGTGGTGAAGCTCGATCAGGAGCTGTAGGGATGTTCTTGAGTGTTCAAGGGTGCAATTGATAGGGGTGTCAGGCTCCAAAAGGCGTTGAGGTGACAAGAGAGTTGGAAGTCGTCGAGCTTTGGAAGATCTCGGGCCAAAGTGGTGAGCGAAGTCCTCGGCTGCGGGGAAGAGCCGGGTGTAGCCACGCGATCACCGCCTCCTCTGGTCCTCTGAATATCATAGAGGTATGGATTTCAGTTTATTTGAACATCATATGTCCCTTTCAAAGACTACGATGCTAATAGACAGATCTTTACTTTCCGTGGGATGTTCAGTAACTATCATAATGCATAGTCAAAGGGAGCTTCCGCTCAGTCATCACTTCGAGCTATTCAGCAGAGCAGAATCAGGCGTGTTGATCCCAGGACAGGATGCTAAGTTAATCTGGCATCACTAGAAAATATCAAATGGTAAGTGAGGATGGGATCGTTATGCTTTCTACACTGTCCTCACTGTACGAAACCAATATCTATCTTGGTTTCTTTTCCACTCTTTTACCACCGTCTGAAGTCATCCAATGCCTTTCCAGATATCCATACAATGTTTAAAATACTGGAGCGCGCAAATCAGACCCCTAGTAATGCAGATCTTGACAACCTCATACCGTCGTCTGAAGTCCTACACTACCTTTTTCTAAATCCGGGCGACACGTAAACAGCTAGAGCGTGCAAACCGAACTACTTTCCCAAAAGCGCTTTCACCAATTACGGCCACATATTTCTAGAAAGCAGAGGTTCCAGGTACTCTGCCTCTCTACCAAGTCTCCTGCTTGTATCGTCCACTCTTTTCCATGCCATCCATGTATGCCTCAGCCTCCTCGCGAGACAGTGTGCCTTCTTGCTGGAAGACCTCGATGAGAGCCTCTCGTACCGCCTGTGGCATTTTACCAGAAGATCTGTATATTCAATCGTCAGCTCGACTTCAAAGACATCTGAGGAATTTATGCTAGTGTCTACTTACCCGCAAATACATACGATACCACTGTGTGTTGCGAGCGCCTCGTAGACTCGGGATGCGTGAGTGCGAACAAGATCCTGGACGTACACTTTACTCCTCTACCGCTATTTTCAGCGAGGCTTTTCATGCGGTCGAGAGCTGTTCCAACGTACCTGGTCTCTCGAGAAAGCGGGGAAGACATCAAGCGCCACGCCCTCACTCTGTAACCCTTGCCACTCGTCTTTGAAAAAGTAATCCGCGTTCGAGTTCCTGCAACCGAAGAACAAGACATCTCTCGGGACTTGTTTAACTCTCTTCTCGTTCGCATCATCGAGTACGCCCTGCCTCAAAGCCATCCGCTCATATATCAGCGCCCTCATCGGCGCCACACCTGTGCCAGGACCAACCATGACGACAGGCCGGTCACTGTCTGCCTTTGACACGCCTAGACCGCCTTTCTGGAGCGTAACACTGAGAGACTGGCCTGGTTTTAGAGAAGCAACATAGCGTGAGCAGACTCCCTGTCGTAATCGTTTGATGACGGTACGGTATTTCACTATGGCTATTAGAAGCTCAAAGCGTGTCTTGAAGGCGTCATCCACCTCATCTCCTTGGTTGAGTCCGTCTCTACGACTATCCTCCCCCAAGGTTGTATGCTTCAGCCTACCACCGCTTGCAATACTGAACTGACGCCCCCGCATCACAGGTATGATCGAGCACACACGTTGCCAAGGTATCTGCACGCTTTCGAATTCCTGGAGCACTTCGAGGATGCTTCGGCGGGGTCGGGTGGTGTAGTCGTATAGCTCATCAATGTACTGGGGATCTGTGAATTCCAAAAGCCGATCTCGGTGGTAAGTATCGCTTGTGTAATGCGCTAGTTGCGAGAAGAATGAGCGTCTAGGTATAGCCATTATATCGAGGTGATTAGTGAGAAGTGATCGGAGGGTGGTAGATGAACCAGGCATTAGGTTTGGAAGAGGCTGTCCTTGGGCGGCTGTGTTTCCGGATGGGGATGTGGAGATGAACTTGATTGGGACATCGGCTATATCAGTCCATTTCATTGCACTTAAAAACTGGTTGACGTCGGAAGGGAAGTTCTTGGGGAAAATGGTTAATATATCTCCTGGAGTATACAATTGGCGTCCTGGTGTGGTAAGAGTAAGATGGCGTACATCCTGCCAGTGGGTGTCGAGCGTGACACGAGTGTTCGAGGCAATTGTTGCAGTCAGGCTGTTGGGAACGTCAAGGAGGTCTTCTGATGGGACATCCGGAGTCTCCACGTAATCAGTAGATCTAGCAGAGGAAGTGCTAGAGAGCTCTGCGGTATCCGAGGTCTGGAGAAGCCACTTCGGTTCCAGCAAGACGTCATCGGGAATTTGTTCAACAGCTTCTGGGAGAGGGTACGCCTGCAATAAGGACTCACGCAGCTTCAGCGACCAAGGGATGAAGCTGCCATCTACCCTAGGTAGACAGTAGCGTTAGCATGTCTTATCCTGGTCTGAGATGAAAGGCACGTGACGAACCCTTCAGGATGTTGCTCATCAGATTCCCCACGATCGCAAACCCTTTCTGCACCAAGTTGAATTAGACGGTTATACAACTTTCTGTGCGCCCAGTTGAACCTGTGAAGTGATAAATAACCCCGAGACCTATGACTTGGGTGACGAGAAAGCTCACTTGGGATACGATGTATCTCCCAGCCCAAACGAAGCGAATTGTAATCGTTTCAAGCATCCCGGCTGCAGCCGTTTACTCCGTAGAGCTCTCCAAAATGTGAGGGCATTCCCCGGCAAGTCTCCTTGGCCGGTGGTGGAGACGCTTATGAGGACAACAGAGTGCTGTAATAGTTGTTTCTGGAGTTTCTATCAGCTACAGCAGACTATAGAAGCTACAACGACATCACATACAATGCTAACCGAGTTGAAATCGGACACCTGGGTGCTGAATCGAAGACGCTCTGCCATCCGGCCCAGCTCCTCGGCCACATCCTGGGCGTTGCCTGTCTCGGAACCATAGAGAACGAGTGCTGTCCGACCAGCAAGGGCGGCTTCTATGGCCATTCCTACCCACTTCAAATGCCCTCTCGCAGCTTCACCTGGGCAGAGCGAAGGCCACGGGTCTTGCCGTGGAGCAGTGGGGTCCAAGGGCCTTTCTATCGGCAGTTCTTCGCTCTTGCAATAGTCATTAAGTATGCGGCCGACATTGGTCTCTATGGCTGACAGGCGAGCGATATATACCTTAAGAGTCTAGTAGAACAAGGCCTAGATGGATCATGGGCTGCCGAGCACGCCGTCGTACTGCCCTGAAGTGCACAGGTGTGCAGTGAAGTCTCGTGATGGCGAGTGGAGTGGAAATGTGGGCTTTGTGGCGGCTTCCACCCGACTTCTAGCGCGTCCAAGGCGCCCCGGTGTTCGCTCCTGCGACCAGGCAGGATGCAGCCTCGACTGCCGCTGCAGCAGAGTGGAGCAGTCGCTATATCGAGGCGGAGGCAGCTGTAGCAGAGTGAAATACGGTAAGATAAAGGTGCGACGCAAGGCTGGCGCGCCCCCATTGGCTGCCCTGCCGCATCATCGTTTCGCCGGCGGCTAGCGCACCTTATTATTTTCAATCGCGGCCAGGGCCCTCCTATTCTCCTTCATCCAACATCAAGTCAACGCACGATCACAGCTCCCATCAAACCCAGCACCCATCCACACTCTTCGGGCACCTAGCTACCCAGCACAACTCCCTCTCGTCAACCAGTTCCACCACCCGGCGGTCAACGACAATCCCCATCACCCTCAGAACCAGTTCACAGGCAGCCCTTACCGGCCACCAGGACACCAGAGTTTCTCCTCAACCTCTGCACGACTCTCGTACTTCGATCTCAGAAGTACTTTAGCCCACCCACCTAGTTCGTGTCATCAATCCAAAACTTCAAGCATCATGTCTGCACCTGTCGAGAGCGTTACCGCCCAGTTGGCAAACACCACCCTCAACGAGCCTTCCGCCGCTGCGGAGGGCGACAAGTCCACCAGCGCTGCCCAGGATGAGGCAGTCATCGCCAGCGCTGCTGAGGGCAGGAGACTCTATATCGGGAACCTCGCCTACGCGACCACCGAGGGGGAGTTGAAGGAGTTCTTCAAGGACTACCTCGTGTAAGTTTGCCCCCCAGCACTGGCACCCTTGCGTGTGTTTGACTGAAACTGACCTTCAACCCTCCAGCGAATCTACGTCTATCCCCACCAACCCTCGCACTACCCGCCCCGTCGGCTATGCCTTCGTTGATCTCTCCACTTCCAACGAGGCCGAGCGCGCCATCCAGGAGCTGAACGGCAAGGCCATCCTTGACCGTAAGGTCTCCATCCAGCTTGCCCGCAAGCCGGAGGCACACGAGGGATCTGGCAGCGGCGCGGAGGGCGCCAACGGCGAGACTCGTCGCCGCTCTTCTACCCGTGGCCGTGGTCGCGGACGTGGACGCGGTGGACGTGCCGGCCGTGGCGGCCGCTCGGTAAGTTAGCAAATATGACTGTCGACTTGGATCTGGACTGACAAATCTGGTAGCAGAAGGACGGCGCCGAGGGCGCTGAAGCCGTCGAGGGCGAAGCCGCTGCTCCTGCCGAGAGCGCACCGACAAATGTACCCGGCCAAGTTATTCCACTCACCGAAACAACGAACGAATCACTTACAACCGAGAAGGGCGCTGAGACTGAAGCCACTGCCACCGCTAAGTCCAGCAAGCCTCGCGCTCCCCGCGAGCACAAGCAGCGTGGTCCTCCCGAGGATGGCGTTCCTTCCAAGACCAAGGTCATGGTTGCCAACCTGCCGTATGACCTGAAGGAGGACAAGGTAATTATGCGGGCTCGAGTCGGATATTGACCTGGCTAACTCTCCCTGCAGCTCTTGGAGATCTTCAAGGACTACGAACCCTCTTCCGCCAAGATCGCTCTCCGTCCCATTCCCCGCTTCATGGTCAAGAAGCTCCAGGCCCGCAACGAACCCCGCAAGGGCCGTGGCTTTGGCTTCGTTACTCTGGCTTCCGAGGACTTGCAACAGAAGGCCTGCTCCGAGATGAACGGCAAGGAGATTGAGGGCCGCGAAATCGCTGTCAAGGTCGCCATCGACTCTCCCGGCAAGGAGGATGACCACCCCGCGACCCACACCGAGGGAGATGAGGCCACCACAACTGCCACTGAGGCCACCACCGAGACCCCAGCTGCTGTCGAGGCTACTGCTTAGACAAACTTCCAGCACCCCGGGAGCAAGCCGGTGAATATCTAGTTGTGCCTTCACTGGCAACAGCTACGCTTATGCATCACGTTTAGTTTCCCGCGTGGAGTTTGTTTAGGAATGTTGGCGGACTGGGGTGGTAAGGTATCTTACTTTTCTTCTCGGCGGGTTTTCCTTCTCACGTCTTGTCTCATTGCATTTCGGGGGAATAAAAACTAAACTTTCGGGATGGCCCCGGTAGGTCTGGGAAAGGATTGGGATACTTTAATCACGAACACAAACTTTCACTTGATGGATTGAGAGTGGGGAAATCTTAAGCGGATTTTGAATTAGTTGAGCATCTTCTCACACCAATACCTGATAGGAAACAAGAAAAAATTCGTCCAACTCTTCTTTTCTTCTCTGATTCTGATTTTGTTTCTTTCTCTTTGCAAAAGGGATGAAAACGAGTCAAAACTCCACATGTACGATTAGAATTTCTCTTTTCCCTTCGGCTTTCGGCAAAAGGAAAGGGGAGTTTTGGCGCGTACGGTACTGTTTCGCTATGATCTTTTACCCCCTTTTGGCATGTAAGCTTTTCGAATGGGCGAATGGGCAATGCAAAAGTGGGTTTGCTGCGGCACTGGACTGGATATGTGCATGCGTACCGCTGTTGAGGGATGATTGTCAACGCATCACCAAATATCGCAGGTGTTGAAAGCTCGAGTCCATGATCAGGACAGCATTGAATGCTTGCAAATCGACTAATCTTGACGTAGTTTAAGATATTGGCGGCATACCTTCGCAAAACCATCAGAGCCCTGGAACTAAAACAAACGCTTGGGATGCGATCCTCATTTCTGTCTTCGGCTCTCCCTCTAAGCATCGACTGAAGACGGCGGCTTCGTCTAGACTCCCGTTCTCGCTTCCTCGAACGCGTCCATTATTTGTTGACTGTCCCGAGACGAAGGCACTAGCTTCATGAGAGAGGACACACGCAGCACAGTAGCGAACATGTCCGTATCAGTATACAAGCTTTCATGATAAATCGAACGAGTAGCACTCCATAGTCCGTGTCTCGTGCCTATCCACCGAGCAATCACCCTTTCAAACACGTCGTCTGATTGGCTTTCTTGCCGCGCGATCTACGCCTCGGATGAGCTGGCACTCCAGCCCATCTCTAGCGGACCTTTCGACTAATTGAGCAACGACCAAGCGACTTCCTAGGCTTCTTCTGGATTCACGAGCCGCATAGCTCCACGATACACATCAAGGAGAACATCAAGCTAGAAAGCAGGAAGCAGAAGCGATCGAAGGCCCCAGCCTCGCCGGCATCATCAAATTCCCAATCCATACATCTATGATCCCCGCTGAGCCGCTAGGCCCTCTCTCTTCCAAACTTCCATGCTGCCCCAACATCCCCTTCTTTCCCCATCTCCCACGCTGTCCTAACAAAAACCTGCAGTTCCGTGTACAACACTCTGCCCTCATGAGTATATCTCAGCAGCCTGCCCACCATCAGCAACCACACGACTAGAAAGCAAACCACGAAGCGACGAACCCTCGTCCCCCAACCCTCCTTCCCCGTCGGCAGCGCCACCGTCTCCAGCCCCAGCGCCCTCACCACCGCGCCTACGTCCTCCTCCGTCGCCTCGTCCACAACCCTCTCGATCGCCGCTTTCCGTGCGACGATCTCATACCCGCAGTGGCAGAACCAGCGGTGCGGCAGGTTCTCATGTCTGTAGATCGAGCACACCAGCCCGTCCCACCCGGCTGCGAAATGCGGGAGCCACAACTGCAGCGCGCAGACGACGAGGGCCAGGCTGGGCACCGTCCACGCCCTCGCGTCCGCGCCGCCGCCCGCGATCAGCTTCTCGAGCACGGTCACGATGCCCAGCGCGAGGGTGCCGAAGTCGCCGAGCGAGGAGCTGGCGCGGAGGGCGCGGCCGAGGAGCAGGAAGAAGAGGAGGTAAGTTGTTGGTGAGGCGAAGAGGGCGCGGCGTGCGGCGGAGTAGGAGGAGAGGGTGTAGCGGGAGCGGAAGGGGGCGATTTTGAGGTGGAAGTAGGATTTGTAGGGGGTGTGCTGGGGGAGTGGTTAGTGGTTCGTTGGATGGGGGTGGGGGATTGGGGGAGGTTACGTCGCGCTCCCATAGCATCCAGAAGTAGGCGAATAGTTGGCCGTTGAGGAGGAGGAAGAGGCTGGCGTTGCCTGAGGCTGTGCCGATGTAGTGGTTCCAAAGGCTGTAGTTATGCTGTTCATCGGGGTCGTTGGGGGTTATGGCACCGAAGTAGTAGTGTAGAGGGTTTGCGAGGTCGGCTGCTATGTTTGCGTCTACGCAGACGAAGCCACTGGTGGCCCAGATGAGGCGCAGGACGAGGCTGGCGAAGAGGCAGCGGGCGGCTGTTTTGTGGGATAGGTGGCGGGTTAGGAGGAAGGGCAGCAGGCCCAGCGAGATGATGAAGAGGTGGATGAAGATGGAGAGCGGATGGAGGGCCCAATGGTTGCTGCTAAGGGGCCCGATGATGTAAGTCTCGAGGGTACTGAAAGCAATTGGGAGGAGAAATGTGATGGCAATGTCGAGCCAATTGAGGACTAGGCTGGTCGGGAGAGTGGGAGGTTGCTGGGATTGTTTCATAGAACGCCTCATTATGGAGGATGAATATGGCACACTGAAAATATGTTGTGAGACATGATATTAAAGGGAGGAGATGTGTATTCGAGCTTTCGTGGTTGCGACCAGGGTAGTTGATCCATGGTAGAGGCCAGAATACTGCATCCATGGTAGATTCGGTTTTGGTGAACCTTGGTTGACCGTCGTAGAAATGTTTAAATAGACCGCAAGAATGAATTGAGCCGAGCCTACACGTGAGCTTCGAATGCCTGGAATAGTTTCTCAAACTCCTCTTCCGCAACCTTCATGCAATCAAATCCATATATCTTCTTTTGAACTTCCGCATCAGCCCACTTATCGGGCACACCTCCCCCTTCCTTATCTTTCAACGCAGCAAAAGCTTTATCCCTCTCTGCTTTCGCTGCACCATCACCTAAATGTAGTGCTCGCCCAGACTGCGCAGCAAGCTCAACGAGCGTCTCAGCTCGCTCCTTTCTCACGGCCTCGTACACTCTCAAAGCTTTATTCAGCGACGTCGGCGACGAATCTGGGCACTTCGTGAGTACCACTGCCAATACAGCTGCATCCTCAATCGCCTGTGCCGCACCCTGTGCTAGATGTGGGAGGGTAGGATGACACGCATCCCCAACCAAAGCCACACACCCATGAATCCAAGTTGGCAACGGGCTATGAACCCTCAATTTCCACTCACACACCTCCCCATCTGGAACAAGCGCAAGCATCCGCTGGATCTTCGGACAAAAGTCTGCAAAGATCTTCAGCATGCTATCCTTCGACCCTTTTGTCGTATAGGTCGCGGAAGGCGCAGCAGCAAAGTTTGTGTCCGGCTGCACCGTGCTGATGTTGTAAATTTCTTTGCTAGAGACCGGGTAGGCGATGATATGGCGCTTCTCGCCGATCCAGCGCGTCACTACGTTGCCGTTTATGAGCTCGAGAAGGTCGGGGTCGTGCGAGATTTGCGAGCGGGTTAGCATGATGCGGTAGGCGGCTTGGTTGGTGTCTTGGATCTCTGCGTGGATGTTGAGTTCTTCTAAGACCTTTGATCGGGTGAGTGACTTGACGCCGTCGGCGGCGAGGAGGACGTCGCAGGTCACAGAGTAGGGGTCGCCGTTCCGTGGCTGGACCTTGAATGTTGGTCTGGGAGAGAAGCTTTGCACAGCTTCGACTGTGGCAGAGAAGTGGAAGGTGACACTGGGTTCGCGTTGACAGCCAGCAAAGAGGGCGCCGGCGAGGGAAGCACGATGTCCTACCATGTGAGGGTAGCCGTAGGTGGAACGGATATAGCGGAGGTCGACGTGGCCGAGTTCGTTGTCCGTGTCTCCCTCTATCGAGAATCAGAAGACTTACTTCTCAATACGAATAGTAGAATTGATTCTCACGTCGTATACTAGTCTCCTTGAGATCAACTGCCTCTTTCTCAATGTCTTTCCACACTCCTAATCGGTCCAAGATTCGAGCCATGTTAGGAGCCAGTTGAATCCCTGCTCCAACAAAGCCTAGATTCGAAGCAGATTCGTAGACGTCGATGTTCTTGAAGCCTCGTTTTGCTAGGGATAAGGCGCAGGCCAACCCACCCATACCTGTCGAGTGTGAGTAACGAAGTGACAATTTGATCATAGACAGCATGCATGGTTACCTGCGCCAATGATTGCAACGTGGAGGTCCATATTAGAGTTCTAATACCCCAGCGAGATCAAGCTGATTCGGAACTTGAATTGAGATTTTGAAAGAGTCGAGGACGAGATTGAAAGTGTGGGGAAATAGTACGACTGAAGGAAAAACTAAAAATTCTAGGTCACAAGCCGCGCCTTATGAACGCATTGATTGTTTTGGTTCATCTCAAAGCCCCTACATTTCCTCAAGCTACGAGGAACGGCAGTTAGATCGGATCGTGCGCTGGGTTAAGTGGATGTTAGAGATGAGGAGTACTAAAGCTGCAGATCTCCCGGATGAGCTGCTCGGCAATGCACTCCGCAAAGATCATCATCTGGCGGTCACGTGACTAGCTTGATCGCGTCTGCAAAAGTTTCAAATGAAACAGCAAAAGTTTGAAAACGAGTCTGCAAAACTTTAGACGCGTCTGCAAAACTTTAAAAGAGTCCGCAAATTTTTGAATTCCCATTCACCGTAGCTGCGAAATGGGGAGCACGTGAGGTCTGGGTTACAAAATCTCAAAACAAACAAAAAGGAGGTGCTTCGTTAACCTTCATAAAGTTATCAATAGCTGCATATCTACAAGCTCCCCTACTATATTGCTGCTCTACCAAGGAACCCCTAAAATAAATTATCGTTCGTAGTCGCCACGTTGTAATAATGAATCGTCTCGTCCGCACGCCCAGTCGGCGTGTTGTAGAGATAGGTGCCCAGGTTGATGTACAAATGCTGCAACTCACATACATACCAAGCGATCAAGTTCGGACGATCAATGCCTGCCACCTGCCATGTGAGGCCGTCCCCTGTCCAGCCGAATGTGCCGTACGTGTTTCTTTCGGTGGAGAAGGTGACCGAGACAGATTCTGTGGAAATTCAAAGAGTGTCAGAATGCTAGGTAATAGAGTAGAGAGCGGTTTGGATCATACGATTATTGTTGTAAGTCTCCTCGCTCACGATAGCGTACAAGAATTCCGCAGTGGCTCCCGGTACGCTAATGAGCTGCACCAACTGATCAGCCACAACTTGAAACTGGCCTGCGGTGGTTTGCAATTCCTAAGTGAATGACAAGGACGTTAGATAGACGGATTTCAAGTGATATAGAAGCCATATGGAAGGATGATGTTCTTCCTTGCAAAGAAAGGCTCATGCTTATTTGACGGAGTACGTATTCTTAGCCAGCTAGCCTACGGAGTATGGTACGGCTAGCTCAGCTACCTTGATATAGAACACGGTTCCTATACTTAGCCCACACAGTTCTACGGTACGGCTACGTAAGCCTCCACGCACACAGAGTATATATACGGCGTACGTAGCCTAGATAGATGCTCATCCAATACATCACTTACCTCGTTCAATGCATTGTTTCACCTCCATCCTCATTATTCAATGGCAAGGGGCTCGATACGACGCTTCATAAAGGCGCTTGCCTTTCGAGGAGGTGGCTCAGCCAATCTGGCATGAGGTGCTCTGAGAATCGAATTGATTGCAGACCTCTACAGCTGGGCAGTTGTGAGAGACAAGCCATAGGAGAAACGAGCGATGGGCTAGTCGCTAACTACCTGGCTGTGACGTGGAGTTCTAGGCATATCAGTCGCTCAAATCCGCGCATATGGCGACGACTTTTTGTAGGAATAGCAACTGAATCCTATCCTTATTACAGTACAAGAAGGTCCATCATCAATTCACAGATGACCGCCCTCGGTCAAGCCCTATCAGCTGAAGAAGCCTTTCAGACTATCACCTCTCTACGGACACCAACAGTGCTTCGTTTAATGATGGGAGAGCTCGGTAAAAGAGGGTAGGCCGGGAGAATCGCTGAGCAGCCTTTTGAGAGAAGAAGCATAACACGGGTGATCTGAAAGAGAGTCTCATCTTGATGTGGTGTTGTTAAGCTGTTCTGTACCGTGTTGACTTAGTGCAGCTAGATAGGAACCTCGCTCTCATCTTCATCCCTAGATCCATTCTTCTGGGGCATGTCCGCTTGCTCGGGGGAAACTTGGTGAGAGCCGTCGTTTGGTGGGCCTTGATGCGGTTGTGGTGATGGTTCAGGCGGGTGGAATTCAGGTTGAGTAAGAAGAGGCGGTAGTTTTTGAGACAAGATCTCGTAGCACATCTGAGCATCCTCTTCCTCACGGGCAATGGCTGCCTGTATGATCTGTTCTCGTCGTTGCTCTCCCTCGCAGAAGTGCCGTTCGTATTCATTTTTGTGTTCGTGGCAGTCACACCAATTTTCCCATGGTGCCATAATTTCACCGCGAAACCGAGAAAGAAGCCTTGCCGAAATGATCTTGATGACTTCCTCCAGAAGACTGCGAGGAAATTTAGACAAGGCAGTCTCGTATACCGCGAAGTTGTATTCGTATGCAAACCACGAGGTAATGTGCTTGCGGAGAGGGCTTTGTACACATAGTTTGTCGTAAGCCTTGAGCAGCACGGAGTCGTCCGGAACCCATTTCGCTTCATACATCCTCAACGCGCAAGCCTGCCATGCCTTCATGATACACAGCTTTAATTCAGGCATGCCGTACTTTTCCGCAAAGCAGTAGTCGTCGATGGCGCCGTGAATCCACATATCAAGCACATCCAAGTGGTCTTCGCGAGATGCGATAGAATCGGACTGCTGGTCTGAGGAGTCCATTTCCACTAGCGTGTCAATCTTCTCATACTTGGTTTCTCGATCCTTCTCTTTCTCATCGTCCTCGTTGCCGTTGTCCAGCGGAGCTGGAGCAGGCTCATATTTATCCGCGTACACCCATCTCAACACGCGCTGGAAAGTTTCTGGGGTGGTGTCCTTCAAGACCATTCCTCCTTTGTATACTTTTGCAGCGAATGATGGGTTGAGTGCTATGTTGAAGTACTCGATGTGCAGGCAAAGTGGCTCTATGTGGACACAAAAGGCATGGCCGTCAGGACCGACTTTTATCATAATTGTACGGGTATCAGAGAAGTCGCTGATAACTTTGTCAGCTACAAGCAAATGAACGTGACGCTTGATCACAGCTCACAAGAGCTGCGAGCGCTTTTGCTTCGGAGCCGGTAGTGTTGATGCCATCGTCGCTTTGGCATTGGATGGACGGTCTTGGCTTGCTGGTGGCATTTCTGTGGTTTGCGATCTCTAATTCTGCACTGTTCTGGAATACTCGTGTGATGATGGAGAGGGCCAGACCAACGGTGAGCCCGTAATAACCTGCGTCGAAGCTGAGATTGTTATGTAGATGGTTTGATATGGGCAGGCGAGGCACGACAGTTGACCGTCAACTCACATGTTACTTCTATTATGGCTTCACGGACTCCCTCGAAGTCCAATATCGTTTGGGGGGCAGCAGGCTTGCCATAACTGTCGCTTTACAGGTTCAATAAAGCACCAGAGGATCACCAACAGTGCTGGGTACTGCCACTTTATTCTACAGAGTATGTTCAGGGGAGCCTGCCATCTTTCTCCAACCTCACTGTCTCACCTACCTTCAACAATGACCGGTGATGGATGAAGAGCACTCTTCGCACGCATCTTCATATAAGCAGTACTGCCATGTTTAGGGCGACTGCTCTTTAGAGCTATTCACTGATCTATGTCGGCGCATTAACGCGTCCTACTTGCCTTCGCACTCTCGCAACAACTAACCTTACGACAAGCAGTCCTCACATGCTAACTGAAGTGCCTCTCTAACAATTCTAGGACCTTTACCTGTAAGTTCACTAAGGATAATTACATCTTATGTATAGAGCAAATATGTTCGCTGCAATCCCGCTGCAAAACATCTCGCGTTCACTTTCCGGAAGTATCCTTCAAGATACGACGTCACAATTCAGCCTCTCACGAGCGAACGATCACTCCCGAAATCCCCACTGCTTGCTAGGGAGGAGAGGGCCTTTTTGCCCAAAGTAAGCGTTGTACTTCGTATCGTGCCCGGAACTCCAGAGAAGACACTGCAAGGGAGACTAAATTAAGACATTCCAACACGATCCTCCCGTCAGCCTCTTAGCATTTTCCCTTCCCAATTTCTCTGTTTCAACACCCCAATGTGCACCCTACCCGAACCCCTCTCCGCACGTGACCCAACGCCGCTGTGGCTGAGTTCGGCTCAGGCCCGGCTCAGCTTCGGCTCAGTTCTCCTCAGGTCTGCTCACCCTTGCTCACCCTTGCTCACCCTTCCCCACTGGCTGCGGCACAGTCTTAGACCTCGCTAGAAAACTGTCAAGTTTTAGCAAGGGGCCTCAAATCTGTCCCCAGGTCACGAATCAGGGCCCTATACCGTTTTATAAGCCTTATAAGCTTAAGCTACTTTCTAGGGAGCATTCCTCACCCTTGTCTAATATAGAGTGTGCTATTCTACTTAAATAGCTAACCTTCTTTCACTTTATTATTTATTCACACCATTTTTGTTACGTCCCCCTCACACGAGCACGAGCACGAGCACGAGCTAGATCACGTGCGTCCTCGGGCCCTATGTGGCCCGAGGCTCCGGCCATGCCTACGGCGTGCGCCCGAAGGCTACAATTCGCCTGCGCTTCCCGTCAAGCGCAGTCGTCCTGCGGGCTGCCTGGCGTAGTGTGTCGTAACAATTTTCCTATCCTACATAGTTAGAATCCTACATATTATGAGTACCCAGCGCCAAAAACAAGACGCAAAGAAGAGGGACCCAGAAAATCGATTCGAGGCGGCTATGCAAAATGGGTTCTCTTAGGATAAATTGGGGATTAGCAGTAAGCCAGTCCACAACAATCTTGCTAAGAGCAGTCAACCGCGATATAATGAAATGTTAGAAATTTAGGAAATTTACGCTACCAATATTAAATAGATTAATTAGCACTAATATGCCATAGCTATAAGAAGAAGCACAAAGGTTCTGTTGCGCCGTGGTTGAGACAGAGTGGGGAATAGAGATTGACGGTCACGTTTAAATCATGTGACAGCAATATGTCCTGGACATTTCAAAAGTTGACGAAGCATCCTCCCTCATGGTCATTGAACATATTTTCAATTCCTATCAATCCGCAGTCTGGGTATACAGGTCATCTTATTCCTCGCCGTCATAAGTCCATCCCCTCTCACTGCCACCTCACTCCCCATCCGGCCCCGGTCCCGTCCCTTTATCCACCTTCTCCGTCCCCTTATCCACCTTCTCCGTCCCCTTATCCACCTTCTCCTTCCCCTTTCCCCCAAAAATAGACCAATTCCTAGCGCTCTCGAGCATCCACACGAAATTCGCTGCCATATCCATTATCACCCAGAACCACGGCACCCATCCCTGCCCATCGTCTCCTCCCATCCACCACCCCCATTGCTTTGGCCCAGGCGCTGCGAAATAGGGCGGTCCTCGCCGTATGCGTCTTTCCATGTGTTCGTCGGCTGGCGGACTGGCGGCTCGTAGGTGTTCGATGCCTTCTCGCCGTAGCTTTCGGGCGTGGAAAGGATATCCTTCGTCTCTTCTTTCGTCTCCTCCCCCTTCCCCTTCCCAAACCACGACCACGTCCAGATCTCAACACACCACACCGTATTCGCCACCAGATCCGCCACCACCCAAAACCACGCCCACCAACGCGGCCCCTCCCAAGACCACGCCCACAAATGCTGCTCCTCCTCCTCTCTCCCCTCTTCACTATGCGTTGCAAAGTAACAATCCCATCCCAACACAACGCAAAACACTAACAGCAGCCCCATCGGCAATGTGAACCTCATATCCGCAGACATCACTCTCTTCCTAAACCGGGGGGCGGGAGCAACGTGTGGTGCTATTAGAACTACCCAGCTGAAGAAGGCCCCGACAGCCAGGACGAGAGTGCAGATAGTAGGTAGGGGGCTGTCGTTATAGCCGAGTGCGATGAAGCCGGCGGCCATGGTGATAGAGGGCGGGCTTGGGGGGCGGTTGTCATCCTCCTTAGACCCTGAGTTGGTCGGCTGGCCGTCCAGTTTCTCTTTCATCTCCGTCCTCTTCCTCAACCACGACCAAGCCGTACACAAACAAGGCCACGAGATGTTCGCAAACGTCCACACAGTGTCCGCTGCCGTTCCCACCACTATCCAGAACCAGGCCCACCAACTATGCCCCCCTTCGAACTGCCACCACCGCTCTTCCCGCCCCGACTGGCCCCAGATGTAGTAGTCGCCGGCCAGCCCTGCGCAGAACAGTACATGTAGGCCCAACGGTACTGCGAACCCCATGCGCCGCGAGACATGGCGGCCGCGAAGGTGAGGCGCCCACAAGACGAACCAGGCGAAGATGGCGCTGGCTGCTACAGCGATGATGCAGATGGTGGGTAGGGTGTAAGGGTAGCAGGCGAGCGCGATGACGGCGGTGCTTTGGACGGAGGAGGATGTGCTGGGTGGGGCCTCGTTTGGTATTGTTGGGGTGCGCACGGGTGGTTCGTAGGTGCTTTCCGTGGAGGTTTTTGACATTTCGTCGGAGGTTTTGGGAAAGGAGGATGTGCGTGCCGTCGCCATGTTCTTATTGGACATGGCAGAGGACCGAAGGACCCAATTATCGAGGCTCATTTGATGATGTCGATACTGAAAAGGATTGCGATGCGATGGGATGGGATTTGAGATGGCGCTGGCGCACGACTATATACTCGAAGCAGTGATGTTCAAGGTGAAGCTCCCACTCAATCAATCGCGCACGTGGGCTGCTTCTACAGGGTTTGTTATGCAGTCTTTGTGGACAAGAAGACCGGGAGCGTGGACGCGTTCACAAGCGCGTTTGAAAAGATGACCGGAGACTCGGCTCGATGGGGGAAAACGGATGGGGGCCGGATGCTGGGGTTGAGGCTGGGATTGACGACTGCGCCACATAATTTTTGAAAGCCATGCAAATCGTCGAAATAGAACTTCGCAAGATCGACATACCTTTCCACGAGATAGACGTCCCAGTCTCCTAAAGAGACTCCATGTTCTAGGTATACAGCTCCTTATATCCATCGTTGGACGAAGCCTCTCCTTAGGCCACCCCGTCTTGGCCCCTCACCCTACTCGTCTCCATCCTTCTTCCCATTTCTCTGTGTAAAGCGCCCATACCAATAACCCACAAGATACCAAATCGTCGCGCCCAAATCCAACCCCATCCAAAACCACCCCGCCCCCGAAATCCCCGTCCCTACCTTCCTCTCTTTCTCACCGTCCGCCGGCCCTCCGAAATAATAATTAACTAGCAGCCCCAACCCAAACACCCCCACTAACGCAATCGGCAGCAGAAAGTTCATCGCCGGTGTCGTGATCCTCTCTACTCTTTTTCTCATCGAACGCGGGAGGTAAGGTTTCAGCACCACGAGCCAGGCAACGACAGCGCTGGCGGCGATGGCGGAGATGCTGGTGGTTGGGGGCGGGTAGGGGTAGAAGCTCAGCGCCAGCATGCCGGCTGCGAAGGTGAGGGAGGAGGGCTTGGTGCATCGCCTGATGGATTGGGGTTTGTCGGTTGGCGAACGGGCGGCTGGTAGGTGCCTGACGGCATCTCGTCGGAGCGTTTGGGAGTGTAGAGGGTTTTTGGGGTTGAGAGGGGGAAGGAGGGGGTGCGTGCTGTCGCCATGGTATTGGGAGGCTGATGTAAATGGAATCAGTTATTGAGGTTGTTGTGGTGTTGTTGAAGGGATTGAGATGTAATGAGAAGAAATGTGGATGGCGCACGACTATATACTTAAAGCAATGACATTTAAAGTGAAGCTTATTAGTTTTAGTCCGTGGGGCGGATAGAGGTTCTCCTAGGGTCTATTGTATTAACTCGGACAGCTTGAAGCAGGTGGCGGTGGCCCTGGTTGAAGTTGGGGGCGCTTCCGGGGGCATTTGGTTCCGGTTGTTAGACATTCCTGGGCATCGAAGAGCATGTAGGGATAGATAGGGGTTAGGCAACAGTTGTAAGGGTGAGCAGCGGGTAGGAATTCTTGAAAAGTTTTGAGCAGCGCAATGCATCCGTCCTCCGCTTATGTTAAGATTTTAACACGTAAGGGTTCCGTTATTGAAGACTGCCTTTGTCCATTCTTTTATTGTACCAGCTCACCGTCGAATCGATGGCTCCTAGCCTTGAAGAGCAGCTTTTTGATGCTGTGAAAGGTTGAGATGAAGCCTTGGTTGAAATTCTGCTTGCATAGGAACCGCTGCTGGTGCTGCCTACTCTTTATATTCTCACAACTCAGGTTGCCACTACTAGCGTGTCAGTGGCGTTACATCCTTCCATATCCGTAACAAGGGGGAACAGGGGAGTACCCCCCCCCCCCTTTCATAGGCTATATATACGGGCCTTATGCCTCTTCAAATCAACACAGAACTGCTTCTTCACAACCTGAGATCACACCTACATTAAACAGCCGGACAGTCATCCACCAGGCATGCAGGAATGGAGATTCCAATATCGCTGAATCTCTTCTTGACCACCGAGCATCTCCAAATATTCGGGATAGCGACAACAAAACCCCTCTGTATCTTGCCGCACTTGTTGGATCCTTAGCATTGGTTAAGCTTCTTATTGAAAGCAACCAGGCTGAAAACAAACTGAACTATATTAACTTGCTAGACGGCATAGGCAAGACAGCCTTGCGTATGGCTTGCGAGGGATTAGAGAAAGGACATTTTAAAGTCCTAAAATACTTATTAGTTAATGGAGTAGATCTTAAGGCAAAGTGGATCGGCTAAACTGTGGCTGCGTACGCCTGCTCTTGTGCCTGCCCCGGTGCCCTGAAGGTGTTGGCAGAACGCGATTTAAATATCTTAGGCATGCTGGTGCCCGGACACACTAAGGATAAGACTTGTCTTCACGTCGCTAGTAGAAGTAACGACGGCGATTGCGTTGGGTGGTTGCTGGGTGATATGAACTCTGAGGATATCTGAAAAATAGACTTTTGTGGGAGGACTGCTTGGGAAGTGGCGTGTAGTACTCCTATTGTACGCTTTGAAGCGGCTAGCGCATTTGCGTCGAAAGAAGAGTGCATTATGGAGAGACGCGCGGATAGCTAGTTTAACGCATTACTTGCGTTGGAAGAAGAGAAGTTACTAAAAAAATACGCAGTTTGTTTATGGGCGCTGAAGTTGTCCTAGTTTGAAATAGTTTAGACCTATAGCTTCCGACTAAGCGATGTGAGCACAATAATTTATAACATCGTATCACCGTATTATCTAGAAATGGTGCGCTAATCCTGGATAGATGCTAAACTTACTGGGAAGTCATTATAAACCTATGCGTTTTAGCTTGATAATATGCCAGTAAATCTAATGTTAACTAAGGCTTTACTTGGAAGCCTTTATAAATAGCGAGAGGTTTCTAGGGCAGCGATTTAGTTGGTTCTTGACGACTTTTGGACTCTGCGCCTACTTGGAAATGGGCTAGGAGTTAGAGATCCATTATGCGCGTTTAAGTCACTTAGAACGCATGATACTCTTAATGTGAGCAGCGATAAATCGGATAATGGACACTATCTGTCTAGCTGCTCTGGTTCGGATGGCCCTAAGCCTGAGGCTGTTGGCTCTTAATTTAAGCCTGTTTATCTCGGTAAACGGAAATTGAAAGTTAGAGATGTTGCATCTAGTGATAAGGACGACGCCTTGGTTGCTTTAGAACCGCCAGCTAGCTAGGCGGACCCGAGAATGTCTGACTACATGTCTATAGTTGTGAGTAGTCCCTGAGAACGAAAACTTTCGAAATATTGAAATAGATTAGATGCTATCCCTTGGCTTTGAGAATCTTAACACCTGGAGAGATCCGGATGACATTAAGGCGATAGCTTGGAGGCATCTCTTTAGTGTTTATAAATACTGCTGCTATGGCAACCCGAGGAAGGCAGGGTGTTATTCATCTCCTACTCTAGACGAGTTTTGCTGTTAATTATTGTCTAGGGAAGCACTTGATCGACGCAACTGCGATTAAGTTATTTTGTCGATCTAGCCTATCGGATAGACGATAAATGAGCCAGGAAAGGAGACGCTAGATAACATTCTAGCAAAGAATTAGCTTATAGTCAATATAATTAGCGGACCGCCTTCACCCCACAATGGCCTGCACCCGACAGAGATGGATCGCATCTCTACTAATCCTCAGCATCCTCTTCCTCGTCCATCTCCAGTTCGCCGACCACCTCCACACCGCCAAATTCCGCCAAATCGCCGCGTCCGTCCACGTCCCCAGGCGCCCCAACTACGCCTTCGCGACCCTCCTCGCCCCCAAGCACCCCGGCGAACCCGAGCTCGAGCTCCAGGACACCGAGCGCGACGTCTACTTCGAAAGCGTGCACGTAATGACATACCAGCTGCTCCACTCCCCCAGCGCGCGCCGCAGCAGCAGCAGCAGCAGCAGCATGAGCAGCAGCAGCAGCAGCATGAGCAGCAGCAAGAAGATCGACTTCGTCGTGCTGGTAACCAACGAAGTCACTGCGCCGAAGAAAGCCAGGTTGGAGAAAGACGGCGCGACGGTGGTTGTAGTGGACCGCTTGATTTCCGAGTGGATGACGCCCAAGACAGGCCGCTGGCAGGATTGCCTGACGAAACTACGGCTGTTGAAGATGACACAATACGGCAAGATAACGTTCATCGACGTCGATCATCTTATTACGCAGTCGCTTGACGGCGTTTTCGACGACCCCGCCGCGGCGGTCCAACACACGGTCGTAAATGCGTCTGTTGTGGCGGAAGCGCCGCTTCCGGATACTTACGTTTTTGCGGCGAGGCCGGAGGCGGCGGGGGGCTACGGTCATGTCAACCCGCCGCCTGAGGGTAACTACTTTAACGCTGGCTTCTTCGTGCTGAAGCCTGATGAGAGGATGCTCGAGTACTATGAGGAGCTCATGCTGCCGAAACACGAAGGCCTGTTCCCGACGACGTTCGTGGAGTAGGATATGCTGAACTGCGTGCATCGGCGCGAGGGGAAGATGCCGTGGCGCTCGGTACGTAAGGTCCAGTTACAGACAAGATCCTCTGCTGTCGCATTCTCCGGAGGGGCTATCATCCGAGTTGGTGCTGAAGTCACTGCAGAGAGCTGGACATGCTAGAAAGAGCTGGGATGTATCGCACTCTCTGGTCCCCCTTACGAATATTGGCTAACGGTACTCTTGTTCTTAGCTATGGCAGGGCTGGAACAGGAACTTCCCCAACGAAGACGACTTCGGCAACGACGTGCATAGCTACCACGACAAGTTCTAGGAAGAGGCCGGCAGCGACCACGTCTTGAGTACAATATGGCACAGCCAAAGGAAGGAAATGGAAGATTACTGGGCCAGCAAAGAGAAAAAGGAGGAGTGATTGGGATTAGCCCTGGAAGCAGGAACGATACTCCTGACCTCTCCGCCCAGTCTAGTGGCAGCGACACGCGTTCATCTGTTCGATTTTTCGTTGGCACAAGCTTTTGCTATGCCCAACTGTTCGGTTCAGCGGTATTCGCTTATGTCGCTATAGAGTTTGAGGCGTTGCACTAGAGACGCGACCACTCTGGGGAATCCTGCAGCACGGTATCCTCCGATTTAGGATCAGGAGGTAGATACTATTGGGGTCCCTGGACCTTAGTATCAAGCCCGGAACCCAGTCTGCCGGATCAACGGAATCGTGGTGTCGGGTCTTAAGGCTGAGCATGTGAAAAGCATGACAACTTCGGCGTTCAGGTTCTTTTTCTGATGGTTGGAAGCGACGACACGCTAATGTATGTACACAGCCCAGAAATCTATTACTTACATTTGTCTATTGAACTTTAATCAGTTCCTACGTCATGATACTTACATGTACGAGCTGAAAGCAATAGTGCCCACGGCTCAATATTGTTGTCGGCTACACCGTGGCTGTTCCGGAAAGGAGTCGGAGCGAAGCTAGAGCTCGAGGCGGAGAGCAGTCCTCGCAGCACACGGCAAGGAAGGGGCAAAAGCGAGACACGGGCAAGGGGCGATGAGACACAGTGTCAAAGGAACAACCAGGACCTTGCTTGCTGGTGTTTGACAGCCCTGACGACGAACGGCAGACGGCTTGCGCAATGCTGAATGCTAGGGCTGGCTATCAGATGGGACTATCCCTTTGCCGGACTGACAGTCAGGCACGCCCGCCTCGTGGTTCACCAGGCCACGACAATCTCTGCGGCTGCGCAGATCGCCTCGGACGGCCCTTCTCACGATGCTCGCTGAAGTGCTGCAACCTGCGCCTTGAGGGAAGGTGCGCAGAACAGGCGCGGGAAGAGTTCTCACGCTGTGGGCGCCAGATGACTCGTGGCCAGAGTCAAATCTAGGGGAAAGCTGCGTTTGGTGGTTAGTGGCGGGAAGTCCCAACCACGGTGTGGCCACAGGCCGAAGTGCGTTCAGCCGGACTCTCGCGGCAGACGGGCAGAAGGTTGACTCGCAGAAAAGGAGGGCTCCAATCTCGGCGCTATGATGGTGTTTGCATGGCGGGTGGTGTCGTGTGCGGGCTTCTCGAAGGACGACGGAAGGCGTGGAAACTGCAAGGCGAGCCAATCCGGGGCAGCTGCCGGCATGGACGGCGGGAAAAACGCGCGTGATTGCAACAGGCCGCCATCGAAGAGGCTGCAAAGAGGCTGCACGCTGACGTGTGGTTGGGGCGAAGGGGGTGCCGCTGGTTGGAGGAGTCGGGCATCGTGGGCTGCCCCATTGGATCGACGAGAGCATCGTCCGAGGGCGCGAGTCGTCGCATGGCCGCCACGTGCAGGCGCAACGGCGCATTTCGTCGATGCTGGCGGCCGGCGCTGAGTGGCTCGCAGCAGAGGGACCGAAGTCAAACGTCAAAAGCGCGGCCCCTGCCCCAGCATGGCGAACGAACACGATCGGCCCGTGAGGGCTCGTGGAAATGGGCCCGAGGCCTGACTCGTCGCCTCCACCCGGCCGCATGATGGGTGCGTTGGTACGGCGGCAAAGGCGGAGGGACAGGCGACGATCGGTGGAGCGCGAGGGACAGCGACAGGAGAGGAGCAAGAAGAAGAGAAGAAAGAAGAAGCAGAAGCATGCGCCGAAGAGGGTGGTGATGGACAGCGTGGGCCGCCTGACTTGGGCCTGAGGCTGGTCGCACAGGAACACCATGCCGTGACTCGCCATCCGGCCCCCTGGCGTCCACAGCCCGCCGCCCGTACCGCGCGTTGCCGTTCTCGACGGCGGCACCCTGGCACCCTGGCACCCTGATGCCCGGCCACGAAACCGTCGCGCCCCTGACGCCGAAACCTCCCTACTGCCGCACTCCCCTCCCATCCCTCGCTGCATCCTCCCGGGCCCCCCAACGGCCTGTTCTTCGCTGGCCTGCTGGCGACGTCGTGCCGTGGCGTCTTCGGCAGCATGGGCTCCAGCATCCCAGCGGACAAGCCCGTGGTGCAGGCACGCTCAAAGCCAAGGGCCGCACCATGCGTGGGCACATTCTGCGTCCCTCCGTCCATCCCTCCCTCCCATACCGCACCGCCGACCGAGCGCTCTTGTAGACCCTGCCCTCCCAGACCCGCACGCAAGACGTCCTCCACCGCAATCCCCGCAGCACCGAGCTGCCAGGCCCAGCACCGTCTCCCGTGCCTGCGCCGTCGACCCTCCGCGCCTCTGCAGCCCTTTGCCGAGCTCTGTCCGGGGCTCCCAGCACTCCAAGCACCCTCTGCAATTCCACTCTGCCCTCCACTCCAGGTTTCGATGCTGAAACACTGCTGAGATCTTGCAAAAGCCGTGCTGTCGCCGTCGCCATACAGGTCCATGTCGGCTCGGCCCACTCCATCCGCCGCACCTCAACCACCACCGCCCCATCGCAAGCACGACTACTCCCGCGAAATCGAGTCCAACCTCCAAGAGCTCGGCCTCCTGGGCTCCACCTCGCGCAAGAAGCCCCCCAGGAAGCCCAAGGGCGTCGAGTTCCGCACACCGGTGGTCCACGACAGTACGGCTCCCGCTCCCGTTCCCGCTACCTCCTGCTTCGTCGTTTGTTCCACGCTTTGACCTGGCTCATATGTTGTCTTATTCAGGCCTGCGCCCTCGCTCCCGCCAGTCCCAGCTCTCCTCCGACACCGCCAAACCCCTCTCCTCGCGCACCACCTCCTCCCACTCCCCCCATCCGCGCTCCTCCAGAGGCATGGCTGGCGTCCTCGACATTGAGCGGACGCGCACCCGCCGCGAGAGGACCTTCATTGGCAGCGAGTGCTCTGTGTGTGAAGAGCCTCTCGAGCACACTCTTCGCGGCGAGCGCATCCTCCAGCTCTCTTGCGGCCATGTCGCCCACGAGGCATGCTTCTACGAATACATCCGCGAGTTCGAGTCGCAGACATGTCCTTCCTGTGAGGCGCCATTAGGCCTAGATACTAGCAGAGGGGGGAATGTCTTGGATCTAGGTGAGTTCCTTCGAATAACTTGTAGATTTTCCTAACATTCGCGTAGAAAAGCTAAGTACTCTGGTTCGCTCCGTGCAACACTCGGACGCAAGGGACAACAGCCGGAGTACCCAAGTTACCCCAACTCCCTGGGACACACAGACAGTCACTACTGAGAATCCTCGAACTCGCGATGGGCCAGAACTTCAGAACCGGCCGCCACCCCAGCAACAGCAACAACATCATGACCCACGAGGAGATCACCGCCAGAGGGAGAGCAGCCACAGCCGTGAGAGCCGTGAGCGGTCAGAACGAATGGGTTCATTGTCCCGCCAGCACAACCGGAATGACAGCGGAGCGACTGGAGCCGCATCATCCGGGGATTACGCCGATACCCACAATCCTACCGGACGAAGACACGATTACGATGTGCAGTCCATGGAAACGAGCCTCAGCAGCCCCCGCAGTCTGCTCAAGAATCCAATTCCAGCGCCCACAGTCACAGTCCGCAGCGAATTCCCAACACTCAACCGGTCTCGCCAGCAGCAGAGCTTGACTTGTCTCATTACTATTGAGGTTGTGGAAGGCAAATGGCGGCCAGATCCGGAGGATATGCGCACCGTTCCGCCCCTTCCCTCAATCCACCCAAGCGAAAATTATGGGAGGTCAAAATCTCCGGCCCCCAGCCGAGCGCTCGACAGCTTGTACGAATCTCCTGAAGTTCTGGACGAAGTAACAGAAGATCTGCATTCACGCGTGGACAATTGGCACGGCCTGGACTTTTCAAGGTATTTGAGTCAACAGGCCCCTTTGCGGAGAGTTGGCTGACACATTTCTAGGTTTGGCAAGCTTCGTTTGCACGGCCACGTTCGGGTTGGCAAAGATCGCCAGTCTTGGCAGGAACTCGAGTGCTACCTTTTCTCCGAGATGCTCATCTGTGTCAAGGAGAAGAAGGTGGCCCAAGCACCGCAATGGGATGGCGCCGAGTCGGTGAGCAAGAAGACGAAATGCACGCTGAAAGGATCTATTTTGATCAAGAAGCACCTCAAACAAGTGGAGCTCGCTCCTGGTGAGTAGCCGATCAAATACGAGTGTGAACGCGGAAACTAATGTAGTACAGAAGAGGCTATTTTGACTCTGAGTCTTTCGGTGGCCGAACTACCCTCCTTTCATCTCCAATTCCAGAACCGCAACCAACTGGAACTATGGAGACGAGCCCTTCTGGACATCAACATGGAACCGTCGGCCAGGATATCGGATTACGACCACGACAACTCCGGAACAGACGAGGATGACTACCGCACGAGCAATTCCAAAAACAAGCGAGTTTCGTCTGCGAACTCGTCATATGGCGCGGCGAGGTCGACGAACACGGCCCCAACCGAGTACACGAATTCGCGCGGTGGGATGCCAGACCTGCGAGCTTCGTCGCCAATCCATGTACCTCTCGACATTGTTGTTGTAATCCCGGTTTCGTCCTCGATGCAAGGCCTCAAAATAAATCTGCTCCGCGACGCCCTCAGGTTCATGGTTTCGAATCTGGGCGAACGGGACAGAATGGGCCTCGTGACGTTTGGTTCCAGTGGGGGCGGGGTCCCATTAGTTGGTATGACCAGCAAGGCTTGGAATGGCTGGTCGAAGGTATTGGATTCCATACGCCCGGTTGGTCAGAAGAGCCTCCGCGCCGACGTCGTGGAGGGCGCCAACGTCGCGATGGACCTGCTCATGCAGCGCAAGTCAACAAACCCTCTCTCCAGCATCATGCTAATTAGCGACTCGTCAACGTCGGACGCAGAGAGCGTGGACTTTGTGGTGTCGCGAGCTGAAGCTGCCAAGTAAGTGGATTGCTTTTCGCTCAGCATAGCCAGAATGCTAACCAGAACAGGGTCGCTATTCACTCCTTCGGGCTTGGCCTCACCCACAAGCCGGACACAATGATCGAGCTGTCGACGCGCACCAAGGCGTCGTACACGTACGTCAAGGACTGGATGATGCTGCGCGAGTGTGTGGCGGGCTGCCTGGGGTCGCTGCAGACAACGTCGCATCAGAACGTGAAGCTAAAGTTACGGCTCCCCGAGGGCTCGCCCGCCAAGTTCGTCAAGATTAGCGGGGCCCTGCAGATCACGAAGCGTGCGACAGGCCGCGATGCCGAGGCCTCATTGGGCGACCTGCGCTTCGGCGACAAGCGAGGTAAGCAGCGCTGCCGTTTTGCTTACTGCCCGTGTCTAACAACATCTCCAGATATCTTGGTTCAGCTCGCCATCGCCCCCGACACAGCCTCACCAGAGCAGCTGCCCCAGGACCCCTGGGAGACGATTGTGTCCGGCCTGGAGGCCCTGGGAGGCCCGCTAGACCAGGACGATCAGCGCAGCCTAAGCGTGGAGGAGGTGCCGTTGATCCAGGCCGATCTCGTCTACGGTGACATTCTTCGCGAGGGCTCCATCTCCCACCTTCCTAGACCGTCACTGCTGGCGATCACCATGCTGCCCTCGGTGTCGAAGAAGAATTCGACAGGACGGCCTTCGACGCCGCCTATCCCACCTCATCCGTCGGTCGTGCAGAGGCGGATGGAACTACTGACATCGGACATGCTAACCCGGGCTCTAACACTGGTATCCCGAGGGCAACACGAGCGCGCGCATCACCTACTTAGCGAGACACGCAGTATCCTGAAAGGCCTAGGGAAGGGAGGTCTACCACCGCTACCACCCCCTGGTGGCCCTCGAGGTAGCAACGGCCCCAGTGCCCCCAGCAGTGCTGGCCAAGCATCTCCTATGGTGGACGGCGCCGATCGAGGCAGTGAACGACCTCGCACACCGTCACCCCACGCCGAAAACCCCTTCACCCCCGCCGCTGGCATCGACGCAACAACCATGTACGCTCTCGACGCCGAACTCGAATCTTCACTCGAATGGATGAATCACCCGGCCGTCTTCGGCCGCGACTCTCGGAAAGCCGTACTGCAGGCCATTGGCGTCATCAGCTCCCAGCGCGGCTACACATTCCGGACGCCCTCGGAATCGCTCTGGGCAGAACGCATCACCGGCGTGAAACGGCTCTCAGAGCGGTCGCGGGATTGGCGCGAGGCCGGAGATGAGGCCCTCATGGAAGAGAATTGAGCGTGGCCCCAGCACAGCATGGCATGGCAGCACACGCGCTATGGGGGGCAGGTTACGACCGTAATGATCCTTGTACATCTGTAGCATACGACTTGGAAAAAAAGCTCTAGGTAAGGTTTTTTTTGAATGGGGTTCGGGTTTGGAGGGGGGGCGGCTTTTGCTATCTATACTTTGCCATATATTTCCTTGTCTCTCCTTCCCATTTTCGACCCGCCATCTATGTTGGGGAGATTGCGAGGCTTCTATGTTGGGGCTTGGTTTGCACGCAAATGATACCAACATGGTTCGGTTCGGTTTCGAATGTCTGTCTTTTGGATGTGTTTTTTTTCTTAACTCCTTTCTCCACTACCGACCAAGCGGGGAGGGATTAAGAACTGGCGGGTTTTGCGTGCTTGCGTTTCTGCATTAGAGCGAAATTCACTGTTTTGGGATATAAGATACCAATAGCGGGGCCCCAGCGGCGACTTGCAAGTCTTTATTTGTTTTCTATGCTTTGGATATCTACAATTTTTTTTGGTTTTGTCCTGGCTATATTTTTTCCTTTTGTACCTACGGGTTTTTCTTTCATGTGTACGGGATGCGCATGGGCAAGCGATGCCGGGGCGGGGGGCGGCGGTGGCGGCGAAAGCACGAAATATGCGCTATGTATCAATTCTATCTATCAAATGTTCTAAAAGTATCACTACCCACGTGCTCTGTGTAACCTGGCGGCAGGCAACATCATACGATCCCTCGTAAGACGAATCGGCCTCTCGGCGACCGAGGGCAAGGATGTGCAACGTTCCAGATCTCTTTTCGATAAACGCCGACGGCAGGAGGGGCCCGTGGTGCAAGCCCTACCGGCGCTCCGCGTATCACCGTATCGAATGGCCGTGGTTTGTGCGACTGGGGCACTGCAGCGGGGTACGGGAGGAGGCACGAGCGGAGCGTTTTGTGTGACGGTGAGCGGTTGGTTGAGTTGAGATATGGTTGGATGGGGGGAGCAGAGCGAACGAGAGGGGATGGGTGCCCTGGGGGTTAGAGACCGTGATGAATGAGACGGATGACGTGGTGAGTTGAATGGGGCGCGTGGCCAGTGAGAGGGATTCAGTGGGATATACTTGAGACTCCTATGCACGGGCGCTCCGTTGATAGAGACGCAATGGGGGGCGGGGGGGCACAGTGCACGAGTCGAAGGATTGAGACCGGGAATGGAAGTATATTGACGTTAGATGGGGCGATTGCAAGACTTGTATGCTATTGATTCTCGCCGATAGAGACGCAATGGGATGATGATGGTGCACAAGTCGAAGGATCAGACAAGGTATGAAAGTATATTGATGTTGGATGGGACGAGATGATTCCACAATGTCTGCCTTGGTAGGGAATGGTAGGTGAATTTGGAGGGGTGGAACATGATGAGTGTAGTATATATTGCTGTAGTTAGCGCTTGCACGACGTCGATGGACATTGGGAAAGAACACCAATAAGCAGAATGAATACGAGAGCTGTTGAAGAGAGTGCTGCGGGGAAGGTTGTAGCGGATGATCGGAGGGCCTCGGATCTCCCTGAGGCTCAAAGGGAAGCCTGCTATATCCAGGGTCCTGCTATATCGCAATGTCAGTCAACCAGTCTGGTCCAACCAACCACACGCTGCTCTCAACGAACAGGGCTCCTCATCCTCCATCATCATCACCCGACCTCATTCTCAGTTAACCTCAGAAACAAGTGGGAGGAACTAGGCACCCGGGAACTCGCGGCGCCCGTGCCGGACTCGGGAGTGTGTGGAGAGCGTGCCCAAGCAGGTCGAGCAGACTTCGGCTGCGTTTAACTTTCTGCTACGGCTGCGCTCTACGGAGCATAAACCTTGGTAGGGGCATGGTGGTTGGGCAGCCGGCTGCATCTACAAGAGTTAGTGCAAGCTAGCGTGGTCCCGACATACCGGACCCGCGAGCGAGCGAGCGGTGTATCCGTATCCAGATGCCCACCGGACGATTGCGACCTGACAGGTTGGCGTGCTATTTTTGCGCCGCGACTGACAGGTGGGAAGAATTAGGCTTTTGAAACATGAAAGATGTGAGGAGGGGCGCCGGAAGCGGGCAATGAGGAGCATTCACGAGCTTAAGGGCATGCACGGTGGATGAGGAATCCTGCTTTTTTCTGCGATGCAAGCTCACTCACCACACCCACATCGTCCCGCCATGGCCGAGATGGGCGAGGCGCACGAGCGTCGTTCGCTCTGCCCTACAGGCCCTGGCGTTTGATGGCCGGTGGGTGGTGGTTCCACTGCATTGCGGCAAGGCAGCTCGAGCACCGAGGAGATGTGCTGCTCGGAAATCGAGGACACGGCAAACGGCCACTCGTTCGAGTCCTACGAAGGGTCCAACAAGCGCAAGGTCTGGCGGCAGAAAGAGATGTTCGTTCCATCGACAAGATGCGGAAGATGCAACCTTGGAAATGCCCGAGCGACAGCACCGAGCGGCAGCAGCGATCGCCCTGACTCTCTCCGCATGCACGTTTGTCGCTGCGCTCGCGTGCACTGCTTCATGCAGCCCCCGCCGTGTGGCTGAGACGCCCGCCCAAGCCCAGGATCTGGTGTTCTGTTCGGGGGCGAACCGTACCACGCGGATTCGTTACCGCGAGCGCGGCGCAAAGGGGGTGTATTGGCGACGTAAGTGGAAGTGGCGGCCGACCCGCGAGTTTGGCACCAAAAGTGAAGCGTGCAGCCAAGGATGGGATGAGCTGCTGCATTCGGGTCGCCGATGCGGTTAATTCTCCTGCGACTAGTCTCTACAGCATCGGGGAGGTGGCGCGACGGCGCGCGGTTTGCAGAGAGGTGGTGAAGGGAATGCCGCCGTCTGCCGTCACCGAGTCGACGATGGCTGGATGGTGGCGGAGGAAGGGAAAAGAAGCAAATATGCAGGGCGAGAGAGGTGCTGCTGGCTGCAGCTCTTTGGCCGGCCTGTCTGCGCATGCATTTACCCTGCGGGCTAGCTGGACATGAAAAGCAATGGCGACGGAGACGCTGAACGACGTACAACGTGAATAAATTTAGGTTTGGATGACGAGAAAGGGCATTTGGACATCTGATGCTTGACGTCTTTCCTCTCGGTGTAGTCTTCAATCATCTACCAATCCTGACACAGGCCTTGAAGCATCTCACGCCCGCACAGGCGGAGTTGCACCCATGGATTCCACCATCAGGTACCGATCCCAACCACCAATTGCGCCTCTGCCACATTACCCGTCAGCGTGACAGCCAATGCCGGCTCGAGACGCTGCCAGGAACAACACAGCCCGTCGTTACCGCTCTGCCGGATCCAGAGAAGAAGCAAAATAAGAGTGACGATGGAGAATCCGACGTGCCTTACTGCCCTGAATAGTCTGCTCTATGCTACATCTGCCACTATCTGCTTCGTCTCAATATCTCAACAAAACAGGTAGCTCCAAGAGAAGCGCATCTACTCGGTATGCCATTGTGCTATGTCGAATCTATCGACCTTGTCCTCGACACTAGCAGTAGAGGTGGTAGCACGCTGGCATCGCATCAGCGGCTCTCATCCTTCAGCCATCCATCACATCACCAATCACACAGCTGCCCTGCTTGCGTTTGGCGTTGGGCCAGGCATCTTCAACGCACTACCACCGGGCATAGTCACCAACAAGGCACTCGGCTGCACCCAGGCGGAAAACCCAAAACACCAACGGCCCCTGCAGGCTATCGAAATCGGAAACCGAAAGGCCCTGTCGACATGCATCTCAACGCGTCAGACCCACCTTTCTGCCTGTAAATGGATTTGCACAATCATGAGACATCTCCAAGGCTGCATTTGCAACCTAATTCCACTAGCAAGAGCATGGCGGCCAGTACCGTGCTCCGAAGAAGACACTTAGTAAAGTGACTGTGCGTACTCCTGCCGGAGGTAACAATATTACGCAAACCACGCGAATCTCTCGCCACAATCGACATCACACGCGGTACACACCCGATAGGAAGATCGAAATAGCCACCATGTAGGGCCGTCACATCGCCAAACCTGCAACAACACCATGCCGTCCCATCCCACCAGACGGTCTCGCTGAATCCAAACACCTGTCACCCCCGTTCCGTCGATCAAACGCCATCCTTCGATTCCATCATCTCTATCTTCTTCCAGCCAGCCATCCCAACCTCCCCGGCCCATGGACGAGGCCCATCCCCCCTGTCTCTGTACCTTGGAACGCAACTGCAGGCTCCAAAAAAAGTATCACTTTAACTTCAGCTTCAAACCGTATCATCCACCCTCCATTCTCTACAGCCTCGCCTCTTCATGACGAGCTTATCGTCACGCTTACACAAACCCTATCAGCCTAGCCAAGCTAGACACCCGTCCCACTCACACGACATGGCCGCACAGCATCACACTCGCCAGGCACACGCATCCGCAAAAGACATGCCCCACTACTAAAACGGCCGCCAAACGTGACATCGCCAGGGGTCGCTGTGCACCGCAGCACCTTTAATTTCGCCGGCCACAGGCCCCCTTCCTCGTCCGGCCGTTGGACCAGGGGCCTGAGTGTACCTTGTACCCAAGTACCGAGCTGGGGTGTGCCCATGTTTCTCCGTCTCTGCCATCCGAGCACCGCACGCCTGACACCTGCAGTGCAGTGCCGGAGCGGGTCCCGGGCATCGGGACTAAATAGTGCTGCACAGCCAGCCTAAACTGACCAGAGCGCTATAGGCAGGGTACGTGAGATATATGCAACTTTTGTGTCATGAAGTGCCTATCGTTGCCTTCCTTCATCCACATCGGGTCATCTCCACTACAGACGACCAACCCACCTCGTACGTCCTCGACTCCACAAATCCCCCCGCTGATGGCCCATTACGTACGATGGAGAGAGTTGCGCGTTTGGCTGGAAGCCAGCGACGTGCCCGCCCCGCCGTTGGAGCTTGCAATATGGCGAGTAGGTAGTGCCACAGGGTACAACCAGGCAAACGAACCCACTGTCACTGTCAGTCAACAGTTCGAACAGGTCGCACTAGCTCCTTTTTTGGTTTGACAGAAAGCTTAAATCGGGTTGTCTGGGCTGATCCCTTCGTAAGTCAGCTACAACGCCTGGGGCCACTTTCGGGGCCGTGAGTTGGGAGGCGTTGTGCACAGGCACGGTTCACCCAACCACAAGTCTATCCAGAGCCAAGTCGCTTTTTCTGAGCCAACAAGGACGCCGTCGTCACTAGGGCGCCAGCCTTGATTATTGCACTAAATTCTTGACTCCTAAAGGGATTAGGTTGTAGGTAATCCTGTCTACATACTCGCGCGTCTAGGGGACCTGCGTACTGACAGATGTGTGAAGCCATTGTGCGCTTACTTGGCTCACGTCCACGAGGCGTCACTCTCCTTTCCGCAGAGGTACAGGTACAAGTACATATAATACACAGCTCTCGCAGCTCTCCACTCGCAAAAAACCCCTTCACGAAACTCAGAGGGGAGATCGCGGCTCTCGCCAGCAGCTTCTTCTCGGGCCCGCCTACCATTCCGCGGGATCTCTAACCGACGCGGAGCCTAGCCTAGCCCAGCCCATCATCTCTCTCCATCCTCGGCGGCGTCTCCCGTCGGATGGAGAGACCGCTGGATCGCTGGAAGAACCGGAAGCGTGCCGGCTTCAGGCATGCTGAGTCGCGTCCCTGCGTCTTGCACGCACGAAGGATTCACGTGTTGGACGTGCTGCGTTGCACGGCGCGAACTCTTGTCTTACCACCCCGCGGAAGACAAGGCTCTTCTGAAATCTTTCGCTGTGGGAGTGTCAGATGATCATCGTGCTTCTCCATACGTAAAATGGGGGGATTGCACAAACCGTAGCTAGTCGTTGCGTGGCAGTCTGACAAGTCCTGTTTCTCGCGCGCTTGTGGGAGCCTGGATGGGGTTAGTCGTGGACGGAGACGGTATTGTTGCTAATAGATGCAAGCGCGAACGTACCACTCTTGGATCTTCTCTTGGCGGTTGTGGTTGGAGGGGTGGGTAGAGAGGAATTGGGGGGGTTCGCCCTTTTGGGCTTGGGCCATGCGTTGCCAGAGGCGCACGGCGGCTTCGGGGTTGTAGCAGCTTTGCGCCATCATTAGGAGGCCGATGTAGTCGGCTTCGGCCTGCGTTGGGTTTAGTATCGATCGTGAGCGTAATTGTTGACGATGGGGAGGTGATATACCTCTTGCTTCCTGCCTCCAGGGCGAGCCACCACAAGGTCTGTAATCAGCCTGCTAATACCCTCCGGCACACCAATCGAGTAGGCCATAATGATATTGATCAGAAACAGCGGCAGCGCCTGGCTCATCCGCTCCGCCGTGTGATGCGCTACATTATGCGCGATCTCGTGACCCAGCACCGCCGCGACTCCATCATCGTCCCCGCATATCGGCAGGATGCCAGAGAAGACAAACACCTTGCCCCTACGCCCTACTCATTAGTAACACATCCAACCTCACCCAGTTAACGCACGATGAGACGTACCCCGGAATCACAAACGCATTCACCTCCTCGCTCTGAATCACATGCACCTCCCACTCCTCCCCCTCCAGCCCGGACTGCGGAACCAGCCGCTCCAGCACCCGCCGCACCTGCTGCGTCGCCGGGTGCCACTCCGGCAGTACCCTTCCCTTATACTCGCGCATGATCTGCTGGTAGCCGGCCTCGCCCTGCGATTTCTCCCATTCCGCGCTTATGCAGTTGAAGCGGCGGCGGCCGGAGACCTGCGTCGCGCATCGTGTGTTAGAATGTAGGGATAAGCCGCGGGGGAAAGGAGGGGGAGCGAGGGCGTACGGGCACGGTTTCGAGGTTGAAGACGTAGAAGCCGCCGGCGACGGTGGTCAGCCCGCCCACTTCGCGGTAGAAGGTTGGGCGCGCGGCCCAGCGCTGCCAGATGTTGCCGGAGCTGCCTTGGAAGCGCTGGTATTGCGGCCGGCTGGGGCGTTGTGGGCGGTAGGAGCGGGCACTGGTGGGATGGGGGGTGGAGCGGTATGGTGGGATGTTTGGAGGGGTGCGGAGTTTGGACCATAGGCCGCGAGAGAAGGAGGGGCGGGACATGGTGAGGTTTGTGGTGGATGAGGACTCGGGGATGTGGTATAGGGGCCCGACGGGCTCAGTGTTGACTGGGCGATGGGTGAGGTTGAGGTTTAAAGGGAAGTTTTGGTAATTCGGGTGGTGACGTGAAGGCTTGATGTTGAGGCAAAGCCACACTTTGTGGCGCATAGCTTGAGCCACTTCTTTCGAGGTTCCATTCCGATTGGAACCATGCCCGAACCACTTCCCGAGATCAACTTCTTTACTATGGGCCCTCAGCCCGAAGACCATAGAAAGAAGTTGCGCTCGATTCACGGGGAATCCTGTCACACATAGTGCCTACTCCCTAAATCTCCCATAGTAATTCATCAGATCTTCCAAGATTGACGGTATGTGCAAAGTTTTGTAAGTTAGGCAGTCCAGGTACATTCATGTCATACTTCTTGTTCCTTTTATATACACTATGTGCTCCTTTGGCATCCGCCTCTATGTCCCCTATCTCCTACTTTTTTCCACGATTTTCCTTAACTCTTATTCTAAGAGATTCACACAGCCTGGCCACTTCAGTGCTTTAAAGCACGCCAAGGTCATTTACCTGTCCTATACGATTACTCTTAAATTCCTGTCACGTTTGAAAGATCCATGTAATGTTGAATGTTTTTAAGCGCGGTCACGTTGCGGCCAATCTACAACTTCCGATTTAGGAGATCCACGCAACGTGGGTTCATTCACGCGAGTTGCTTCTGCTATGCTCTACAAATTTCCTTGGGGTGTCCACTGTGGCTTTTCTTGCCATGAGAAACAACCCAATCAGCTTATTAGTGCTCTGTGCTTCTCACATTATTAGTTTGGTTTTGGGTAATCCAGACAGTATGTGTTTTTCACCTCTGATGAACACCACAGTTTGTATTTTGGCTTTCAAGCAAAAGAATAGGGGAGGGCTAATCGTACACCCCCTAACGAATAATCGTACACCCCCTTTCGAATGATTATACACCCCCTACTTTACCGCTTCTGATTGGCTCGGAGGTCCGGCAGGAGGCCTCCGAACATTCACCTTTACGTCTATCTGCACGTGCGTCTCTGCCGTATGTGAGCTCGTACGTGAGACTATACGTGAGGCTATACGAATCGACATGGCTATACAGCCTCTCCGTTTTACGGCGCATCCTTTCCGATTTGTATAGCCTCACGTACAGCCTTACGTACGAGCTGTATATACAGCTGCACAAATTGGCAGGATGCACTGTAAAATGGAGAGGCTGTATAGCTATGCTGATTTGTATAGCCTCGCGTACGAGCTCACGTACGGCCGTATATACAGTTGCACAAATCAGATAGGCTGCGCTGGAGGCTACGTGGCCGCATTTGGAGACAGCATTCGGAATTAGTGAGCAAGTGAAGCGAGCCAATCGGAAGCTCTGGAGCAACCCTCTAAGCCAATCAGAAGGCAGTGAAGTGACAGGGGAGTAGGGGTGTACGATTAGTCGTTAGGGGGTGTACGATTATTCGTTACGGGGTGTACGATTAGCCCTCCCCAAAGAATAATGGTTTTGTTCTTTTTAGGGTATAATGATACTGAAACTACCAAGAAAGCAATGCATTATTTTGTTTTCCCCCGGATCCTCCAATAACCTACCTGGGCTAGGGGCTTCTCAAGGTATTTCCTGTCTCGAGAAATCCCTGTCGGCTGCTTCCTTTACGGACCCCACTTCCGTCAAATGCTCCACCAGCGTAAACTGACAATGGTCCCAGTCCATGTCGATCTGTTCCACGAATATCCAGCCCTCGCCGACATCTTCCCAGTATGTCGCCTCATATCTAAGAACTTTCAGGCATTCAAAGAACAAGACCTCTCTCATGCCGCATGGAAAGTTCGGCTTGAGATTTCTCCATGCATCCGATTGTGGCGCTGGAAGGGGTACCGTCCCTAATTGGAAGTCCGATGAATCCAAGTCCGGCAAATCCATGTCCTCTCTCCAGTCGCATGGAAACCTCAGCTCGAGATTTCCCCATGTATCCGATTGTGGCGCTGCAAGGGGTACCGTCCCTAATTGGAAGTCCGACGAATCCAAGTCCGGCAAATCCAAGTCCTCTCTCCAGTCGCCTGGAAACCTCAGCTCGAGATTTCCCCATGTATCCGATTGTGGCACTGGAGGGGCTAGCGTCCCTAATGGCAAGTACGACGAATCCAAGTCCTCAATCCGTAGATCAAGTCTGAGGTGCCCCCAATTTTCTCTGTTTCGGAATGAATCCCATACTTCTACTTTGATGCCATCCTGTGCACAATAACCGGCGAACTCCATCAGTTCAATGTCCTCAATGACTTTGGTGAAGAGGCTGTCCCTAACAACTTCTTCAAAGGGAATATCCGAGTCGGACTTGCTGAAGAGATAGACGCATAGCCCTAGAACTGACAGGTGCGGGAGGTCATCATGAAGTGACGAAGCGAGCTCTAGAATGCTGGGCTTGTAGCTGGCAGCATAGTTGCGTATCCAGGAATAGGACACACGTAGGGTTTCTAGGCTTGGCGGTAGGAGGTTTTCCAACACTTGAGGGGTTCCATCCCAGCGAAGCAGTGTTTCTATCGGTGTTACAAGAGAGGTTAGGCTGGCGAAAGAGACGAGAGAGTCGCCAAGATCGAGATCGGGGAGTAACCAGCCATCGTTATCTTTATTGCGTGGATCGATTCCGCCCTTGCAGTTAAGATGCAGAGTCTTGAGAGAGGAAGCGTGTATCTTAAGAATAGACGTGGGTATGCCAAACCATGAATTTTGTGCAACACTGGGATTCATGACCCACCCAATATCGAGACGGAGAGAGGTCAACGCCTTGCATGATCTGATCGCAGCAGATAGGGTAAATTGACCTATGTGGTCTCCTGTGATGGTAAGGTCTTCGATTGTAGAAGTCCCATACTTGCATTCCCAGAGCGCGGACCCGAGCCAAGGCTTAGGAAGTTGGTACTCATACTGAACCCCACTGATTTCAAGAGTGCGAAGGCTCGGTAGACCGAACACTGGAGAAAGCTTGTGCATCCCAATTCCGCTGACGTTGACCGCGACGCGATGGAGAGAGGAGAAAGAGTGAATTTTGCTACCTAGGGTTCCGTGAGCCACCGCTCTTAGCATCGCCAACCACCGATGTGTGGTGCCAGGATCAGGGTGCGCTGTGTGGCTGGGCACGGTAGATTGAATCTCGAGTTGGCGAATATTCGTTACCCGGGAGAGCAGCACCGCCAGCTGGACGTCAATATCGTGACAATTGCCCTTGCAGCCTCCATTTTCACAAACCGCTGGGACCGTTATACCCAGGTTCTTCCATTGTTCCCATATCTCGTGCTGCTCTTGTCCGTTATTGTCGATGATGGGTTTCGTCGAATCTGCGGGCGGGTGCTGCACAACGATATTGCGAACGTATGCAGCCAGTTCCGGTTCTCGAAGGATTGTGCGAAGGAAAGAGCTAGATGAGTGACCGTAATAATGAGTGTATCGACGATACAGAATGGACACAGTCACACGCGAAAGACGACGATTCGTCTGCAGCAATCCTTGCCCTCTGAAATGGAGAGCGCTGCCTGTTTCTTCGAATGTGTGAGATACTATCTCGAGAAGAAGCTCGTCTGGCAGGTCTTCGAGTTCGGCGACCTTCGAAATCGTCGAGACAGTGCTTTGCCGGCAAAGGTTGCTCTGTGAAGTGCTCTTCGAGCTTCGTAGTGTCTTACTTGGACGACTCTCAATTGAATGGTCCAAGATTTTGTCTGCAGACTCTGCATGACTTGGTCGCTTCCTTTTACGGCTTTGATTTGAGGAAGTTCCGAGTTTTGGACATTTGTAATCGCTCGTAGGTTTACGAGATTGATGAAGTCTTGACTTGGTGTAAAGATTCCGAATAGAGGGAGCATTGCGAAATGTCCTCGTCGAGTCATCTTTAGGAGGCATGCGGCTTAAGTAGTCTTGTCTCTGAAGGAAGGAAAGCGAGAAGTATTGGGACAAAAGTGTAGGGGCCAGGCTGCTGAGGTTTCTGGAGGAGGTTTTGCGTGTTCTGAAGTTGAATATAATTGTTCATCGCGATAATAGAAATTAACGAAGAATGAACCATGGTACTACACCCATTTTCGGCTAACAACCACAGCAAATCAACAAATTAGACTTTAATTACTGGATAACATCATTTCCATCTCATTCCGTCTCATTCAACCTCATTTAAACCTCACGATTAATCGACTTGGCATAGAGTCAGTTGAAAGCGACTGTGACGACTAATGGAAAACTGCTGAATGACGCTGAAGATAATCCCGGGTACGTAGGAAGATGCGAGGGAAGTATTGAGTAGGGAAGGATGATACCAGAACAAGTGCAGTGAATACCATATATCTAATGAAACAATGTGAAGCACGCTTTACTAGGGATTGGAAGAGAAGGCATAACCTCTGGCAGTCATCATTCGATTCAGGCGTGGCTTTCAAAGGCCTTTGAAGTATGATCTATCTTGAGATTGTTCCCGGACTGGCACTCATCCTCCGTCCATGTTTGGTGATGATCATAACTCACACAATCTTTCCGCTTTTCATTTTCTCAAAAGCCATGTTCCTTCAGCTCCGTCTCGGTCTAGTCCTACAGTGAATCTACCATTCCCGGATCGTTCATCAACGGTCTCCCTTCATGCTCTTTAGCGCCCGGGTAGTATAAGGCGCCGCTTTTGACGTCTGCGCTCACTGCTGTGCTTGCCCAGAGTTGGCCATGCGCTCCTACAGAGACATCGACAAAGACGAGTCTCATGAGCGCAAAGAGCGGTTTGAGGTGCGGGTAGGTGGCATTCAGCCTATCTGCAAGGCCAGTTTGGACGCCCCCGGGATTCACAGCAACGCTTTTGATCTGCGGATAATGCTTTGCTAGTCCTTTCGTGAAGTACACGTTGGCGAGCTTGGAATGTCCTTAGCATGCCAATGGGCCGATCGACTCCCTATCTGTCTTGACTTTGTCGAGTAGCAAGCCAGCCTTCGGGGCGAAAACAACTTGAGAGCTGGAGCTCAAGTTGATGATTCGGACGTCGCTACCTGGCTCCGCAGCTGTCCTTTCGAGAACCGGCATCAGTAGCCTAGTCAGCAGGGCGTGACCGACGTGATTCGTGCCGAACTGAACTTCGTAGCCTTCTTTTGTGACGCCCAGGGGTCCTGTCATGATTCCACCGTTGTTCATCAGTACGTGAAGACGATCATTCTCAGCTAGGAAAGTCTGGGCTGCCTTCTTTACGGACTCGAATGAGGCAAGATCTAATTCCAGGAACACGATATAGGCATTGGGCAACGCCTGCTTGATTTCCGCACTGGCATCGGTTGCCTTCCTCTCGCTGCGAGCTCCCATATAAACTTTCGCGCCATGTTTGGCAAACTGCCGTACAGGTTCTTTTCCGAGTCCATTCTTGCCGCCAGTTACTAGCATGACCTTGCCTGATAGGTCCGGGATATCTGTATCTGGTTTGAAGGTAATTCCACCACCGAAGCCGAATATATTGAAATACTTGACAAAGTCGACTTGCTTGGTATTAAGCTGACCAGATATTCAAGTGACGAAGGAAGAATGGTAGTTGAGTGTTGGGAAGAAATGTGGAAAGATCTTTAAAGATATAAGTATTGTGTATGGTCTAGTCGGATTGGATTAGGCGGCCTAAAGCCCACCCGCGGCCCCGCATCATCGCGGGACAAGGCCTGATAGAGGATGAAAAGAGATGCGTCAATCGGATTTAACAAGTCGGGATGTTAATGCACCGTCTCCTTGCATGCTCTTCCTACCTCTGTCCGGTGACCCAGCGCTAAAATCAAGCCACAAACTTACCGTATAAGGTAGAATTACCTAGCGACCTCCTAGCCGATCAATATTCAAGCCAGTTCAACATTACCACCGTAATATCATGGGAGCCTTAGTCACGTGACGTGATTTGATGGATTATAACATAACTTTCATCACGTGACCCAATGTCCCATGAGATCACGGTGATAGCTCGGAAGAAGAGGTTGATTAGGGTCGACTCAGTTATCGCGCTAGGTTATCGGACGTAAAGAGAGCCTTTAGAGAGTGAGCGCCGGACGTGAATAGAGGTTGTACGTGTCTCGAGCTGGCCCCTAGATGATTCTCAAGGCTATAGGATACTTTCGTAGACGATGGAATATGGACGCCTCTCCAGCCTGGTACAGCGGATAGTCGAGCTGCAAATGCGCGTGGAGGAGTCTATTAAGTACACCTGCTCGGAACGGGGCAGAGGAGCCATGAAATAGAAGAGGAGTTGAAATTATCCAAGGTGTCACCTTCCGTGGGTCATTCGTTGAGCATGGATTCATGGGGACCTTGTTGCTGTATACATGGCGCGGTATTGTCACTGAAAACCCAATGTCGGCGCCTCGAAGACTTTCTCGAGAGATGTCGGTGGGTACGAAGGACCTCGGGAAGATGCCAAGGAAGCGGCGCTACATTCAAAGGCGCTAGACCTAAACTGAACAAACACCCAAATTTAGCTTGAACTATACACGCGATCTTTAAGAGAGTATTCACGACAATGGCGATGAACTCATCGCGCACAAACACATTTCCAGGATGATGGACAGCAGTATAAGCAACTATGGCCTCCCAATTCCTCCCCCGAGCCGTCTTCCCGACGCTGGACTCGCTGCCGCGATCCTACTTCCTCGGCCACCACAAAGCGGGACTTTCGAAGATGAAGACAATGCTTAATACTATAGACCTAATAATTGAATGCCGGGACTACCGAGTACCCCTCACGTCAAGGAATCCGCTTTTCGAAGCCAGCTTAGCTGGTAGACAGCGCCTCATAGTGTATACGAAGAAAGACCTAGGAAGCCACCACAAGAAGGCGGACCTAAAGGTACCTCTCTGTCATGTTTTGGCTTTAGCAACTGGATGAGAGCTGACAACGGCAAATAGCGTGAGCAGATTATCACGCAATGGCATGCGCCTTCACCCGTCCTATTCTCCGACCACAAAGAGCGCCGCGACGTCCGTCGCGTCCTCGAATTCGCCCGCGAGTTCGCCGATCGCACAATGTCTCTCACCGGCCTACGATTGATGATTGTTGGGATGCCTAATGTTGGGAAATCTTCGCTTCTGAACGCGCTGCGTATGCAGGGCGTTGGGAAGGGCAAGGCGGCTTTCACAGGAGCTCAACCAGGAGTCACTAGGAAAATTGCCACGGGCGTCAGGATTATTGAGAGCTCCGAGCAGTCGGAGGGTGTGTTCTTGGTCGACACGCCAGGTGTTTTTATACCGTATGTTCCGGACGCCGAGGCGATGCTCAAGCTTGCCTTGTGCGGCAATATTAAGGACAACATTATCTCCCCTACCACTCAAGCCGACTACCTACTATACCACATGAACCTCCAATCGCCCGACCTTTACGCCGAGTACCACCCACCGACGAATGAAGTAATGGACCTGCTGGGCGCGGTTGCGGTGAAGACGGGAAGGCTGCAGAAAGGCGGTACTCCCGATGCCGAGTCGTCCGCTTTGTGGATGATCCAACGATGGCGGACTGGCAATTTTGGAAGGTTCTTGCTTGATAAGGTCACGGAAGACGCATTCGAGATGGCTAAGTTGGAGGAGACCAATCAGGCTCCTAGCTTTCACCAGGCAAAGAAGGCCGACAAGGAACTCAGAAGAGCTAGGTCGAGGGGTCGCAACATGGATGTAAGCTGAAGCTAGGAGAGACAGCTGTTGGCTTTCATCTCGACACAGACCTCCTCCGCCACTCATGCTAGGCTTGGGAATCGCTCCTCTGAAGTAATCTCAGTGGCGCGGTGATGGAGGCACAGTTCATGCAACACAACCTGACCTATCGAGGTGAATGGTGATGCTCAAATATAGCACCCACATCCACTGCCATGTCATGCTTAGAGCCCTGTATACGGACAGGAACCGGTATCTGTTGGATTTTAAAATCCCAAACAATATCGGATGGAACAAGCATGTTTGAGACAATCTGAACAAACACATATGTAGCCTATATTAGATGAATCAACCCCCTCTAGAGAGAGGCTATGGATTTCCGGATGTCAACAGTATCTAGGAGAATGCGTGTTCGTGGGAGAATCCCCTCAGGAGAGGATCAGGTACTATGGCACCGTTCAGATATCCAACAAATATAGAACACTATTCTGAACGAGTCTGAATTACTTGGCATTTTGAATTCGTAATACTGTAACAGAGGAACGTTGTTGTGTTTAAGGATGTCCTTTTAAAACAATCTGCCTGGCTGTCCGTAGACTAATCCGGCAATTCTCACCACCTTTCCACTCCCAAGTTCTGTGTTTGTTTCGAATGGCCACAACAGCGATCTCTCGGCCTAGCAATTCGAGTCCCCCCGAGAGCAATGCTCAAGCCCGTAGCCTCAAAATATCACACCACATTCTCACTTCCATCTCCGCTGCCTCCCACTCATCCTGCCCTTCATACTGAACAAATTTCTCCTTGTGCGGCTCTTTCAGCCCTCCCGCCACTTCTAGACCCTTCCACACCTCTTTGATCATCTCTTGCACGAACGTCACTGCCTCCTTCACCTCTTCTTCCGAGGACACGGCCTTCGCTGCATCCTCCACCTTTCTGTCCGAGGATATGGTCGATGCGAATTTGCCGTCGGCAGCATTGGGGTCGCCAACGTGGTTCCCGATGTACACCACCACGCCGTGCAACGCAGGCGGGTTACCTCCCACACCTTTCGCCGATTTCACCTCCCCCACTCGAATGATCAGCTCGCCAATCCCGTATGCATGGCCGTCACGGATGCTGAGCGACTGTTTCGGCGTCCAGAGCGCAGAGAATTTTGTGGAGAGCAGATTATTGAAGGATTCGGTCTGGGTGGCTGGAATGGCCACGACGGCGTTACCAGGGCCGGGCCTCATAGGAACACCGGGAATAGGTGGAGGGTGGATGTATAGGAAGGTCTTTCCGGGATGGAAGCTCAGATTGAGGGCGTGATGGTATGCTCGGGGTGTGGGGTCGTCGGAGGTGGCCGGCGTGGAGCGTGAGAGGTTGTGGGCCAGATTCCAGGGGGGAAGAGGCCTTGCTTTGGTGTACCTCTTGTGGATGGCAGACACTACTTCTTGGAAGGTTGAAGAGCCCGGGGCCGAGCTTGAGGGGGGCTGTCCGGCCACATAGTAGAGTCTGGAAGGTCAGTTAGAATGTGGGCTTGCCGTGTGAAAGTGACGGGGAAAGAAGAGGTTAATGGTGTACCCGCAGACTTTCATATTAGATGGTAAATATTAGTGCAATAGATTTAGGGCGGTACCAGTGAGGATGAACATAGATGTTCGTGGTGTGGCTGTGACAATGCGATACGTGTTCGAGGAGGGGTACCATGGGTACAATAGATTGAATGTGGGTGGGTCCACGGAGGTTCTCAAGTATACCTAGGCAAGAAAAGCTTCATGTCCTCTTCTTGAACCTCTGGAGCCCTCGCGCCTTGCCACATTTTGACGGGCTGCATCCTGGACGACGTGTTTGGCAGGTGAGAATGGGAGTGGCGGTGTTTTGCCGATCGAAGATGATCAACACCAGGTTGTTCCTAGCGCCTGCTTCTGCTATCGATTATGCAGCCGCACGGGATAGCTGCAGCAGCGTTCCTCCAACTTCCCTTTCCACTGCTTGTCATACCCTCTCTTTGCTCGTAGACCGTCTCTGTCGTTTTGTTCTATCTGTCTTTACTGGCGAATTCACTCTGCGGCTCTTTCTCCCGCATTCATTACTTCCACGCGTCGCGCTGTTTCGCTGCTCTATACTTTGGACCCCAATTCTCTCTCCTTTTCGAGGAATGACGGCGTCTGCTTCCTCTCACCCATTGTAGCGTTCTTTATCAGTTTCCACGTACAGTATCGGTGCAGACCCGTCTGTAATTCACTCACTATTGCCAACATGCAACCACTCTTTCGCCGATTTGTACTGCTTTGTGTCATTGCCGCCCTGGGACTTCTCAGTCTTTACCACATTGCCGGATGGGATTCGAAATTACAACCGTCCAGGCCATCCTCATCGCTGCCGGGACGTATTAAACACTCCGTAAAATGGAAAGACGTCCCCGTACGATACCCTGTGACCTCGACAATCGCACTCCCTTCCGGAACTCCGTCCGCTATCCCTAGAATACAACACGAATTTGGCATCGAGACCGATGGAAATAAACAAAAGAGATTAAAGAGATTAGGAGCCGTCAAACAGGTGTTCCTGCGGTCTTGGATGGCCTATAGGGAGCACGCGTGGCTCCAGGACGAGGTCTCGCCGGTTTCTGGAGGGTTCAAAAATCAGTTTGGAGGACGAGCTGCTACATTGGTCGATGCTCTGGATACGATGGCAATAATGGGCCTGGACAAGGAGTTTGGCCAGGCCCTAGCTGCGTTGAAACAGATCGATTTCACTACCACGGAAACATCCACGGTGAATGTCTTTGAGACAACCATACGATACCTTGGAGGCCTACTCAGCACATACGACCTAACGGGAGGGAAGCATTCCATCCTTCTCAACAAGGCTACAGAGCTGGGCGACATGTTGTATGTTGCATTCGATACTCCCCATCGACTACCTATCACTCGGTGGGATTGGGAAAAGTATGTTAAAGTCTCTTCATTCTGCCCATTTTGGCTAATGCTGTAATAGCGGAGCTCTGAGTGGATCTCAGGAAGCACCTGTTTCGGTGTTAAGTGCCGAACTAGGCTCTTTGAGCCTAGAGTTCACCCGCCTATCGCAGCTCACTGGAGATGATAAGTACTATGATGCTGTAGCACGGGTCTCCAATCAGTTTGAAAAGCATCAGAACTCGACAAGTATTCCTGGTCTCTGGCCAGTCCGCATCAATCTCCTTGCCGAATCGTTCACCGTCGACCGCACTTTCTCTTTTGGCGGAATGTCAGACTCTCTTTATGAATACTTCCCTAAACAGCACATGCTCCTCGGTGGCCTTGTCCCGCAATACCGCAAACTCTATGTTGGCGCAATAGAGGCAGCTAAGAGGGTCTTGTTCTTCCGCCCTTTGACTCCAGACAACAGGGATATTCTTGTGTCTGGTACCGTCAGAAAGAACGCCGCAGATCACTTCAAGCTTCAGCCAGAGGCCCAACATCTAGCCTGTTTTGCTGGAGGCATGGTAGGCATTGGTGCTAAGATTTTCGATCGTCCTGAAGACCTTGATGTTGCACGCAGGCTTGTGGATGGTTGCATCTGGGCGTATGAATCTATGCCCTCTGGAATCATGCCAGAAAGCTCCAGTGTCATCCCTTGCCACGATCCCGAAGATTGTGAATGGAGTCGACAAAAATGGTACGATGGGGTCATGGATCAGCGCCCTCTACACTCGTACAGAGATGATGTGGAGAAGATTGTGGAGGAAAACAACCTCGCCCCAGGCTTTACGGACATTACGGATAGGAGATTTCTTCTCCGGTAAGTCTCTATTTGCCACAGAAGTGCATATCACGGCGCAGGGAACAGCCACGCTAATGAATTACAGCCCCGAAGCTATAGAGTCTGTGTTCATCATGTATCGCATCACTGGAAACACGACGTTACTAGACAACGCGTGGGAAATGTTCCAAGCCATCATTGCTAGTACTAGCACGGACATATCAAACAGCGCAATCGCCGACGTGACCGACCTTGAGCCAGAGCTCATTGATGAATGTGAGAGTTTCTGGATGGCCGAGACGCTGAAGTACTTCTATCTCATCTTTTCTGAGCCAGATGTCGTCAGTTTGGACGAATGGGTCTTGTAAGTGCTGCCATTCTGCGGTACTTTTGCTGCTTATTGGACTCATGCTGACCATGAATCATAGCAATACGGAGGCCCACCCTCTGCGCAGGCCGCAGTGATTTTAGATTTGATTTCTCTGGAGTTTGGTGAAATGGGACAAAAGTAAACTACATAAAGGAGGAAAAGGCGCTATGGATATATCAAATAGACGGGCCTTTGGTTATACACTCAAACTCAATTCAAAATAATTCTCGTTGGCTGGAATAGTGTTGAGGTGCATGTTTGATTGTAGGATCATGACAATCACCTACAGCAATCAATGCTAGTAGCAAACCTCGCGCTCATGTACATACATAATGTTCACCTTCTATCAATGTTCAGACACTATGGCCTGAAATCCAACCCTGATAGACTCTAGTGAACCCCTGGGTTGTGGTGGAAATAGATCCGGTCCACGATAAGAAGGCTATTCATAATGAAAGTGAAAGGCTTCCGATACACCACATCATAGAGCAAATATTATATCGTGGCATCACCGTCCTGGCGTACTGTCTTTATTACGACCGTACCTCGTTCGTGCTGTCTTCCTAACGTCCCTCCCTGCGTAGCGGAAAACCCTGCGTGACGGAAACCCGCCAGTGCTTTTCGTTGTAACAATGTCAACAACAGTTAAGAGCTGCAGATAATCTCGGAATAAAGACCTTAAATCCTAAGCTTTATCCACACTTTATTTCTTCTACAGAAACCTCCTGCTTAGCCTATAATACCACATTTCACTACAGGCGTACACAGTAGCGTCCCTCTAGACAGCCTCGGATCTACTAGAAAGCTTGTGCATCCTGTCCAAAACTTGTCAAGCTGTAGGTAGACACAGAAAGATTATATACCGAGTAAAGTATACAAGTATTTGAGCTCATTGCGCTCTGGTGGTGACCTAATGCCTCATTAAGCGGGGTTGACAAAATGAGAGCCCTGCTTCCTGACTGCACAGCGAAGCCAGAAGCGGAGTAGCTGTATTCTAACGACGCTGACGTTAGATTTTCATACCGCTAACGTGACTTAAGTCAGGCCGCGGGCCTAATTTAATTTAGAGTACCCTTGTATGACTCGCTCGAACTTGAACATGCGCCAACCTTGTAACTAGAGTTACTATACGCGCGCTCGTTATTGTAATATGTGCTGGCAAGTATGGATCGTTATTTGCAAGACTATAGCTGCTTGATTTCATGAAGTGTAATTAGTATACACATATTGATTTTTCTCGATCCATAGAGAATTTCCAGCTTCTGATACACTCGGGTTGCACTAGCTACAACCTAGGAACAACAACTCGTACGGTTCACGGTCACCTGTACCACCCCCTTGCCTATCTCTTTCTCTTTCCTTACGACGTTCTTTGTCTCCCTTACGGAGCTGAGCCACTAGCGCATCTCCTACACTATATAGTCTGCCCCTACGACATTATCAATCCAGCAGAGTTCACAACCAAACCAACCTGAGTGATACCTATCTTCGCCACCCCACGTAACAACTTCGATCTCTTGCCCATGTGCCTGCTTACGCCGCTGTCTGGTATCTTAGAGAAAGGGCAAACCGATCCTACTCTTGCGACGCAAGCATGCTGGAATAATGTTGGCGACACGCGCGGGTAGTCGGATGATCGTTCCCCAGGACAGTGCGGTAAGCAGCGCACGCTCTTTTGTACAGAACACGAGACTCGCCGTAGCGATGCCGATTTGCAAGGAGGTGAGCGAGGCAGTATACGCTTGTCAGCGTGTGTGGATGCTCAGGCCCAAGCACCTTCTCACTCCGCGCCAGCGTCTGCCTGTTCATCGATTCCGCCTCCTCGTACTTGCCTTGGCT